GAATTTTAATTTACTTGCTGGTTTTGCAACTTAACCTACTACACCTTAATTTCAGGTCAAATTCTGTTCAAGTCTAGCCATTTTCAAGCAAGAATAACTCATGCCACAAAGCGTTTTGAGAGCTTGGAATGGCACCACACGCCTTTTCTTGGCCACGCTTTACTTCCTGATTCTTTATCTCTTTTTTTTTGGTCATTGCAAATTCATGAAAATTTTCATTTTTTCATGAGTATTAGCAAGGGAAAATTCTAAAGAATCAAACAATTGTGTTTTTCACCCAAAAAAAGAAGACTTTTCCTATAATACATATTAGACCAAATTGACCGTAAAGATGATACGCAACATTGTAAAGTACTTTTTTGAGACTTTCATACGCTAAATATTGACATTTCTACAGAAAACCTATTTTTAAATATTTCAAGATTGCTCTTAATTTCTGGTCTGAAAGCTAAAAGTAGTCAGCATCATTCGATGCGCCTTCATTGACTCTTTATAAATGCATTAAAAATTAAAGTATAACCACGACAATTTTCATAGTCAAATTTAGCAAAAACGTTTAAAGAATGTGAAATCAGTTCGAATTTGAACAAGAAAATACCCACTGCAGAAATTTAAATTAAAGTGCAGCAGTTAAAGCTGCCTCGGCAGAAGACTGAGGCCAAATCTACTGGTCGTGACGTCGGTTAGGGCGCCCTCTCATTTTCCATACCCTCGTTTTTTATCCTTTTTGCAAATCGCATTTAGTATCAAACCATATTCATTTGGGGATCCTTTTGATTGAAAATAACACTCTAGCTTCTGATAACAAGGCCTTGTATTGTTAAAAGTAATTGATACTGCTTTTTTAAAGTGGAATATAGTAGGTACCATTCGATAACGAGTACTGGAAGGCGTGGAATGAATACTAACTGAATTTGTTTATTAGGTTTCGATAATTTTTTTGCCTGTTTGATGTGGATGCTGCTGCCATTGCTTCCCTGCTATCTCTGCTATCTCTGCTATTTGCTTCTTTGGTTTATTATCTCTGGCGGTTGCTTCGTTGGTCTTTATTTCTGGTGGCTGCTTCTTTAATCTTTGTCTGGTCTCTGGTGTCGTTCGTTCTTTGGTTTTTCTATGATGCTGGTGTTGCTTCTGGTATTGCTGCTGGTATTACTGTTGCTAGTCTGATCTCTCCTGGTCTGCTATCTTTGGTGCATGCTCGTTCTCTGGTCTATCTCTGGTAATTGCCTATACTCTTCTGATGTATCTGTGGCTGTGGTAAGTGGTAGGTATCTTCTTTCTTCTGGTCGCAATGATATAAAACTTTTTTGAATGTTTATATTATTATTACTGCTTCCTTTCTTGTGATAATGCATTCATGACGTTTGCCTTATTGCGCTTTCTTCTTCTTTCGTTGGCTGTGATATGATCAGCTCAACGCATGCTTGCGATGTTGTTGTTTCGTATGTACAAACAACAAACATGATGCACTGCTATATAACTGTATTGCCTTTGTAATACTACTTTGTTATATAACCGTGGGTTGTTGTCTGTGTTGCCTCTGTCGCTTCACATGAAACAACAATAGTCATCATGTTGTATTGCACACTTATAATACTGCTGTTGCTCATGCAATTGTGCGTGTTTGTGTTGCTTGACATTCGACTATTACCACCATGCACATTGCTCATGCATGCATTTTTGTTGCAACAACAACGAGCTGTTCTGAACATCTTTGATGTTGTATTTGTTGTAATGCTTTTCTTTTGACTCGCTTTTTTGTGTGAGTGTTCCTTTTTTATCTACATGCTACTATACCCCTATAGTAGTATGTTGTTTTCTTCTTTTCCTTTTTTCTTTTATTATGTTTCTTTCGAAGCATACCTCTTTATTACGTTGTGGTGGATGTGCCTATCGCTGAAGCTCAACAAGACTTTATCCGAGACTAGGAGATGGATAGGCTGCCTCCACTTGATTATCGCTACTTACTTTAGTGATGATTGAGAGCCTCAACGCCTGAATCTAAAGCTAGGTGGTGTAAGTAAGGCATGCTCTAGCACCTGAGGGAAATTTGATGACAGCGCACACTGCTATATTTGATATACCTAGCGGCGCTTAAAATTTTGCCTCACATCAAAGTAGGGGGAAACCCTCGCAAATTTTTTTTTAGGTTTGCGGAGTTTTCAAGCAATCTGATTGGCTAAGAGGTTGAAGTAACGAAGGTCTACAACTAGTTGGTTTCTTATTGATCTGTCACTTAATATAATTTTGTGTTTGTAATAAAAGTGTATTCAAATATAGATACAATATACCGTAAATCCTTGTTTATATAAAAGTAAGATAAGGTGCAGGCTTTATGTAATATATAATCTTTTGTACAATAGTTTAATGTGAGGAATGTCTTTTAAAGCTATCATTAGGTGGGAAAGTTATATAGATATTATAATACTTCGACACAGTGATCTTTGTTTAGAATAACGAGATATAAATAGAGGAAATTCACTTAGAATTGAACATATTTACTGTTATTACTCCAAGATTGAATGAGGTCTAAAACTAGTAAATTTCGAAGACATTTATAATTATTTGACAATGCTGTAGTAGCAATAGTGCCTTGATCTTGAATACGGGATAATTGTATAAGCCGTAAACCAATTAACGAGGATGTGCTGCGTAAGAGTTCATAAACCACCAGTCAGGGACAGACAACAGAGATGATCCAGGATAGAACGTTCTTCCTAGTAGAATTTAACGGAAGAGCGTTTGTCAGAATTGAAATCCGCTTTCAGGAACGAAAGGCCATAGGCTATCACGCTACAGGAACCAGGATACGGATTAGCCATTTGATGGTACCATTTATGTCTTTTTGCAATATCTGAAAAGCAAAAAAGTGATCTCAATATACTATATATCTCAGCTCATGCTCAACTTCTATATTATGTATAACGTTCCCCACATAATAACTTTAAAAGACATTTCTCGCACGAAAATGCTTAATGGATGTTAGATAAAATGGTTTCACCTTATATATTTTTGAATAAAGAAGGATTTACATTGTATCGCGCCCATGGTAAAATGAATCGGATCGGTTATGCTTTTCTCAGTTTTTTAATTGTAAAGCTTAACGTACGCACAGCCATCTATTCTGTAAACAAGACACCAGACTCACTGATAAAACGATGGCGATTATAGACAAGCTTTGTTGTATTTGCAGAATAGAATGCATAATTCTTCGTGGTACATGCATGTAAATGCCAGTGATGGAAGTACTCTTGATATCTTGTTAGATAAAAGCTTCCTATCGGATTCTTGATCCAGTGGTTTGATGGGTTTCTACCACGATGAATTACATCAATGAGCTTCTCTCGTCTGCTTGATAATAATGACCGTAGCAATGGTATCAGGACGACATAGTCTAGGCAAGCCATTTGTCTTGTTTTGGGCATGCCTTCTTCGTTGGTTGGGGCTTGATACTGTTAATGTTCGTTCCTTTACCTATCCGCGCAGGGGCATGATTTTATCTGTTGAACGGATTGCTTGATCGTCGAGAATTGTTCGAAATTCCTTATACACTGTAAACGAGAAGTTTGCAAAGACTCTCTTTGTGGTAATGACTATAGATATCAGGTAGTTTCAGCAGTTTGTGAGTCTGTTACTTCATTTTGATATAACATACGTCTTTTCGGATTCGACACAACTTCAACTACGATAACTTCTTTGCATCCGTGCGCATAGTGCATAAGCCCAGCTGTTAAGGCACTTCGCCAATGCCGCATGATCACCAACTGGTTATGCAAAACTTTTGTAATAGAAATTGCGGAACTGCGAAGAAAAAGACAAAGAGACGTTGAGCTCACGTATGACCAATTCCTCATTTATTGTTTGTCGTGATGCTGTGTTGACTTGGTATAGCGTTGTGAAAAGTCAACGGAACTGATTCTTCGCTCCGTTCGATTTTCAGTTAACAAGCGAAGTGAATACAATGAACTTTGACCCATGAATGTCCATGTGAAGTCCAGCAAAGAATCATTTAAAGATAAACTTCAATAGGAGCCAAGAAATGAAGCAAGCATTACATTGGAAAATATTTATTTAAATTACTACATATTGCATTCGTACTTGGAAATCGTTTGTTTCAACCACAAGGATAAACTGGAATATTTCATCTCATGTTTGTCCGTCTTTTTATATCAATTTTTGAGATAATTTTTATTATTGCGGCAGCTATAATTACAGAATGATAGCATCTATCCTCCAAGAACTGTACGCCCAAATTTTGCTCAGAGGCTAGTAAAATCTCTATTGCCATTTGTGACCCATCAACATGATTTAGTAGTCTAAACAAATTACTAAGAATTGGTAATTTTACGGAATACCCAATCAAACATAAATATGGCTCGATGAACAATTTTAAACTGTAATTTAGCGCGTATGAAGAATAGGCAACTTTCTTTAAAATGATCAAATACATTGCTGAAAACTGGCTACTGAAATAATTATGTAAGCCAGACATTGGCAATTTTCCGAGTGGTCCCGCTTCCTATCACTCGTAAACTCATTTGATTCAAGTCTCAGAATAATAGATAAAATGAATCTAATTATACGGTATTTGTATACTTGCACAAGGGTAGCTCAAGTGCGATGCATTGCGAGCTGTAGTACGCGGAAGTGATTTGTAAGCAAAGGAATTAAAAGCTATTCTCACCAGGTTTTCAGGAAATAGATTTTGCGATCAGATGGTTCTCATGTTGAATATTAAACCCCCATCATTGTTTCCAGGGATTAAGCCTTGAAACATGCAAATGATTAGATAAAATTGATAATAAAAGCCGTAGCTGCGGTATGTCTGTCGACATCAGTAATCCATTACTGTTGAAACTCCCGAATGATATGTTGGAAAAAGGGAGATCAAAAGTTTTATCCGGGACACGCTTAGAAAGTATCGTGTATTTATATAAGAAGTTTTCATTCCTTGGCCTGCTCTTTTGTCTTCAACTTCATTTCGGTTGAAAAATAAGAAAATGGTCAAAACTTACATTGTAACGGGTGCCTCTCGTGGTCTCGGTTTCGAATTCGTAAAGCAAATTGCTGCTGCTGGCAATATTGTATTTGCTTGTGCCCGTAATCCTGATGCATCTAAAGCTCTTGTGGATTTGGTTGATAACAAAAAAGTGTTTGCTGTCAAATTAAATACTGTCAGTCAGGAGTCCATCAAGGTAGGAGCTGTCAAACCTGTATCAATTGGAACGATTGGACTAAATGCGCTTAAATGAATAGGCTGCTGCTGCTGAAATCGATGCTAAAGCACCAGAGGGTGCTGATTATTTGATCAACAATGCAGGCATCTGTGGTACGATGGGTCTTGATTTTGAGGCTAGGCAAGTTGAAGGGTTATTTCAGATGATAATGCTGTGCAGCTAATACTTGCGTGCATTTAGTACTCCTGAAGAGTTGGCCAATGTTTTCAACACGAATCTTGTTGCTGTCAATGAAGTAACAAAAGCCTTCGTTCCAATTCTTCGCAAGCGTGGTCCCGATCAAATCAAGAAGATTCTCAACATGTCTTCCATTCTTGGTTCTATCGGTCAAATGGAAGATGCTGATGGTTGGGGATTTGGTGTTGCTTATTGTGTTTCTAAGGCTGCTCTTAATATGCTCACAAGAATGACTGCAAACAAGCTTGGCAAAGAGAATTTCGTAGTCTTTGCCTCACATCCCGGGCATGTTATGACAGATATGGGCGGAAGCGACGCTCCTACTACCCCAGAACAATCGATTCGCGGCCAACTTGCCAATCTTGAGAAATTTGGGAAGGAAGAGAATGGTTTATACTACGACTTTGAGGGCAATGCTATGGCTTGGTAGATTAGTATCCAGATAACTCAGTTCACTCAATAAAAAAGCATCTAGCATTTACTCATTGAAACAGATTATTACACTCACTCAATGATTTGATTCGTATTCATTCACTATGACCTTTTCAAAGCATTTCTCATAACTAATGATCCATTTTGAGCAATTTTGAGCATTTGTTGTTGCCCAATATAGTCTGACAGATGAATAAAAAGTGATGGTAAACTAAACCAATGAAATCTCGCCATGTTCACTAATCTATTAAGGCAGCAAGCAAAGCTTTTCAAGATTCTCATCTTTTTTCTCTCATAAAATACACGTCTACTCTCTTTAAATATGGTATACTTGAAATTGCGCCTTGATTTCAACTGAATATGCTCACATGTAGTGCATTAGGCTTCCACTCCTACTCTTCGTCAAAAGAACCAACTCTACAAGAACAGATCTGCCAAGGGCACTGTTGCTGCAAAGGCTGCAGAGGTAAAGTATAGCAATGGCAGGACCAATACGACACATTTATTGATAAATAATGTAGAAAACCAAGGTTGTTGCCAAGACTAACTACTCATATTGGGCTATTGGTATTTTGGGCTTTGCTTTATTTGGTGGAGGTAAATTTGCAAACGATAGGATTCTTTGAAATAGGATGTATCTGACTGATTTTTGTTATTTGATAGCTCTTTTGCAACTTATCGACCTCATCTTCTAAATATTAACACAATCATTATTTGACAATTCAACTCACATCCTTCACGAAGTTCCTGCTACAGCAGCGATTAACTTTGTGAGTATATCCAAATAAACATCAAACAAATGCAATAAAAAACATGGCAAAAAACATACAAACATGCTAAGCAAGGAAGCACAATGAAGAGTGAATCCAGCAGGGCAAAAGTGACAATCTTTCGAGATCTTACAATGGAAATGATGCATGAGGCTTTTCACATTGATTGGGAGTACGAGGTCAATCAAGGCTCGATTTACTTGTTGATGCTTATACCATGGGGTTATGCACACTGGCACATCTGTCGCATATTTGGTATTGCAATTCTCTCTGGCTCCCAATCATAATCTGCCATGCATTTTGCGCATTACATCTAGCACACGAACGATGAGCCAACAGCCCACTTTTTCTTTCTTCTACACGTACATTTTCAACGCAAAATGGTACATTCTTTGCCATGAATGCGTTGTTGATCATGCTAACATCTACACAGACAACCATAGACCTTTCACCACCTCAAATTCGTAGAAAGAAAAAGAAACAGCACAAGCAACATCAGTCCAGAAAGGGCCTTATCGGTTCCAAAGCCATTCAGGTGTGTAGGACATTCTGCAAAGTCAATTTTTAGATTTCACTCACATCGCTTATAGAAATTTAGAGACCCTGGCAGCGTCAATGTTTCCTTCTTTGCTCTAAGTATCTTTTTATTTGCGATATTTGGTGGTAGTAAGTAAAGCAATCAATTAGATAATGCTCGGCACTGATATTGCAAACTCTAGGCCTTATCAAGCTGCTAAAGTTTTTCTTCTAAACTCATACAGAATTACTATGAAATCTGTAAAATAAATCCATCTCTATAGAGTCTTTTTCACTTGATCTTTCGTGCAACTGTTGCTAACCGTACAAAAACTGTGCATGTGTAACAGAAACTACAGCAACAACTGAAGGAAACTATTTTGGATCCTTCAATTCGGTCATCCTTAATTAAGCGATGCTATATGTTACACCCTATCTTATTATTCTTCTGAATGATTGTATGATTCGCATATGTCAACAATGTGAGAATAAAAAGCCAGATATGATGGCATGCAAGTGTAATTGACTGTGCCATCGTATCATACCCTACTTTGCAGCAGCAGCAGCAGCAGCAGATGGCTTGATATCGTCATTCACCTGTCAGATGAAGATGGGTAGATTATTCGGGACACACTGCATTACTTGTGATTTGGATAGATGATCAAAATACAAACAAAGCACCTCTTTACCTATAAAATGTACCGATGTTGGCAACTAAGCAGCAATTCAAGGTATCAAACGAGGGGCAGAATCGAGCATGAGAAAATGTCGTAAATGAAGCTGGGCTTTTCGTTTCTTTTTTAAGAACAAAAAAGCTGGATTTAGGGCACGGTACGCAGCATTCGTATCAAATAAGAGATGGTCAAGCTCTTTTGCTAGCAATGACCGGTACTATAGATGAGGATGTACACTAGGTAAATCTAAATTATTTCCTTTCTTCATCTCGGAGAACGAGTTTATTCAGGGCTGCTCTGTATTAGCAGCAGCTTGGAAGTCTTTACAAATACATTAGTCGGTTTTAGATAATGGTTACATTTTAGTAGATTGTGTAACAAATCAACGACAAGAAACATATATAAGAAGCATCAGATACCCTTTCCAAAATAAAGAAAAATCGCAAAAATCATAAAAATCATAAAAATCGCACTTCAAATGACAATTGTGCAATGGCTATATTCTTCAGGTCAATCTTGGCTTTGTCTCGACACAAAGGCTCAGCAGCAAATTGAGCAGCTCTGGTGTGGCAATCAAGCCAGTTGGGTCACAAGCGAAGCATTCCGAGGACCTATTTATGTTGATACAGCCATGATGACGCTAATATACAATGGCTACTCTTATACTATCGCACGCCTTCGTAAATAACAGTCTAATACTCCTTACCTTGTAAATACTCACCTAAAGAGAACTGCTCCCTTCTTCCTCACCTTTTCCGATTCGAACAATGTACACTTCATGATCTTCTATTCTTTTTACTACTACAATTACAATTTTGTCATTCAATTAATGCTGTCTAATAAAATGATTTAAAATCACAAATCAAATCACAAATGATACAGTGACACAAATCAAACACTATTTTCACTATCCTTACACTTTCGGATTTTATAAGATGTCTGCAGTACAACACAATCGTCAACACGCCCAAAAAAAAAAGCAATAAATCAAAATTGCCACATTAATTGGTATCTTCCATTGACATGGAATTCACAGAAACCAATCGCTTGCTTGGATCGATTTGGAAAAAAAAAAAAAAGGTCGATCAAATACATATAAGGATTATGCTTGAATATAGTAAAGATGCTCAAAATAGACCTTAGACATTGCACAAGAATATGCTTTATTTGTTCTCAATGAATCACTATACTGAAATCAAATAGCGAATGAAGACAGCATCTGGGCCATAATTGTGCATTGTGGCTCATCAATTTTGTGCTACTCTTTTCCTACAGATTCAGGTTGATTAAATGTGGTAATTCAATGCAATTCGCCTCTTTTTTCACTTTACGCTGTGCTTGTGTGCACTCCACTCAGGCTATACATTTTGACGACAACATGTTGACAATAATTTCCTACGTTTGCCAAGAAAATCCCATCTTTGTCCAACTTGGGATTTTAGTTGCTTCAATAGCTTAATTTACTAATTCACTGATTTGCATAAGAGGCCGATAAATAACCGATGTACATTTGGTGCCAAAATTAGATTATTCATTAGTCGATATTTTACAGATAGTACGTCAATTGATTCACTTGTTCATCAATGAACAACTAGCATATTTGTCATCCGGTAAATAATTTTAAGCGGTTAGTAATATTAAATCTAACCATTACACAGACAATTTTTTGTTTATACATGCGAAAAAAGATCGAATTTTGTGATTTCAGGAACAGCAACTTGATTGGATAACAAAATATATTCGAGTAAAAAAATACAGGAGGTATGATATAAAACATGAATTATACGGTTGGCTAGTATTTGCTGGGTGGATTGATGTCATGTCGCTTAACAAGGTAGTTGAGCATGTCCATCACATTTTCCAGTTTCGTTTTGCGATCTTGTAAAATGAGGTGCTTTTGCACGGATGGATTCTCCTTGGCAAACTTGTCGATCTGAGCCATTGACATTGGATGAACGATGCGATCATCAATGACATCCAGTGGGAAATTGAAAAAGAAATCGTTCAAAAGTTCCACTTGAATAAACATGACCGCTGTATATGTCAGTTTCTCGGCAATGATATTTAAAAAAGCTTCAGGACAGTATTGTTTGTTATCTGGAGTTTTGCATTGCCTACTCTTCAGGGCAGCTAGTCGATACTTGATAATCATGGCTCGATCTTGCAAAAACAAAGCTTCTTTTGCCTTTTCCAGAATGCGATGCGGCTGTTGTTCTTCTGTGTCATCTTCTTGTTCTGATTGCTCAGCGGGAAGTACCTTTTCCTCATCGAGAACACGTTTGATGGCACTTCGCAATCTCTTTCGTCCAATATTCTTTTTCAGTGTCCAGAGCATATCTTCGCACATGTTTAATTCCTTTTCCAGCAGTTTGATGGTTCGCTTGACGCCGTCTTTCCATTCTTCGTCGGTAACCTCCACTTCATATTTGTAGGGTTTAATGGTGTTTTCCACTTGATCGCTTGTTGCCAAGAACTTCTGTCGCAGCATCTCGCCAGTCAGATCGACAATTTGCTTTTGTACCTGCGGATGGTACTGGAAAGGCTCCATTTTAACCAAATGCTGCATGTTGTTCATAATCACATGCATGACGAGTTGTGTTGTAATGCGGCCAATACCACTCTTGGTGATGGCGGCTGATGCTAAATCCATCTTGTAAAGCCAGTAAAAGTCATCAGCATCTGCTTTGGCTAATTCCAATATCTTTGCATCCGACCAATATTGCTCAGCACATACATTGAGCACATTTTGCTCCAACAAGTGGCGCACTTCTGCTCGTAGTTGAGGCTTTCCTAATGAGGAAGCAAACTGTTTAAATCCACGCTTCAATTCGTCCATTGTGTCTGTCACGTAAGAGGCTGCTGTCATTTCGTGGTCGTTGTAAATCACTTTAAAGAGATAGCTTGTCTCCTCGAGTTCGCTCTGTATTGAGTCAGCAATGTTGTAGATAGATCGACCCATCAATTGTTCAATGATGCCAAAGAGATGGTGGCGCAAGAGACGTTGCTCTTTTTCTATATCGGTTGTGTCGTGTGTCATGTCAATGTAGCCAAGGCTGAGTGGTGGGCGATACTTGCTGACCACAGAAGATGCTGGTATGATGCTGGAATCCAATTCTGTTGGCTCTTCTTTTGCTTCAGTGAATGTCTCGTCATCGATGGTTGCACTGCTTGTCAAGATGCCTACTGTGCGTCTACCTAGAGGATCATATTTCTCGCATAATTTAGTGGTGGCACTTTCTGTGTTGGGTCGTGATGTATCATAGACAGCCATTATGACTGTGTGGAGGTTACGTCCAATGTATTTCTCGCATAGTGCACGACTCTCGGGTATATCGTAAAGGTTGAGGTAAGGCACCTCCGATCCATGTATTGAGATGTGTATTATGTCTTCTTCGTTTGTTGCTGTGGAGGCTAGCTTTTGTATGGATTTCTCGGCTTCAGCAACTGACATCATGGCTTCCTCTCCATTGATCTGAATTTTTGGTTCTTTTAAATCTGCATTGTTGATAAAGTGAAATTCCAAGATTTTGTTGTTATTATAGACAGTGTCTGTGAAGACAAAGGGTTGCCCGAGAATGGACTCAATGATGGGTTGGCGAGCATGTCTGGATCCAATCATGACAATGGATGGAATATAGGGAATCACTCGGTGCTGAATAGACATCAATGTGTTGCGAATGCTTGCAAATTTCCTGCATAGTAAAATAAACTGATGGTCCTGGTGTTTCATCCTCATTGCTGCGTCTTTTGCTAGAGCCTCATGGTCAATTTCTTCCTCTTCTTCCTCTTCCTCGATTATTTGCTGCTTCAAATCATGCAATTCCTTGTTGGTATCCACTGCTACTGCTTCTTCGATGGAAGTGTCTGCTTGCTCTGAAGTTATTGTACTAGTGTTTTCCTCGCGTTTTGGAAATGTCGAGTTGAAGATGTGGTTGATGGATTGTGTTTTGTCTCGAGCAGAAGCTAGCACATCGCTCACGAGATCAGACAATTTGATGTTTATTTCGGGTATCTGAATATCGATGTCTTGTATGCTCTCTCCCACACTGTTTAGTATACTCTTCGCATCATTGACAAACGTGGATCCCATATCAGCCAGATCTACAAGGCAAACAGCATATAAATACATGTTATTGTTTGACTATAGACATCTCTACTTGCCTTGAAACTTGTTGGAAGCGACGGTTGCTCCTGCCACAGCTGTTCCTGCCAAGAACAATGGCACTCTTGCAGCAGAAAAAGCTACTCGCACAACAGTGGGTATGATTGATATCGAACGTTGCTGATGCTGTTGTAATGCTGCTGCTGCTGAGTTTACTCTAATGGGTATTCTTGGCCTTGCTACATGTCTTGATAAATGTTGATCAATATGATATAATCGTATGGGTACTCTGTTATTGCTATAACAACGAATCGAGCTTAGCTTTTTTGGTGCCTGAAGCATCGCTGTAAAGAACAATATATGGAAGAAAAAGAAGTGAATACAAATTTGTTGAGCCAGGTATCTATTTGTGGAACAACTATCACTCTGTATGAACGTCACGATAATTTGCATATGAAGTTGTGTAATAGTGAGTTGTTGTTTAGCATCAACATGACCTGATCATTTTCATATTATTATTCGTATAACAGCACTAGATGCAGACTGTCTATTGCATCTAAAGTCTCCAGCGTGCCTTACAAAGGCCATCGTCTCATCAATAAGCTGTCCTGTTGTGTTATGATAGAGCAATACAAAAGTGCCATTCAACCTAATTTTCTCAGCTGAATTTTTGAATGTAACAGCATGCTCTGAATCTAGATTAATTAAAATGTCTTTACGCCTTTGTATCATAGCAAAAACGCGCTTACCGACAAGCTAACGTATAGAACACAGCCACATTTGACAGCTTTCAAGCCTTCATATCTTGATATCTAGGCCTTTCTGAGCCATCGGAATGACGCCAAACAATTGCATTCGATTAGCAGTAACTTTCTGACATCTTTGCTCAACTTTTTGGGACCAAAAAAAAACATGGCCAAAACTCGACCAAAAAGCATGAGGTACCCCTCATGGTTTTCATCGAAAATTAAACGATCGCGTTTTTGACACCAAAAATGAAGACTTTTACTATGATATATATGAAATCAAACTGTTTCTCTTGATCCAAAGCAACCTCTGAAACTACTTTTATGAGGTTTTCATATGCAAAATATGGCTATTTTCGCTAAAAACCTCGTTTCAAATTTTATTGAATTGCTCGATAAGTTCAGCCAAAACACTTGATACAGTTAGCACTATTGGAAACGTCTTGAAAAGTGCTTCAAGAATGTATTAGGAAGCGTAGGGTGATCATCACAATTTATATAGTCGAACATGATAGAATAGATTAATGAAGTCGAAAAGAGACAATATCTGTCCAATCTTGAACAGAAAAAAATAAACTGGGGTTGAATTGATTTTGGCGACGGGTGGCATTGCTGCTGGCTGGCCCAAATGCCTTTCTGTTGATGACAATGATGATTGCGATGCTGATTAAATGGGGATCATGAATTTGGAAGGACAATCGCTTACTCTAAACATTTTTTTGTTGGGAGTTTTTCCCTATAAAGGTGTCTTTTGCAATGACAACCTCTCAAAAAAATCGCTGTAGATCTGATAAAAGACCTGCATCTACGCATGGCCAGCTTATGTTGCCATCTCGACAATTCTACTACCAGAAAATATGGCACAAACAGAGAATGTGGTGTACAAATGTTGCATAAAGCTTGAACTCTCTTTCACATCGTCTCAGTAGTATCATTCTTTCGATATCAGCGTATAAGTAAAGAGGAGTGCTGGGTGAGGGGGGCTGATATCTTCCTTTCCTGGCTCTGATATAGTCTTTCTTTTACTATTAATTGCTAGTTCAAAATCTACGTGATATACCAAATTTTTATTATCTTTAATTTGAGATGTCTTTGGTGAGAGGCAGCAGGGCGACACTGTCACCGAGCGTAACGAGATAGATCGGCTAGCAATATACTGAAATACTATCATGAAACAATGTCGTCGTAATCAATCAGAGGCATAGAATTTAAAGCATTGAGCACAGGACAAGGCTCTAAAAAATCTTTGTTCGAATTTACAAGCATGCCCATGAGATCCTGAGCAAGAAAGAAGAACGACAAGCCTGAAATCATATCAATGAGGATGTCCACTTTCAACTGGATCCTCAAATGAGATTGGAACTACATTGTTGGTAAAGATAGGCGTAGCCATCATTCCTGATGAATATTTTGATACATGTCTTGAATATATTCTTATTACAGACTAAAATAGCTTTTCATCCAGTGACAATAATCTCTTTAGAACGAATCAATAAAAAACGCACTGCCTATATGCCATGTAGATGTGCTGCAAGTCATGATTAGGAAGCTGCGATTACACATATCTTGTCGGTGATCCAGACTGATTAGCGTTGTCAGATATGAAATACTCCAAAAAAAATGTTTAGAGTAAGCGATTGTCCTTCCAAATTCATGATCCCCATTTAATCAGCATCGCAATCATCATTGTCATCAACAGAAAGGCATTTGGGCCAGCCAGCAGCAATGCCACCCGTCGCCAAAATCAATTCAACCCCAGTTTATTTTTTTCTGTTCAAGATTGGACAGATATTGTCTCTTTTCGACTTCATTAATCTATTCTATCATGTTCGACTATATAAATTGTGATGATCACCCTACGCTTCCTAATACTGCCCCTGGTGGTAGGGCGAAGTGGTAGAACTCCCGTATGCCAACGGGAGGATCCCCGGTTCAAATCCTGGTGAACGCAAGTTGTCTGATTTTTTGACGTAGTACTGATGTCCTCGTTTGGTGTTTTGTATTCTTATCCATTATCTATTTTTGACGATTTCCTCAAGATTGCATTGGCTCTAGGTTTCGCACCTTATTAGTAGTAGATTTCTTTCCCAACTTAGTTCAAAAATTCTTATTCCCCTTCTTTGCAGACATTGGGTCCACCAACAGTCTTTTCTATCCCTCAGCATGACATTTAAAGGACTTTAAATAAAACCTGGAGCTCGACTCCCCTACAAAAAAAAAAAAACGCTTCCTAATACATTCTTGAAGCACTTTTCAAGACGTTTCCAATAGTGCTAACTGTATCAAGTGTTTTGGCTGAACTTATCGAGCAATTCAATAAAATTTGAAACGAGGTTTTTAGCGAAAATAGCCATATTTTGCATATGAAAACCTCATAAAAGTAGTTTCAGAGGTTGCTTTGGATCAAGAGAAACAGTTTGATTTCATATATATCATAGTAAAAGTCTTCATTTTTGGTGTCAAAAACGCGATCGTTTAATTTTCGATGAAAACCATGAGGGGTACCTCATGCTTTTTGGTCGAGTTTTGGCCATGTTTTTTTTGGTCCCAAAAAGCTGAGCAAAGGTGTCAGAAAGTTACTGCTACTCGAATGCAATTGTTTGGCGTCATTCCGATGGCTCAGAAAGGCCTAGATATCAAGATATGAAGGCTTGAAAGCTGTCAGATGTGGTTATGTATTGCTTTATAGAGTGTATTTACACGGCATAAATCACATCTTTGGTAGCCGTAATTTACTGGAAGGGCAGTTCTGCAGCCTGCGCAACACCATGTAACTCAAAACTTATCCCCAAACGGCAGACAGCATGCACAATTATCCGAATTTTACTTGAATAAAATGAATGTCAGATAGGATGTGCGAGCATCCGCCTCGCAAAACATGCCGGATCCATTGATGTCAAATAAACTGGTTGTCACCAGGACAAGCTTTAACACAGTTTCTGCTGCTTCAGTGGCTTGACATGTCTATTAAAATCTAGTACGATGGCCCTTATTCCACGTCTCACAATCAAAAATAAAATCAACAAGCTATTAATAATTTTTGAATGCTTTGTTTTTATTCTTTCTATTCTTAAAACAATAATGAACATTATACGATAGCAAGTCATGATAGCTCCCAAATGATTCCAAACAAATGAAACCTTGGTACACCGTCAGAGTTAATAGGTTCTGTTTTGATAGCATAACATATTACATAAAATGCTCATGATTGAGATGATAGAAAGCAGAGAAGAGCGACCCGCTTAGAAGAGACGGTGAGGCTTACCCATGGTGGACTTCAAGTACAAAGACTTGACGTTTTGCCAGTGCTTCTTCAACAAAGAAACGAGGAAGTTGACAGACAACATGATGTTGGCAATCAATTGATCTTCAGTCATATCGAGGTGACCGACAGCAACACCGAGACAGAGAACCTTCTTCAATTGGAACTTGATGGTGGCACGGATCTCGTTGGCCTTATCGGTCAAGGAGTCGTTGTGAGAGACGGGAGTAGGGAACTTACCGACCTTGTGGAGACCAGGACCCAAGAGACGAGGGATTTGCTTGATCAAGGCTTCGGAAGCAAGGAAAGCATCGTACTTCTTGGCGAGCTTCTTGATGAGCTTCTTGTTCTTGTTGAGCTTCTTGAGATCATCAACGGATTGGAATTCCATACCGGCACCCTTGGCTTGATCACAATGGAAAGCATCACCGAGAACACAGACGGTCATACGGGGACGAGCAACATTGGGGAGCTTGATGGTACCAGAGAAACGCTTATCACGTTGGGGATCGTAGTTCTTCAAACCAATTTGGAGTTCAACAGTCTCAGTGAACTTGCGTTGCTTTTCAGCAGAGGCAGCTTGGATTTGGTTAACAATATCTCTGACGGCAGAAGCGCTGACTTTACTATAAAGTGATGAATGTCACGTTAGATGGATGATTCAATCGTCAAGGCCAACATCCAGACATATATGCACATCTTGATGGGAGATGGATGCATCTTTTCTTTGGCGGATGAATGGATGGATGGATGGATGTGTCAAATGTTATTTACCTCATTGTTAAAGAAATGAAAAGGGAAGGAAGCACAAGAGCACGGGCCTTGATTGCTTTTTACATGAGAAGAAGTTCTGAGCTTAAACAAAGATGCAATTAGCAGGCCAAATGAAACCAAATGATGCGACGATGGGAGTGAAAAAATTTATTTAGTTATATATACAAGTCTCAACAGAGGAAATGTTTCACTGTGGTGGGATGTTGCCGTCTTTGTCCTTATGAGATCTGACCCATTCAGCTGTTTCTTCCTTTAAAATCTCGGGAGGGACATCAGGCTCTTTCTCGGCTTTGATCTGTTGTGCAAAGAAAACAAATATTGGATATTCATGAACATGTTACACATGTATACACAAACAAACGGCACTTACATCAGCCTCACTTTCAGTAGCAGTACTCTGCTTCCAATCAGGTGCATTCTCCATCAACGTAGGCTCACGATCGACTAATGGCATCATTAGTGGCAATGTAAGCGATTCCAATGAGGATTGCAGATACCTTTATCCTTGTCAAACCCGAGGTTTTTCTTGAAATAGAGCTGCTGGCCAACAGATAAGCCTCTGTCCACAATAAATGAGCACGTTATTCAAGCCAATGTTGAACACCATGGTACAAACCTGGCCTGATGCTGAGATAATCTACCAAATGGAGTCTTTGTAATAGCTGTCAATTTGTTCATGATGAATGTTTAGTGCAGGTTAAAAGTGGAGTAAACCAAATGAGGAGAAAAGGCGTGAGATAAATGACATGGGCCTCGTTTTATATACGCAGATAAGCAACATTCATGCTGATATCCGTGTTCTAAAGTTTAAATCGTCCAGGCCATTAATTATTCCCCCGGTTTTACACACCACATCATACAAACAAGTGAAACAGACATATATCATACATAAAAAGTTGGTTTTATTTAGTATAGTAGGGAGGGCAAAGTAGGTATGAAAGAATAAGAAGGTGAGTGAAAAAGTAGATCTGCTGCCTTAGGTTTTTCAAGATATAAAAGAATGATGGGTCTTTTTTTTTTGTTGGTGTTTTTATGCGCATTATATATATATATAAAAGTGTATGTCAAATGTGTAGAGAGTATATATATAATTCTTTGGTTTAGTAACATACAATTTTTACAAGAAATAGTCAGGAGTACGTCTAGTAACGTGTGGTTCACCGCGTCTAGGAGCAGGGTCAAATTGAAGGCTACATAGACAATGAAATTAGTATCAGACAGTTGAATAATGAGACCGCTCTAAGCACTTACAATGTGTATTTCATGTGTTCATCAATTTCCATAATAGCAGCTTGATTACCACAACGATAACAATAGTTGGGTGCACTGAAGATAGTAACGACATTGCGATCATGAGTCCAATTATAGCCTTCCATGACCAATTGATGGGCTCTTGCAACTAATGTTAACCCATTGTTGTGGTTGAATGTCTCTGCGATATCTTGACCAAATGTATAGCCTGCACCACGAGGAGAAATACCCCAACCACATCTATCGTCTGGGTCAGACCACAAGAGATCACACATAGGTCCTTCATGAGGAACTTCTTGAACACGATCCAAGGATCTGACTTGATCCAGTGTGTCAATGGATGGTGACAGACCGCCATGCAAGCAAAAGATTTGGTCTTCAATCAATGCCGTCAAGGGCAAATAGTCAAAGAGATCTGTAAACATTTTCCAGACATTGGCGTTGCCGTATTTTCTCAAACATTCGTCGTAGAAGCCGTATACTTGAGTGATTTGACGGGATTCGTGATTGCCACGAAGAATAGTAACACGATCCTTGTATCTTACTTTGAGAGCGACCAAAAATGTAACGGTTTCGACAGAGTAATAGCCTCGATCAACATAATCACCCATAAACAAGTAATTAGTATCGGGTGAGTTACCACCAATACGAAAGAGCTCTTGTAAATCGTGGAATTGGCCGTGAATATCACCTAAAAATAATCCGTTTAATCTTCTCTTTTTCCAATGATAGTCGGCATATACATCTAGACGAAACTTACCACAGACAGTAACGGGGCATCTTACAGGTTGAACATTAGACTCTTCTTGGAGAATCTCACGTGCCTAGTCAGTAATGAGTTTGTTAGTCGTTGCAACACACCCCACATGTTGCTGCCATATAGCCTTTCAAAGCCATTTTAATGTACCTTTTCACATAATTTCTTAATTTCAGCCTCTGGCAGTTGTTTACAATCAGAGAGCTGTGCGATCCAAGCGTCAACGTCAGCAACAGAACTTACAGCGGTCATCGTGTGTGTATATGTGCTTCTTTTTATAATAGAATGGGTGTAAATATGAACGAGTTACGGTTTGTTTAACAAAGTAAATGTTGTTTAGAGAAGAAAGAACCAAAAAAATACAATAAAAAGCAACAAGAGAGAGATGATGAACAAAAGTGTATGGTAAACTGTGTATCGAAATAAGGAAAAAAACTTGAAAAAGAGAGTATTTTGTAAGGGTGACGTGTTGGCATGGTTTTGTTCTATTTAAACCAATGAATGAGGGCGACATTTAGATGCCTTTTCAGGTGGATTCATTCAAAAAAAAAAAAATCCATGATACAAGTTACTTGAGATGCTCTGCGAGTACCATGCTGTGTATATCTATCAATAGGATAGATTTTACCTTCAACATATCATGCATCTTACGCGAGAAAACGATGTAAATGATTTGAAATGTCTGGATGTGATAGAATACATTTTGGATGGCCATTGGCTGATTCATCGTCGCCCTTGCAATTGTCGAGACATTCGCAATGCTAATGTCGATTTTGAAGGAGTCCTCAGCAACCATTCTCCAATGCTTCTGATTTCAAGGCTATTGCTAGCCTACAGAGTGATTAGCACATAGTAAACAGCCTTCGATCCTTGGTGAAATGCTGTCTGATCTGACGTTGAGAGGAGAGTAAAAGTTAGCATCCGGCCAAATTCACACAACTTGCAAATGTGATTATAACTTGCTCTATCAATATAACTATATTTTTGAGTACCTGATATGTTAGAGAAGCTCTCTACGTTAAGAGCACATGTTATGATGTATGTCGCCTTGAATTATAGCTTGCTAAAGGTCAAGATGAGTGCTATCGGAGTGTCAATATGCCATGCCATGCTGTGTGGGATCCATCGCTGCTCAACATTGGATGCCACCCCTCATTTGATGAATTACCCACAGCAAGCCTTCCCTAAAGTATTGCTAATCCGATGTGACTCCTAGTAAAGCTTTGCCAGCAGTACACACTTTTTTCATTTAACAACCACCATCAGCTAACATCCCTCCCCCCCCTTTTCTTCTCAGCAAACACATTTTACCATTCTCTTTTGTATTGTATTTTAGTTCTTTATTAGGAAAAAAACCTTCTTTTTTCAAAATATAGAATAGTAACCAAAGGTAGGACTAATTGACTTTTTATCGCATCATTTGCGCGTTCATTTTAGTAACAAATTTTGTAGTATTATTAAAAAGAATGAACTCCTTGCCTAACCATCCACCGGGTGGTATCAACAAGGAAAAACTGCAAAGCCTTGTTCAGGTAACACCTTATTCATTGTATGCCTCTTCTACATGATTGTTTCTAACCTGAGATCCGTGCACAGCGCGTTCGATTTCTTCAATCGCAAGGTGCCAAAGAAGACAACAATCCAGAGTATGCTCAGATAATGCAATTCTTGAAAGGCCTGCAAAAGCAACAGCAAACGCGTCCTGGTATGCCTGATCAGATAGTATCTTCCAACTCATCTCCATCCATTGCTTCACCCATTGCAAATGGCCTCAATCCTGGTAAATATGCGTTGATTTACTGATTAACACCATCTGCTCACATATTATATCAACTCAAGATATGCCATCTGCTTTTTCTCAACAGCAGCTAGCTGCTTTGAAATATCAAATCTTGGCTTACAAGCTCATCTCCAAGAATTTAGTACTGCCACCTAACCTTCAACAAGCTGTATTGTCACCTACTTCAGCTTTGATGGAACCTCCCACCGTGGGACAACAGCAACCCACTCAACAAATGACTCCACCCGTCATTCCATCGTTGTCTTCGCCTGCTAATGCAATTACACCTGCTGCAACTACAGCCCCCGTATCAGCCAACGTCACCGCCACTGTGCCTTTAGCAACAGCAGCAGCAGCAGTAGCAGGAGGAGGAGGAGGAGGGGGTGTCGTAGCAGAGGCAGCAGCAAAAATCGAGTACAACGCTTATGCATCACCTTACGATTTATTGAAGAAACCCATTACGTCGTTTTCTCATGCTTCGCGTCAACAACGTTTGCTGATTCCCAGTATTACACCCGCTGGTGTAGATCCCTATGCCATCATTTCTGAACGTGAGCGTCGTATGTTCAACCGCATCCAATATCGCATAACCGAACTCGAAAAATTGCCGAGCAATCTCAGTGACACAACACAAGTACTGGAACAGGATATTCGTCAACAGAATGGATCCATCAAACTCAAAGCCATTGTGGAACTGAAGGCATTGCGTTTGTTGGGCAAACAAAAGCAACTGAGAGAGGAGATCATGGCTGGCATGAAGCGTTCCACCACCTTGGCTTCTTCCGCTGACCGTTTAGCTTATCGTCGCATGAAAAAGCAATCCTTGCGTGAAGCTCGTATGACTGAAAAGATCGAGCGTCAGCAACGTACTGACCGTGAGCACCGTGAAAAGCAGAAGCATTTGGACTACTTGCAAACTATTTGTGATCATGGCCGTAGCTTGACCATTGCCCAAGCCAACTACAGATCCAAGCAGATGAAGTTGGGAAGAGCTGTATTGCAATACCACCAACACATTGAAAAGGAGGAGCAGAAGCGTGCTGAGCGTATTTCAAGAGAGCGTATTCGTGCTTTGAAGAATGACGATGAAGAAGCCTATATGAAGTTGATCGACGAAGCCAAGGATACTCGTTTGACACAGCTGTTGAAGCAAACCGGCTCCTTCTTGGACTCATTGACCAAGGCTGTTCAAGAGCAACAAAACGACAGCATGTACAGAACTGACATCAATTTGGACGACGACGATGATGATATGACAGCAAGCGATCCTGACGCAAAGAACGACTACTTCCAAGTAACTCATCGTATCAAGGAGGAGGTTGTCCAGCCTGATATCTTGGTGGGCGGCAGATTAAAGGATTACCAACTCAAGGGTCTCCAATGGATGGTGTCTCTCTACAACAATCATTTGAACGGTATCCTGGCTGATGAAATGGGTTTGGGTAAAACGATTCAGACCATCAGTTTGATCACCTATTTGATTGAGAAGAAGAGACAGAATGGACCTTATCTTATTATTGTGCCTTTATCGTAAGTGGTATATGGAGTGTACCTGGCAATGTCAATATAGTAACAGCATCATATAGCACTCTCACTAACTGGACATTGGAATTCGAGAAATGGGCACCTGCCATCAAGACTATCATCTATAAGGGCCCTCCTAATACTCGTAAAGAGCTTCAAAATGAAATCCGTTACAATGACTTCCAGGTTCTCCTTACCACCTTTGAGTACATTATCAAGGACAGACCTATTCTCAGTAAGGTCAAGTGGTTGCACATGATTGTAGATGAGGGTCATCGTATGAAGAATACCAACTCCAAGTTGACTGTTGTGCTTAGACAATACTATCATACAAAGTACAGACTCATTTTGACGGGTACCCCATTGCAGGTAAAATGTGGATATGCTGACTATTGATCCGTGTGCTAAAACTATTGTTTTACCAGAACAACTTGCCTGAATTGTGGGCCTTGCTTAATTTCGTCTTGCCCAAGATCTTTAAGAGTGTCAAGAGTTTTGAAGAATGGTTCAACACGCCCTTCAACACACAGGGTGTCAATGACAAGATTGGCCTAAACGAAGAAGAACAACTATTGATTATCAAACGTCTGCACAAGGTGTTGCGTCCTTTCTTGCTGAGACGTTTGAAGCGTGATGTCGAATCCGAACTGCCAGACAAGGTGGAGCGTGTCATCAAGTGCAAATTGTCGTCATTGCAAACACATTTATATACTCAAATGAAACGCAACGGTACCCTCTACACCTCGGAAGTCGTCAAGGGCAAATCTGGCGTCAAGGGCCTCAACAACACCATTATGCAGCTGCGTAAGATTTGCAACCATCCCTTTGTTTTCGAGGAAGTCGAGTCTTTGGTGAATCCCAGTGGCATGTCAAATGATCTACTCTTCCGTACTTCGGGCAAATTCGAGCTCTTGGATCGTATGTTACCTAAATTGCAACAGACAGGTCATCGGGTGCTTATCTTCTTCCAAATGACACAAGTCATGAGTATCATGGAGGATTTCCTCAATTACAAGGGCTTCAGCTACTTGCGTTTGGATGGTTCCACCAAAGCAGACGATCGTTCCGAGCTATTGCGCCTGTTCAATGCACCTGATTCGCCCTACTTTGTCTTCTTGCTCAGTACCCGTGCTGGTGGTCTTGGTCTCAATTTGCAAACTGCTGACACTGTCATCATCTTTGACTCTGATTGGAATCCTCATCAAGATTTGCAGGCACAGGATCGTGCACATCGTATTGGTCAGACCAAGGAAGTGCGTATTTTCCGTTTGATTTCTACCAACTCGGTTGAAGAGAGCATTCTTGCCCGGGCAAATTACAAGTTGGACATTGATGGCAAGGTCATTCAAGCTGGTAAATTCGATAATCGCAGTACAGAAGAGGATCGTGAAGCCTTTTTGAGGTCTCTGTTGGAAGACAAGGCGGACGAAGAGAACGACGGTGATGACGAAGATATTGATGATGAGGAGCTGAATGAAATCTTGCAGAGAAATGAATCTGATATCCCCGTGTTCCATCGTATTGATGATGAAAGAGAAGAGAATGACCTGCGCAACTGGCAAGCCATGGGCCGTCGCGGCAAGCCTGAACGTTTGATTACAGAAAATGAATTACCAGAGATCTACCTGAACGATGATCCTATACCTGACGATGCTGATGATCCACTTTCCTTTGGCCGTGGTCAGCGTAGTCGAGACTCTGTTCGTTATGACGATGGTTTAACAGAAGAGCAATGGCTCAATGCGTTAGAAGACGACAATGTGGATCTGGATGAACTGATTGCTAAAAAGGAGAGAAGAAAACAGAAGCGCATGGCAAGAATGCTGGGTGAGCCTGAGCCCGTAGAAGAAGTCAAACGGCCTGGACGTCGCAGACGCGAAGAAAGCTACACCCATGATGAATCTGTTGGTAAAAAGAGAGGAAGACCAAAGAAGGGAGAACCGGAGGTAACACGGTATCACTGTTATACAACATGGGAACATCTTATACTCATGTTTACATATATATATTTAGTCTAAACGCAAGCGTGGTAAAAATGACGAGCTCAACAAACCAGATACAGTGCCTCCTCAATTGAGAGAGAACATGCTGAGAGTCTTCAAGGAATGCTATAAGGCCGTTGAAGAGGCAGTGGAAGAAGATGAAGAGTGAGTGGTCTGACTGACTTGGAATGAAGAGCATACAACGACTAACCAAGCGCAACTGTAGGACTTACCGTAGTAGAAGTGAGCTCTTTATGGATTTGGTTAGCAAGCGTGATTACCCTCTCTATTACACAATGATCAAAAACCCGATATCTATGAACATGATCAAAAAACGTCTCAATTCCACTTACTATAGAACGATCGCCCACTTTAGAGATGATTTCCACCTCATGTTCAACAATGCAAGGATCTTCAATGAGGAAGGGTCATTTGTATATGAAGACGCCAATGAGATGCAGGTAAATCAAGATGGATTGGCACATGATTTTCATACAGACACTGACGCTCATATTTTTTATCAAGAAAATTTTTGATGCTAAATTAGAAGAACTGTGTCCAGGTGGTGTCTTAACGCTAGCTGCATCATCCACACCATCTCACCATAACCAACCCACACAAAGATCAAAACCACAACCACGATATCAAGAAGACGACGATGACGATGATTTCGAGGATGAAGACGATAATTAATCTTTCTCACTTTCTTTTTTCTCTTTCTCTCTTTTTTTTTTCAACATATATATATTATAATAAAAATTCAAGATCTCATATTATTCACATTGCAAATCCTACGAAAGACATATTAAAATTTGAAACGAAAATTCTTTTTGGTGTAATTTGCATGTCATGACATTGGAAGCTGATTTGTACGTCATGACATTGGAGACTGATTTGCATGCCATTATCTGGTGATTTCACAGCGAAATGAATCCACTAAATGCAGTATGTGCTAATCTACAAGTCAGACATTTGCCATTGCGAGCTCACCAACAACTTGATCTATGTCTAATAAGGTTTTAAGGTCGATAGTCATGTTTGTTTTGAAAGCAAGGACTAAAACGCGGGTGAATAGGTTGCCGAGAAGATCACAAAAAGATCGACAAAATGAGGATCTACATGAATTGATTGGTTTACCAATTGTAAGCCTCACGATCATCCCCCCCCCTTCTTTTTTTCAATTTTTCCAAGGTATTTAAATACGGATTTCTTTTCCTTTTTCTCTTTTTTCCGTACTATTATTTATTCACTTGAGAAATATGTCCTCATTGCCATCACCTCCACCATCGCCTTTAGATCACAGACGCCATCGCAGAAGCGATAGCTTTGCGTTACTACAAGCCATCATCAAAGAAAGAGAAAAAGAGGAACATAAAGAAGAGGAAATGATGATAAAATCAAGATTGTTGCGATTCAGTTGTCCACCAAGCACAATGAATCAGAAATCACTAGACAGTAGCAGCAATGTTCATAACGCCAGCAAAGACATCATTATACCACACAAGAGCCTTTCGCACCATTCTGTTAGATTTACAACAGAACCACCCAAAGTATATCATTACAATTAACCGCAGCCAAGATCTTCTCATCGCTCAAATGCCTGCAAATGCCCCACCACCAACATCACCAAACACACAACTGAAAAAAAAGTCAGCAGCCATGGCAACAAAGAAAATTTATGATTTGAAATCACGCTTTTGAAAGAGAAATTAGGTTTTTTTTTTTTTATTTATTAATCATCTACCTGGACATGTCTTGCAGATAATCACGAAACAAATCCTCCCTGTCGATCTTTGATTCCACCAGATAATACCTATCGTCTTTTTCAAGAATCTTTTTGGCATCTCTCCATCGAATCCCTGGCCGGATATCCTTTGTGTCACGCAAGAGATCCATGTATTCATCTGTTGGCCTTTTCTTTCCCAGATGATGTTTCACATGATCTTTAAAGAGAGCTTCCCTCTCCTTGGTAACAGAAACGGCCTTGAATCGTGGATCGTCCTTGTATTTACGGCGAAAATCATCCCAGTACATCTTTTGAGTTACCTTGGAAACAAGCAGATCTTTAAATTCGTCTTCAGGTTTCTACGCATTTTGCATTGTAAATATCACACATATACGCATACACAAAATACCCTCTATTCTTTTACCTTTTTATTCTTCTTTTCGTTCTTGATCTTTTCGCCCAGTTCATTGCAATACTTGTTGAATAATGCCTTTTGTTTGTTATGTGGTACCACTAAATAAAATATAAATTAAGTGAATCAAGCCTTTTAATGTGTAATTTGCACTAAAAAACATTGCTTGCTTACATGAAAATCTGGGGTCTGTCATCAATTGGGGGTATTCGGCTGAATAGATGGCAAATGGCGAAATGTTTCTCTCTGCTAGCAATTGGTTGAATTGAGCCAGGCACTCTTCTTCTGACAGCTCAGGCTTTTTGGGTTCCTGCTTGGCCTGTTCCTTTGCCTTTGGTGTTGTTTGTACTGCCGCCTGTGTCTCTTCCACCTCGGCCTCGGCCATCTGTTGTAATTGCCACATGATATCCTCCTCTGTCATTCTAACAGATCAGGTCAATATGGCTGTCAGGCATCTCAAACTACATTGCACTTACTCGGTTGCCTCCAGATCCTCCTCCTTGGCATGCTCTTTTTGCTCAGTATCGCCATTTTCCTGCGCAATTTCTTGCTCTAACTTGACTCGTTTAGCCTCTTGCTCTGCCTCTTGTTCCTCTAGCATCCTCTTTTTGTTGTCTGCATCCTCTTTTTCTTTTTGTACTAATTTAGCCTCGTTTTCTTGCTTTAGCTTCTTTTCTATTTCTTTCTCCTCGTCTAGTTTCTTGAGTTCCTCCATGGGTTCCTTTAATGCCTCAGGCATCTCCCAAACAGACGTCTTTGTATCTCGATCATAGTAAAATTCGTATCCGTCGTGCGTCAAAACGAAAAGCCAATTTGTACCTGGAATCTTCTTTCTATTTCATGGTTACAGCCAGGCTTTGTTTCTTCAACATCTTAGACTTACTTGGTCTGCTTCTTCTTCTTCCTGGGCTGGGCCTCTTGTGGAGCAAGTGGTGGTAAAGGGGATGGAAACAACCAGGAAGTTTGTCTTGTGATGGTATTGTACCAATATGGCTGGCCAGTGGGTGTGCGATGCTCTATCCATCCAGGCGGAAGCATAGGGTTGTAGACGAGTGCATGTTGTCCTTGCACTAATGCTGGATTCATTGTAGCTTTGGCGCGTTGGGTGACAAGGGAAATAAGAAAAAGAATGCAAAAAATATTTCCCCTCTTGCCCATTTACACGGTCAGCCCAGGAGCCAATTGTAATCAAATGTCGGCAATAGCTCACATTTATGAACAATGCTGCTGCCACTATTCGAAAGAGCTTATTCAGAGCAATAGCCGTAGATAATTTGTCATCGATTGTTGCCTTTTTAGGTTCATATTAAGGCTACAATGTTGGATTATGTTATGAAATGAACTTAGCATTGGGAAGGTCATAGACAGCAACAACCTTGGATGATGATCTATCAGCCGTGCATTGCTGAGCAGCATTCAATCATGATATAGGCCACTGTAAGATTGCATTGTCTTACCACTGAAGCCCGATACAAAGGCGCTGATTGTGTTAAATGCTCTAACTGTGCCGTTTCCCGAGAAGGAGAGCTCTGTCTTGTCAGAAAAGTGACAAGTGCATCTTGTGGTTCAACACTTGACCTTGAACGATGAGCCACATCAAATTGACGGGAGTTTCAAGTCTGATTACTCGAAAATTAGACACCGGAAGCAATTTACCTCAACAAAACTGATTCTTCGATATCAATGTTACTGTGTCAATTACTATTTGTGCTTAATGAGATGTGAGGACCACTAATAAGTAGGTTCATTGAAATCCATTGAAGTTCATCTATTGGGTATGTTGGCAATCTCGTGATTGAAAGTTCATTTGGACATTGATTTATCATCATTTGATTGAGAAACTTTCTGATCTGCATCTAAGAAATATTGAACTAATGCATCCATGTAGCTTCAAACCCATCCAGAATGGTCGGAAATGCGTTGTAGTAAGCATTAGAAATCGACTAATCTTTGATCGCCGGCGATATAGTCCACTTATCTGTAGCTTACTTTCGAAATTCGCCAAGAGCGTGTCTAATTGCTTATGAGTACTGTGTTGATATACATTGAAAATTATCGAGCTCTGTTGTGAATGGCATTTACAATACTTGCAGGTATTCAAAAAGCTTAAACCTAAAGATTCAGCTCGTTTCATCTCCTTGTAGTTCTGCCTAGTGTTGATCAGTCAACCTGAACACAAACTCGAGTACCTATGGGACACTTGATCCGAGTTACAGGCAAATAAATTAACCATTGATGTTTTTCATTTGCACTCAGCTTTTGATTTACACAAACTCTAAATCCAAGAACAAGATTTAACTCATCTAGTGGATTGATCCGAACATGTAAACGCTTACAAATGCTTACAAACAGCATGCTACGCTGGAAATACCTGTGATTTATGGTCATTTATTCCATTTTCAATGTTTCTAATGAGCTAATGCATCCAGGATCAAGAACTCTGGAAATAGAAATGCCTCCGGCATTTCCAATGTCACTTTCCTAAAGGGTTAAACATATAAAATAAAATTTGTAATTGACAATGGTCGATAGACATTTGAAATGACGACTGTGTGCACGTAATTCGATCAAGAAGATTGAATTGAGTATATGTGGCATATAGAGATGTATCTGTAGCAGCTGGCAGATTCCTTATGGAAATTGGTAGCCGCAGAATTTGTGAATCCAAGAGTCTGGGACCCTCCGCTCCCAGTTAAATTAAAAATCTTCCATTGTTCCATTGTTCTCGCTGTCAATCAAACAGACTTCGGCACACAGATGATATATATATATATATGATTTGCCTTCAATCTCTATCAGGCGTCTCATCACAGTAGCGACTTTTCTTTAAATACCAGCCTTGGCATGTGAAGCAATGTTGTATAAATATATGTAAGGTGACAAATTTACTTGCGGTTATTAGATGTATTTTAGGTGCAGATTAATATGATAAAAGGCAATATCGCCTTTGTAGATCCATTACAGAATTTATTTGTAATGCATTGAAATCGAAATTTCAATTTCTACAATTTGTACTGCTAGATTTGTATCTGCACCTGCATGACTAATATATCACACATGATGACCACAGCTCTAAAATGTCAAAAACGCAGCACTTAATAAGCGTGCATAGTTACACAGTGCTATTATATTATTAAACTCAAATTCACTTAGTAATACATCATAGACAAACGTCTGTGTACATTTGGTAACCGTTACTCTACATGGAAGTTACAGACAAAATGCTATTATTTCCCCGTTTGCAAAGTTCCTTTAAATAGGGAACCCTTTCAATTTCTTGAAAAAAAAAACTGAAATTATCCTTCTTTTTCATCTTCCTCTTCTCGTATTGAAAAATGGCGGTTTGGAAAATTGCATTTGATTCTTCCTGGCAGACTTTGGACAGCACTACCTCAGCTGAAATAGAGAAATACTGGCAAGCAAACAAGTCCGGATGGATCAAATCAGATACGGTTTTACAAGGTCCTATGTACTTGGACATTGATTGTATGACTATACTCCATGAAAATCGGATTTATGCTATAGCTCGATTGAAGGACTAATGTGGATCTGGCGCGTCTTTCATAAAATAGTTTATGTGAATACATATGTGTACAATAGTTGATATATATATATATATAGAGTGATACTTATGTTAACATAACGTACTACAACCCTCTGTTATATGAATGCACCAAAATGTACAGTCCTTACATTTGAATAAATCGTATAAATTCCACTCAATGGTACCCTGTGCTGTGGATTCTATAGACATTTGATGAATCACTCATCAAGATTTTGCAGTGTTCAGAGCTGCGAGTACTTGAATTGAGTAAGGCTTGCTGAAACCAAGAGCTTGTTGTAACATGTGACGCCACTGAAGATGTGCTAAAGAGATTTATAACCATGACAAAGGAAATTATGTATTTTAAATTTTTGCAGTCAATTGAAATACTGTAAATACAACAAAAAAATTCGAATGAGAACTTTGATCAGTAAATTATACGCAGCAGGCACTTCAATAGGTGTGCAGATAAAACACATGGGAGGTTAGTAGGAGCGCGCTCATCTGTTCCTGTGTAAAGACTAGAAATCAATTAAAATGGAGATTTCGTGAATCAATATATACTAATACATTGCTTTGCGGAGCAATACTTTGTCCGCTCTTTATCTGATGGCAAAACAGGATGCTTCATTGAATAAGCTATATCAGCATCTGGACAGGAGCCAGAGCAGTGCCATACCTCAGATCAGCTAAGAGACCTGATCTCAACCACAGCGCCACCTTGATGCATGCCCAGAGTAATATCTGGCGTTCAAACTCTCCACAAGGCGATCATCCCTTTATCTCACCATGATTCATTGCAGGACCTCAAATCACGGATTTCCATTACACAAAAATTCGGTTTAATTGGGTAAACGTTCAAGATAGAAGATATCAGAAGCTTTATATTTCCAATTGTATTAAAAAAAAGTGTGGAGAAACATGATTCTAGCCCATCTTTTATATGGGAAATATTAAAGATGCACTTCTAAAAAGAACTATTATGCAATCCTCCACATTATATGAGGCTGTAAAATTGTAACGAGTAACAGACCACTTCGTCTGTGGCTAATTATTAACTTTTTAAGTTTGAGGGTGCTGTAAAAGGTACCAATCAATGCTTGTGTTCCAAGTTACATTGCGGCGCTTTTAGCATGTAAAATTTCTTAAATCAAACACGATAAAATCGTATGGCAACGCATTTTGTCATTTTATCTGTACTCTTATTCCGATGTTGACCATGCTGAAACGTTCCAGGGCAACATGTACCTTGTGCATCTGTTGTCTTTAAACTGCAAGATGAATAATTAGGCTTTGTTGACCTGCACTCTTCATTCTCGCGGGGCACATCCTTCGGTGTTGAGCTATAAAAGTATCATTAAGAAACCATAGATAGAGTTGCCTCTTGCTTGAAGTAACATTGATGCATTGTTTATCAGATCCTCATCCTAGAATGAGGCATAATATTTTAGCCGTCTATGATAGCGTGATTTTTTCTTGTAAGGGTGATCAAGTATTGAATAACTAAGATTACATTTAAACGAGCAATTTGCACCGAATAAATCCATGTAATTAAAATAAATGCTTAACAAAAGCAAAAAAAAAGAAAAAAAAAAGAAAAAAAAAAGAAAAAAAAAACTAGTCAAGATAGGTTTTACTACACTTTTCTATCAGCAATCTCCTTCTAATGAGCTTTCAATAGCTTCGGTTATCTTCATGAGCAGAATGGCATTTGATATTGCCACCAGCCAAAATCAATTCAAACCCAGAATCATAGTTTGTTCCATATTGACCTATTACTAACTCCATCTTTCGATTTAAAATCGAAGAAAAATATATTAAATCCTAACAACTTTTCCGATTAAAAATCGGAAAAAGATTTTTATACGTTTTTCTCTTTCATTATTCACTTAAATTTGAAATAATTTCAGAGTATAATACTTGTGATTAATATATACAATACTACATAAATATGAATATACATTTATTATTGCTTTTTTGTACTAATCTGTAGTTAAGTAATTGACAGAAAACACAGTCAAACGAATTGCCTTTTTTGGTAATTATTTGTCATTTGAGCCGCTGCAATGGATCAACCCTTAGTTTGAGCCTCTCCAATGGATCAATCTCTAATGTGAGCCTCTGTATTGGATTAATCTTTAGTTTGAGCCTTTGTAATGAATTAATCTTTAGTTTGAACCTTTGTAATGAATCATTATCTAGTTTAAGCCTCTGTAATGGATCAACCTTTAGCTTGAGCTTCTGTGTTGAATTAATCTTTAGTTTGAGCCTTTGTAATGAATCGTTATCTAGTTTAAGCCTTTGTAATAAATCAACCTTTAGTTTGTGCTTCTTTAATGGATTAATCTTTAGTTTGAGCCTTTGTAATGAATTAATCTTTAGTTTGAACCTTTGTAACGAATCATTATCTAGTTTAAGCCTCTGTAATGGATCAACCTTTAGCTTGAGCTTCTGTATTGAGTTAACCTCTAGTTTGAGCCTCTGTAATGGATCAACCTTTAGTTTGAGCCTTTGTAATGGATTAATCTTTAGTTTGAGCCTTTGTAATGAATTAATTTTTAGTTTGAGCCTTTGTAATGGATCAATCTTTAGTTTAAGCCTCTATAATGGATCAATATCTAGTTTAAGCCTCTGTAATAAATCAACCTTTAGCTTGTGCTTCTTTAATGGATTAATCTTTAGTTTGAGCCTTTGTAATGAATTAATCTTTAGTTTGAACCTTTGTAACGAATCATTATCTAGTTTAAGCCTCTGTAATGGGTCAACCTTTAGCTTGAGCTTCTGTATTGAGTTAACCTCTAGTTTGAGCCTCTGTAATGGATCAACCTTTAGTTTGAGCCTTTGTAATGGATCAACCTTTAGTTTGAGCCTTTGTAATGGATCAATCTTTAGTTTAAGCCTCTATAATGAATCAATCTCTAGTTTAAGACCTTGAAACAAAGACGCGGTGAAATAAGTCTTATGTATCGCTCTAATCCAGCCTATGATATGAATTTACGATGCCATTCAGGGAAATTATGTAGATCATGTTGTAAAGTTGGGCAATGTGCGTACATTGCCAACTGCGCTTGGACTTTCCTTTTATTGATGTCTACGTACAATGGCTATTGGACCATTTTTCATGCCTTCATACACAAGCTTTATATACCAGAAACTTAAATTATCCAAATTTGCCATCCCAGTTAGTTCATGGAAAGGAGACGTTTCCACCTCAGTATCTGGGTGTTTATACTCTGGCCAATTGACAAGATGAAGTTCACCATGCTTATTTTTTAGCAGGTCAGTCCAAGGAACTTGTGAGTATCTCAGGGCCGCTAAATGTATGAAAAATAATCAACAATTAGATGAACTGTAACAGAATCATTAGGAGCAAATACACGTACAGGTCATTTGCGTAGCCATCTCACGAATACCCTTGAGGTACTCCGCTTTCAACAGTGATTCCTTGTCATTATCAAAAACAGTAGCAGACGTAGATGCAAGAGCAGAACGAGCAGGAGCATTACCGTTGGGAAGCAAATTCGAAAGAAGTGGCTCCATCTGAGAGGCAGGCAAACCAGGCAGACGTTCAACTCTATCAGCGTGAACGCCTAAGGCCGAATCTTCCTGGACAGGACTCCCAGCAGTGGGACTTGATGGGACAGATGAGGCCTCAGACGTTGCTAATTGGATTTTAGGGTTTGATATAATCGTTGACCAGCTTCAAGTCAAGCCCACTTACTTTTCATAAACGTCTTTAGCAAACTTAAATCCAGTGAATGTCCTAATACTTTATGCACAGAATCCACATTGTCAGAGGCAATTTCTAAACATTGTTAGCTCTCTCAGAATAACACAGATCATTGAATTACCTACTGGAATTAAAAAAAATATCACTGGGATACATAAAATCGTTATCAGTTTCTGTATAATGATACAAGACGGCATGAAAATTGTATTTGTCTCGCATCGCTACGAGGCTTTTAGTGATGGTATTCAAATCATTATGGTAGACTTCGAGTCTTCCTCCGGTGGTAATGGGCTCTGCATCCCTAGCCTTGGTCTTTTCTGCGGCTTTCAATTTTAGTTGGTTGACCTTGTCAGGGTTGTTTTTCTTGAGCGCCTTCCAGGCTTCCGCATACTTGGCCATCAAGTTTTGTAAATCGTTGGGTTTTCCCGTGCTAGCAGTAGAGGACACCTCACTCGTCTGCAGCATCATCTCTTGCTTGAACATGTCATAGCCACTGATTGCTTTTCTTTTCCTGCTGGCAGGAGCAACCTTGATGGTAAAATCAGCCATGTTCTCTTTAACGAGATGGCCGGCGACCAAGCAAGCAATATCATCATTTTGCTCTTGGTGTTGGTCTGCATAATTTCTAACAAGCTTACTGACATCGTTAAATAGTTTTCTAAGATCATCTGTATCTTGTTTGGCTGTTGGTGTGTAGCGCATGGTAATTGTTGTGAAAGAGAAGATTCAGTCAGACTTTTATTTGAAAAAGTACTTTAATGTTGGCAGGTAAGGTAACACTACGGAGTACACTAATTTATTTTTCGCCAAAGAGATTAAGATACAAAATATGATGGCGCTTTGCAGTGCTTGCAGAGGATGGACAATTTTCTTTCGTTTGATGCAATTGCATGTAGACAACTCACGCTCAAACCAAGGATGTTGCCATCATCTCTACTGATGGATTTATTTCGAACTTTAAACACAATAGTTGTGTAACTTTGACTCAGGTTTCTACAATGTTGCTCTAGGGATGCCTGTCACTGATGAGCTTGTAGTAAAGTTGGAAGGAGCCTCATCCATTTCAATATTTTAAGAAATACAGCATAATAAGGATAAAATGGCCACCAAACACAAAGCTACTGAAGTAAATAATACTAATGGGCCTTCCATTGAGAAGGAAGCTTTTGTTGCCAACGATGCAAATCAAGCATCAGCATCAGATGTCGAGGAGAGCAACGCAAAACAAGCGTCGGCCTCGACCAAAAAGGTCAAGGAGCTTCAAGTCTACGCTCCCAATCGCAACTTTCAGAAACGCAGAAAGCTGTTGATCAAAAAGGCCATGAGTCTGTTGAGAAGAACAAGAAACGACCTATTGATCACGTTCAATTTTGTACTGGAAGATGTAGACGAGCTTATTGCCAACTATCCAACGACCGAACTTGAAGGGAAGCAGATAGAGATCATGCAAGTGTGCTACGCATTCAGCGTTCATTGTCTCGCTTCCAAAGAGCAAAAATCACTCAATGCAGCAGCATTTCACCATAAGCAATTGATGAAAACCATCAGACCTCATCAACACAGATTCCTTGCTAAGCAATGGAATAAAACCTATCTTCTCATCGATTATCAACCACCTTCTGCTGTTGTAAAAATGTTTTTCAAGTCATGGAATAACGCCAAGGACCACATCTGGGACGCTTGCCTTGTCTCCTTCATGGCTTTTTTTTCTTTAGCTGATCAGCGATGGCTAACCACTGCCAAGGAGTTCCATCATTTAGAAAACATGTAATTGTAGAAATAAATCAATTTTGACATTTTGATTTGAATTTTATTCGCATTTACTGCCCATTTTGCATTGCATTTCGTCACAATGGTGTGAATAAGCAATGTGTGAATGTTGATTTAGAAAATAATTGTTTATTGCTTACAACACCAACTCGACCCAATGTTGATTTGACGATTTCACGCAGTGTCTGTGCATTTCTGGTTCCTGACAAGGTAAAGGTAAAGTATCTACAAGCACTACCACGAGTTAAAAAATAACAAAAGACTAGATGCAAAGAATCGAACTTGCGGCTTTAATAAGAATCAAATTTACTTCGGACGCTCTACCAGTTGTGGCAAAAAATAAATGAGAATTTTTAGCTAAAATTTACTTGATTGTATCCTAATAAATTTTTTTTTTAGTTACGTTAGTCGTTGTCCTGTAACCTAATGTTGTATGATGATGATTGCTCTGTTGTAATAGCTTATATTCATTTTTTGTTTGATCTTATCATTGCTAGACAAAGCAATTCTTTTGACTACAATTTTCGTCATTTTTTTCTGGGTTTTCAACTCCCATAAGGCCTTAAAAGGACTAATATACTGTTTGCAGCTGCATAACTATTGTTGGAAAGGTTTGGAAGCAGAACATTTACATAACTCGAACTGAAGGAAGCTTGCTAATGTTAAGATATTGTTATAAGACCTACTCAAAAATTAAACTTCGTATAACAACGCTTACAACATCACAATATTCTAGGAACTGGTTGTCAGATCAAGGTAACTGTTATTTTATGCATACAACCAAGTTACTGGATCATTGAAATGTTTCCAAACATTATTATCACTTTAGTATCAATGATAATATACGCTATAATTTCCAGGATCAGAAATACAATTATTTTAGACTACATTATAACGAAAATACGCTTTTTTTTGTCGATATTAATGCTTCATATGGTCGTATCTAAAGAAAAGCAATTTCAATTGCTTTGTAAGATAAGTGGAACCAATACTTCCTTCAATGGCGAGCCACAGAAAGATAAACCATGTATGTAAACGACTGCAAGTGAGGATGGGAATGAAGAGTGCTAATAGTGTTCCTTATACTAGGCTGTTGTCTCTTCTGATGAATTAATTTGACGTCTGTACCTATGGAATTATGATTTCTTATCTGGTTATGGAACACGTATCATATATAACTCACCAAGACGTAATAGTATTATTTCCACAGATGAAGATCATGTCATTTAGAAATAGAATTGTCAACTGTTTTGCGAGAGTAATTCATATATATGTTACGTCTGTCATTTGATCTATAGTCATTATGATGATAAAACTTTATTTTTAGTAGTAGAAGATTGAAGACTGAATAATGATATAGAGCCACTAAGTAGACTGCTCGAGCATAACTGAGGCTAGTGTAGACGCTATGCTGTCAGCCATATTGGTTTGGCTATCACCATAACCACGATCATCATCGCCACCATCGCTCTCTTCATCATCATCATCGACTTCATCGTCTCTACCATTATCACTGCCAACAATGCCTTCTTCATCTGCGCGGTCATCAGCAAGTGGTCTTGGCGAGAACACGTGGACATCACTTCTGTCAGCAAAGCAAACGACTACCAAATCATCATCTCCTGCCTCGGGGTTGTACCTTGGTGGATTCTTTTTCAAGATTTCCATCAAGTGGCGTTTGTTTTTTATACAGCCATACCCACTTGAGATAATCTATCTTGATCAAGTGGTTCTGGCGAGCAGCTTCATAGATGCCATCAATACGAGCGAGTAAGTTCTGCTCGTATCTCTGTGCCTCTTCCTACGACATTACCAGAAATTATTAACTGCAGAATGGATTTGGTATTTGACACTTACAACAAGAATTGATGTTTCCTCGACACACTTTCTAAGGGTATGCCAGTCTTTCATTCCTTGGGACAGTCTCAAGAAATCAGCATCTTCATTGTTTCTGAGCCTTTGCAGCTCAATTGCGACACTGGGCACTTTTTTACTAGGATCCCCTAATATGTCAGCGAGAGATTGAGAAATCCTACTCTTGATTAGAAAATTTGGTAATCAACAGAGCTTACCTCCAAAGTTTCTATCGACAAAATTGTTAATGCTATCTACTACTAGTCCAGCCTTCTTTGTAGAGGAGGCAATGGATACTAGCAGCCTAGCAGCTTTATCAGTTCCTAAGAAAATTGATTAAAACCAATTTAAACGGCTTGGTGTATCTTGCTTTTTCTTTACCAGTCGAATTGGGCCTACGAAGCTCATTATCGTTCATGAAAATGGAAAAGATTAGTTGTCTTAAGACTTTAACTAATATGTTGTGGCATTCATCTTTGATTGCATCAAAGTATTGCTGCATTGTAATGTGACCAAAGGTTGTCGGCCTTCCTCCATGGACAATTAACTGAGGAAATAGTCGCTCGAGTTCATTGAGTTTTGCTTCCAGTTGACGCTTCAAGCCAGTTATATAGCCACTTGTAATACTAAATCAAAATCAAATGATTAATTTGTTGGCTCAAAAATATCATGCAATATCTTACGGCGAATCTCTTGAGTTGAGGAAAATGAGTTGACCAGCTGTCACTGCATACTCATGCTTAATATCGTTCATAAGCAAGATGTTTCCTTCAGCCCTTTCATGTAGCCTTTGAAGGTTCCTCACGTTGGAAAAAGGCACAGCGAGCGCAGTTCTGTGGCTATTCCACTGTACTTCGAAACTACTGTAGGCACTCTTGGTCATGTTGAGTCTTCTGATAGTGTCCATTGCTTTGTCGTATTTTTTCACGAACAAATTTGCTATGAGTTACGTAAATTACTTGGTGCTACTGTTTAAATAAACATATTAGTCAACTTACGCAATTCTATCATCTTCTCATCGCAATATGCCTCAGCCAATTCAACAATCATTGCCCTACGGTTAGCTTTGGTCATCGACCTGATTTGCGCGACGAAATGATTGGCAAACGACCAAAATCTCTCTTGAAAAGCCATTAATCATCAATAATGCCTTTGGATCATACCTGACATACCTGCTCCTTCTCCATCTAGAGCAATGAATAAGAAGCTTTTAGAGCATGAAAATGTCAATCATCAAGACTGAAGGTCTTACCTGTTAATCCTAGTGCATGATCCACATACCTGGGGTTGTTTTTGGCTTGGCAAGCAGCACTATGTGCGTACGCATGAAAAATACTCACCGCATACCACACATCACGCTCGCTTTGAAGCTCTGGGAAAGCTTTCTTTTGACCAATAATTGCAATCAGTATATTGAGTTTACATATGATCCAGGCCACAGGAACTTACGTTGAAAGTTTCTCTACATGCGCATGCTACATCATACATAATCAGAAGCTTCTGATCTTCTTCCAAGTTTTTAATGACATGTTCTACACCAGCCAAAGCATACTTTCTCCTACAAAAAGATTAATTACAATTAGATCCACAGCCGACTAATCTCTTACCCTTCTCCCTCAAAAATATCAAATAGTCTTTCAACAATTCCATGACGAGCACAATTTATGCTGAAGACACCTAGGAGACAATCATATTTGGGTTAGATAATGTCCAATGAAGGATGAATTCATAATTTACCATTTTCATCAAAGCGGTTGCTGGTAGTTCTGCGGTTATTGCTGAGAGCTTGAAACTCGCTATCTAAATTTTCCAGAAGACACTATTAAGATGATATAAATGTGAGCATTGGAATTGTCTAATATAAACAAAACATTTACATCCTCGGTCGCAGCAGTCTCTGCTCGATCATATTTGTCGACATCTGCTTTGTCACCAAACTTTGCTTTCTCAGCCTCAGAAGTAAGAAAGATGTTGGGATTGCCATTATCAACAATGTCAATTTGTCTAGATCTATATCGTTTTTGTTGGAAATTTCCATCCATTGTTATTCCCTTTCTTGGTGCCCCCTGGTTGTATTCTGATTAATTGTTGTACTCTTCAAAGGACAGTTTCTTACCTTGCATGCCAAGCAGCTGCAATCTCTTTCCACATCATGTTGGCGATATACGCTGTCAATTGAGTGTTTTTTAACTCTTTGATAAACTAAAGCCAGTTCGTGAAACGAAGATGGAAGAGGTTTGAACTGGTGTTGTCAAGAAGCCGATTAGAAGGACATGATTTCAACTGATAAGTGAAATACATACTTTGGGATCATAGCTTGAGAGTCTCAGGTTGCTAGCATTGTTTGCTTTAACAAAGCCATAAACCGATGAGTACGCATTTAAGCGATTGTCAATCATAGACTCAAAGAGGGAGAAATGCACTGCAGACTTGGGAAACACAGTTGCTGTTGGCATCATTTGAGACATCAAAAGCGACTCGAGCAATGTTTGGTGCGAGCAATACTCCACTTGGAAAATACATCGCTCTATTCCATAATGTTAATCCTCACATTTGGGAGTTTTTCCTTTGGTTTTTGTATTTACTAAACATCATGAAGCCATTGATAGGCCATGAAGTGATTCTGGAGGTACAATCGCAGCTTTGGGGCTTCGTTCCAATAATTATCGGCGCATCGAGGCATGGATCGGCATGGCCATGCAATTCGTGGCTTTCTATATAGCTCTTCAAAAGCACTTCACTGAGATCTTGCCACTTGAGATATCTGTCTGAGAGGGAAGTATTGACTTCCTCACCAACATCTCCAGTTAGATCATCTAAGTTAATGACATTTGATCCGCCATTTGGTCTACTGTTGGCAGAGGATGAACTAGGTTCTTGCTGATTTCTTTCAGCAGAGGATAAGGGGCGAGGATGTCTTGCAGGAACAGCTCGACGAGCTTCATTCACGTTGACCCCTGAAGCATTCATGTTTGCCAAATAGTTTTTTACTAATTGTTTTTGTTTTCTTCTTTTTTGCTGTTGAAATTCCATAGTGTACATTCTGGGTTCCCTCTTCAGGGATCCAGCGGATCCACTTTCGTCTTTCTTTCTTTGTTTAGTTATTCTGTTTCTAGACATGTTCAAAAATCAAATATTTATATATATGTATTTTAAAAGTGAAAATTTCGGAAATGCAGGTACAATAACAGTTGCTGTTTGTGTGCATGTCATAGTAATTTAATCAAAGAACCTTGTAGTCACACTACTTCAGTTCCTTTGTATCACTTAGTAGCTGCCGATTATAAATCGAGATAGTTTGTAAAAATTTCCGATTAGAAATCGAGAATAAGCACAATAAATATAATATGAAAATCTGTGACGAAAACGTGATATATATGAACCCCATTAGCTCTAGGAGTTTGCCCACTATATATGCGCCTATACAGCACAGTTTTTTGATACCTCATTCATATATTTTTCAGTGCTATACCATCAGTAATGTACAGGACGGATACAATCTCAAAGCTGAAACGCCGATTGGAGAAAGGTGAAAAAGTGGTATATATAAACCCCATTAGCTCCAGGCATTTGCTCACTATATATGCGCCTATACAGCACAGCTTTTTGATACCTCATTCATATATTTTTCAGTGCTATACCATCAGTAATGTACAGGACGGATACAATCTCAAAGCTGAAGCGCCGATTGGAGAAAGGTGAAAAAGTGGTATATATAAACCCCATTAGCTCCAGGCATTTGCTCACTATATATGCGCCTATACAGCACAGCTTTTTGATAACTCATTCATATATTTTTCAGTGCTATACCATCAGTAATGTACAGGACGGATACAATCTCAAAGCTGAAGCGCCGATTGGAGAAATGTACGATTGATAATCAAAGCATCTTCGATTTTTAATCGGAAAATCCCGCCCAAAATTGATTTTTTTTTTCGATTTTTAATCGGAAGTGATAGTTAGTAAGGGGTGCCATATTGACCAAATCTTGATGGTTTTCGACTCGATTGAACTATTTTAGCAGATTCGACTATATAAAATATGATGATCATCCTCTGCTTCTTTAAGCTTTCTTGGAGTGCTTTTCAAGGCGCTTCCAATGGTAACAAGTAACGTAAATGTTTTGAATAAATTTATTGAGGAATTTACGAAAATATGAAAAGAGGTTTCTGGCCAAAAAGTCGAGATTTTCCATATCAAAGTCCTACAAAGATGATTTCAGAGGCTACGTTGGATCGATAGAAACATTTTGATTCAAGATATACCATAGTAAAAGTCTTCATTCTCAAGTTCAAAAACACGATCGTTTGATTTTCAATGAAAACTTTTTTTTTTTTTTGGTGGATAATATTAAAGACTTTATTAGTAATCTGGCGCCCAATAAAGGCTTTAAATGTATCAAAATACGAGACAAGTGTATGTGAACAAAGTGACTTGCAAGAGAAAACTAGAGTGATAATAACTACATAACAACTATAGACGGAGGGAGATGTTTGTCCCAACACAAACTACCAGGCGAAACCAGACCGGATAGACTTCAAGATTGTAACTTCAGCGGAGATAGTTTTAATGGCTATCTCTCCGCGCGGGCACCCTTGTGTCTCGATTGCGCAGCTCACGACTGAAACGCTTCAGGTGCGAAAACCACTCTGACAGCGACCCCGAAGGGCGATTTTCAATGAAAACCATGAGGGGTACCTCATGCTTTTTGGTCGATTTTTGACCATGTTTTTTTGGTCCCCAAAAAGTTGAGCAAAGGTGTCAGAAGGTAACTGCCAAATGAGAGGAACCGTTTGGGGCTATTCTGACGATCTAAAACGGCCTTGAACGCGAGATAACGCAGCTCAAATGCACTCAGATTTTGCTGTATTATTAGGCACACTAAGGACTAAAAAGTGGAAATACCAGTTTGCTGATTGCCCGTATATGAAGTAGCTACGTGTATATGGATGTAGAGCGTCACATAAGAATCAGATCCACACATAATATGAAGGGTTTTCATATGCAAGTAGAGGGTCAGCTTGAACGTAGTAGGATTATGATAAGATACGCAAGGGCAACCGGTAGCTCGAGCTGTCGCTGTGCAGGTTGATTCTCACCGAAACGAAGCGAAGGTAGAGAACCATCCGAAGCATAAACACTCCTATTATGATCAGTGATTATATATCAATCAACAATCAGGGTTCTTCTAACGTTTTAGCTATATAAATTTTGGGATATTGGCCAAAGGCCCGCGGCAGCGCGAGCCGTTTGAACGTAGGTTGGTTTCCACCGAAGCGAAGCGTAGGTCAGGCAACCACCCGAAGTGCTGAAAGGCTCGTATACCATAGTAAAAGTCGTCGTTTTCGAGGTCAGAAGCGCGATCGTTTGATTTTCGATGAAAACTTTTTTTTTTGGATGATATTGTTTTATTAGGATAATAATTAGAAATAAGACAAATGCATCAAAGAGATGGACAAGTGTATGCGAACAAAGTGACTTGCCATATATAGAGCTATTACTACAAATTGACATTAAACTCTTAAATGCCTCTTATATTCGAATATACTCTGAATCCTATCTCAAGAATGACAAATCAGTTACTACTCAGCCTCGTATCATTCTGACAGATATATTCAAACTCATAAACATCTCTCTTTCTTTGCTTTAATATTCTTTACTAGTTGGACAACTATAAACCTGGTGCTCATTTCTATAGACAAATCTGCTTTGGCTATTTATCTATATACTTACTCTATTATCACTCTTACTATTCACACTACATTGAACCACTTTGTAACACTATTATAAGTCGGCCGATGTTCTTATGAGAACATCCATATTCTTATATGAGCACATTGATTTTCAGAAATTTTAAAAAAAAAGAATGCTCCTACCGGGGTCGAAACCACAACCTATTGGTTGTGGATCTGACGTTCTTTCCACTAAACTACTCGAATATCTTATTGAAATATATTCTTTTACTTTAATTAGTTATTAGATAATTTTAAATTGCCATTTTCTCGTGCAATTTATAATACGTTTAGTAATTTTATGAATCTTACAGATAATAAAAGTCTCTCTGTTGCCTACAATATTATAGTTTAGCTATTAAAACCATTTTATTCTTGTGGAAAGCTACACCTTCTCAAATGAGAACATCAATGTGCTCATGAGAACATCGATGTTCCCAAAAGAGCGCATCGATGTTCTGTGAGAACATCAGTTGGGCCGTAGTGGTTGACGTGAAGAATATAGGGTTGGTGTCACTGCCCTCCATTTCAGATGCGGATCGTAGCTTGTTCAGTTGTTTTGAGACACTAATACTCTCAACGGCAGGTTCGATGATTGCAGCCACATTCAGATAATGACTCTTCAATCTAAACAGAAGATCCAACGTATCCACAATAGAATCAAGGTTTGCAAGACTACTAGGTACAATGAGAGCACCAGCGTCGTTCATCAAGAAGACATCCTGAAGTTTTTCAATGCTATAGGCACAGCCTACAAAGCCTATAATGCGCAGTTAGGATACAAGTTTCGATAATAATGGATATTAAACTTACCAAGCCATTCCATTCCAACTACAGATATGCGACTATCATCTTGGCAAATATCCAACATTCTCTTCAGCATCACAACGTTGGATCGAATATTTTTGACATGTTGCTGTTCTATCGTGCTGTCGGCGGTTTGATCTCTCTTCCATTCAGAGCTACTTAGCTCAACCCCACAGTTGGCAACAATCAAGTCAATTTCTCTTCCTATAATTCGCTTCTTATCGTTCTCATCGTTAAAGATTTTTTGTGTGTTTTGCTGCTCGTGTTTGGTAGCTTGTGAGCAATTTTCGCCACTGGCGAGATACAACATATTAGTGTCAACATGAGAATGTTATCAGCAATCAACTTACTCTATCATTTGTAACGAGGTGTCATTGAATATGATATCAATGATACTGGCAGTTAAACGATAATAACTGAGCTCGCTATTATGTCTATATGTCTTTCTTTTGATGGAAAGAATCAGGTACTCAATCACATCCACAACCTGCATCTCCTGGGGATCATGTCCACTCTCAAGCATCTCTATCCTCTTTCTGCTTATCTTCAATCTTAATGCAATTTCATCTTGAGTCAACTATGTAGTGTTGCTTTAGTTAGAGCAGATAATATAATTTCTGAGTATTTACTTACGCTGATTATATCCTTTGCAATCTACTTTGCTTTTTCGGACAATCCGACAACAGCAGATATATTGTGATTATGAGATTTTGCTTGCTCAAAGAGGTCTCTGATGTGCTGGCTTTGCTTATTGAAATATGCCTTGAATATTGCGGCAGTGGGCCCCGAAAAGCAGATGACACGACTGATAGAGAGCCTATACGCATCACTTCTCATTAAACAACTCGCTATAAACAATATAGTCAAACGTATCCTATACTTACTTCAAAGTGTTCTTTTCGTTTGCATTCATTTCCTTGGTCAACAGTTGGTATGAAAGCAAGTCTAAAGACTCAGATAATGTCCTTGGAACGACATTTTGAGCCATCCTGTTCAGGATTGCTACTGTAAACAAATCTTGTCCTCCTTTAAACTATATACAAAAGAAACATTCAGATCCGTACATCTTTGAGGGGGAGGTTCTCTTAATCTATTATACTTACATATTGATATGCAGCTTTGTAGAGTTCCTTTCTAAATATCTCGGCTCTGTCTGTTGCGTCATCGTCTCCATCCCCAGTGTCATCGTCATTGTCATCGTCATCGTCATCGTCATCGTCATCATTGAATAAAGTGGTAAACTTGTCTTCATCCGCAGTTTTTTTAGATGTAGCAATCGGCTTTTCAGATTCAGTGGTAGGCGTGTCAGATTCAGTGGTAGGCGTGCCAGATTCAGTGGTAGGCGTGTCAGATTCAGTGGTAGGCGTGCCAGATCCAGTGGTAGGCGTGTCAGATGTAGCAATCAGCGTGTCAGATTCAGTGGTAGGCATGTCAGATGTAGCAATCGGCTTGTCAGTGAATGCGCAAATACTATTAGATGAAAACATTTAGCTTAGTATTCTAATAATATAAAAAGGTGGCGATCTCACGTTTGTATTTCTTGATAGCTGTTGATTATGCTCTGGGCTGTATTTACATTCACATTATACGATATACTGCTATCTGTGGTTTGCTCTGACTTCTCGTATTGCTTGATCAACGATTTCCATTTAGATACCCATTCCTTCGCTCTTTTGACCTTTTTGAAATAATTCTTTAATGCACAATCAAGAATAGTATAGCTCTGTGTGTTGTTTAGTCCTAATTCCTCTTTGATGAGATTGATAGTATTTGCAAAGTCCCAATTTTCATATTTTGTTTTGTTCAGGTATTTAATTGCTTCTGCAGGTTCTTTCATGATGAAAAAGAGAGTGTAATCAACAAAAGGGGAGATGATAGATTTTTTTTTGATTCAAAGCCTTTTGTACCCCATACGCTATCAGTCGCAATAAATTGATCTCACTTTGCATGAATGTGAAATTAGCTGCGATACTCGCAATGTGTCTTGAATGATACTAGTTTTTAATGAGATTAATGCTTTTATATATTTTTTTCTGTAGCAAGCAGACAGTGTGGCAAGGTTTGCATTAATATACTATTAATAAAGCACCTTTTTATCCATTCAACTAAAAGGCTATAACATCTTCCTGCACACTTTCTATATCTACTTCCATTTATATCTCGATCAGATCTCAGATTGCATATACTACCTTTACGTATTAGCATCTGACAATTTCTTAAATTTTTGTTTTGCGAAATGGTAACTTTCTGTCGACGGAACAGACAAGATTACGAGTTCAAGTCCCTGCATTCTCTTTTTTAGAGAAAATTGCCATTATTAGTGTTTTGTAGCAATGTTCATTTAATTCAGGGGTAATTTGATATAGGAACATATATATGTTGAGATTTTTTCATACGATAAAGTTTTACTAGATAATATATATATATAAAATAAAAAATAGGCACTTGATGCTTTATGATCCTTCCTCAATGTCTTGAAATGTGATTAGACTTTCGTCTTCTGGGTTTGGCTCACCGCCTTCACCAGCATCTGCATCGTCTGGATCACCGGCGTCAACCACATCATCCTCATTGTTGTCGTAAATTTCATTCTCGTCATCGCTAAGATCCACCTCAGGAAAAATAACGACATTGTTTAGCAAGTCAGAGGCATCTCTGCTTGCAAACAATACCGGAGGTTTGGATCTTGAAACATTTTTCAACAGTAACTTGGCACTGCGTTGACGGCGAGCAACGTCCAGAACTCTCATTCTGACAAAATGATTGTTCTGTTTTCCCCTCAACGATGACAACTCACCTTCGTAGTTGCCAAGAACCCTCTTTGCTTCACCCTTTATCGAAAAGTATCATTAGTATACATGCTTCTTATGCTATTGAGTTTACTCGAGCCTACTATCAAAATAGAAATTTCTTCGACGTTTCTTTTCAATATATGCCAGTTGTTCAAAGGGGTGGGCAAATCCAGACCATTTTCGGCAGCATACAGTCTGACCCGTTCCACTTCTTTTCCGACTGTCTTCTTCTTTCTTCTGTCGATCTCTGCCTGCGTACCTTCATACCATTATACACTAAGATATTGCTCTCGCTTGCGATTCAAAGTTATAATTCACTGTATGAGGTTTCTACAAATTTGTATATCATCGAAATGATCGCCTCTGCTTTCTTCTTCAGTATTTCAAGCGACAAAATAACTCTGACCGCCTTTGCAGTGCCTATCATTTGGGTTAGAGTTCAATCTAAGGGAAGTTTTCGTTCTCACAAAAGGCCAAGCCATTACCAAATGAGCCAGGTTGAGATATCTTGTGCTCTTTCATCAGAATTGCAAACAAGAGGTGTTTTACAAATGTATTCATTACATTGTATCGAACTTCAATGATCCGTTCTCGACGTTCTTGCAAGGCTGGATCATCTAGGCTGTTGATCATCGCATACCCATACACAGATTGTAATTGCTTGATTTGATCGACCAAAAAATTGTTTCTATTGATATCTTTCCTGATAGTGATTTCAAATTTTCTTCCACTACATTTTAAAAATGGCTCAACAGTAATATTCCTCTATGCACATGTTTAAAAGTTACCTTTCATCTCTCAAGTCATTCAACAGCAAATATTCAACGGTTGAAGCGATTTGCTGTGCTCCAGAAGCGCTCTACACCTTCGCCATCTGATTAGTGAGTCAGTATTTTGTTCTCTCACTTTTGTTGTTCATGCTTATTTACCGGTATTGCCACTGCCATTGACAACTCGTGGATGATGTTGGACTTAACAGTGCATGCTATGAGCATAGGCGTGGAACACTGTCACGAGATATAAAGGAGCCCTCTCCTTTAGCCCTGGTATACACGACTAATAGTTCGTTCTTGTGTTGGAATCGATGTATGCAGTCACTGAATATGTATATGCTTACCTCTAATTTGCCCTTACACAGACAAATAATGTCATACATAATTAATAGTTTTTGAGAGTTACCCAATAAACTCATAAGATGACTGATAGCCGCAAGTGCGTACTTACGCCTGTTACAATCATTTAGGGGAATCAGAAAGTTGTTAGTCTTTTTTTTTAGCACTACCAAGATCTACTTACCCTTCGCCATTATGAATATCGTATAATCGAATAGGCACGCCATGTCTCGCACAGTTCATAGAAAAAACTCCTTCTTCGTCAAAACGGTTACTCACCTTTCGATTTTTCTTTGAGCCAGCTTTGAACGTAGGGTTGTTGATGTTGTCTAGTTCTTCAAGACCACACTTGATGAAAATGTGATTAGTATGCACCATCAAGTACAAACATTTTAGTGCATCTGTATTGTCAATATGCTTACCAGCTCTTCTTTCGCATCATCTTTTTCATTAGCAAACTTTTCAACTTCACCTTCGACTTCCCACAACTGTGCAATGTCGTAGCTTGTTGAAAGGATACTAGGATAGAGATCTACATCATCTCGGTTTCGCTTGTCCATCTTTCTTTTTAATTGGAAGTTGCCATCCATTACAACTCCAACGGTATCACCATCCTAAAGAAAGCCTGCATCAGTTTTTGCTAACGAGATGCCTTGCAACGCAACTCACAAAACACGCATGACAGTACAAAGAGTGGTTGACCAGTCGTAAATCATCCAAGGCATGGCTCTTCAAATTTTGATATATTACTTGTAGTGTGTTGAACAAGCCGTTATTCAAATTTTTAAACTAAAGAGAAAAGAGAACGGCGAGATATTGAGATAAACAGCACAATGGTCTGCAGCATTTAACTTACGTCGTTTTCACCATAGTTACTCAACAAGAGATTATCAACATTCTGCGTCTTCACGAATGCATAATTTGAAATGCTTCCATTTAGCTTCAACTCATCAGTTTTTCAAAGACGGCGAAATGGACCGCAGCTTTTGGTTGAATTGTGCTGCTTGGCAACATTTGCATCAATACCAATTTCTTTAGGAGTGGTTGATGCATACAATAATCAACTTTGATTTTTTGATGGTCTGCAAATCAAGTGTCAGTTTAGCTTGTGTATGGAGTTTCACTAAATTTATTTACTGTGTAGCATATAACAATACACCTCCAACGTTTTCTTATTGCTGCAGTCGCATTGATATGTGCTTTTCAATTGATTTGGGACTTTGAGGGTAGGGTCAGCATGGCCATGAATCTCGTGAGATTCAAGATACCACTTCTTGAGCGAGACACTTTCTTGAGCTCAAAAGTCTTTTCTCATTCTCCTTTGTTTTTTTTTGTCTGAAAATGGTTGTGAAACCATAACGCTGGTTAGAAGGCTCTATGTAGTCGAAGCCACGGTCGATGCTGTCATTGTCAAAATGAAATGCTCCGTTTGCATGGACAAGTTGTCTAGTGTTGTCGTTCAGCGAAGCATTAGGCTGGGTTACAGCTTGCCTATTCCGTTTCTCCAGCTCATTGATGTACTTGATGGCTTTCGCATGTGCAGTCTTTGCGCTCTTCTTCATCATCTGAGACTTTGTTATAGAGCGGCTACGTTGTTTGCGTGCTTTTTGTTTTTTTTTCTTCAAGGCTATCTCCTCTGCATTCGTTGGCATTTTCTTGATGACCTTTTTGTTTGATTCCTTGTTTGCTTCTTCTCCTGTGGCTTTCTTGGCTCTCTTAGCAATTTTAGAAGCTGCGTCGTTTTTCAACATTTGATGAATAGCGGACGAAAATAGAAAAGTGATGCTGGCTTCCTTACAAAGAGTATTTGGTGAGTCAACTCGATTGTTCCACAACCTACACAGTTACACAGTTGGGGAAGATGTTTGTGCTCTTTTCTAAACACCAATTTGTTGAATCACATACCAGCAGAGGAAGGTACTTTGCGTTGACTGCAATCAGAAATTTGTATTTGATACGTGCTCATCAAAATTATTTGCAATGTTTTGAGGAGGTTGCGCATCAAATGCTTTCGCAAAGAAAAAAAAAAAAAAAAAAAAACTACTGATAAAAACTGCCAATAGCATGCTTGAAACTATTGTTACAAAAATAATGCAGCGTAGAGAATGAAACTAGAATTAGATAGGCAGGCAGGGCAATATAGCTAAGGGAAGAAGCTTCTGCATCAGTCGAAAGAGAAAGCTAAACCAAGCGCAACTAGTAGCGTGGGGGTACAAGTGAGTTGTGGAAGGCATGATAGCCTACTGGGATCAAATGATATTTAGAAGGCATTCCCCAATGATTGCGGTCAATAAACAATTGGCAGCAAGGTATAGTAGAGGGCAGAACGTATTATAGGCAGCTAGGTATAGGCAGCCATGTATAGGCAGCAGGGCCTATTAAGCCCAACAGCATTGGATTTTGATATCACCTGTGATTTCAATATCATCTGTGATTGGTACAAATATTCCCCAAGTGTTAATGGAAAAATATATAACTCTGAGGAGTACAAATAGTGCTCATTTTTGTAGTGACACATGCAACTCTTTTTGAGTACAGTAGTGTGTAAGAGCTGTGCTTTTTGATCAATTTTTGGTCATGTTCTTTTGATCCCCAAAAAGTTGAGCAAAGGTATCAGAGAGTAGCTCCCAGATGAGAGCAACTGTTAGGTGCTATTTTATAAAAGCTCTGTGATATCAAGAGCATTGAACACCCATATCTCAGGATCTCGTTTCATTTACCTGATTTTACTATATTTTCTTAATTCTATTCTCTTCTTGCTGATTAACATCCTATGTATAATACGTGGCTGCTACTCACAATCAACCAATAGGCACATGCATCTTCGAAGAGTTGCCCGTATATGCATCAATCGAATCATGAGATACTGTTTACATTTACTGTGATAGCCATCATAACCGCTAAACAAGCTGAGAGAGTGACATGAGTTTGAATCATTATGCACCTGTCTCTTGACAAAACGGGTACCTGAAATTATCCATTCTGCATAAACAAAATCAAGTTATACGTACCATCCCTCTAAACAGAAACTCATTCATATTATTCATAAAGTCATCTACATTCATGTTGAGGAGCAATGTCCAGCCTAATATTAATCATGCATGACTAAGATTGTTCATTCATATTGATTCATGCAGCACCAGATGTGTAACTGCTTCATAAAACCAGAGTATAAAAAACCTGTTACTATTGCCCAATGTATTACGTAAAGACAATCAACCATATTTCTAATCGCGAGAAGACGCTAAAAGATGCTGCTAGTGTAAAGTGTAAAGTGTAAAGTGTAAAGTGCATTTACTTGTATATTTTACTCATCAACGCGCCTCATTTTGCTGTTTTCTCCTTGTAAATCACCTCCTGTACATGACGAATGCTAAACCTACGCAATGGTAATTGGTAATTCTAAACATTTGTTCAGGATGGTCTTTTTTATACGGATGCACATTCCGTTTCCGAGAAAGGCTATGGATGACACAAGTAGGAGCAGCATTTATGCACATGTTGACACTGACATCTTGGCTTAGATCCAAGTTAACGATGGACATTACGTGTAGATGTTACTCGAGAACATCATCTATGAAAATGAATCGGAGAAACTCCTTTGCTCTAATACATTGACGCCATAATCAGTACGTAATGGTAGATGTACATTTCTTTACGCGTTGGTGCCGTTCAAGCACTTTGCTTGCGGCCTTATAATCCACGTTTTGCAGCCAAATAGAGCAAACTCCTATATTGCAAGCTGCAGAATCACTACCATTCAGAATGAATACTAACTACTCAATGCTGTTGTATTGAATGATCTCATTTGAACAGTGTAATCTGCATAAATGGAATACTCTAGCTGAGCCGGATCTTCAAATCCTGGACTGAAATCAGGCATAATGATTTCATTTCAACGTCATTTTGTATTTGCCTGAAATCAAGAGAAACACGACTTCCATTCGACTATAAATACGGCACGAAAAACCATCAGATGTCGACTTTATCTCTTTTATTCAATCAAAAGTAAAACACAACAACTATCAACATGTCTTCTGAACAAGCTACCAAAGTCGTCTTCAAGGGTGATGAAAACACCGATTTCTTCGTCATTGCTCAACCTGGTATGGTCGCCAAGTGGAAGAAGGACAAGACCATCCCTCTCATTGATGTCGTCCAAAGCTTCGATATCTTCACTACTCCCTCTGGCAGCATCACTGGTGAGGCCATCCGTCCCTCCAACAGCACTCTCGAGAACGTGTTCTCCACTACCAATAAGGATGATATTGTCAAGAAGATTGTCTCTGAAGGTGAAGAGAAGGGCCACGGTCAATTGTAAATCCATCAAAAACTACCACCTAGCTAATTTTATTGTATAAAATGTTTCTCTGAAATCCCCCCAAAAAGAATAACCTTTGCACATAATTTGTTATAAATAAAGTATATATACATTTTTCATACATTTTTTCGAAGTTATACAACATTATACATGTATTATGTATATTGGTGAAGCGTGTCTGTGTATCGTGTTTTTTTTGTTTTTTTGTTTTTTTTTTTGTTTGTCTTGCATGATATTTGTTTATACATGGGCTTCATGTTCTATCGTCTCTATATAAGGATAAGCGTTACATTGGACTAGAACATGTAGAGTATTTTCAAAGAAAGAAGCTTTGAGAGCTTTAGTTCTATGTAACTTGAACAAGGTTTTGTACTCTCAACATAACTTTCCAACTTGTTCTATACTAGTCAAAGTCTTTTTTTTTTTTTTTTTTTTTCTAAATCAAAAAGGGCCGAGATGTTGGTGGTATCCATGATTTTAAAGTTTGGTCAGCATGAACCATGCACTTTTCTTTTGAGCACAAGTTTAAGGTTTCAGGATAGCAATGTCAAGTTTATTAGAGATAAGATAAGTAAAGGAATGGAATAATACAGACAAAAGGAAAAGAAATCTGTAGTCATGACGGAGGAAATGGGTATAAATTATAATACAAGGAAATGAAAAATATAAACAATCTACATGGCAGGAATAAATATAACTTAGAGCTCGAGGACCTTATCATCCGTAGACACTGTGGTAGCAACATTGGCCCATCCGTAGGAACGTTTCACTGCTTGCTCCCATCCATTGCACATCTTGTTGCGGCGCTTTTCAGAGATTTTTGATTCAAAATGAGTTCTGCCTTCTTGATTGATACCAGACAGCTCCTCGAATGACTTCCAGATGCCACAAGCAAAACCAGCAGCGATAGCAGAACCCAAGGCAGTTGTTTCTCGCATCAATGGACGGTCCACAGTGATGCCCAAGATATCGGATTGGATTTGCATACAGAGATCAGAGTTCGACATGCCGCCATCGACCTTCAAGGAGCGAAGAGGAGTCTTGGAGTCCATATTCATGGCCTCTAGGATAGCGCGAGACTGGTAGCAAACAGCTTCCAAGGTAGCTCGACACAGGTGCTCCAATTTAGTGAAATGAGTAATGCCACATATTGTTCCACGAGCATCTGATCGCCAATATGGGGCAAATAGGCCAGCGAAAGCAGTAACGAAATAAACACCAGCAGTGCTCTTCACTTTTGATGCTAATGAATTCAACTCAGTAGTATCAGCAATGATGCCAAGATTATCACGAAGCCAATTAATAGAAGATCCAGCTACGGCAACAGATCCTTCGAGGGCGTAAGCAGGTTCGCGATCACCAAATTTGTAAGCGACAGTTGTCAAAAGACCATTTTGAGATTGAACGGGTTGATTGCCGGTGTTGAAGAGCATGAAGCATCCAGTACCGTATGTGTTCTTTGCATCGCCCACATGGAAGCATTGCTGGCCTACCAGAGCAGCTTGTTGATCGCCCAAGCAGCCGGCAATGGGGACGCCTTTGAGTGAGCCTTCAGCCAATGTGCCGTAAATCTCGGATGAAGAGACAATGCGAGGTAATCGCACTTGTTCAAATCCAAAGAACCTGGAATCATGTGTTAATTAAACGAGATCTTCCTTCTCATTTGCAAGGTTACACTTACTCGATTGATTCTGGACTCCAATTCAAAGTATTGATATCCATCAGCATTGTTCTGCTTGCATTTGTTACATCAGTTACAATGACTCCACCATGGTCTAAACCGCCGGTTAAATTCTAAGTAAACAAATATGTATTAGTATGGGAATGGGGAAAATCTGGTAACTTTAAAATTATCATCCTTACATAGATCAACCAAGTGTCGACTGTACCAACACAAAGTCTATTCTGATTTTGTGCTTGTACAACAACCGGAATATTGTCTAGAAGCCATCTCAACTTAACACCGGAAAAATACGTTGTGAGAGGCAGACCACAAATGTCCTTGAGCGCATTCACACCCTTTTCAGATTTGTTGGCTAATTGCTTGACGGTATCAATGGTGCGGGTATCACTCCAGATGATGGCTGGATACAATGGATGTCCAGTGAGGCTGTCCCATGTAATCAATGTCTCTCTCTGATTCGTAAGGCCAATACACGCAATGTCTGATGCATCGTATCCCATCAACCCCAGCTTGAGAATAGCGTGTTCGATGCAAGTGTGCACTGAATCCAATAAATCATAGGGATCGTGCTCCACCCAGCCAGGCTGAGGATAGTTTTGCTCAAACTCCATCTGATGAAATGTGACAATTTCACCCTTTTCATTGAAAATGACAAATCGTGTTGAGGTTGTTCCTTGATCAATGGAGCCAATAAATCTAGGCATAGTTTTTCTGTATAAGTGTGTGTGTGTGTGTGTGTGTGTGTGATATAGAAAGAGATGAAAAGAGAAAATAATGGATGTGTTTCTCCACATTTTTATAAGAAAATAGTGACCCGCGGAGTGTGTGAGGCATGAAGCTCTCCTACTGCAACAGGAAGATCTGCTAAGTTTTCTCACATGAAAGAAGCTGTTTATTGGTGCATTGCCATTATAAATAATTTTTTTTTATCAAGACATGTTGTAGAAAAAGGCCAGGTGTAACCAGTTTCACAAGAAAAACGCAGCTATTATTAGCATCCTGGAGAAGAAGAGCAAATGTGTGGTCTGCAATGACTTGTGAACCCTGCCTTGTCTGTTTCAATCTGGAGTGTCGAGTGATGAATGCCATAGATATCGCATACAATAGTCTGTCCTTGCGATAAGATGCGGTCGTAATCAGATGCCGCATCGGCCATGATATGTGCTGTGAGCGAACTTTTGCCTGGACTCAAGGCCCAAATATGTAAATCGTGCACTGCAGTTACGCCAGGGATCTGCTGCAGGGATTTTTCAATGGCGTCGGGTTGAATATGACCCGGTGCTCCCTCCATCAAAATCGCAATTGAATCTTGCACCAAATGGTATGTGGTATACAGCACAATGATCGAAAAGAGAAATGTACACATGGGATCCACAATGGTGTAATTGGGCTTGCATAGCAAAATGACAGATGAAATTAAAACGCCTAGTTTTTTTTTTTTTTTTTTTTTTTTTTTTCTGCTTGCTTTAGTGCATCTTTTCCTTTTTGTCATTATGTAGTTTATTCATCATCTCTTACCAATAGATGCTAGTAAATCTCCAAGCACATGAAGGGCGGCTGCTCTCAGATTGATATTGACCTCCTACTCAAAAATTTTCAAACAACTTGAGACTCAACAATTGATGCCTAAGCCTCTCGTTTTTGCCTGTTTATACCTTATGGTCACTATGATGATGATGGTGCGATTCATTGTCGCCATGGCCCTGTTCATGATGATGGTGATGGTGATGATGTCCGCCCAAGACACATGCCAGACTGCGGAAGAGTGAGATGGTGGTATATAGGCGGATCAAAACGAATAAACTTACATGACATTCACAAGTACGCCGATAGAAGCGGTGATACACATCTATTAGGTACAGATGAATCAATGTTTGTTACATATACATACGAAACGTTTGTCTGCTTATATTGACAGGAAAAACGGTTATGAAACTTACGAGCTTAGCATCGATGACTTGAGGCTTTCTAATTCTTTCTATTGCTTCCATGACTAAAAATCCTGTCAATACCCAAATAGTCAAGACTGACACTAGCGCAGCGATTACTTCAGCTCGATGAAATCCGTAGGTGTGCTCTAGTGTTGAAATAGTGATGAGCGGACTGTATGCAATGATGAAACATGAGTATACTTTTGGTAGGCGGCTTCTCTGCTAAATAGATGGCTGCTAATGCCACAATGAAACTTGCCACATCAGATAGCAGATGGAAAGCATCAGACATGAGGGCTGTGTAATTTGTGTTAGATTGTTGTATGTTCCAGGGGTATTATACAGTTACAATATCATAGCTTCCGTTCCTTACCCAATGAATTCGCCAGATAGCCGGCAATTAGCTCTGTTGCAAAAAATAACAATGCAATCGTAGTTGCAATGGCGAGCTTCTTCTTAGTGGATGATTGAGTTGGATCGTCTACTTTAGGTGACAAGTTTGCACATGAGGAAGGGGATCTGTGGCTCACATGTTGATGCTCTAGTGATGGGATCAAATGAGTGTGTTCATTTGGAGCATGGCCTCCTTTTCCTCCATTGCAAGCCATTCTTAGCTGTTTGAGAAAATAATGGTATAGAAAGGAAAAGAGAGAAGAAAAAAAAAAAGAAAACTTTGTGTTGTTGTTGTAAGAGGTTGTACTGTTGCAACAAACACAAATCCAACAGTTGGAATAGGCGGTTGCCGGAGTTTGCCACATTGCACACTGAATAGCATACTTTAAGATGAACTTGCCAGACACCATAGTGCTGGATCAGATGCAATCTGCCTGTGTTCATCGGCTATACATCACCTTGCTCTTGCCGCTAGCATGGATATTGCACAAGCAGTGATCAATCGTATACTGCACTGCATGAGGAGACGGTCTGACCAGAAGAGATGCAAACATACCTTGAGCCATCGAATCTACTCCCTGAATACAAGGTTACAGAATTCATAAATTGCGGAGCCAATCTATTCTCCGGGCGGGAAGATGTTGATGGACATCCTTTCAGCTTCTTCAAGATGCTTTCTATTAGTTCAAGGCAACACAAACACAGAAACACATGCAATGCAAGGTATACCTCTTTGCTGTCCTTGTCGGCTGGCAAATGTACCGGAAGCAGACGCTATCTAATGGAAAGCATGATCCAAACCAATGTCATGATCATCTAGAAACGTCCCAAAAACCCACCTCTGTCATGAAAAATGAGTGCAATGTTAAGCACTGTATGACGGCCAATGCATTTGGTGCCTGATTTTATATAAAAAGAATGTATTGATCTGAATTCAGCATATTTATGTGTTGTTGCTGATACCTCTCATTTAGATGTTGCAGTGATTTCTGGTCAATCATCAGGACTGGAAACTGGTTTGCAAATACCGTGGTTATGTTTGCTGGAGTATCAATTGCTCCATTACTATGAATATTTAACGTGTGTCACCATCTACATGTGGTGTGTGTCTTGTCATTCTTCATTGTATCTTGAATTGATATTCATATGACATGACATGACATGACATGATGACTACTACCGGTTTTCCATACATATCAAGGCTTGATTTGAATTTGTGTTGGTGTCTCTGTTGCTTAGTATGCAACCTTGAAACCTTTTATTTTTGACACACGCCAATCAATTTCGTTGATGTGGCAATGTCGAGATGCTGGTCTCATTGACATGTACTATCTGCTGTTAAAGGGTGTGTCCTTTTCATTGCCTGTAAAACAGAGAACAACAAGGCACACATGAACGCCATGTCAAGCAAATTGACCTCCAACTCATTCAAATAGCCATTCAATAGAAATGTGATATACTGTATATTGGATTGCAAATGAAGCTTAAATTGGCTTGTTGAACGGACATTTAAAGGCTTGTCGTTCTGATGATTATGTTCAACATGATGTTACCTTTAAAAACGTGCGTTATTTTTTGTTGGATTACTTTTCAGAGTTCTACACATTCTTTTCTTCTTCGTTATCCTCTTTTTCAGCATTATTTCCAGAAATGGAGACCACAATGAAAAGAAGACATATTCCTCATGTGTCGGAAAAGCAGCAGCAGCAGCAGCAGCAGGATTACACTGCTCTTGCTGGCGATGATTACATTGATACAAAGGAAAAGGCATACAATAGATACCGCCCTCAACCTCAAGCACCCGTAGTCTACTCTTCAAACAAGGTAAGCGCTAATGTATAAATGCCATGCTGAGGTGGTGCTAATTGATTTGGCATAGAACATTGCTTTTCTGCAGAAAAACCAACACACAATCATCACCATCGTATTGACCATCTTGTCCTTCTGGACAAGATTCAGAAAGATCACACTTAGCAAGCATGTCGTTTGGGATGAGGTACGCGATTTTGACTATGTGGGGCTTTAGACGTGAAGATTAAATCATGAATTCTTTGTACAGGCACATTTCGGCAAGGTAATTGGCAGCAGCATCGACAGAGAGAGAGAGAGTAAGACACACAAGATGGATATTAATATATATTATGTAATGTAGTTTGGATCACATTATTTGAATCACGATTTCTATTTCGATGTGCATCCTCCTCTCGGTAAGATTTTGGTGGGTTTGTCAGGTTGGTTAGGCGGTTACAATGGCTCATTTGGATTCGAGTCTGGCGCCGAGTATCCTGACGATGTCAATTATGCTGCTATGCGTATCTTCAACGCGTTTTTCGGTGCAATGATGGTGCCTATTGCCTATCTTACTGCTGTGCAATTAAAGATGACGACAAAGGCTTCTCTTTTGGCTGCTACTATGGTGTTGCTCGGTAAATATGAATTGAAGGTGTATACAAAACTGCAAACTAATGCGCTGTATAGACAATGCATTCCTCACCATCAGCAGATTCATTTTGTTGGACTCAATGCTCTTGTTCTTCACCTGCACATCTCTTTATACACTTACTACATTCCATAACTTGCGCTTTCAGTAAGTAATACGATCATGCATTAGGTCAGCTCTTTAACCAGTGGTGTTCTAGACCTTTCACAACAAAGTGGTGGACATGGCTTTGTTTGACCGGTGCATCCTTGGGCTGCGTACTTAGCGTCAAGTGGGTGGGTCTCTTTGCTGTAGCTGTCGTTGGCTGTTATACTGTGGAAGATCTTTGGAACATGTGGGGTGATTTGCAAATGCCCAAAAAGACATATCTTGGACACTGGATTGCCCGTGTCATTGGCCTCATCATCATCCCCGCTGTCATATATGTATTCAGTTTCGTATTGCATTTCAGTCTTTTGTACAAGAGTGGTCCTGGTGATGCTCAAATGAGTTCCCTTTTCCAAGCTAATTTGGAAGGTAATTCGATGGTTGACAATCCTCTCGGTAAGTATAGTATAGTGTGAGCGGAAGCAAGCGGGTGGGAACAATGTGAGTAACATTGCGCTAGAAATCGCATATGGATCCAAATTGACTTTTAAGAATACTGGCTATGGTGGCGGCTTGCTTCACTCCCACGTCCAAACCTATCCCGAAGGATCCAAGCAGCAGCAAGTGACATGTTACCATCACAAGGATGACAACAACCACTGGGAGATTCGTCCTCCTAGAGACTCCAATGCCCACGAATACGAACAGCCTGAAAATGAAGAATTCATTCGTTTTGTCAAGGACGGTGACATTGTGCGTCTTCAGCACACATCCACTGGCCGCAACTTGCACAGTCATCCTGTCAATGCTCCTGTCACTGCGTCTCAATGGGAAGTTAGCTGTTACGGCAACGAGACCATTGGTGATATCCAAGATAACTGGAAGGTTGAGATTGTGGATGACTTCATCTACCACGACAAGGAGCGTATTCGCTCTTTGACTACCCGTTTCCGTCTTCGTCATGTCAAGCAAGGATGTCTTTTGACTGCTGATGGCACTAGCTTGCCCCAATGGGGTTTCAAGCAATCCGAAGTCTTCTGTGACAAGAACAACAACACCAACGATCCTTATTCCATGTGGAATGTTGAACAACACTGGAACGAAAAACTACCCGCCGCTCCACCCAATGCCTACAAGAAGCACTTTCTTCGTGATTTCATCACATTGAATGTTGCCATGTGGACTTCTAACAACGCTTTGACTCCTGATCCCGACAAGTATGATATTCTCTCCTCTACTCCCACTGAATGGCCTTTTGTTACTGTGGGTCTCCGTATGTGTGGTTGGGGTGACAATGATATCAAGTACTATCTATTGGGTAATCCTGCTGTGTGGTGGCTGTCTATTGCTTCCATCTTTGCTTTCTGTTTCACCACTGCTTACTATTTGATTCGTATGCAAAGAAAGATCAATGATTTAACTCTTGGTAAGTTGTGGAATTTAGCTGTCTTACATCATACATTAACCCATCCCTCACCCTTAGCTCAATGGGATCACTATTTCTATGCTGGCAAGACTCTCTTCCTTGGCTGGTTCTTCCATTATATCCCCTTTTTCATTATGGGTCGTGTCACCTACTTACATCACTATTTCCCTGCTCTTTACTTTAGTATTCTCATGGTCCCCTTCTTGATGGATCATTATACTCGCAACTGCTCTAAGACTGTTCAATGGATGGTCTTCATTCCTGTCTATATCGTTGTCATTGGTGTCTTTATTTATTTTGCTCCTGTTTCTTTTGGTTTGACAGGTCCCATCAAGGACTACAGTTATCTTGTTTGGAGGGATACTTGGAATCTTATTGAAGAGAAGAGAAATTAAAAAAAAAGCTTACATTTTGCATTACTACAAATAAAGATAGTTTATTCTTGTATCTCATGATTGACATGGCCAAGCTTTTCTCTGCTCAGATATGCAACCACAGCAACGTTAAGCACTGCCATGACAGTGGCAATTTGGCTAGATACTCCGGTTGTGATTATTCATGGGTTCGTTGAGTTCTATGTACACAAGGATCTATATAATATCAAAGAGCAACGAGAAATAGTCAGGCCGAGCTATTGTTAGAGAACTTTTCCATACGCAAATCCCTTCAGAAACTTGGATTGTCTCCATAAAAACAGCTTCTGAGAAGGGGAAGAAGCCAAAATTGAAATCTCTGATGTTTTTTTTTTTTTTTTTTTTTTTTTTTTTTTTTTTGCTCCAGATTGGACAAAATCTAAACAAAATCGACCTGAACAGCTTTTTTTGTAAGGTTCGACTATATAAATTGTGGTGATCATCACTCGCTTCCTTAAGCTTTCTAGGAGTACTTTTCAAGACGCATCTAATGGTACTAACTATAAGAGATGTTTTGAATAGGCTTACTGAGCAATTCATCAAAATATAAAATAAGGTTTTTGGCAAAATTGCAGAGATTTTACATATGAAGGTCTCACAAACAAAGCTTCAGGGTTTGCTTTGGATTGCTACGATCATTTTGACTTGACATATACCATAGTAAAAGTCGTCGTTTTCGAGGTCAAAAGCGCGATCGTTTGATTTTCAATGAAAATCATGAGGTATCCCTCATGCTTTTTGGTCGATTTTTGACGAACCCAAAAAAGTTGAGCAAACGTGTCAGAAAGTTAGTGACAGATCAGAGCAACTGTTTGGTGCTATTCTGGCGGTCTAAAACGGCTTCTGACGTGAGAAATCACGGTCAGAATATACCCAAATTTCGCGCTGTTTGGTATAATGTTGAGTAGTAAGCGGTAATGGTGCTGTGCTGTGTGAGCGTATATGCGTTATCCTCATTGATACAGATGTGAAGCAACATAAAAGAGCCAGATTTACAGTTACAGGTTGTCTATACGGGTTCTCTCGTGATGGTCGGAAAGGTGAAATGCTTATAGGTTGGCATAATGTAGATGTTGTCGTGCTCAATTGGAGCCATCATTATTTAGGTTTGGACTTGACACCCGCTGTCTATATGACATGCTTACAGTAATACCAAATCAACAGTTATGCGTCTCTTCAAAAGTAGCACTGAATTTTCGGCTACTAATGCCAGAAAAGATCAAGGCCCGGAAATAGGTTTTCAAGGAAATCGTTGATATTTGACTGATCTGAGGATATGGGAGCCTCTGGTAACCTTCAAATAGCAATCCTTTATCAATCTTCTGTCAATATTGAAGGAAGCCTTCAGTCAAGAAGGCACAATAAGTGCATCTTTCTAGCATTCTGCAATACAGAGTTAAATATATTGAATAATAGCTTGCTCAATTTGATATCGTGTCTCTGAATCAGTAATTTCAAAGCATCACCAGTAACATTGCAACAGCATGAACACTGCACCACCGACTGCGTATTCACATACAAGACCCTCGTCCTGTTATGTAACATCTGATAGATTGCACCAAGTGAAAGCTGAAGAGATAAAAAGGAAATACAGCATATACCAAAGTTGCTTATTGTTTACAACAAGCAGCTTGTAACACAGTAAAATTTTATTAGGTTTCACTGAATATATACTCCCTGCATGGTGGAGAGTTTTTTTAGATGTATTGTAGTGGCATCATTCAATCAGCTCACCAATAGAGGGGAATAGTGTATTCATACCGTACTTTACCGCTGATCAGCAGCTCACAAGCAGACAATCGTGAGTTCATTTAGTGATCCACATCTTGAAACTTTCTAATTCAAATTTAGCCTATTGCAATGCATGTAATCATATACATGGACCAGCCTTTTAGCATGAGATTTTATAGTATATAGGGATACGTTGTATATAGATTAGGTACTTAATAATAAAAGTGGGGATTGGAATTCATAGTGTAGAGAGAGAAAACATGGTGTAATAGATGAGATGTTGCTGTGGAAGTGTGGGGTGGAAGACTTGTTGTACAAAAATTAGGTATCGTATATTACTACAACATTATGCTTCTCAAATTTTCATTCAAGATGATATCAGATACTGCCATCATAACATGCTGTAAAAGAGTTGTGTCTGTTGCATCTGTGAAATGCACATACACTCGCTTGTCTGGCTTGTGATTCAGTCGTTGGAACTTGTTTTTAAAGTAATGTCTAGCTGTATCGTAGTTTTCTACTAGGCCGCTGTAATCTGGAAAGTAGTCAGCTATGGGCGAATACGTGATTTTCTTCTTGAAGATATCGATCTTGTTCAGCAGTAGAATCATGGAGGTTTTCACAAACCAGTGTGAGTTACATGTTGTATCAAACAACATGAGTGCTTCGTGCATCTATTGAAACTGTTGGCATGAATTCGTATATCGCAATATTGCTACTTGCCTGATTAGAATCTCGGTCTTCAGCTAGACACTGATCATAGCCACTGATAGCCACCACAAACAAAATGGCAGTTACATTGTCAAAGCAATGAATCCATTTCTTTCTCTCGCTTCTCTGACCACCCACATCAAACATACGGTAGATGAGTGGACCAAGATGGAATGTAGTTTCAACAATGCCAGTTGTTTTGGCTCTACAACGAATGATGTCTTGGTCGGTTGGCATATATTTGGGATCCCATAATGTGTCGATCTTTCCAAAGAAACTAGGTACAAGTTAGTGATTGCTGCATAGGATACATTGCTCAGACAACCTACTAGGATATGTTGTCATGCAGTGCAAACATGTTGCCCTTCCTGAAGGCGATTTGTATACTTTCGTCATTCCACAGGTGCTTTAGTGGTTCGTGGTATATTCCAGGAAATGGTTGGTTTTCTTCTAATGAAGGGATATCTATGAATAGACTGGCATAGCTCTGTTTTCATGTGATATTCAGTATAAGGTGTGCCTGAATCATTCAAAAAATGCGTACCTTGGAAGTTGGATCAGTCAACTCTAAATCTAATACTTCTAAGGCTTCCAGTAGTGTCTGGATGGTGTTGAATATGTTAAAAAATACGACAATGCGAAATCCCTCTCTTTCGCTCGCTTTGAATCCAGAAGCATGTATTAATCTCATCTGTTTCAACACTGTTGATTTTCCAGACTCTCCAGCACCTTGATATAACAATAATTTACATGAACATCGCTGCTAAAACCACAAGACGAAGGTTTCTTACCGAGCAACAGCAATTTCACTTCCTTTTTCATACGCTTCTGGTCTGCTTTAATTTGTTTATCAATGGCCCGACTCTTTGTTGTGGTGGAGGAGCTCGATGCTCCATCTAGACTCGGCGTTGGTTTACTCTTGAAATTTCCCATCTCTTAGTCAGCTTGAGTAATTGAGGTAAAAAGGCGAGAGAGGGAGAAAGAAAGAAAAGGCAAAAAAGGTTCTCTGTCTTCCTTTTTTTCCTTCAACTGATGATATGAGGGTTGTAGGACAAGGATTTTAAAATTTTCATGTAGTTTTGCAAAGAGAAGTCTGGTAGGGGAGCACAATAAATTACTATTAATAGAAAGAGTTGCTCAGATACAGCTTAGAAATTGAGTGCAGTAGGAACAGCGACAAACTCTATATCATTACTTGCAGATTTCCGCGCTATTAGGTGCTTATATTGAAATTAAGTACGAAAATTGTTCAGAAACAAGAAGCCAAATTCAAAATGGGATCACCAACTGTCAATGGCATGCTCATTGCATGTTCCCCCATGATTTGGTCCCTGACATTTGATTTGACATGTGCATCTTTCACATCCATCATAAGAGTGGTAGCGTTCTTTGATTGTTACAAGGCAATGAAAATTCTAATGTATATAATTTTGCCAAATAATATACAGGCTATTTTTTTTTAGTGCCATTTGAAATATTGATAAAAAAAAATGTTATTAAATTTGTCCCTTTTCCACAGGGCGCAATAATATATGAAAGTACTATGCTTCTGTAGCACTAAAAGCCTTAAATTAGTCATACTTATAGTTACAAAAAGCGAGTAAATGCATATATTCATATGAAAATGATTTCTCAAGTCAGGGTAAATCTGATAACGTATGAGCAATCAAAACGCACATGTTGCGATAAACGAATTCGATCAGCAAACAACCCTACGATTAGTTTAGATCATCTCAAATGCTATTATTATGGCAAATGAACCGCATGCAGATAGTAAACTCAGGAACCCACTTCTTGTTTGTTGGTTGCACATTGCGCAAGCTATTGGTAATTTGGAAGAAGCTGCAATGCTTGAGGGACATAAGCAGAGCAATCACTAAATTATGTATATTCGGTAGCCTATGGTCGAGCGGCAGAGCGTGAATCAGTATGGAGAACGCGGTTGCTAGATGCTTTTAATTTAGTATAAAAGCATGTTCTTATTTTGTGTAATGGTTTACAATGCGATCACTTGGATAAGAAAAGATTTGAATACCTAGGCTGCAGTACTTGCCTTGGGCATCTTTGTCACTCAAAGCTGAGAGTAATGCACCACAATCTATAAAGCCTCAGTGGTTTTACCGCTTTTGTAACTGTTCATTATTAGGTTAAGCTCCACAGAGAGGGCCTGTCACTGTAGATCTAACTCTACTACAATACTCTACGCCTGTGTCAATGCAAAAAGCTTATATATGAACAGACAACATGCTAACATTGCCTTTTTCTACTCAACATTATACCAAACAGCGCGAAATTTGGGTATATTCTGACCGTGATTTCTCACGTCAGAAGCCGTTTTAGACCGCCAGAATAGCGCCAAACAGTTGCTCTGATCTGTCACTAACTTTCTGACACGTTTGCTCAACTTTTTTGGGTTCGTCAAAAATCGACCAAAAAGCATGAGGGATACCTCATGATTTTCATTGAAAATCAAACGATTGCGCTTTTGACCTCGAAAACGACGACTTTTACTATGGTATATGTCAAGTCAAAATGATCGTAGCAATCCAAAGCAAACCCTGAAGCTTTGTTTGTGAGACCTTCATATGTAAAATCTCTGCAATTTTGCCAAAAACCTTATTTTATATTTTGATGAATTGCTCAGTAAGCCTATTCAAAACATCTCTTATAGTTAGTACCATTAGATGCGTCTTGAAAAGTACTCCTAGAAAGCTTAAGGAAGCGAGTGATGATCACCCCAATTTATATAGTCGAACCTTACAAAAAAAGCTGTTCAGGTCGATTTTGTTTAGATTTTGTCCAATCTGGAGCATAAGTCAAGCGGAGTCTTAACCAATTCTAGCAGCATATAAACCACACCAATACCTTTTCCTAAAAGTAATCGAAGAGAGCCTTGGTGAGTGGGTAGAGTGATATAGCATTTCACAGAATGTGTCATTATAACAAGCATTAATACGATAATGGTCAGACATTTTGTTAATTAAGGGGAATTGCAGATCATCTCACTTTTTACGTATTTCCTAAAATGGCCGTTTGGCTTGCTCAAGTAAATACATTTCACCTTCTTTTGATCGATATGATATGCAGTGAATTGTCGTTATACTAGCAAAATTCGCAACTACAGTCATGAAAGACAATATTGCAGTAGCAACCGATGAAAAAATGGCATTTACTACATAATAGAGAAGGTCGAGACCATTTTGTAAAAAGTGTTTATCATACTATCACATTATCAAGTAAAGGGTGTTGCTTATTATTGACATTTCCTAGTGAAAAGCTTATCTTGATATGCAGGCTATCGTACAGCGGAACTTTCTGATATACAACAGTATGTTACAAACCACGTCTATAATTAACTGTACTAGTCCATTGACTGTGTTGCTGTCGGCAGGCTCGAGGCAATCGACATAAAGTATAGTAGGTCTGTCTCCAATTTATAATAAAACCAGCAACGTCCATATGCCGGTAGTACAACACACTTAATACAGTGGTGGGGAAATTTTGTGGATTGCTAATATTCGATACACACATCCAAAGGTAACCTACAAGTAGTGAAATGACGCCATTTTGAAATTGCGTTATCAATACGAATTCGATTATTCATCCTTAGTAGCCATGATTTATAAGCCTTGCTCATTTATATGTATATGATTTTACTGCGATCAGATGCTCTGTACATTTGGATAGATATGCACTTTACCATATAAATATAGAACACTAATAACCCCATTCTATATAAAATAAAATTTTTACGACATGCTGTAGTCATAAGCTTCCCACAATGACTGGACTGATATTTTTGCCGTATTCGTCCGTGTTCACATTTGTTAACGTCGTGGTTGATAAATCTATTGGTTGTTTTTGTGCTATTTTTTTAAAATACATTCTCTTCCTTCAGAAACAAGCTTCCTTCAAGTCAAAGGGTTCTATATGCAGCGTTGCTGGGCTTATATAATGCCTAAATGAGGCAGTAGATAGTATGCAACGTCGCTGGGGTTACAATCTTCTGCTGGAAGCGCATGACATGTAGTAGAAGTGACATGTTCTTCTTAAACTTATCAAAGGTAAAGAAATATCTATCTTTTGTCGACTTGTCTAACTCGATTTTGAATCTAAAATGTGTCCTTGCTGGTATCTCTTGATCAGAAATGAATTACCTTGTCTCTGCAGCAGCATAGGTTCATTTATATGATACATATTTTTTAATTTCATCCAATCAAGAAAATTTGAATAAAAATGAGTAAACATGGTTGCAAATTTTATACATGTAATGTAGTCCATAATACAGTTCTTATTCGAAGAAAAAGTCGCTGTTGCTATAAAGCTTGTTAATGACAAAGAGACATTCACGAGGTCTTAATGGTATCTCCTGGGACATAACTTTTCAACGCAAGATCCTTCAAAAGTAATATGACCATTGCAAAAAAGCGTTGTCAATGAAAGAGAATTCTATACTAATTCTCCTTCCAGCAGTGTATAAACTAGAATAGGAGATATCCAAGACAGTGCGTAATACCGATGCATATGATGAAATATGATTTCCATCTTCAACCCGTTTATTTTAATGTATTTTTCGACCCGCCCTTTAGTGTTGCGTTAACCGTACAAAAGATATCTACAGATAAGATCATATAAAGAACCGGTGATCTACAAAATGTGATTATGCCCTGAAACATGAAATGCAAGCAAATGAGAGGTGTGTGTAAATATATAGGGCACCACAGTAAACTAAATGGATAGAATGTATCAGCTGCGATTAGACAGGAATTGCATCATTTCTATGCCAGAAAACACAATTCGGCTACTATCAAAAAACCTGAGTGAATATAAAAGAACTAACCCCTTTATTTTCTTCTTCAAATCACTTTTACTCTCTCTCTCTCTCTCATTCTATTTCTCGAATTTGAATTTAATCCACTTTTCGCTTTCGTTAACGTCAACAGCATCATCAATCACTGACCACATATTTATACACACACTTACACAAGCACACACACACAATGTTGGATTTAATTATGTCTGCCGTTCAGGTAATATGTGAAATTCAAGCATTGTGATACAAAGAGTGTACATAAACTGAAAAAATCAACTTTTATAGGCAATCATGCAAGTAATGGTGATTGTACTAGTAGGCTCCATCTTATACTCGAGAGGCTACATTGACAATGAAAAGCAAAAGGTAAATGCAAATCACTATTCACAGGCTGAAATCCATAGACTGATACATTGGACTCAGTGGCTATCCAAATTGAATCTCTTCTTTTTCACACCCTGTCTGTTATTCTCCAATATCGCATCTGTCATCTCATTCGAAAAACTACTGGCTTATTGGCCTATTCCAGTGTTTTACTGTGTGTTTACATTGATCTCTTGGTTGTTGTGTCAAACAGTGATGCCCATGTTTGGTGTAGACAAATACTACAAACGGTTCATATTGGCTTGTGTGATGTTTTGCAATACCAATTCATTGCCAGTGGCCATCATTTCGAGTTTAGCAGTTTCAGAGGCAGGTAAAACTCTGTATTGGGGTTCAGATGATAATCAAGACATGGTTTCTGCCAGGTAAATCAGTAAAGCATCATCATAAGTTAAATACATGCATGCCTAACATCACACTCCTAACTTTGATTAGAGGCATATCGTATACTCTGTTCTTTGGCCTCTTTTGTAACATCCTGAGATGGTCGTATGGCTACAATTTACTGCAGCGCAAAGACGAGGATGATGATACTATTGTAGAAGACGATGTCTCAACGCATTCAAGCAGCTATGGATCATTAAATGATACCAGCAGACGCTCTTCATCAGCCACCATGTCTGATCGACGCAACGAAGATGTAGAAGCCAACAAAGCAAACGCTTCCACGCTTAAAGAACCTCATGAAACGGCTACATTATTAGATCAACGACAATCCAAACCACAATCACAACTTCAACCCTCTCCATGGATGCAATGCCTCAAATCCATCGACAAGTACATGTCGCCCCCCCTTTATGCTGCATTATTAGCCCTTTTCGTTGGCTTGTGTCCTCCCATCAAACATCTCATGTACAATACAGACTCATTCTTTTACGCCTCACTTACAAAAGCCATTGAATCTTGTGGAAAAGCATCTGTGCCTATTGTTTTGGTGTGTCTGGGCGCTCAACTGAAAAGTATCAGAGAGACACAACACGAAAGTTCTCCTAAATACCGTCAACCAGTATCGTTATCCATCTTTATCCGTATGGTATTGACGCCCCTGTGTGTGCTTCCACTAGTCTATGCGTTTGCAAAATATGGATCCAAGTGGTCAGAATTAGCCAATGATCCTATGTTTATCGTCAGTATGATTGTGGTGGGATGTACTCCTACAGCTATTAATCTAGCACAAATTACTCAAGTCAGTGGCATTTTCGAAGAGGAGATGTTGAATGTCTTGTTCTGGAGTTACGGTGTCATTTGTATACCAGTCTGTACATTTGTTGTCTTTTTGGCACTGTACATGGTTAAAAGCATGCACTAGTATAGAGCCCTTTTCTTCCTCCTTTTATCTGTACATATTCATCGTATTATTGCACATATTATTCCCCTTTTTTCCCTTTTTATAAACCCTTTTCAATAAAGTTATACCATCATAGTTTGCATACTAGAACTCCTTGTATAGATTTGATATTTTATTTCAATTTGCAATAAAGTAAGTGGGTATCCAAAATGATTCTTTTTCTCCAAATTGATCCAACCAAGCAATGCCATCTTGTAGCAAGTGTTGCTAATGCTATGATCAGTACTGAGGCCACTCAATTGAGTGTTTGCGTTGATACTTACTGTAGCAGTTTTAATTCTCTCTGGATTCCAGCCCAATTCATTCTTGATCATGTCGTAATCAACATATCCCGTTTTCTGTAAAAGTTAGTGCGGCTCTATTACAGCATCATGAGGAGATCGCAATTTACCTGGGCTAATAATAGTAAAGCCGATTGGTCTTTATCTAGTTCTTTGGGAACTGATCTAACGAGTTTCCTGTCTCCAATCAGGAGCACTTCATACCCACCACTAAGAGGCTTTAGTGTTTTGATGGCTCGTGTAATATCATCTTCTGAAATTTGCTGCTGTTGCTGTTGCTTGTCGTTGTTAGAACCTCTCATCACTTGCACTCGTCGCATAATTTCACTCAATTCTGTCAATCCGCCATCGTTGATCCTACTGACAATGCACGCTTCGATGATTTGAATCCCTAATTCATAGTAAAAGTCGCCTACACCCAACAAATCCGCCCAAAAACCCTTATTGGCTGTAATTGAGAGATTAATCACCCGTAACATATAGCTGGCTGCTGAGGTTTATGTATACTGTACACGCAAGAGGATCCACACCGATATTGGTGCACATACGTTGAAAATGGGCACGAAACGTTGGATCTTTTCGAATGTCTTTGCGATGTTTTTGAGCAAATTCTTGTAGATTGGTCTTGAAGACATCCATTTGACTTTGCAGCTATACACGTTGTTGAATGGATGAATATACATGATGCCTTGCCGATAGTTTTCTATCCGTCTGTTATACCTGCTCTAGCTCTTTCGCTGCAATAGAATCGCCAATTTGCTGAAACTCTTTCTACAATACAGATACAGCATAAGCGCATACTTTTTTTTTTTTTTGTAACACTAGATGCTATACCTCAGTTCGCTTTCTATAAGTTACGCTTGCTACTCCCACAGGCCTTCTTCTCATGATGTTGTATATAATTATATGCAAAAAGAAAAAAAAAAAAAAAGGTCAAGATTGGTAACTAACTGATGATGATCCTTCGCCTGCCATTTTAATCTACGCCCTCATGAAATATCTCATAAAATATTATCATTGACATGTTTAGCCTAAGCACACACAATATTTATGAAGATAATATAGAAAGAAAAGCATAGACAGATTTTTGTATCGACAACAAATTTAAACAGATATCAGTTTTTGATATATTCCCATGAGAAAACAGTTGGCTCTAAGTATAAGAGTTGCGAAGCTGTACAAATATAGCAACTTGAAATGCATTCATGCACGGTATAGCTACTGCGACAATGCTCTGGGATCAAATAACCAGATTCAATTGCCTTTTGGCACCTGTCGTTATTTAGCCTATAAATGTATTTATTATGGCAGTATCGTCTTGACTAGACTTGATATGTAGTCAAAACGAACAGCTATTGCGCTAACAATGTGCTATCACTGCTATTTGCTGAATCCGCTGATGTGTTGGCTCTACTTGCGAATACCAAAATCCATTTCATATTGGTCAACATGTATTTCAAAGCCTTGGTCCATAGTTCATCTTGATTGAATTGTATACGAATGGATAGGTCTCCAATTTTATCTTTGTTGATTCTGTAGGGGAGTCTCAAGCTCTTGTCTCTATCTTCTGCGTAATCCGTCAGCTGCTTCAAACAGTTTAATACAGCCACCATAGCATGATCAAATCGTCTATTCAAAAAGAACATTTTGTTGATACCAAAATCTCCAGAACCGTATCTATAGCCGAATTTTTGTTAGACGTCCAAATGCAATGCACCACTAGTCAACTTACAATTCATAAGATACGACGCTATCACCATCCACTTTCTCGATTCTTGAGAAGGATCCCATGGGCACTAATCGATACATTTTGAACTGGAATTTGAGTTTACTGGCAACTGTATACAATAACAGCAATGTTTGACCCCAAGCAGCGTTGATTTCACTCCATTCCACTTGATGCGAACTTAATCGACCCAACCTGAATCCATTGATAGTGCCAAAGGGGCCGTCATGCGATATACAAAAGGCATCATTGTATACCACCGTCTTTTGCAGTCGCTCGTATTCCTTTACATCATGATCGTATTTCAAGTTGATGGAATCTCTTTCGTTTTGAAACTGCTGTAAACTGATCTGATACTCATTGGATTTCTCCCAAAACTCTTCTTCTTGCACATCCAGACCCCTCATTTCCTTGTTCAATGCTTCCAGTTCCTCGTCTAATGCTGCTTCCTCTTGCTGCAATTTTAGCAGCTCTTCTGATGCCTCTTTTTCAGCCAGTTTCAACTAAGGGTTTCATTGAGATTAGTCATGCATTTTATCATACACATAGTTACATACATCCTGCACTTGTTTCACAAGCTCAATTTCCTCTTCTTTGGTTACCCGGTTATCTTGCACCTTTTTGAGGAATTCAATATAGCAATCCCGTTCAGTAGACACATCGTTCATCTGTTCTCTGAGTAATTCGATGAATAAATCCACACATTCCTGGCACATGGGATGGTCTACACTTGATTTGGATGACATGATTTCAAACAATCTGTTGGCTACTTTGAGTCTCTCAGACCATCCACTTGGAGGTGTCTCGCCTGTAGCTGAATTGCTGGTTGTCATGATGGGATTGGTAGCTTGTAACGTAGCGATATCACTTGAATTGAATGTATTATGGCTACTTCTCTTGGTAGAGAGAGTGGAGTTCGTGTTGCTGGGAATAAGGGAGGGGGTATTGGCATTAGATTCTACATGCGGCAAGAGGACATAAGATTCGGAAGGTGCTGGATAGCTATCTCGTTTGTGATTACTGCTGTTATTGTAACCAGAAAGACTAGGCGACAAAGGTGATGGCTTGATGCCAACAAGTCGAGTGTTGAGTGGTGTAGGTGGCGATTTGGTATTTTGCGACAAACGACGTTTTTGAGCGTCTTTCTCATACTGTTCCTCAGACGTCAATGGAGCTGTTACAGATGGTGAGTACTTGATATAATGTAGGAACAAGAGCGATAACTACCTATCAGCATGTCCACAGAAGCTGGGTCTAAGTTTGCTAGTGAATCATCAATCCTTAGAGGTTGTTTGCATCGTAAGCATTTAAAGGCCATTTTTTTTTGTAAAGAGAAGGAAAGATGCAAATTGGACTGGTTGGATTGTGGCATAAAAGTGAGTTGCAATCTGTTCCGCTCTTCCAATGCCACGTGATTAACCAAGCAGATCAGATGCACTGCCATCATCCAATACCTCTATCCAGCTAGTATATAATAGAATTTGGCATTTTAACTGTCTTGAACTACTAAGATGGTTTCAATAACTAATTATGACCTATGGATTTTGCTCTTCTAGGATGCCCCATGTCTCTATCGATGAGAAAAATGTAATCTCTAGTAGACAACCTTTATTATTGCCTTTTGTAACTCGAAAATGTGCAAAATACAGCGTAATTTGTGTCAATTTGGGCGATGATTTCTCGTGTTAGCGGCTGTTTTAGACCGCCAGAATAACACCAAACAATTGCTCTAATCTGGCAGTTACTTATTGGCACTATTGCTTAGCTTTTTGGGGATCCAAAAAACATGGACAAAATTCGACCAAAAAGCATGAGGGGCACCTCATGGTTTTCATCGAAAATCAAACGATCGCGTTTTTGACCTTGAAAATGAAGACTTTTACTATGATATGTGTTGGATCAAAATGTTTCTCTCAATCCAAAGCAACCCTTGAAACCACTTTTATGAGACTTTCATATGCGAAATATGGCTATTTTCGCTAAAAATTTCATTTCATATTTTATTACATTGCTCAGTAGTTTCAGTAAAAACACTCATCACAGTTAGCACCATCGGAAGCGCCTTGAAAAGTACTTCAAGAATGTATTAGGAAGCGTAGGGTGATCATGACAGTTTGTATAGTCGAATATTAGAGATTAAATTAAAGAAGTCGAAAAAAGACAATATTTGTCCAATCTTGAACAGAAACAAATAAACTGGGTTTGAATTGATTTTGGCGACGGGTGGCATTGCTGCTGGCTGACCTAAATGCCTTTCTGCTGATGACAATGATGATTGCGATGCTGATTAATTAGGGATCATGGAATTGAAAGGACAATTGCTTAACGCAAATACTTTTTTTTTGTGAAGCTTTGACTCATGAAGGCGTCTTTTGCAATGACAATGTCTCAAAAAAATCTCTGTAGATCTTACGCAAGTCCTGTATTTACCTATGGCCAGCTTCATGTTACCATCTTAAGAGCATCAGCAGCAGCGAATGGTGTGACGATTCTACTATCAGAAAATGGAGATTGTGATGTACACATGCTGCGTAAAACTTGAGTTTTCTTTCATATCGTCTCAATAATAGGCTTTGTTTGATATCAGTGTAAGCAAAAAGGGTGCTAAGGGAGATACCTCCTCCTCCTCCTGGCTCTAACATAACCTTCTTCTATTAATAATTGGTTGTTTAAAATCTATTTGATAAACCAAAATTTTATTATATCTGTTTAAAATGTCTCCAGCGAAAGCCTGCAGGGCGACGCTGACACCGAACGTAGCGAAGTAGATTGGCTAGTTTGAAACATACTATATACTAATTGATCTTCTTTTTCACTCGGTCAGCACTGCAAATATGGACCCAAACTCAGTTAACCAAAATGGAGATTACTTCAACTAGAACAGATAGTAGCACAATCAAGCGCCCAACCTTCAGCAGAGCCACAGAAATTCCGTAACGTCAACATGGATGCCGATGATGAAGAGACCACCTCTGCTCTTCATTCTCTAAGAATTAAACCATCATACTCTTGGTCTCCTACACCATTTCTTTCCGAAGTCCTTGCTTTGGACTCATCACTTTTTCCAACGCTATCTTCAAATGCTTAAGGATTGTCGCAATGTATTACTTAATGTCTCTGCTCAAATCAATGATATGCGTAATAACTTTGCCTTTCAGTCTATTAACCCTTCTTTCTTATCCAGTGCCTCGATAAGTGCTAGTAATAATAATTTTATTGTGTCATTTGCTGATTTCCAAGCTGCTTTAGTTCAACAAACTACCACATTTCAGGCACTTAAAACTGCTAGTGCTCTTCGTAGTTGTAGTTGCACAGAAACAACTCAGACGAGAGCTGATCATTTTATTAAATGCCTTCTATAAAGACAGCGAAAAAGAAAGGGAAAACAGAGGGGGTGTATTATACAAATGATTTCTGCCAATTTACTTAAACTTCTATAATCCTGGAAGCAGCTTTTCTCAATCTGTTCATAACAGCCATTCCCTCCCTATCTTCAGAAATACCTTCCACAAAGATGAGATCCACAGCCTGAGTATCCAATTCACGCAAGCCCTTGAACATGCCACGAGCAACTTCCTCAGGATGTCCATGACGGCCCATTTGAAGAGACACGCACTCAACATTATCAGTGGTGGACGTTGTCTCCCAAACTGCATCATGGCCATCTTGAGTTGTTCTCAGTATGCCAATCTTGGATACACCTACACCAGATGCTTGAATGGCCTTTAATTGCTCCTTCCAGACTCTATCAAACTTTGTGTCAAATGCTGTATCTACTTCTTCCTTGCGATCAATCAAAATGACCATAGCTTCAGGCGAATAATGACGGTACTTCATGCCGGGTGTGGTAGGTGCTGCCTCCAGTTGTTTATCCACAAAATGCTTTCTGTACACTTGCAGGTTGTTCATGCCTTGTACTTGATTCAATGCTTCATAAGTCAATCCACCAGGACGCAAAATAGCTGGAGGACTACGAAGCCCATCCAAGACAGTGCTTTCGACACCCACATCACATGCACCTCCATCCAAAATCAAGGGAATACGGCCTTGAAGATCGTGAAACACATGGCTTGCGAGTGTAGGTGAAGGTTTGCCGGATGAATTAGCAGAGGGAGCGGCTAATGGGAAGCCACATGCTTCGATCAGGCTACGCGCAACAGGGTGAGCTGGGAAACGGACAGCGACAGTTGGATGTCCACAGGTAACAGAGGTTGGGATCATGGGTGATGCAGGCAGGATGATGGTCAATGGGCCTGGCCAATGCTGTTTAATGACGGGCATGTACACTTCGGGTACATGGTTGTCAGGCAAAATACTCTTGAGCATGTCAATGGAGGACACATGCACAATCAAGGGATTGTCCTGGGGTCTGTTCTTGGCAGCAAAGATCTTGGAGACAGCATCTGCATTCAAGGCATTGGCAGCAAGACCATATACAGTTTCTGTAGGGATACCGATGGCTTCGTTCTTGGACAACCAAGCAACAGCCTCCTGGATGGCCTGCTTATCGTGTTCGCTGGTAATGACACTGATGGCATTCTGCTCGGGAAACTCGCTGTGTGTTGCGTTTTCAAAGGTGAAATTGGATGCGCTCACTTTGCGTACTTGAGTGTCGAACATGGTGGAATAAAAGGATCGTTGTAGTAGTCGTATAGATGGTAATGAAGCAGTCCGAAAGGGAAGCCGCATGTAGTAGCTGTTGTATAACGAGAAGAAAAAAAAAAAAAAAAAAAAAAAAAAAAAAAAAAAAAAAAAAAACTGGAGAAAATGACAAATCATCCTCTTGTCTAATGTTGTAACACACACACACTGGGATTTCTAAGCCACTCATCGAACTGATTTCAAGGCACAGTTTCAATTCACTTGTCATGAAGAAATAGTAATTGAGAATGCTACTGATTTCGATAGAGTTGTGTGTCTACTCTTGGTTGGTATCAATGTAAGTGATAGCTAGTGGTTACATGTCGACAGTTGAATACGGTCAAATTGACATTTCTTCTCTGATCACATCATAAAGCATTGCTGCTTGCTGCCTTCCTTAGAATATGATTTGGCATCAAGAATAGGGATATGTATTCAAGCTCATGTAGATACCTATCACCTGCATTGGTCCACATAAGCTTCCAGCATAGCATTGACACGCAACATGGCATATCTCACTTGTACAACAACCTGGTTGGTTTGCAGAAGCGGAGAGGGGAAAGAGGCACGATGGAACTTGAATTCTCGTGGTGAATTTACACTTCTTTTTCCTCATCTCTTTCGAATTAAATAAGCAAAAACCATGCTATCCAACTCGTTCGTGAAGCGTTTTCGAAAACTGGATGCGTACGCTAAAACATTAGACGACTTTCGAGTGCGTACCGCGACTGGTGGAACAGGTAATGTCTAATCCATGTTGTTCTCATTCACACTAATCTGAACAACCTCAGTGACTCTGGTGAGTGCTGTTACCATCTTGTTGCTTGTCTTGTTTGAAGTGATTCGCTACATGACTCCAGTCATGCAATCAGAGATCATTGTGGATGGTGGCATCATGGTAAAATAGTGGAAAAGTTGAACCTGATATGTAGACACACACATTCATCACCATATGAACTACAGGAGAAGCTGCCCATTACCTTTGATATCACATTTCCTCATCTTCCTTGCTATAGTAAATATATGCCATTCCACGCTACAATGCAATCAATGCTTACACACACATTTGCCAATAGTGCTCAGCTTGGATGTCATGGATGAAAGTGGAGAGCATATCAGTGAATATGATCATGATGTATACAAGGAGAGATTGGATGCAAGTGGAAAGACCATATTGAAAGAGAAATCAGAAGGTAGAATATGTACGTGGCAAGCATGGACAACAGGTACTAATAAATCCCCAATCACAGATTTGCGTAACAAGGCAGCGAAAATGGCCATGGCAAATAATGGTGTGGTACCTGACGACTACTGTGGTCCTTGCTATGGTGCCAATGTGGGCGGTGTAGCCAATCCTTGCTGTAACACTTGTGAGGAGGTGCAACGTGCCTATACAGACATGGGATGGAGCGCAGATTCAGACAGTTTTGAACAATGTGTTAGAGAGGGATGGAAGGAAAAGACTACGGCACAATCGCGAGAGGGATGTCGCATGCACGGCACACTGTCTGTCAACAAATTGCGAGGCAACTTTCATTTCTCTGCTGGAAGAGCCTTCAGCCAAGGAGGGTCTCATATTCACGACATGTCGTCCTTCTTGCACAATGAGTTTAGCCAGAACTTTATGCACGAAATCCACCATTTGCAGTTTGGATCTCATGAATACAACACACACAAACAGAAACGAACCAAATCCAGTGTTCTCATCAATCCATTGGATGCTACAAAGTGGGGCAATATGCAAGGTAAGAGAGTGGTGGAATGATAAAAATTGGTTTGGATGGACAAATCAGACATTGACACACACACACACGTATGTAGCTGCCATGATGTATCAATACTTTCTCAAGATTGTGCCTACTGAATTCGACTTTATCAATGGCAAGCAAACCAGAACGTTTCAGTACTCTGTCAGCAAGCAGGACCAACTTGTGAACCAGGGCGGTGGACTGCCAGGCGTCTTCTTCATGCTGGATCACTCTCCCATGCGTATCATCTATTCAGAATCGAGACCCACATTTGGCAGCTTCTTGACCAGTCTATGTGGTATTATTGGTGGTGTATTTAGCGTGGCTAGCATCATTGATAGCGCCTTGTATAGGGCTGAAAAGATATCCAAGCAGAGAAAGGCAATGTAAATAGTAAATAAAGACCCCGTTCCATGAATATCACTTGGTGTAACTGTTGTTAGTGCGAATTCACCCGCTTTTTCGGAGCGACCCTCCACTTGGCTAGTAATGAAATGAAGGGGATGTGTCCTAAAAAACATCTAATTGAGTTTGTTTTCACATTTACTCACGATGGGGGGGCTCTTAATGTACAGCACAGACATTCAGTTGACTGATGCTACTAAAAACATGAGCTCATGAATCAAGTGTTGTATAAATAGAGCACAATAAGACTAAGCACTCGCTGTTTTTATCGTACGGTTCATATATACTCAATGCCTTTCTTCCCCTAGTGTGTGCCTCAGGGGTAATATAATCGCAGCATTGAAATCTCAACTATTTTAGTGTAGCAAGGACGCCATGATTCTCGGATAAAAACGTCATAAGATTTTGCAAGACATGTGAATAGCAATGATACCTTCAAAGTCGTATACACAGTATATATAATGCTCCAACATCTCCTCTCCCCTCCTCTTTTCTCTTTTCTCTAACCTTTTTTGTTTCCACTTGAACATTTCAATCATGTCTATTACTCGTGTACACGCTCGCCAAATCTTTGATTCACGCGGTAATCCTACCGTTGAAGTGGAAGTTTCTACCGCTAAAGGTGTCTACCGCGCTGGTGTTCCTTCTGGAGCTTCCACCGGCGTTCATGAGGCTCTTGAGCTTCGTGACAAGATCAAGACTGAATACATGGGAAAGGGTGAGTCGTTTCATCAAAGAATCAAGGTCATTCAACTAACACATGTCTCATTCTAGGTGTCCTTCAAGCCGTCAAGAACGTCATTGAGATTATTGGCCCTGCCCTTGTTGAATCAGGTCTGAATGTCGCTGACCAAAAGGCCATTGACAAATTCCTCTTGGAACTCGACGGTACCGACAACAAGAGCAAGCTCGGTGCAAATGCTCTTTTGGGTGTTTCCTTGGCTGTTGCTAAAGCTGGTGCTGGTGAAAAGAACGTTCCTCTCTATGTCCACTTTGCTGATTTGGCTGGTTCCAAGCAACCCTTTGTCTTACCTGTCCCCTCTTTCAATGTCATTAACGGCGGCGAACATGCTGGTAACAAATTAGCTATGCAAGAATTTATGATTATGCCCACTGGTGCCGAATCCTTTACTGAAGCCATGAAGATTGGCTCTGAAGTCTACCATCACTTGAAAAATGTCATCAAGGAAAAGTATGGTCAAGATGCCACCAACGTAGGTGATGAAGGTGGATTCGCCCCCAATATTCAGGACAGCCGTGAAGGTCTTGATTTGCTCGTCTCAGCCATTGAGAAGGCTGGTTATACTGGTAAAGTCAAGATTGCTATGGACTGTGCTGCTAGTGAATTCTATATCGATGGAAAGTATGATTTGGATTTCAAGAATCCTAATGCCAACCCTGACGACCGTCTCACTGGTCAACAACTCTCTGAACTCTACAAGTCCTTTGCTGAAAAGTATCCCAGTAAGTTGTGGTTTAGTAGTGCTCGTGTGATTGTGTACTGACTCTGTTCAATCTAGTTGTCTCTATTGAAGATGCCTTTGACCAAGATGATTGGGAGAACTGGGCTCATCTCTTGGAGAACTCTGATTTCCAATTAGTGGGTGACGACTTGACCGTTACTAACCCCAAGCGTATCGCTATTGCCATTGAAAAGAAGGCTTGTAACGCCTTGTTGCTCAAGGTGAACCAAATCGGTACTGTCACTGAATCTATCCAAGCTGCTCTTGACTCTCAAGCTGCTGGTTGGGGTGTCATGGTGTCTCATCGTTCAGGTTGGTAGTCATTTCTATTATGTAAGAACCATTTAACCAACAACTCTACAGGTGAAACTGAGGATTCTACCATTGCTGACCTTGTTGTTGGTCTCCGTACTGGTCAAATCAAGACTGGTGCTCCTTGCAGATCTGAAAGATTGGCCAAATTGAACCAATTGCTCCGTATTGAGGAAGAGTTGGGCAAGAACGCCATCTACGCTGGTGAGAACTTCCGCAAGGCTCATTTATTGTAATTTCCATCATAGAGAATTCACCATATTTTTATGATATGACTCTATGATTCACAATGTAATAACCTATTTTATTCTACATCATTCTTATACACACAATTTATACATATTTTATCAAAAATCCCTCATTTTTATATACATGTCTCCAAAACTCAATTGGAGATGAGCTTTTTTACTGCAGTAAAATATAAAAAGTGCGTCTACTTTTGTTCCAACTATACACAATCGTCCTGAAATTTGTCTTTTTGGATCTGTTTGATACAAGCCCCCTGATCTTTTGATGTGCGTGGAAATGTCATGTTACTTGAATTCAAATGAACTGCTTTATTACACAAAATGCAGGTAGAAATAGCTTATTTACGAGCTTTTTGTCTATAATAACCAGTAAAAAATCAGCCCACCATTGTCATTAAGCAACTACCCACACTTTACCTTGATTCTTTATCGTCTTCCAATACCTTCTTGATCAATTCATCGATTTCGGTGACTTTGAGGATGGCAATTTGTGAACATCTCAATACTTGATCCATCTCTAAAGGTATACCACCTGCTTTCGATAAAGCGCAAATCTCCTTGTGTATGTTCATTGTAATTGTCATGTCGCCTTCCTTTGCTTGCTCCTCAAGATAGCTAGGATCAACAACTAAAAGCTCACTATTCATGCACACATTAGCTGATTTGGATCCATCTATGCTTTGATAACAGCATACCCTTTATCATAAAACGAGAATGTGATACAGATTGGTATATGGTGAATACTCAAGGGCACTGGATTTCTTTGATCGACAGGGTGCTACAAATGCCACATGAGATTTAGCACACGACTCCGTTTTCAAACGATTTCACCATCCATCCTACTTACGATTGTAACTTCTTCACCAGACACTGTAACATCTGGACGTCTGAAATGCAATAAAGCAGTGATGGCCGCTATGGAAGCACAATCCACAAGGTTGCCGTCATGGTCGAGGAACAAGAGATCCACACGGATCTGCCATACTTTTTCGCCTGCAACAATACAGAGGCCTTCTGTGTCAATGGCTCTACTTCTACGCAATGCTTTTTCCACAATTCTACTGATCAAAACCTCTTCCTCTGAACGACTAGATATAAACATGTTGTTAGCATAATGACAGGTGGGTTGAGTGATCAAGTGTACATTACGATCCAGATTCAAAGAATGGAGCAGCCATAGGAGAGATCTCTGTGTTGATCAGGAATTGACCTTCTGTGGGCTTGTCTGCCATGGGACGAACCACTTCAGCAGAGACATTGGCTGCTACTCGAGTTCTACCAAGCTGCACTTCGACGTAACCAAAATCCAACCCCAATTTGATGTCGAGAGAACGCATGTCGTACACTTCACGGCCATCGACACGTCTACCTTGTCTGAGAGACTCCAAGAGGAAATTGACCTCATTGACACTAGGAATCGCTTCTCTCACCATGTTACTATATTGTTGACTGTAAAAGAGAGAAAAAGAAATGTAGTGTGCTGATGCCCAAATGAAAAGGCTTTTCCATCCCAAGATGACTTTAGACAAGTCGCAAGAGTCACTGTTTAGAGTCACATTACAATGCCTTTCCTCTAGTTTTTTTCACCTTTCTTGTGATATAAACCCTTCTTTTGTTGCATCAAACATGTCTAGTACAAACCATTCATCGGATCTCTTGAACGTGAACGGCAAGAACAAAGCACTTGGTATAGCATGCAAATGCTGGACTCATACACTCAATGAACTCACAATGTCTAATTTAGATGAGCTTGTCAATACCAACAGTAATGCAAACAAAAGCAACAAAAGCATCAATGACATTTCATCCATGTTGATTGATTCAGAGAGCAAAAAGACATTTCCGGTTGGACAAAGCGATAGTATGTTCATTCACAACTTGGAGTTATTTAGATACACATTTCCTAATCTTGCATGTCAGTTTTATCCAGAGTACAAGCCTTTTTACCTCAATTGAAGAATGCCAATGAACAGCTCAAAAAATCAGATCCGTCTAAATTAGACATTGAAAATGTGGATGAAGAAGACGGCCAATACATTGAAATGGTAAGATGACGGATTCAGGTGAGTTGCTTAGACAGTAGACTGACTTGATCATGACTAGAATCTTGGATTGGGTGTTTACGAGGAAAAGAAGCCAGGACAATTGGATAGCGAAGATGATGAGGATGAGGATAGTGATGAGGAGAAATTGATTATACCCAATAGTGCACCTGTTGAAAAATCAAAGAAGCCTTCGATTGAAATGCTGGATGAATAGATAGTGTTGGCTTGATCCGGATCATGGTTTCTGCAAGAAGAGGGGAATAAACCCTTTTCTGATCTCGTAACGTAGGCCTCCACTAATTTTGAAAATATTCGACAATAAAACCAGGTGGTATTGGTTAAGCTTCCACAATGGGGATACCCTAGACACATTGCTTTGAATAGCTATTCCATTGTTATATGGCTCCCGAAAACAGTGCCATTTTGATATCTCTCTTGAGACATGCTTGTTCTTCCCAAAATACTTCATCACCGTAGTGCACCTTAGATTTTCTCCTTTGAATATATATCCGTTGATGCTTTGCTTTTTGAACTGCAACTCTTTCCACAGCGACATTTTCTTTTCATCAAATCGTGAACAATATGTCAGAAAACCGGCACAAGAGAAGTTCGGAAAGTGAAGCGTCTACGAGTGCAGGTGGCCCCAAATGACTTGGTATCATTCCGCTACTGACTTTGGTAAGTCTATGCCTGCCTGTGCTTTTTGATTCAGAGCGCGTTTGTCTTTCGTTCATAACTAAGATAACTGACAATACAACTTTATGGGAATACAAGGATATATTTCTGGAACACTTATAAGATTTGAAGATGAAAAAAATTGCAGAAAAGGCAGCATATTGAAGAGCTTTTTCATTTCATGGCAATTTACAACTTAAAAACTAGGCTCAATGACAAAAACACTGTTCTCGTTGAATTGAAGCATGCAATGCTATACCATAGTTTTCAACAATAATTAGAACGATTGTCTGGTGGTGGGTTAGCCAGAATAATACTGTTATTGCAGTAACAACGCGAACAACATTGTGCTGAGTGCAGTGAAATCAGGTTTAAATAGATTTCACAAAAAAAATAAAGCAAAGGTAAAATACAATAGAAATCAACTGTATTTTATTTTGTGTATAAAATGAACTGAAGATCCTGGAATTGAGTAAAAAAAGAAGAGTATTTATACATTTGCATCTGGCTTGTAGGATTAGTGATGATAGAGAGCAATAGGTGCTGCTATTGCGATATCTGGCAAATGTTGTTGATGTTTGATTTAAAGTGGTAATCAATGCAGGAGCACTGGCCATAAGGGTCGATTTGAGTAACCTTGATGGGCTTGGGTGAGCTATCGTCATAGCATGATTTAATGTAACCTTGATGGTTTAAAGTGTGATGTTTGTTATTGAAGCATGGAATCCTTTATCTGGGATATTGTGCAACTATGGCAGCAGGGCATAGTTGTCATATTTGAATATGCTTGTTATTGATTTAATTCTATTTGGATAAAGATACCATTACTTATTACGACCATCATGGGTGTGATTGAATACACTGTGATCAGGAGTGATTCATTCACACGATGTGCGATATAAGCATGCATCTTTACTTTAGTATTTTTAAATGGGTTTTTTGATGTACATTTGAGCGCTTTCATTAATAGATCCAAATAGCATGAATTTGAATGAGTGCTATTTGATGAACTTTGGTTTTCAATTAAGTTGCGTTTGGGTGGCTATTTCATTACACTGAGGTAGTAGTGCCTATGTAACTTTCCTTGCATAATAACTGTTAAGCACAAAGAATAAAAGGATTATTACTTGTAGCTTATAAAAAATGGTCGATATTATAAAAACAAGAAAAGACTTATTTGAATAAGATCAGACACAAAATCTAAAGATTTATTGATGAAGACAAGAGTTATTCTATTTATACTAAGTTCTGAATGCCAAAGTAGCAATTTATCTTGTACAATGCTTATCACATCTGGTGAACCTCAGTATTTAGATAGCTGAGATGCACTTCAATTATCATAGCTTGTCTGTGTTGTTGCACAACACAGACATATCTATCCATCAAGAATACCTTAATCTTTATAGACAGTTGTAGCCCTTCTGGCACAACAATAACTTTAAAAGACATTTCTGACGCGCAACTGTTGTGCAACGGAAGTTAGGTTAAACAATTGCATCTAATCATATTTTTAAATAAAGAAGAGCTTAAATTATATCTATTTAGATGCCCTTTTATTACAAACACAAAACCTGTTATAAATGACAGATCAATAAGAAATCAACTAGTTGCAGACCTTCGTTGCTTCAACTTCTTAGCCAATCAGATTGCTTGAAAACTCCGCTGACCTAAAAAAAATTTTGCGAGGGTTTCCCCCTGTTTTGATGTGAGGCAAAATTTTAAGCGCCGCTATATATAGCAATATAGCCGCTGCTATCATCAAATTTCCCCCAGGTGCTAGAGCATGCCTTACTTACACCACCTAGCTTTAGATTCAGGCGTTGAGACTCTCAATCATCACTAAAGTAAGTAGCGATAACCAAGTAGAGGCGGCCTATCTACCTCCTAGCCTCGGATAAAGTCTTGTTGAGCTTCAGGGATAGGCACATCCACACAACGTAAAAAAAGGTATGCTTCAAAGAAACATAATAATAATAAAAGAAAAGAATATAATACTATACGAGTATAGCAGTACGTAGGCAAAAAGAGACACTCACATGAAGTGAATCAAAGAAAAGCATAACAAACGCAACATCAAAGATGTTCAAAACAGCTTGTTGTTGCAATAAAATTGCATACATGAGCAACGTGCATGGTAGTAATAATCGGATGTAAAGCAACATGGCACAAACACGCACAACTGCAAAAGCAACAGTGGTATTATAAGTTTGCAATACAGCATAATGACTAATGTTGTTTCATGTAAAGCTACAGAGGAAACACTACCAACAAAAGAAAAAGAAGAAGAAGAAGAAGAAAGCGCAACAAGGCAAACATCATGAATGCGTTATCACGAGAAAGGAAGCAATCATATAGACGTTCAAAGAAGTTTTATATTATTGCGACCAGAAGAAAGAAAATACTTACCACTTACCACAGCTACAGAGAGACCAGAAAAGTATAGGCAATCACCAGAGACAAACCAGAGAGCAAGCATGCACCAAAGACAGTAGACCAGGAAAGACCAGATTAGCAGTAGCAGCAACACCAGCACCATAAAGAAACCAAAGAACGAACGATACCAGCAGAGACCAGACCAAGACCAAAGAAGCAACCACCAGACATGATAAACAAAAGAAGCAGGCAGCAGAGATGGCCGAGAAGTAATAACAGCAGCGATCACTCAAACAAGCAAAAAATCATTAAAACCTAATAAACAAACTCAATTAGTGTTAATTCTACGCCTTCCAATGCTCGTTTTCGAATGTCACCTAATATATTCCATTTCAAAGAAGCAGTATCAAGTTCTTCCAACAGTACAATATAGAGTTACCGAAAGCTAGAGTGCTATGATCAATTAAACGGTTTCCAAAACCACCATGGTTTGATGCTAAACGCGTTTTGCAAAAAGGGGAAAAAAAAACGGGGATACGAAAAATGAGAGAGCACGCTATAACCGACGTCACCGCCTGTAGATTTAGTCTCAGTAATGTACCGTAGCAGCGGTAATTGCGGCAATTTAATTTGAATTTGTGCAGTGGTATTTTCGTGTTCAAACTTGACTTGATTTCACATCCTCATGGCTCTTCCCGATAAACAAACATTGCCTAAAGGACGAGATCCTAAAGGTGGAAAAGCCACGGATTCTCGCCACAACGCCACCAAACAAAAGGATCCTATGCGGTCATATGCGCAAATCCTGAAGTCGGATCAAACCAGGGACACATTTGATCTGACATCTCGCAACTCTGACGAGCTGGGCCAGCTCACCGAGGGGGGACAACTATTCCTCCACGCCAGGGACAAGAACTCTGTGATCATCTCGACTGAGCAATTCCTTGCATTGCAGGTTAATTTCAAGGATCTTGCGATAGTACTTCGTAATCAGTTCCCGGATGCCTTGGGTCTTCGCATCCGTAACGTCAGTCAAACCACCAAGTACTTTGAAATCAATTTTCGCACTGCTGAAGCCAGGGAGACCGCCCTGAAGAAAGAGTTTACCTATGAAGGAAAGCAAGTCATTGTCAGCCGTACCTATCCTAAGGACGCTACCATTGTTCGGGTTAGTGTAAGCAATCTACCTTATGAAGACGAGGAGACGCTGAAGGATGCAATGTCAACAATTTTTGGTAAATATGGAGAAATCTTGGAGATGGGTCTGCTCCATACTGTGCATGGGCACTTCTTTACTGGTAGAGGTTTCGTCACTTTGAATCTCATTCCTGGTAAAGAGTATGCACCTCTGGTACCTCAAATTAACTCTTGGGAATCTGGTGAAACTCTCAAGATTACCTACACTGGTATGAAGCCTACCTGTAGTCGTTGTCATGTCACTGATCATGTCTTTGGCAACTGTCCTGTCATGAGTCAACGAGTGAAGCACTGTCATATCTGCAGTAGCCCTAATCACTTACAAGCCACATGTCCGGGCGCATGGTGGAATCAACGCAAGAAGGCTGCCAAGTTGAACACAACACACACATCACCACATCAGTCGAAGGCTACTGACAAGGAGGCAGCGCCTGCAGTACTTACACCTGCTAAGGCAGATGTGAGTACTTCTGACAAGTCGAAGGTTACTAAACCCTTCATTACAGATATCATCCCAGCATCTTCTCAAGAATCAACCATCACCAATTCCAATACCACGGAATCCTCTTCCACTGTTGAAGAGACAGCACCCATTCCATCTAGTGATGAGGATGGAAAGGACGTCGCTGACACTGGGGAGGAGCTCACCAAGGCGGTTGAAGCGGGTGATTCTGAACAAGAGAGTTCAACGGTTATTCAGGAGCAACAAGGCGACACTCCGGAAGATGATCTTAATGATGAGATGGATGGTGACGACGACGTCGATGATAGCGATATCAACATGGAGGAAGCGGCCAAGGAGGCGGCAAGCAGCTCTATACCTCTGGATGAGGTTCTCCAGAAGATGAGGCGCCAGCTCAGGCTTCAACGTCGCAAGGCCAAGCAATTGCACAAGGACAACAAGGACAAGGCATCACGCCCTCGTCACGGTGGAACGGCTTCGAAGAAGAAGGCTTCTACCAACCCCTCATCACGTCAATAATTATTATGAGTAATCATAATAATTATAGGAAATCCTTAAATATCAAATTTGGATCTCTGAATTGTCGATATCTACTCAAAGTCAACAATCCTCAATCCTCAGATTCCTTCATTCGATACTTAAGGGGGCAAGATTTAGATGTTTTTGCTTGCCAGGAAACCAACATACCCTCTCTCAACTTTGACGACAGGATTGCAATGCTCGACCTGAAATTTCAATCCGTTCAAAGTATTTGGACATCGAAATGCGGCATCTTCAACTTCAATAGAAATATTCACATGGAGAAGATACACATTTCTGATGATGATAGAATTATATTTGCAAAATTGACGATACCCGCGGAACCAGACCTGTTGCCCATCTATGTGCTCAACATCTATGCGCCTGCGGATTCATCTCAGAACAGAGCCATTTTCTACAACAGCCTTATGAACTACATCCAGTCTCTTGATTCATATGGTGACATATTGGAGCGTTTGATTTTGGCGGGCGATTTCAACTTTCAATACGACCTTCGTTTGCCCAACAACGCACCCACCAAACGACCAGCAGCATTTGTCTTGTTTACGGATACCTTCCTTCATGATTGTAACAACAACTACAGTGACTCCCTCTTTGAAACTCTTCCAACCTTTCGACGGGGCAAGGTCATTAAAACGCTTGACTACATCTTGGTGGGCCGCCAGCTGAAGGAACTCTACTTTGACAATAACGTTGAGCACGTCTCTTCGGTGTGGACTGACCATGCTTTATTGACCATCAAGCTGCGTCTTCACCTCAACAACACGGGCAAAGGGTTATGGCGGGCCAACCCCAACCTGGTGCACTACAAGTCCTATGTGAAGAAGATCCACTCTGGTATCAGCCACTTCATGCAGACCATCCTTGCTAACTCCTCAGATAGCAATCAGATCAAATGGGACCGTTTGAAGGGCTACATCCGAAAATTGACTAAAGCTTACTGCAGTAACCGTGCCTCCTGGAGGAAACAGCGTCTCAAGGATCTCCAAAGCTCTCGGAATCAGCTCATCCGTCGGTTAAAAGGTGATCAGGAAGCATTGCAGCAGGAACTCCCCAAGGTTGAGAAACCTATTGCTCAGTTGGAACATGAAATTGCCCTCAATGCTACTCTCAAAGCGGGTAGACTTTGGCTAGACAACAACGAACACTCGATCGGCTTCTTGAAGAAGACGGGTGAAAGGCGTCTTGCTCAACGGACAATGGACACTATCACTCACCCAACGACAGAAGTTCCCTGTACTACCACTGCGGATAAGCTGGAGGCGGTTCATGCTTACTATGATGTGCTGTACTCTCCCGAGCCAACTCATCGTTACTCTATGGACAAGTTGCTCAGAGGTATCCAGAATACAATTTCCGTGGACGATGCTGAATTCATTATCTCATCTATTGACATGGATGATATTCTGAAATCTGCTACCCGTTGCCCCAAGGTCAGTAGCCCAGGCAGAGATGGACTCCCTTATCCCATTCTTCGTCTGATATTGGCTCACCCTGACTGCAAGGATCTCGTGCTTGCTGTATACAACGACGCTCTCAATCTCGGTGTGTTCCCACCCTCTTGGCAGGAAACGTGTATAGTGCTCTTACCTAAGAAGGGTGATCTGTGGAACTTGGCAAACTGGCGTCCGATTTCACTTATCAACACTGATTGCAAGGTATTCACTAGGATCTTGAACTCAAGGGTCATTGGAGCGGCCAACAAGGTCATCACTGGACATCAAGCAGGCTTCATGCCTACACGATTTATTGGTGATCACGGTCTTGCTCTGCGACTCCTCATGGAGGACGCCCAATTACATTCTAATCGTGCTGTTGGTGTTGCAATTGACAGTGCCAAGGCTTACGATTATGTAAACGAACAGTATATTTGCAAGGTGCTCCAGAAGTTTGGTTTCCCCTCTACATTCATTACCAGTGTTCGTAATCTGTTCTTTAAGACCAAGATTGCGATCAATGTGAATGGGTTTATGACGGATCCAGTGTCTCAAAAGCGTGGGCTTCGCCAGGGCGACTCCATCTCCCCTGTGCTTTTTAACTTTGCTCTAGAACCTCTTCTGCTGGCTATTCTAAACGATGAGAAAATCAAGGGATACCCTATCCACACTGCTGCTGTCAAGTCGTCTTCCCTGCAATTGGTGGCGCCCGCTCCTGTCAAATTGCTGGCTTATGCCGATGATCTGCTGGTACTCGTCAATAATTGTGCAGAAATGCAGGCCATTCAAGACCACATCTCATGCTATGGTCGAGCGTCTAATGCCCGGGTCAACTATCACAAGTCCATCGCCTTCCCTTTGGCTGGAGATAGGTCCCGCGTGCGTCCTGACTTGTTTCGCCTCTCTAGTCGGCTCCAGTTTCAATGGTACGACTCGGATAGTCCATCTTACATTAAGTACCTTGGCTATCCTATATGGTTCAGCAAAGTCCAGCGAGATGACTTCTGTGAAGGAACTATCCTCAAGCTTCAAGCCTCCCTGGATAGACATCGTACAAGAAGCATTTCTGTCTACGGTCGTGCAAACATGGTAAATTCGTTGTTCCTAGCTCGCTTTTGGCACATGCTGCGTGTCACTACCCTGCCCACCGCTTTTGAGCGAAAGATCTCTTCCTTGGTGTACCAATTTGTCTGTCATAAGATTGTACCCACCATGAAGAAATCCGTCATATACCTGCCAAAGCATGTCGGTGGTCTAGGCGTCATTGATATTAAGGTGCAACAGCACATCTTGCAACAACGCTATGTTCGCGCTTTGCTTTTGGATAATCAGGTCTCTCGCCCCATTCCTGCTTTCCTCATGCAACTGCTATGCGCGTTCATACAGGTCACCTACGGGGCTGCCCACCCTCAACTGCCATTGCTGTTCCGTAACCTGCGTTTTGGAACCTCATTGCCTCACCAACACTGCTTGCTGCCAATCCTCCGCTCGGTGGATGCCTTTGCTGTTGAAGCGTCTTGGTCTGATTGTGGTTTGTCGGTGGATACGTTGTTACAGTTGCCTATGACAGTGCTCTTTGATCCGGCAACTACCGATCCCAGTCTTCTGTATCACAAACAGTTCCGTCAATTGCCTGCCCGTGTCTTCCTCGAACAAAGTCGTCTCCCTGAGGCCTTGGTGTTCAAAGCAAGAGCTGCCTGCTCCAGCCCCGGCCTTCTCTCTAGAATGGTCGCGGCCGTACGCTCCAACACCATCCACTTTGTGTCTTCCCTTTGCCCCATTCTTCTTGCCAATCCTGCTGGTCCTGAGCCATTACTTGTCACCGGTGGAGGTGTTGATCTGTCGCCCTACTATTGTCACAAGCTCTCCTACCAAGGTATTACGATTCTGTCCATGTCTAATACCGAGCTTCGTGCAATGTACATGCGCGATCACCCTCCAATAACCAACCCTCGGGTAGATGTAAACCGACTCACCGTGGCCTCTTTTCTTCAAACGAAAATGCCCAGTGCAGCTCGTAATCTTTGGTTCCGGTTGATTCATAATAAGGTCTCTTCCAAAGTCAATGTGTACAAGATCTTCAAGCTGCCAGATGATCTTTGCGTGTATTGTGGCTACCGTGAGACTACCACTCACATGCTCTTTACTTGCCCTGCCAATTGGGACATTTGGATAAATTACTTTGCCCTGCTTTTTGTGCCTCTTGGGCCACTTGATATGAGCCAAGTTGCTACGGATGTCCTCTCCCTGGACCTCTCCTCCTACTGCCTCTTGGATTCATCCCTCAAGGTGTCCACGTTTGAAGCCGTAACCTGTGTTATCACAGCTATTTGGCGCGCCAAATGGCGTGATCATTATGATAGCGTTGGTTTTGACAATCAGTCCGTAATGGACCGTGCCATGACCAACTTGCGTAGAATATCCTCTCTTAACTTGTTAAGCTAATTTTGTTTTTTTTGCCTTTCAGGACAGGTCACTTTACATTACACCTGCTCCCCTTTTATATTTTATCCAAATATCTTTTATGAGTTTATCTTAACCAATAAATCTTCATACTTACAAATAAAAAAAAAAAAAAAAAATTTCACATCCTTCAAACGTTTTTGCCAAATTTGACTATGAAAACTGTCGTAGTTGCACCCAACTTTCTAAGACATCTTTAGAGGACTAAAGAAGCCGCATCGAATGGTGCTGATTAAATATAGGTTTTAGACTGAAAATAACGAGCAATTCGCAAAAATAGGAAAACTGGTTTTCTGTGAATATGTCAAGATTTCGCATATACAAGTCTCATAGAAAGAGTTTTCAATGTTGCATTTTATCTTTGCAATCAATTTGATCTAATATGTATTATAGGAAAAGTCTTCTTTTTTGGGTGAAAAACACGATCGTTTGTTTTTCAAGAACTTCCCCTTGCTAATACTCATGAAAATGTGAGAATTTTCATGGATTTGCAATGACTTAAAAAAAATTTGAGATAAAGCATCAGTAAGTAAAGCGTAACAAAGGAGAGACATTTGGTCCTACTCCGAGCGTCTACAACGCTTTGTAGCATAAGCTATTCGTGTTTCAAAATGGCTAGATTTGGACAGAATTTGGCCAAAAAATAAGGCGTGCTAGGTTCTGTTGCTAAAGAAGTAAGTAAATTACAGCTTTGTTTGATGAGCCAGATGTTGTGCATTGTATAGAACTTAGTTTCTAAGTGATAAATGCTTTTATTTTAATTCTAAGGCTCTGATCTTTCTTTTTGAAATGCGTGCTTACGGTAATAACTACTTTATAACTTGAGCATCAATGATATTATGCACGTTTGAATTTAACAACTTGCTCCTATTGAACGAGATGTTTATCAGATTAGCAGGACATTATTGATGATTGTTGTCCACAACAGAGATGCCATACCTAACCGTGAAACTAGTAGACGTAAAGTCTATGCACAATGTTACAAAACATTCATATTTAGGAGGAGAAATTATTGAAACTGTATGAAGGTAGCGTATGAACTGAGGGCAATAAGATGGTTTCAAAAAACTTCAGGAAAAAACGCTCTATATACAGAGCAAGATGCAATTGCTTATACACCAATGACGAATGGAGACGTCTTGATATAAATAGTAATCTTTAGAGGCTTGTTCAACATTAACATGGCAATGAAGCAGCTTATAAAAATTGCAGGCTACATTATAGAGACTACCAGCAGTTAACAAAAAGATGTAAATCGGCATAAATAACAGTTAAAAAAAAGGCCACTTTATTCAATAAAGTGAAAAAGAAAAGTTGTACAATATACAAAAGTAAAAAGGAAGACACAAATCAAATAGATGTATATATAAAAGTGGTGAATTAAGTAGATGATTTTTAGTTGGCAGCAGCATCAGTCGAGGCAGAAGGTTCAGCATTAGCATTCGTAGATGAAGAAGATGTGGTATTATTTGCTGAAGCTTGAGCAGCAGCCATTTGCCAAGCAGGGATTCCTGCACGAGCACCGCTTCCGTTGATGGTGGCTGACAGACGAGAAGACAAACCATCTGTGGGAGAAGCGACAGCAGAAGGTGTAGTGGGAGCAGCAGGCGCAGTGGTGGCAGCAGGAGTAGCGGGTGCACTGGTAACTTGATCCACAACATTGGAAGTAGCACGACGACTCACCAAGAGCGATTTAAGAGACTTCATTTCGTTTTGGAGATCGACTAGAACTGCATTCTGTGCTTCTTTGTTACGTTCCAGAGTCTATATCACATGAAATTAGATTTATGCCCAAACCACATCCATTTCGTATAATTTCTCTTTCTCTCACTGTACCTTGGGCACCAATTCTTTCAAAGCGTCTATATCGCCCTTGACATTCTTGAACTCTTGATCTCTTTGTGCATCGCCTTCCTTCAATTCCTTGAGAACAGTCTCCAAGTTGGTAATGGAATCATCCACCTTTTTGGTTTGAGATGTCACGGTCGTGAGTGCAGTGTTGGTTTGATCCTTGATTTCCTTTAATGAATCCTCCACTAACAGATGCGGATATGAGTCGATTGCGTACTCTATTAAAGTTCTCTCTATTTACCTGCTTGGAATTGAGCATCTAATTTCTCCTTGTCTTCCTCCAGTTCTTTCTGTGTGGGCACTTGGAACCAAGGGCCAAAGAGACGCTACAATTTCACACTTAAATGGCATGCTCTAGTGACCCCTCTTTCTTTCATGCTTACCTTTGCCAATGTCCAAACACCGTAGCCAACACCACCAGCCAATACAGCAGCAATAAAGATGTCTCGCCAATCGTAAGCAGGTCTAGGAGGAAGAGGTGGGGGCGCATGTTGCATCATCATACCAGGCTGTTGAACCATGGCACCTTGGGGCACACTAGAGGTTGTGGTTGTAGTGGAAACAGTGGCAGCCTTACCATTTGCACGTGCCATTGCCTCTTCGATTTCCTCAGAAGTCATACCTTTGGATTCCAAGAAGGATACCTTCTTTGCTAATGGAGCCGATTGCACCTTTGGATCGGACAAGAATGAGATGGCAGATGTGATGAGTTCTTCACGCATTATTGAGTATTAGAGTAAAGGGAAAGAAAGAAACAGGAAAGAAAAAACTGTGGGGACCTATTTCAATAAATGCTTACCAATATTTTCACACAGGATTATCCAATGTTATTTACACTTATTGGGTTTTTGGTTTGAACGACCGAATGGAGTATAAAAAATATAGCAAAAAATGCGCCTGAGCGAATCACTTGAGGTATGGCACCCTCTAATTTTTACATGGATGGGCCATTGACAGAGAAAGAGCTCACTCTGAGAGCAAGCATAGACACGCACATGTTAGCCAGGAATCCATGATCAGCCATGAATAAGGGATGCATGCCTTTGCCTTGATGGCTTGGGTGTGTCCTTGCTCCAGATCCAGCACTGGAATGATCACAGTGCTAGGCGCTCTCCATGGTCGTCCCTATGGAGAGCTTCTATATCACCCAAACATCTTGCTCTCTATGCTGGCTTTAGGCAGCATTCCTTTCAACACTCAAGCAACAATGGCAAGCACAAAATGCTACATTGGATAGCCGCTCGATTAAATTTGTCTACTTTATGAATGGTTTGGGACACTTCTTTTTCAATTCTTTACATCAAAACCGAATTCAGGTGTACGTCTGTACACAACATGACAAGAGGAAAACGAGTTTTATCTTCTGGCAGTAATGATCCAATATCAGGGCGCGTTTCATCATGTTCTTGTCATGCTAAATCAACCATTTTCTTTCTCTTTTCAAATTAGATGAAAACACTTTGAAAAAGAGGGCAAAGCAGAGTAAATACCACACGAAAGCATGCCAATTTCATGCGCCTCGACCAACTAAACACACTGCTTAATGCTGTTATAGGTTCTGATATATCGCTGACAAAAGAGAAAAATGTAATTCCACATGACAGAACGAAATCTATCCATCATCTCATCAAACAAGCCACTTTCTCTCTCTCTCTCTCTTTTTTTTTTTTTTTTTTTTTTACACGTTGTATATATGTTCATAGGAAGAACCCAAGATCAAACGAGCGCTGACACCACCTTCAGATCCGTCCGTCGTTCCTCCAGTCAATGTAGATACAGTTATATACGGCTCGTATGAAATGAAAGCCTGGTACTATTCGCCTTACCCGCTGGACTTTGGAACCTTCATTGATAGACTCTACATTTGTGACAATTGTTTGAGATATATGCAAAGAGAGACACAACTCATCAATCACAAGGTAAGCGTCTCAATGGCTATACTGTGATTTCTTGTGAGATTTATGTGTGGCGAGTACCTATAGGCTGAATGCAAAGCGAGAAAACCACCAGGAAGAAGCATCTACTCAAATGGCACAATCAAAGTATATGAAATTGATGGACATGAGCACAAGGTAAAACGTTCATAAGGGATATTTTGGGATCGAGATTTCTCATGGATTGGTGATGGTTGGGCAAGTATAGTTATACTGTCAAAATCTGTGCTTAATAGCCAAGCTATTCCTTGATGTCAAGACGCTTTATTTTGACACGGATGGCTTCAAATTCTACGTGCTTATCGAACGTCATCCCAAATACAAATCCTATGAATACATGGTTGGTTACTTTTCCAAGGTAAGATCAAGTAGAGGATGTACCTCAATTTATGGACACCCACATTGTTTTGATAGGAAAAACTGTCCTATGACAACTACAATCTTGCTTGTATCATGACGCTGCCCTCACATCAAAGAAAAGGTTATGGCAGACTATTAATCGAACTCAGTAAGCCATTTGTCATATACCATACCTCGATGATATGACTAACGGGCTATCATAGGCTATGAAATATCAAAACATGAAGGTAAAATTGGATCACCAGAGAAGCCCCTGTCGCCCTTGGGCAGTCTAGGCTACAACTCATACTGGGGATCCACATTAATGACAACTTTACTGCATTTCCGAGGTGATGTTACTATTGAGGAGATTGTGAACAAGACTTCGATCCACGAAGAAGATGTGATTGACACACTTTCAAGATTGAATTTGCTCTGTTACCGCAAAACCATGGAGAATGGGCGTCAAAACGTGTGCATTACAGAAGACATGTTGCAGGAAACGATTGTCAAATTCAACATCAAGTTGGGCCGTCAATTAGATCCAAAGCTCATCAGATGGAAATAAATAAACGCATTAAATTAAGAAACAGTTTTGATGTTTTTTGCTCTGTACGGGAGCATTGCTATTTGCATGTAACTTAGTTCAGTTGCGTTCAGGATACACCAATGCCTCGTTACAGTATTGGGACAGCTACTGAGAGTGCTTAAATGCTGGATTTTTTCTACTGTTTTGAAACAGCTCTTTTCTTTCTCTCTCTCTTTTTTTATAAATACTCATCATGGTTGAAGCTAGTATCACACGATACTACACACTTGAAGATAAAGAGTACTATGCTCCTTCCTATTACCCTAGAACCGACTACAAGAGCCATCAATCCGCAAAGACACCCATCGTGATTGACAATGGTAATGTAGATTTCGTTGATATCCCTGTTTGAATTCAGCACACTCACCATTGTTGCGTAGGCTCTAGTCATTGTAGAGCTGGTTGGGCGTCAGAAGACGAGCCTGCAAGTAGGTCTAGTCCATTGTTACATTACGCGTATGTCGCTAACGTCGTTGTACAGTGATATTTGATAATGTTGTGTCGAAATATAGAGATAGACGGCTCAATCACAGTGTATTAGCAGTGGGCATGGACGCGCTGGCTGACCCTGCTGCTAAATCAAACGCTCGTTCACCATTTGACAGCAACATTGTCTGCGATTTTGAAAAGATGGTATGAAATCAGCTTTGATCGCGCAACGTTGTAGACACTGACAGCAGTTTGATAGGAACACATTTTGGACTACATATTCGTTGTTTTGGGCATCAATACACATACAGTAAACCACCCTATTTTGCTGACAGAGCCTCCATGTGTACCTCAATACAGCCGCACTCGTAATGTGTCCATCTGACAGCCATCGCATAGTAATACATACTAACAATCTATGGCAGGCATGACTGAGCTCCTGTTCGAAGGATATCAAGTACCTTCTGTTGCTTATGGTATCGATTCATTGTTTAGTTACCATGCCAACGGCGGCACCCATGATGACGGCGGTATTGTGATAGGATCTGGCAACTCTACAACACATATCATCCCTACTTTGGGCGGCAAAGGTGTACTATCAAAAACCAAGCGTATTGCGTACGGTGGCACGCAATCATCTGAATACATGCTGAAATTAATGCAACTCAAATATCCAACATTCCCCACCAAAATGACAAATTCACAAGCAGAGGAGCTCGTCCATCAACACGCATTCGTTTCACCCAATTATCAAGCAACGTTAAAAAAGCTGGAGACAAGGACTCAATTTGCTGAAATGGATCGCATCATTCAATTCCCTTTTACAGCTCCTGTGGTGGAAGAGAAATCAGTGGAAGAGCTGGAGAGACAGGCAGCCAAGAGAGAAGAGAACTCAAGGCGATTACGAGAGGCTGCTGCCAAATCACGTTTGGACAAATTGGTAGCCCGCGAACAACAAATGGAGGCTTTTACCAACTTGAAGAATGCAAAGGGTACCATAAAAAAGGTCGATTGGCTGGTAGGTTGAAATAGACACAGCAACGTGGTGTAAGGGTATTAAATGCATTTGTGCGTGCACACAGGCTCAAGTCAAAGAAGCGGGCTTCAAGGACGAGGCGGATTTGGACGACACTATCAAGCAACTAGATAAAGCCATTCAGCGTGCTCGTAACAAGGAACTCGGTATTGAGGAAGTAGAAGAAAAGGAAGCACCTATTACAACATTGGTAGACATTCCAGATGAGCATCTGGACGAGATGGAAAAGAAGGAGAAACGCAAGCAAAAGTTGATGAAGGCCAATTACGACGCACGTCAACGAGCCAAGAAAGCCAAGGAAGAAGCACGCTTGAGAGACGAGGAAGCAGCCCGCATTGAAGAGCAAAAACGACGTGATAATCCTGCTGAATGGGTGGCTGAAATCAAACAAAAGCGACAAAACGTAATGGATCGATTAAAGCAACGAAAGCGTTTAGCGTCTGAATTAGCAGATCGTAGATCGCGCGCATCTCAAATGCGTATGAAGTCAATTGCCAACTTGGCCAGCGATGATCCCAAGAGCAAGCGTAGAAGAAAGGGAAATGATGAGGACACCTTTGGTCAAGATGACGATGATTGGGCTATTTACAGAGAGATCAGCAGAGATGATGAATCCGATGACGAGGAAGAAGACATGTCCGAATTGAATCAATACGAGAGCTTATTGTTGCAACATGACCCTGACTTTTTGCCAGAACACTCTTACGAAAGCATGTCTTCACCCACCAACACATTATTGCATCTCTTGTCCAGGGGTGTGTATCCACCTTATGATCCCACAGACATGGAGCAGAGCTATCAGTTGCATGTCAATGTGGAGCGTTCTCGTGTTCCTGAAGTGTTGTTCCAGCCAAGCATCATTGGCCTGGATCAAGCGGGTCTAGTGGAAACAGTGAATGATATTGTCAAGACATTTGATATCAACCAGAGAGAGAATTTGATGAAGGTGTGTATCGAGTAGTTGAGGATGTAACATGTATGCTGACCATGTGAGTGTGAATGTGCAGAATATCTTTTTGACAGGTGGATTCAGTCAATTGCCTGGATTATCCGAGAGACTCTATTCATCACTGAAAACGATCTATCCTGTGGAAACAAAAATCAAAGTCAAGAGAGCAAGGGATCCTGTGTTGGATGCTTGGCGGGGTGCAGCCATGTTTGCTCGAGATGAGACCAAGACGCAGTATTTCGTATCAAAGCAAGAATATCAGGAATACGGTTCTAATTATATCAAGGAGCATGGCTTAGGAAACATTATTCAGAAATAAAGCACCTCGTTTTTGTAATATATACAAGGCAATTTGAGAGTGTAATTCTCTAGTACTCTTCCATTTTTTTTTAATCGATAAAGGATATATATATATATATAAAGGTAGTAGCTATCAATGTAAGTGTGTATATGCTATATTTATATATACTTGTTGTCATTTACCATCCATCAAATGGAAGATGACTAGGCTTTGTGATAGTAGCTGGGTTGCTCGTGGGTGTATTAGAATCGCTCTTGTTACTGGATCCACTAGCACTCAACAATCCACTATTTCTTTCCTCTTCTTCCGTCACAGTCGACATGGAGATGTTTTGTAAACGATGCAATAGAGGTGGTGACAAAGGGGTGGGCGTTAATTCAAGGAAATGTTCATTGACGCGGTTGTTGGTAGCGTTGGTAGGTGAAGTCGCCACAGAAGACGAGCTGCTATGATTACTAAACACATGGGCTGTATTGCCACCACTCGTTTTGTATCTAAACAGATCGTGTTGTTTGCTGTTGTTATTGGGGGATGGTGTCGAAGATGTAGGCTTTGTAAAGGAAGGCGAGAGCGGTGGTGCTGATGGCGGGGGGCCTTCGCATTCGAGTTCACTCATTTTGAAGACAAGCGAGTCATCATCATCCATCAATGAACTGTTGTTAGCTCTGCTTGGTCCACTGGAAGCATTGGCATTATCCTGCATCAAGCTATTATCACTGCTATCCATGTTATGCTGTGACCTCTGTAACTGATAGCGATCGCTGCCCACTATCGATCTTGTGTGCTCTGGTCGCTGCTGTTGCTGCTGTTGCTGCTGTTGCTGCTGTTGCTGCTGGTGCTGCTGCTGTGGGCGGCTACTTGAACTGTCTCTGAGCACAGGTCGATCGTAGGGATTGGGTGTACCAATAGCTCTGCCACCTGTATGTCCAGTTGTTGCAGCTGCTGTGTTTCTAAGCATGCTGAGATGCTGATGGTGGTGATCTTGTGGGTACGTGGAGAAGGCAGACAGGTCATGGTTGCCTGAACCGTACGAGGACGATGCAGAAGTGTCTTCTCGTCTATTCTGGTGGCGCCGACGTCGATCATGGTGGTAGTCGTCCTCTTCATCATTGTTATCCTCGTCCTCGTCATGTTGCTGATGTGAATGATGATGAGGGTCTTCACCTGGATTCAGTCTAGCTAATCTAAGCGCATTGTGTGGGTTTGTCAAGGAACGAAGCTGCGGGAAACTGCGCGGTATATGAACAGGTGATGTTGATCTTTGTTCAGCGTGCAATGGAGATGGTATAATAGGTTGATAGGAGCGACCAGTGGAAGACGTAGACGACACAGGTGAAATGCCAGTTACGGGGTCGTGTTGTTGTGATGATGTGGATGCTCCTCCTCCAGTTCCTCCTCCAGCGCTACTTGCACTTGCATTGCTAATCAACATGCTGGACGTAAGAGAATCTGATAGGGAATTGTGTGTATCTCGTAAGCTTTGAAAATGAGAGAGAGCTGCTTTTTTCGACATGGAAGCACCCATCATCATGCTACTGCCACCTCCAGCACTACTTGCGCTATCAGATGCAGAAGACAGCATTTGAGTCGCACTGTTACTGCGTTGATCTTGAAACAAGCGTAATTCCTGGTTGGAGCCTACAAATTTGACAAATCTCGCTAAATCATCATCATCATCGTCACCGTCATCGTCATGCTCGCTTTTGATGTTGATGGAGCTGTGATCACTGGCACGAGACCATCTTCGCATCATGCTTGCACTGGAGGGAGAGTCTCCTGTTGCGGTGGTAGTACGATTGGTTGGGCTCGATTTGTATTTATCAAAGCTTGACGAGAATTCAATCTTTCGACCAAACGATCCACTGTCGACAGGTCGAGATTTATCGGACGATACAGTGGATGAGTAATGACGAGTGGATCCACCACTGCCTGCGCCTGAAACTGTATAGACATACAAGTGAGATTTCAGTGAACATGTAAAAAAAAAAAAAAAAAAAAAAAAAAAAAAGTGAGAGATCAGCACTTACAAATAGACTCGGCTTGTGGTGAGGATGATAGAAATGGAGATTTGAAAGGTGATACGGCAAACGGCGCGGATGCTCTTCGACTGGAAGGTGTTCCTGCCACAGAGCTAGTCGTTGGCGACTCTGCATGCGGGTTGCGAGTGCTGCTACTGAAAGGTCTGGGTGTAATGGAAGCGTCTGTTGGGTGTTTGGAGATAGCAGTAAGCGGCAAAGGCCTGTAATCGTCATCTGCGTGCTTCATTGCATTTTCCTATATGTGGCATGAATGATTCGGCTGATATCCTCCATTTCGAGGCATTGATGCTTACCAATTTAGACTCCAGAGACGCTCTTTGAGTAGATTGAGTAAACATGGAAACAGGACGAGTGGCTGTAGTAGTTGCCGTAGCAGTGGGTGATCGAAAGTAATCGTCGGCATCTTGCTGCTGCTGCTGCTTTTGCTTTTGTTTCCCTTGCTGTTGTTGTTGTTGTTGCTGTTGATATTTTGCCATGGTGGGCGTAAAGAATTGCTCGTCCATGTCAATGAATTGAGCGCTGAGATCTCTTTCGGCATCTTCAATCTTAAAGTCGCAATTTCGTCGATAGCTCACATTCAATTTAAACGTTCTATGAAAAAAGGATGTCTATCAATAATGGGCAATGTTTGGATGATCTTCTCAATTTACCCAATTGGTGTAACAATATCGTTGAATTCGTACAACTTGGTTGGTTTGCGAGCATCACTTTCGATAATGGGAGTATCTATTTAGACAAAGAGGTTCAATACACACACAGGGCGGCACTGGCACAGCACACCGTATTTACCAAGTGATATCTCCGTTGAGCTTCTATGCCCTGACGATGTCGATAATCGATATCCTACAGACAATGAATTGCTTGCATCATTCGACTTGTGTAATTTACGGTAGAGGTCATAACTAGGTAATAATCGAGTGAGCGAATGCAATGATCGAAAAAAGACAATAGAGCGTTTGTATAGGTTGGGTAAGTCCACTGCGTATTCAGGAAATGGGTGTCTTTAAAAGTGGGTTAGATAGGCCCAGTTTCTCTCTTGATTACTACACAACTCACTTTAAGGTTAATTCCCATGATTCAATCAAGATACGGTCTATACGGTGCGCATCCGCAGTCTTCAATTCTACGCATCCCCATCTCAGGTTATCATCTGCCACTACCAGCGATTGATTGTGAGATAGCTTGGATGTGTCTAGGTAAATGTCGAGTATCATGGGCGGTGGTTCCTTGTCCTCTGTGGATTGTACTGCCATCGTTCTCCAATATTTCAAATCTTCTCGTAATAATTCGACATCCTCTGTTGCTATATTAAACTGTGCGTGTCTACATGTGAGCAATGCTATTCTATCCCTCTCCTCAGCATCTAATTTACCCATTTGTTCATCTTTTTGGTCGTAGTGGATCCTCTCAAGTTGGTGGACTTTGCATATCGTGCGTCATGACCAGGAGTACACCGTGCCTGAATAACGATTTGTGCAGTCTTGGTATAAAAGTTCTAAGTGGATAATTTCAGCATGCATGTCCATGTTTTGCTGGTGTTCATGAGCGAGCTTACTTGAATGATTTGGTCTAATTTCGAGTTGCGCGTACTGGTAGATGAAGTAGAAGGTCCACTGGGAGCAGCGGGTGGCTGTTGTTGTTGTTGTTGTTGCTGTTGTTGATAAGAGGTCATTATGATTCATACAACTAGTAAAAAGAAAGAAAAACACTTAATACTTTTATTCAAGATGCCCCGCTTCTAATTGGCAATTATGAGGATGGCCTACCTCTATATGATGTTGCGTTTCTGTTAATCCCTCTCTTTCTCTAATGGAAAGAAAGAAAATTGAGAGAAAAAAAAAAGAAAAAGAGAGAAGGGGAAATGGATGATCTTATAGACAACCCTCCAGCACGTGTGTATCAAGCAGCATGAGTGAAATCTCTCTTTCGTTCATGCCTCAAACTTTACTCGCTGTTGTCAGATAGCGAGTGAATTCGATCTCCTCAGGCTATGAAAATGATAGCCCACCCCCTTACCCTCGCTTGAATATTTTTTTATTTTTCACCTTACTACACACACATATATATATATATATATATACAATGGATACCTCAAGATTTAATCAAGCTGAACAAGCTCAAATCAATGCCATGGTTGAGCAAAAACAAGTAAGACGGCTGCCATGGAGGCATAGTTCAGTGGCCTCATGCTACTACATTAGGTGACAGATTTCATGAACATGTTTACTGGTGCGGTTGATCGTTGCTTTAAAGAGTGTGCAAATGATTTCACAACCAAGGCAGTGACAGGCAGAGAAGTATGGGAAATCAGCATAGATGGAAATATTGTCTTTACTCAACGCGAATGTGTGTAGGCTGCTTGTGTGCAGAGATGTGCTGATAGATTCTTGAAACATGCTGAGCTGGTGAGCAACAAATTCGCAGAACTCTCTCAGAATGTAAGTTGGATGTATATGAACCCCTCTTTGCTTCTATGTCAGTGGTACTCGATATGGATTTCGTCAATTGGAAGTAGAATTTCTTTGGACGGCAAATCACAGCATTGTGAAGTTTGACTCTGGGATGACATCTGCCGAGAGAAGGGGGGCATGCTTGTCGAGATGATGTGCTCTCAGAAGATTACATACGACAATACATGATGGACATTCATTAATACACCGTCTCCAATCTTATCTGGACATTAGACCAAATTCACAAAGCGAGGAGGGATTCATGATCATGATCAACTACTTGTACTAACGCACTGTTCTATAGATGAATAATCCAACACAATCACCATAGAAAGACCATGCGATATTTTACATATTAAATGATATTATAATTTAATGGACATTTATAAAATACAAATGGGATAGAAAGAAAGAGGAATAGATACTTGTAGCAAATTAAAAAAAAAAGCAGATGTGATTTTAAAACATGTTGGAAATTAATGCAGTGAGAGCAACAGCAACGGTTGTGTAGACAATGGGGTTTTGGAAGCTAGCAGCACCACTCTCCGCAACCTTCTTTGCTGCAGGGGCAGCAGTTGCAGTGGGATTGTAGGTAGCAGTATTTGCAACAGAGGTGGCTGCAGGAGACACAGCAGCGGAAGAGGCAGAAGGAGAAGCGGCAGCAGTTCCAGGGGATTCGAGATAAGAGGCGTTTTTCCAGCCTGCACAAACACCAACAGGGCTTAACTTCACGTGAGGGTGCAAGATGGGCAGGGCCTTAATGGCAGCACCAACAGTAATGTTGTTCAAATCATGCATCAAAGAGTTGCCACCTTGAGTCAAGGAAGCAGCGGTCTTGGCCCATTGAGTGACATTTGCTAAAAGACCAGGTTCAGTTTGACCACCAGCAGTAATTCTCCAATCTTGAGAATCGACAGACCACATGGCAGGAGTATAACCCAGTTGGCTTACAATGTAGCGGACACGATCATCAAGGTCACCACGAGGCTATCATGTAGAGAGTGCTTTAGTAAGGAGTGGTGTTTGACAAAAAAATAAAGATGTTGGTAGTACTTACAGGACGCATCAAACGAGGAGTAACACCAAGTACTTCCTTAATAGCAGTTTCAGTCCACTTCAATTCACCAATGATCATTTCGTTGGAGATGGTGGTTAATTCAGCGTGAGACCTAATATAGTAAATTAATCATCAACTCTGCAGTTAAACGAGCAAAAGCCGCCTACCAAGTGTGAATACCGATTTCATGACCTTGATCATAGGCTTCCTTGAGAATCTCGGGCCAGGCAATAACTTGCTTACCAACAACAAAGAAAGTGACCTTGACATCAAGGGTCTTCAAGAAGGCCAAGAGTTCACGTGTAACTTCGTATGGTCCATCGTCGAAACTCTGTAAGCAAGATGTTAGCATTACATTTCATTGTTGGCCCAGACCTTGGCATCTAAGTCAACTTACGGTTCCCCAAATAGTCTTGTCAGTACAGTGGACGATATCAGTAGGCTTGACACAACCATCCCAGGTCCAGTTGCAGTGAGTATTCTTGCCAGTAGGATCAGCATTTTGGATGATACCGTCTGTATATCGGTTGATGTTAGATGCAGATCAGAAAAAGATACACATGTATATTATTTACCAACAGTAAGAACATTGGGAGAGACCTTCAAGAGAGGGTCTTCCTTGACCAAAGCCAACCATTCAGCCTTGGGAACAGGCTTGGAGGCACCAGAAGGATAAGATTCCTTCCAGGCAATCTTGGAGTTGGGAACAGCATAGACAGGTTCGGCAGCACCGGGAGTAGTAGCAGCGGCGGAAGATTGTGCCATGGCAGCACCGTTTGAAGCTACAAGGGCAACAGCAGCTGCAATCAACATATTTTTATTAAAGATCATATTTGTTGTGTATATTGTAAAGGTGGTTGTTGTCGTGGTTGTTGTCTAAATGAAAGTCTAAATGAAAAGGAAAGTGTACAAGAAAGAAATTGAAGATGTAAAGAAAAAAAGATATTCTTTTGTGCAAAAGAAATCAAGGTTATTTTATATACAACAGCACCCACAGAAAATCTATTAATAACAAACTGGGCTCGAGTTATAGTCAGAAAAAAGTTAATACAACACAAGTTTTGTCATGAAATAATAATTTCAGGGAGCAATTAAATGGAAACAATGGAAATAACAGAAAGACTTGAAGGATTCTTTGTATTAATTGGAGTCTTTGATTTTTTTTCCTTTTCGTCGATCTTTGTACGACAACGCTAAAAATACTCTTTCAATATTTGGTTTCATGTAAGACAAGAACAACGCTGATTTTGCTCTGAATCCACTATAAATATAGCAGATGTTCTCTCGTTCACGCTCGGAGAGCATAGTCAAAGTCTGGATCTGGATGCCTGCTGTGTATCATTGGCACGACGCATAATCTCGTTGTTGCTATGGTTACCGAGATCTGTTTTTTTTGAACGACCTCGAGCCCCTGAATTTTATTGACGATTTGACAATTCATAGGACATATGTACATATGGTACTCCACATCATCTAAATATGAATTCAACGCTCCACTGTGAAAGCCCATCCTCGTTTTGTTTATCTTCAGCCATGCCTTCGTACAGTGTTTCAACAATATTATCAGTGTTACCATTCATAGTAGTAGCATTTGAATCCTCCATCTGCTGTGTACAACCCAACTGTTCATCCAGCTCTTGTGGTGAACACTCTAATTCCGTGCAAATCTCATCGTAGTGATGCTTGCCATCAAGAAATGGTATAATATCTGAATGAATAGACATACCCGTATACTTGTTCACGACCCGGTGATATTGCTGTTTTGATGGAAATCGGAATGGCTCATTTTCTTGCTGTGATGTGCTTGTTAAAATTGGATATTTATGCACTCGGTAGATGAGCCCTTTGATCACGCCAAATGAGATAACGCGCCTAACCATATTCTAATACATCAACGCTCACGCACACTAATTATAGATACAAAATTTACCTTTCATCGATATGCAGTAGTGTCAACTGCTGTTCCTCAATCCAATCTTTCACAGTTAAACCATACTTTAAGCCACAATAGAGAGCGTATACCCTTTCAATCGAAATTTCTGGTGCATCTAAATTAGAAGTATAAGAAACCAAGATTTATAAATAAAAACATGCCGTTACTTACTGGGAAGCATGATATAGCGTAGACACTCTTGCGCAAGTCCGTATTTAGCGTCGAATAAACGTGTAATCTCAGGTTTTACAGCATAAACATTCGAGTATTGAAAGATATCTGTCATAATAATACACCCATAGTACATCATGTGTTCCATGCTCTGTCTAGCCCACTCTGGTTTCACGTTGGCTAGCTCTGCAATACGTTTTACATGATTGACACCATTGATGAGGCTGGCTACCTTTTGCACTGTAATGTCCCAATTTGAAGTCATTATCTTGTTGACATCCACAGTGCACACAGGTACATGGTAGTTGTATACAGTTTGCGGATTGGGATATGTTGGGAATAGTTTCAAGTTGATGGTGTTGAATTCATCTATCACAGCAAATCCACATCAGCCATCTTAAATGTAAGTTGTTCTCTATATGATACCTACTTATAGGAATTTGGCATTCGCAATAACTGTTCAGATCTTCAAACAATTGCTCAATGACATTTTGTACGGTTTGCGATTCTGATCCAACCTCTTCTGATAGAAAATTACACTCTAGCTATCAACACGGTTTTAGCATGGATGCTAGTATCGTTTTAAATGTTCCAATTTCTCACCTCGAGACCTTCCAACACCCTTGAAAGCTTCCTCACTACAGCTTCATAACTACTTGTTTCTGCATTTTGTTCAAACACAAAGCATAAATTGAATCGAAACTCATTTCGAAAGTGTTGATAACGTTCATGATCGTGCAAAACGACAGGACAGCCCATCACCTTGTATCCATTGGTACAAATCGTGACAAGGCGTTTATACAGCTGCTTCTTGGGGATAATATATTCACTGATGGCTTCAAAATTAATCAAGGTTTTACTGCTGTTATGGTGTGTAGATGGGTCGATGGTGATAGAATCAGACACTGAAGCAGGTCCATTTTGTGGTGTAATACTTCCTTCTGGTACTTGGTGTTTTACTACGGTACCCTTGATAATGTCAAATACTGCATAAAATATACTATGGATTCGCGGAAACCCCTGGAATTCCATTTAGGATGAGGGAATTGAGTAGAAAAGAAATGAGTATTGTAGAATGAAAATCTGGAACAAAAATATCCCATGAGAGGGATTAGGATGCGGGAATCAAAAGAATGTAGTCCTGGCCCTGATGCTAGAGATGAGTTTGTATCCGCATAATCAATCGCACAATAGCACAGATCAGTATGGTGGTGACAGTTGGTAATCCCACCAATCTACACTATGATTTTGGGTTTAGACTTTCCCTTTGGCGCGTGAACCTTTATAAGCAGCCTGTATCTGTAAATATGTCTTTCATAAAGTGCTACACTTCTGCAGCAATGAACACAATTCATATACGGGCAGATAGTATACTGACACTGCCTCTTACAACCCGAGAATATCCAAAACACAGCATAATTAGGGTGCATATAAACTGTGTTTCCCCGCGTTAGAAGCCGTTTTGGGCCGCCAGAATAGCACCAAACAGTTGTTCTCAACTAGCACTGGCGTTCTGGCACGTTTGCTCAATATTTTGGAATCGCCAAAAATCAACCAAAAACCAAACAATCGCGTTTTTGACCGCAAAAATGAAGACTTTTACTATGGCTTATATTATATCAAAATGTTTCTCTCGACCAAAAGCATCCCCTAAAATTTTGTTTGTGCGATCTTTATATGGAAAATTTTGACATTTTGGCTTAAAACCTCATTTCATATTTTTGAAGATTACTCAATAAGTTTATTCATATCATTTATTATACTCAGTGCCACCAGATGCATCTTGGAAAGTACTTCAAGGGAGCTTAAGGTGGTATGGAAGGATCATCACGCTTTATATAGTCAGATTTGACAAAGTAGATTCATCGAATCGATTTTAATCAAAATTCAACCAATCTAGAGTATAATATGAGCGGCACCCTAATTGATATTGCTGGCGGCGGCTGGCGAGTGGCAGAATCCATAAATGCCCCCTTTTATCTTGTGAAGAATGATGTTTGTGAGGCTGATTAGAAGTTGAGTATAATTCAAAGGTACTAGACTCTACTGTATCTGCTTAAGATTGCCTTTTACGCGTATTTTTTATATCTAATACATATAAGCGTTGCATAATACTCATCTAAATACGCATCTTGCTGCGAAACGCAGAAATGACACCTTTTTCAAACGGGATATGGCATTTCGAGTGTCAGTCATAGCACTACGTATACAGGAAGCTGCAGTCATCCTTTATTCTACATCTTAGAGGTATTTGTGGGCGAGCACTTGGAATTTCTATTAAGCCGGTGTCATTCTGCAAAATACTCTTCGTTGATTTTGAAAACATTTGATATGGGATGTTACGCAGAAGCTTTGACATTAACATCTTGCCTCTGTTGATCTTCCAATATGTAGTGTAAGATCGACAACTTCTCCCTTTGTTTGCTCCGAAATTGCGAAATTCCTGGTAGTAATCAACGGAACATTCAAACACTTAAATGTCGAATTAATTTTTATTACTTTTTTCTGTTTGTCTAAACAATGCAATGATTATCTCCCGAATTATAATAGTGGAGATTAGGAAGGTTCGCAATGATATTAAGGTTATTAGGTTGGGAATATTATTACTGTCTGTAAAAGGGCATGTATGCTACATGAATAGATATGATGTGTGTGTTGTTATAAATGTGTCAATGTATGAATGAAGAGGGGGTGTCTATGTTTTATCTACAAAGTTGATCGTATGGAATCCTTGTTCCCATCATAAATTCTAAATCCATCTCTGCTCTAGGCAAGTTGTTCCACAGCATGATTTGCTTGTTCTTGTCGTGTCTCTCGGCAGGCTTACATGCGCTTGAGTGGAACATCCAAAAGTGGCCGTTGTTGCAGGCATCCAGGCATTGGGAACATGGAGATACTACGTGATAGCCAATGACATTACCGCATTCCAAGCATGCAACATCTCGAATTCTGCAATGACACGATCTTGTGAGATAATCTTTCTCCAATACGTGAATACTGGTAATTTAAAGCATGTTAATATCTCCATTCATCACTGCAAAATGCAACGTACCATTGAGATGGAGTATCTGTGCTGTATAATTCAATGGTTGTATCAGCAAGCAAGATGGCCTTCATGCCACGAGCGCAAACGGGAGTTGTGCAATGTCTACACATAAGCTTGTATACAGGCTTTACGGGAGTGACGAGACCAGTATGGTCGCCAACATATTGAGATGCTCGCATATATTGCTGTTGCTGATGTTGCTGTTGTTGTTGTTGCTGATAATTTTGTACATATCTACGTTGAGACTGCATTACAGATGGAGGTGTGACATTAGGAAATGTATATCTCTGTAAGGATGCAGACGATCTTCTACCACTACTATTGATTTCATTGTTGGTACTGACAATTGGGTTTCTAGGATGAGGAAGTCTAATGCGGGCAGTATCCATAATATTAAGTAGAGAAGGTATGAAGAAATTACAGGGAAGAAAAAAAACAGACCTTTTTATCTCTCAAATATTTGCTATTCGTAGAAGTTACTCTATGAATTATAAAGCTTAAAAGTCGTAATTCTATGTGAATGTTCCCGAATCAAAATGAAATTTGCTATTAAAATATGATAAAACGATCGGTTCAATTTGCTCGGAGACAATCATAAAAACCTCCATTTCACGATCATGTTGCCACTTCGGTTGACATGCAAATGATGGCGATATTAATGCAATATATGTATATATACAGAAGACGCATATTAGCGAGCATTTAGATAGACACGTCTCGGATCTGTTACCGTAGATCAAAAAAAAAGCCTATTTTGGTTTCATCAACAACACGAATTAAGCCTGTATCCACTACAAGCTGAATTCGGGAGAATTAACAAAGTTTGAATTCCGGAGAATACGCACAGTTTAATATTTGGTGAGAACAAACTGCTTCAGTACTGAACTACTAGCCAATCTACCTCGCTACGCTCGATGACGGCGTCGCCCTGCGGCCTCGCGCCAAAGACATTTCAAATCAGAGACAATAAAAACCTGGTATGCCAAGTAGATTTTAAACAATCAATTAATAAAATAATAAAAGAAAGGTCATATCAGAGTCAAGAAAGGGGGAGATATCCCCTTGCATCCCCCGTTTGCTTAAACACTGATATCAAACGAAAGCTATTACCTAGACTATGGGAGAGGGTGTTCAAGTTTTATGTAGCATGTGTACATCACATTCTCCGTTTGTGTCACATTCTCTGATGATTGAATTGTCATACCATTCGTTGATGTTGTTCCTGTGGCGATATAAAGCTAGCCATGCGTTAATACAGGACTTGTATAAGATCTACAGCGACTTTTTTGAGCGATTGTCAATGCAAAAGACACATTTATAGGGAAAAATGAAGAAAAGTATTTAGACTAAAAAATTGCCCTTTCAAATTCATGTTCCTTATTTAATCAGCATCGCAATCATCACTCATCATCATTGTCAATATCAGAAAGGGCATTTGGATCAGCCAGCAGCAGAGTCGCCCGCTGCCAAGTTAATTCAAATTCCGAATATTGTTTCTGTTCAAGATTGGTCAAATTTTGTCTTTTCTAAACTTAATTGAAGTATTTTGCGAAATTCGATTATATAAATGGTGATGATCACCCGATGCTTCCTAATACATTCTTAGAGTACTTTTCAAGGCGCTTCCAGTGGTACCAAGTAAGATAGATGTTTTGAATAAAGTTATTGAGCAATATTGAAAAATATGAAATGAGGTTTTCGGCGAAAATCTCGAGATTTCATATATGGTGGTTTCACAAACGTAGTTTTAGAGGTTGCTTTGGATCGAGAGAAACATTTTGATTCAATATATACCATAGTAAGAGTCTTCATTTTCAAGGTGAAAAACGCGATCGTTTGATTTTTGATGAAAACCATGAGGGGTACCTCATGGTTTTTGGTCGATTTTTGACCATGTTTTTCTGATCCCCAAAAAGTTGAGCAAAGGTGTCAGGAAGTTACTGCTACTCGAGTACAATTGTTGGGCGTCATTCCGATAGCTCAGAAAGGTCTACATGTCAAGAAATAAAGGTTCAAAAGCTGTCATATTTGGTTATATTTTAGCTTTATATCCTTTACTTACACGGTATGAATCACGTCTTCAGTAGCTGAAATTTTCTGGAGGGGCAGTTCTATACCCTGTGCGATTTCTAATTCGGATAGGAGACACATAGATTTTGGTAAAGCCAATTCATGCACATTTTGGTACATTTTGTTGTTGTTAGGCTTATTAATAACAGAAATGAATAGCCGAATTTGCTGCTTGAATACTACGGTTTTGCATCTTCGCTTCGCTACGGTAAAGCCCTCAGAATACCATACTCCTAGTTACTTGGAGCATTTTGAGTGGCAGCTTTCAGTAAGGACTTGTGTATCTCTCAGGATTTATAGCACTTTGTCTCCTCACCTTTCCCTATGGGCGATCTTTTACTTGATTGATTGTATCCGATCACCGTTTGTTCAATTGTCTATGCGACCTTTAAATAATTTATAACAGCCATCATACAGTGATTTTTCGTATACTGGCGCTGTTGATATATATTTAACCCAAATTAATAATAAATACTCTGAAGAATCAACTTGAAAAGCACAGATTATTAATCCATTTCAGTTGGATGGAGTGAAAAATGTGGTTTAATGTGGTGCAATGGTAAAAAGCGATGTACAGAAGGGTGGTCAAAGTCGGGCAATAATACATGTAAATGATCAAGATGTGGTATATGGATGTAAATAAATTAGGAGTAGTAAAAAGATATGTACTAGATGGTTAGTATGGTTTAGCGGTGGTGTGGTGGTGATATCGAGTAATCAAACGATTCTTCAGTGGGTGGTTTGCTTGATTTCGTTGCTAGCTTATGAGAATGGTAATCAACCAGTGTTGTAGCAGTGGAAGCAAATGTTAGGATGGAGCCTGGTGTGTTTGGCATGGATCTACTCCCAATCGTATTGATGCTAGGTTTAGTTTTCAATGGCATGAGTGGAGTAATATCTACTTTTATTGGTTCATGATGGACATCATCGGGTGCATCTGTTGTCGATGTCCACTGCGAGTTCATGGAAGCTGATCTGTTGAGCGAAGTGGAGGACGAAAACTGCTTGTCATTCAAAATGATGGACTCTCCGTCTTCATCAATGTATTTTGTAGTGATTGGGAAGTCCACTCCAGTGCCAGACATCTGGCCCGGTATCAGCCAAAAGATAGGCCATCGGCCTAGCACGGCCTGTACGTTCCTGTAGATCCCTTGATCGTAGGGGCATTTAATCTATATCCAATTCCTAGCAAATTAGAAAAAAAAACAATGCTGCTGTTGTGTGTATCGTGATATACATTACATTTTGAATCTTTCCCATTCCTTTTATAGTAAGGGATCTGCCCTTCTCCCAGCCTTCAATTGTGGTGGTGTTGGTAGTGATGCAGTAAATATGATACGATGTAAGGATACCAACTGCAATCATGACAGTTACTGCCAAGATTAAATTGATGGATAGAAATACTGATTCTAGTGCTGCGGGCCGAATATCATACTACAGAAAGAGAACAGGTGTGAGTACGAAACGTTCTATATAGTTTTATTAACATTATCGCTTTATTACATGACGCATGTCCCTGACAAGTTGAGCAAGCCTGCAGCTCAGGAGGATGAACAGGTAGACGGAACTGATATCGACATAAATCAGAAATCGAAAAAAATGGCAGTAGTTTGCAAATCCAACGCAATTGTTGACCCAAGGACAGTGGTGGTCCATTTTGAGCACACATCGATTGCATGTTGAGCAGTGATGTGTGCGTGGTGGTTTGTAATTGTTGCATGTCTTGCAAAATCGTGGCGTATGTGTGGATTTCTTGACTTCGATGAAGGCCTGTTGTCTAGGAATCTGTATCGTCTATTAGTCATACGATTCTTTTCCAAAACTACAACGAGATTACCCATCGACTAGGCACTGATCCTGGGTTTGTTTTACAGGTAAGGAAATAATTAATCAATGCCATCAAGACAAAAAAGTTGAGCGGCACCAAGATGAATATGGAGTGTATATTTGCAGCACCAAGAAATGGCCATATAACAAAAATTTGAGATGTATAAGCTATGAAGAGGATGGTGATGGTTACAGATGCCACTGTAAATGGTCCCCTTATCTTTTCCCAAAAACTGGACATTTTTAGAAAGTAAAAGGAAAGAAGGAAGAGCAAAATGCCTCTTGTGCGTTTGTGTGTGTGTGTGTGTCCTGAGTGTCTTGGGTTTCTCACTCTAAATATCCATCAATCGTAGGCAACAAAAAAAGTGCCCTTCTTTTTTGGTTGATGAATATATATTTTGTATCACTCATGTACCACGAGGAGAGTCCAAAAAGATTAGGAGGTTCGGAAGGTGGCCTTCTTTATTCAACTCAAATCTCCTACTCCTCTCCCCCCTTAAGTTTTCATTTCTGACCAACAGAGCATCCTCATTGATATTCCACTCTTGTTTGTTTCATCACTATGGCTTTGCACACCAGATGGTCGTTGCCAATTCGAATGGTTCCAATTTCACGTTTACAGTTGACATTTATAGTCATTAGCATAGACAGTTACACCATGATGTCTTTATGGTTTGATTTATAATCTACAGTTTAGACATGTAACGAAAAAAGAAACCTGTATATGAGTCTGTCTATTTGTAGAACGTTCCATGTCAGATAGACGGCGCAAGTGTTGTGTGTGAATATATACAACACTATCCTCCTGCTACTCATTTATTTATTTACACTCTAAAAATACATTTGGGTGGATGCCAATGAACTAGCACTAAATAATGATAGCTCCCTGCTATTCGAATCAACCCACAAGCCCCCCTGAACTATAAAATGATATGGTTGTAACGTAGTTTATTTTGTATCAACATCCTTGACTTCGTCCTCATCCTCCTCTGAAGCAATTTGCATAATCAACTTGTATTCGGGAATCTCATCCAGTTCCGACTTTTTAAGCTTACTGCCATTTGTAATTGCATCCAATGCCAGCTGTACAGCTTCCTTCTCGCTATTCTGTGTTTCCATCCAAGTCATGTATTCTTGTCTCGATAGATCATAGACGGTATAAGGCAGTGGCAGTGCTTTAGTTTGTTGCTGTTGCTGAGAACGTACAATCAAATGATGTATCAAGACCAATTTGGATAATCCGGAGGTGTGGTGAGCCGCTGTCAATTGAGCAGAATCCAAGAATAGTAACGGTCTAAATGCTCTCAGTGCTTTGTATTCATCTCCCACTTCTTCGGTTCTGGCTCCATATTCACTCATAAATTGACTAATTGTGAATTCTAATTCTGCCATATCTCCTGCTAATTTCAATTTGCCTGCTTCGCTCAAGGGACGAACGATGCTTGCTTGAAATATAAACACGTACAAGATGTGTTTGCTGATTTGTCTGACCCTATTTCATTGTTATGACCTGCTCAGTATCCCCCTCCCCCTCCCCCCCTTTCCCTCTGCTGTGCTTACCATGTCTTGGGTTCAGCTCCACAAGAAAAGTTTTGAAGTATTGTTGTATGGTAATAACGGACATGTCGTTGTAGTTCTTTCATGTAGCTGCTTCTGTCTCCTTCTGGATCAAAGTTGCGTCGTATCTTGCCAGAGAAATCCTCGTTGTGTATCTTTAATAAAACACCTTCTGCGTCCTTCTTGATGGCATTCACTAGTTTGTTTCCAATCTTCATCATAAGCACTTGGCAATCCTGCGTCATTTGTTAATATCAGTTTGATTCACACTTTGATGCTTTGCTTACATCTGCTCCTTTCTTGACAATATCTACTATTTTCTCTGGATACTCTTCCAAAATCTTCCAAACAGATTGATGCATGTAATACAAGATATTGGCAATTTCAATATTCATGTTCAAGTAATTAACTACAGTAGAGTTGGAGGTGTTGGTGGTATATATAGCCTGTTCGTTAGTTGGGAGCTATTCGAGTGTGTTAGATGTTGTAGCAAGGAGACAAAGATCCTGTAGAAATACTCACCAAATGCTCGCATTTGACACAGAAATTATTCAGTGCCTTAATGGCATTCTTGGCAACTGCTTGAGCCAAGTGAGGTTCAAAGGAGGCTGTTTCCAACTCGCTAATAACCAACGTCAATATCTAAATAGCCTCCTTTTTGCAGGATCACACTTACTGTCCGATAATGCGAGTAATATTCAATACATTGTTTCTTCCTGGTGGAGTCCTTGCTAAACCGCCATAAGTAGGAAATGTAGAGTTGACTGCATCGTACATGCGTTGCAATGATTTTGTAAGGAAGCTGGTCTGAAATGTGCCGAAACTTCGAAGCATAATCATATATTCTGGTGTTTGCGAGTAATCAGATAATAGTGTGCCATTGTGTATTGCCACTCGAGAAAAGAAATCATGCAACAATTTCAACAATTTCGGGTAGTCGCCCACAAAAATCGACTGCAGAAATGTGGATGCTTTGGTGGCATTTTTGAGTTCTTGCTCAAAGTTGGCAGACAAGATTCTCCAAAAGTAGCTCACTAAGCTGTTGGCATCCAGTGTCTATGTGCTAGATTGAGAATGCGTATCTCACAATCAGTGAACTCAAGTTTACCTTGGCTACTTCATCCAAGAAAGAGACATGTGTCAGCGCATCTTTCTTGATCTCGAGTACCTTTTCCAGGCTGTACACCTTGATGCACTGATCACTCATTTTCGTCATGAGAGTTTCCATACGATTCCAAACTGCAGTTGCAAGCTGTGTTTGATTGATTCCAGAATGTCCTCTGACGGACATGGCAGGTGAAGCCATCTGCTGCTGTTGCCCATTCGATGCTGTTGGTGGCTTTAATTCGTTCTGTATAGATTGCATATCAATCACCTTTTTGATGTCTTGAATCAGACTATCGAGCATAGATTGTGTAATGGTTTGCACTCGATCTCCCATCTGCTTCATGTTATGGAAAACTTGTAGTCCAGACGCCATTTTAGCTTGGTTTTGCGATTCGATGCCTTCCTTTAATAATGCGGTTGCTTCCTCCTCCACTCTGTCCCGAGATTTTTCGATAAAATCCAGCTCACAAGTGACAATATCAATGCCATCAAAATCAGTTTCCTTCATGATTGTCTCTAATTCGTAAATTGTCAATGCCGCTGTGGATATATCTCGATCACTGGTAGATAATTGTGCCTCCAAACGTCGCTTGAGTAAGATAAAACGGTGTAGCTTTCGCAGCAGTTCGCATGTCAGTTGTAAGTTTTCTAGTTGTGTCGCATAAGTACATAGTTGTTGGTATGGATCTCGGATTTTATGCGATAACCTAGGATTGTTTAGTAAACTACATGCAGCATATTATAAAAGTATCCTACGTCTGAAGAGAGTTGTTGAGTCCACTGATATTTGATTGTACAGTATTCAGTACTGTTTCTAGTTCTTTGATGCCCGTAACTTGGCTCAAAAGTGCTTCATAGTTTGTTACAACCTGTGGTGGTCTTCAGGGTAAGTTTCTTTAGCTTAGTTGCACCAACCACAAAGTACTGACCTGTTCTTGGATCTGCTTGTTTACGATATCAATACTGAAAGTGAGTTTGGATAATTCAGTTCCAATATCGGTCGCGTCAGTTGAAGACTCTGACTCTTCAATAATAGCATTTGCATAGGTGTTCGCGTCGAATTCCTCTGCCAAAAAGGTAGCGTAATCTATGTCAAAAATATGCGTTAGAACTCTTGACCAATATCCTAGAGTGCTTTTCAACAAAAAATACCAATGTATTTGTCTGTATCCTGAACAGAGAATCTTGCAGCTGATGGCATATGGAAAAGAATTACTCTATGTACAAAAGAGCAAATTCAGGTTGTTTTAAATTATCAAAAATTGAATTCCAGATTCACCATTGTTATCTTACGTAAGCAGAGATTTTCGGCTGAAGCATCTCCTAGCAAGATTCCATTGTCATCCAGGCACGATGTACAAGTAGAAAGCATGTACGCCGCTGTATCCATGAATAAAGCTGTATAGCTATTCAGCTAATTTTCAAACGATCGTGTGATTGCAGATATGTTGGATCACAAATAGATGATTGTAGAAGAGTGCCTAAACAAAGACAATACCTTCATCTTTAATTACTTGCTCCGCGTAGCTATAGTAGTAAACCATAATGAAGCGGCAGGCGCAATTATCTGTGATATTATATATAGAGGCAAATGCGTGAGAACAATTTGAAATAGGGGAGAATTCAAAGACTGGCACGAATAAGGTCCTCGTCAATCTTCTTTTGGAGGTTGACATTGCTCTCATGATTAGGAAGGCAATATTACTGCAACAAGCCGCCAACAAATTTAATTAAAACGCCGCTTGACTTATGCTCCAGATTGGACAAAATTTGATCAAAATCGATTCAATGAACTTATTTTGCTAGATTCGACTATATAAAGTGTGATGATCATCCCATACTCCTTTAAACTGCCCGTGGTGGTAGGGCGAAGTGGTTAAGCATCCAACATGCCATCTGGATGATCCCAGTTCAAATCTCAGTGAATGCATTTTGGTGACTATTTTGACGTAGTACTGATGTCCTCGTTTGGTGTTTTGTGCTCTTATCCAGTATCCATATTTTGACGATTCGCATAATTGTATTGGGTCTAGGTGTCGCACCTGATTAGTAGTAGATTTCTTTCCCAACTTAGTTCATTATATATCTTATTCCCCATCATATCAGACATTGGGTCCACCAACAGTCTTTTCCTTCCCTCAGTATGACATTTTAAGGACTTTAAATAAAACCTGGAGCTCGACTCCCCTACAAAAAAAAACACTCCTTTAAACTTTCTTGGAATGCCTTTCAAGGCGCATCCAATGGTACCAAGTAATATAGATGTTTTGAATAAACTTATTGAGCAGTTTATGAAAATATGAAAAGAGGTTTCTGGCCAAAATGTTGAAATTTTACATATTAAGATCCCATAAAGATGATTTCAGGGGTTGCGTTAGATCGATAGAAACATTTTGATTTAAGATATGCCATAGTAAAAGTCTTCATTATCAAGGTCAAAAATCGATCGCTTGATTTTCGATGAAAACCATGAGGGAAACCTCATGGTTAGCAACTGTTTGGTGCTATTCTAGCGGTCCAAAACGGCTTGTAGCACGAGAAATCACTGATCAAGTGCGCCCAAATTTTGCTGCGCATTCATTAGAGTAATGAGAAGTAATTCAAGCATGTCGTTTACCCTTAGATGAAGCTTTCATGCTGCTATCATCGTGGAGCATCGTACAAGAGTGAGATCCAACGCGACAGAAGGGCTCTCATGTGAGAATGCAATATAATAAGATGCGAAACTGTAGTATATACGGTTAGGATGATATGCGCTTTATTATATACAAAATATATGTGCCATTGTGCAGTCTAACTTCTATGCATAACTTTTTTCTTTGCTAAATGGTTTAAAACGATTGATATTGCGTAGTACATAATTCTGGGGCCTGATGGTGAGCTGTAGCAGTAGCCGTAATGTGTGGTTGCAGGGGTGAGGGACGAGGGGGAGGAGTAGTAGCAGCGGTAGAGGACAAAGTTTCATCAAGTGTCGTTTCATCATCTACAGGCAGTAGATCATCCTGGATAAGGGCAGGATCCACCAAAACTAAGTTTTCCAATTTCGCTATAAATGGTATAGAAGGAGATCCACTTTCTGACTCGAATGGAATGTCTCTGCTAAGATCGGTTGTTGTAGTCGCACGAAATGGTAGCCCTAATCTGTGATTGAGTGCCATTGAATACCGAATCAAGTATTCCGCCTGAGCATATGTCTCGATAGCCTTTGAACTACGTCTCTCTCGAAGAATGTGCACTGTTCTCTCGACTGATCTGCACAGCAAGTTCTCTAAAAGCCAACATCCAGCGAATAATCCAGCTCTTCCGACGCCTCCTCTGCAATGAGCCAACACATTGTTGCCATTGTGAATCTCTTTATTCACTTGAAGCACTGCATTTCTCACTTCCGACAGTGTTTTTGGGCATCCTCCTTCGATCATAGGTAATCGAATAATCTTCATGTCATGTGCTAAAGCGGCTTTTTCGTATTTCGGCCATGGTGCGCCTAAAAATTCCAATTCGGTGTCGTCCAGGCAACTTTTTTTTTTTAAAAAATGTATTAGACTCATCTTTCTCTTTCTCTCTCAGTCTCTACAAAGTACTTACCATACAAGCATTGTAATACCATACCCCTTCATGCGCTCAAAATCTTGATCCAGATCTCGATTGATGGCTGCTCTGCCCCGAACAGGGCCTGACAGCCTTACCTTCTTACCTGGACATGAGCTCAAGCAAAGATTGCCTCGAAGTTGTCGCGATTGTTGCAGATGTTGAAACTTTTGGTATTGCTGATCATCAAATTTTAGCCATTCTCCTCTTGTCACTGGGTTCAAGAAATCGTATAAATCGAAGCCCTTAGGGAATGGAGCGACAGATAGATAACTGAGGATATTGCCAGGTACAATCCAGCTAATACTAGCATCATGGCAGTGAGTGTCAGTACACATGCCATCGGAAAATTCAAAAACAATAGATTATTATCATTGGGCCCTGTTTTCAAGGGGCAAACAATGCCACTTACTTTATCGGATGACTAGTAGATGTCTTGGGTTGCTTGATTAAAGGCGGTGGCGCTTCAGCCGGATTTGACATTGATGTGGGGTTGACATCGGATGTCACAAGTACAGGTAATGTAGATGTCGATGCTGCAGTTACTGACTGTTGTTGCTGCATTGGATTAAATGTACTCTGATCCGTGGTATACATGGCGGGTGTATTTTGCATTGTGTGTGCGTGTATATGTTTGACAGGAAAGTGAGAGAGAGAGAGAGAAAAAGAATAAGAGGCCTTAGATGAAAACAAAGAGGTCCATTTTATACGCTGAAAAAAGGTCACATTGAATGGTGAAAAGGTTGTGCAATTTATGCAAATCGTTTATTGGTTTCCTAAATCAATGACGTATCGTGCTCACGAAGTACTTGAATAGCTTCCTTTGCCTTTTCCACTAACTGATTTGGTTGATTTACGAGTTGAACGAGAATGGCTTTATCCATTTCAAGCATCATTCCTGTCAATTTGCCCGATTCTTGAGGATAGATTTCAGATCTAGATTGGTGATATTTAGAATTAAGGTTTCATGTCATTTGCATAAATCAGCGTAACTTTACATGATAGAGTAGATGCGCTCTCCCAGCATTTGGCGCTGCGTCTCGGTTGAGAAAGCTTGCAATGCCTCCCATGTCAACTGAGGTGGAATGGCACTGACGGCTTCGGTAGGCTGCAACTGTTGGCGTGATTGAACAGGGCTAGCGCTGGAGGAACTCGAGGCGCTCTTTTGGCTGATTTGAGCCTCCAAGAAATTACGACGATCTTCCTTGCGTTGTGCTAATGCTACATAAATTTCTTTCGATGCAATTCTGTAGCCATTCATGCGAATTACTGCTTCAGTTGCTTCTTCGGGCGAGGTAAAGCACACAAAGCCGAAGCCTTTGGAAACGCCAGTCTATTCAGTAAGAGAGGTTAGCGTGTGTAAAAGAGTATATTTAAAGAGGTACTTTACTCGCTCGTCCTTCATCACCTTGGCGCTTGTAATATGGCCATAACGAGCAAATTCCTCCCTCAGCAGATCATCGTCCACCGTATCGGCTAAATTCTTGACATACAGATTGACGCCTTGATATTTGACAGGTTTTTCTACAGGGATCTGATAAGCATGCTGGCGTCTCAGCTCGTCTTCACGCTCTGATTTCTTTTGTGCTCTAGAAACAAACAGCTTCTTGCCTCGATACTCTTGATCGTTCAGCTGATGCACCGCCTTCTCAGCATCTTCAGGGTTCTCGAAATTCACAAAGCCGAACCCTTTTGAGTTTTTGTATTCATCACGTTGAATCAAGATGGAGGAAACAGGACCGAAAGCCGTGAAAAGTCCTCTGATGTCGTCCTCAGTGACATCCAATGCGATATTCTTGATGTACAGATTGGTGAACTTTTGCTGCTGTTTGCTCTGATCTTGGATGGTTTCTCTCTCAGACTTTGGGATTTGATGGCCAACTTGGCTGTGGTGGTTTATGTGCATGTCAATCACAGGTGCTCGTTCTCACTGTTTGCAATTCTACTTACATTTCTCGGCCAAAGAGGATGGATCCGTTAACGAGCTCGATTGCTCTTTCAGCAGCACTAACACAATCATAGTTGACATAGCCGTAACAGCGAACAGCGTTGGGGTTCTTGACCACTCGACAAGAAACAACGTTTCCCCATTGAGAAAATGTATCGTGCAAGGATTTATCATCGACGGAGGCTGGCAAGTTTTTGACGAAGATGTTTCCACTGCCCTGTGTTCTTTTGTTGGAGTTTCTTTCAGCCATCATCAAGCGGCAGTGTCTACCATTGATGAGAGAGTAGTTCATGTTTCTAAGAGTGTGAGAGCCTGTTATCATGTCAGTGTGCTGCCCACTCGTCTCAAATGTAAGCTACGTACAATCCTCTGCGCGATGAAAGTTGACATAGGCATAGCCCAAGCTCTTGCCGCTGACACGATCCCGGCACACATGGACACTCTTGGCCAGCTTGAAGTGTTGCTTCAGGATATCATCATTGACTTCAGGTCCCAATTCACCGACATAAAGAGAAGATTCAACGCGATCAACCGAAAAACGTTCATTGGACGCAAGCAGAGAATCAGATGCTGCTTGTGATTGAATAGCAGCAATCTTTCTTTGCTGTTCAATGGTCAATCCACGAGGTCCAAGTGATTCTCCTCCTTGATGAGACATTTTCTAAAGCGAAAGAAGAAGAAAAAGAATTTGATTGTTTAAATCGAGTAGCGCTGTTGATAAATGTGCTTCTGATTGACAAATGTAGTGCCACCAGCGCTTAGACAGCTCCTCAAGCTGAACACGCCTCTAGTGGAGGAAAACGAAGCAGCAGCAGCCTGGTATATATTGCAGCCTACATTGAACAATGATTTACCGTGCAATACTAGCATCATGCTCGCTGATTTCTAGGCAAAATTCAGGCACGCATCATTCAAGTAGCTTATTAGAGAGAGCATGGAATGGTATTCATCGATTGGATGATTTCCAGTCTTTTCGGTCCGCATGTTTGACATGATAGCATCTAGGCACAGGTGCATAAAATGTGCACTGCAAGTAAATTAGCAGACGATTCATGACAACGCAATCATTCATATTGACAAACAATGCAACGTTTATTGTGAACGTGTAAATATATTAGTACAAATAAATAGCGATAAATAGGTTTGTTAGGATATAATGCAGCAGCAGCCTCTTTTAGGCTGTCGTTGTTGCTGCTGTTGGTGGTGGGGCATATAGCTACTGCTGTGATCTGTATTGACCGCAGTGATGCTGGTATAGTCTTGTGTGGTAATGGGGAATGTCACAGCGCTGTGAGTAGGTTGGTACATTTCAATGATAGAGGGTGATGTAGTAGTGGGTTCGTTTTGTATAGGTTGCTGAAGCAAAGTAGCACTATCTATTACTGGATCATCTGGCGTTCTTTTTGTGGACCTTTCTCGTTGTTTGACAGGTGGCGGTAACGAAGTGGGTGCCGGCATTGGTAGCGCAACAGGCTCACTTGAATGTATCACTGCTGGCGGTTGCCATGCTACGGGTGGCTCCTGTATCAATGTTGGAGCTGAAGTTGATATCAAGCTTGTGATATCCATGTCCTTTTGGTGCTCTGGATGATGGACACTCTCATGTTTGTCTCTCTCGTATTCCTGTAAATTGGTCAATCAAATGTAAAGCTTAATTAATGTGCAACCAAGTTTAAATTGATTAAGGAGCCTTCTTACCAGGTATTCATCATTTACTTCTGTAACTGCTGTCCCCGAGTCGTAACCATTGTCCATTTCATCTCCATCATGAATGGTGCTGACAGATGTTGGCTTCATGTTGCTCTCACCACCACCACCACCACCACCACCACCACCACCACCACCACCGCCTCCCATCATGAAAAAGGTGTGTCGTTGTGTTGATCTCCTGTTTTTACTGCGTTTGGTTGTTACTGTATGTTGGTATGGCAACCCAGTTTCTTCTAATCCAAAGGCATCCTTTTGCACATGTCCATCACTGCCCATCAGCTTGGAATACCGCAGCTGGCCTTTCAATACATCTTCTTGCTTGTACTCTGTTGGCAACAGTAGACTTTTGTCGTTTTGTTGTTTACGCTTAGCAGCTATATCAAACACTTGAACAATCTAGAACAAATCAACAATAAGAATAAGGTTTGAACCGAGCAGAATACAAACAAATGTCAAACATGCCATACATCATCATCGACAAATCTGATCTCGAATGCGTAATTGCTCTTTTGATTTGATGTGGGTGCTTCTGCTGACATTGGAGATTAGAGTATTGATCAAGAAGAAAGAAAGAGGAAAAGAGGGGGGAGGAAAAGAAAAAAACTTGCAAGGGATCCCTTAGCTTTGAATCTATTCACGTTGTCGTTGTATTATATATGGAAATGAAGCAAAAGCAAGCAAACTTCGAGCTGATTGTATGACATGCAAGTTGGAGAACCGCTCTATCTCGTTTTTGAGGGGGTTGATTGATTATCAGATCTTAAATGTGGTTGTTCCACCACTCATATTTCCACAGAGGTGGCTTACCCTGCTAGCAAAACAAATAAAAATAGTCAAATCTCAAAGATTTTTGTTCCCTTCTTTCTACTCTTTTATTCTGCACACATCCAGATGCTCGATCTCGCTACCGTCAACTTCCAGTACCTGGAGGACTCTCTTTGCAACAAGTCTGGCAATGTTCAACTTGCTGAACGTTTCAGATCTTTATTTACACTCAAGAACATTGCCAACGACCAAGCGATTGATATCATTTCCAGAGGTAATGTATACAAGGATTGACAAATACAGCACGGGCAATTGGCTAATGTATTTTATCTTAGCATTTGCTGACGATTCCGAGCTTTTGAAACATGAACTTGCCTATTGTCTCGGTCAGATTGGCAATCCTCGCGCCAACCCCACATTGGAGAAGGTGTTGGAAGATTTGAATGAGGCAGAGATGGTTCGTCATGAGGTAAAGTGTTATGGTCTGAGAGCTTTACGATCAGCCATGTTGATTTGACATTTAGGCTGCTGAAGCTTTGGGTGCTATCGGCTCTTTGGAGTCTCTTCCCGTCTTGGAGAAATATTTGAAGGACGAGAATCAATCTGTTGTGGATACCTGTGAACTTGCTATTGACAAGATCAAGTACGATAACGACCCTCAAACCAAGGCAGAAAGAGAGGCCAACAAGAGTCTCTACAACTCGGTGGATCCTGCTCCTCCTACTACTGAGACCAAATCTATTCAAGAGCTCGAAGCCATCTTGATCAATCCTGAATACAAGCTGTTCAAGCGTTACAGAGCCATGTTTGCTTTGCGCGAGATTGGTAATACAGAGGCAGTGCTTGCTTTAGCCAAGGGGTTGAAGGATAGCAGTGCCTTGTTCCGTCATGAAGTTGCCTATGTATTTGGCCAGCTGCAACATCCTGCCTCTGTGCCTGCTTTGACTGAATGTCTTCAAGATCAAAGCGAGGTTCATATGGTGCGTCATGAAGCTGCTGAGGCATTGGGATCCATTGCTACCCCTGAAGTGCTCGCCACCTTGGATCAGTTCAAGAAGGATGCCCAGCAGGTTGTACGTGAAAGTTGTGCTGTAGCACTGGACATGTACGAATACGAGACTAGGTAATACACAAATATCGTTAGCCTTTCAATGTTTATTAACCTTATGTCATTTATTTATGGTGCTATAGTGGAGAATTGCAATATGCTAATGGTGTCGAAACGCAGCCTCAAAACATGCATGCTCTGAAGCTTGCCTCACAATCATCTTAAAAAAACTGAATCATTACATTTGTATATAACAACCCTATTTAAACCAACCAAACCCCCCCCCCCACTCTTGCCGCTCCATCATCATCCATCCACATTTTTATATCACGCACATTATTTAGAACAACTGATCACCATATTTCATCAAATAAAGGGAAACGGTAACCTATTGTGTCCAGCAAAAGTAATTTACAATTTATGTGTACGTTGTACCAAGGTGCACAAGCTTTTTTGTATCATTACAGATACAATATAATGTCGTCTATCTCTCATGTAACCCTTTTTTTCCCTCTCTTTTCCTCTCTACTCCCTTTGTTATCATGTCTTACTCTCGGTCTCCACCTCGCTCACCGTCCTCTCCGCAGGAGGATTGGCTGCTGAGAGGGCCTCAATCTGCAAAGACCTACTCTACCAGCTCATCTCGCTCTTATTCGCACGCATCGCGTTCGCAATCACTGGCATCTGCATCCAGCAGAGCATTCAGCACAACCAACTATGAAGGAACAGCAAAGACCTACTATGTGGAATTGAAGAGCTATCTCAAAGAAGTACTAGCTCAGGGTAACTAAACGGGCAAGCATTGTATGATCCACAGCCTTAAATTGACTCGGTCGTAAACAAACAATCTAGAGGCAATGGAGGGTCCACATCCACACAGAGTGGCTGCTCGACAAAAGCTGACCAGACTGAGCAACCTTCAGTTCCATGAATTGGCCATGGATGTCTATGATGAAGTCGTTCGACGCAACAAGAATGATAAGTTTTGTGAGTAACAGGCATATACACACACACACACACACACACACGCACACAGGCAAGAGTACATGTTTGCTTATCCTACCTATACAGTGCCCTTCCTCGCTGTCAAAGAGGAATTCCATCCCAAGAGGAATCAAGCAAGACAAAAACTAGCTACATTACCTGTAGCCAGATTCCAAGATTTAGCTAGCGATGTGTATTCAGAGCTAACGAGAAGATATCCAAATTTAATCGAGAATGAGGTAGGACAATAGCTCTGTATTCAGATAACCTTAATTTAACCAAAAAAGCAGGATACCTACAGCCATCTTCCACCTATTCCTAAAATACCTGCATCACCTACCTACAGCAATACCCCGCAGCCTAGTCAATCCACCCATATTGTGCCTGTCAAGGGCATGATCAATGTTGAACATGTGGTGGACAATGACACGGAGGAGGAGGAAACTAAATACAATAGATCACCTACTTCTCCAGCCGTAGCAGCCATCAAAGAGCCCAAAGACTACTTCAGTCGATCCACGGCTCCGTTAAAGAATGAAGGCTACCATGTAAGTTGATTGCCATGTGAAAAAGGCGCCTTATACTGACGAATATACGCAGCAACCGAGTGATATCGAAAAAATCAAGTCAGACTACGAATACCAAATCAACGTGATGATGAGTCGAATCAAGCAACTGCAGGATCAAGTAGATGTAAGTGGAAATCATCAAGAAACACAACAGTTGAATTGACGCTGGGAGTTGTGTAGGATACATCATCCAACAAGGCAGACAAGGACTTGGTGGAGAAGCTTCAGATGGTAAGCCTAGCATGGATCCTCTTGACGGGAGCACTCACACAGTTTAATGCAGCGAGAACAAGATGATCAGAAAATGATCCGTCAAATGGAAGAACAATACAAAAAGCTAAACGACAAGTACGAGGCGTTGAACCGTGAGTATAGCCAGCAACAAGAAGCAGTGCAAAATGTGAAAAAGGAGACAAAACAGATGCTGGACGAACTAAAGCGACTTGCTAAAGTCAATGAGGAGCTGTACACTGAAAAGGAAAAGGCTGAAAACACAATCAACCAACTAAAGGAAGAGGCAAAAGAGTGGCAAATCAAGTATGAAAAAGCGCGTATTGAGTTACGAAGTATAAAAGGTAGGTTTATATTTGCGAATAGGATTATGTGGACTAGTAGCATTGACTATCGGACATATAGCCTCATCCATGATCGACTTGGATCAAAGCCAAAACATCATCAAGGGCAACTTTCTCCAACCGACGCGAAATGGTGTGATTCCTCAAGATTATGTTCTGACCTACCAAGCCTATGTCAATGATCTACTAACAGCTGCAAGATCAAACGATCCATCTCAAGTCATCCAAGTCATGAAGAATATGGTGACAGTGTGCAGATCCATCTCAGAGGAGATAGAGAACCAAGAAGACGTATTGTCTACAGATACCAAGAAAGCGCTCTACGAGTTAAAGACTACTTTTTCCAATTCCTTGTCTGACTTGCTCGTGGCAGCCAAATACCATGCAAGCGGTATGGGCCTGAGCCCTGTCAGTTTGCTCGATAGATCTGCTGGCCATTTGACGTCTGTGATTGTAGAACTGGTCAAGCTTCTAGGCATGAATAGTGCTCTCCCTACATCGAAACCAAGTGCTTCGGCTGCTGCATCGCCTACCGACAACAAGATAACCACGTCCACTATCCTAGCATCCTTGAACGATGATGCGTATGGAAGCAAACGATCAGACAACAACAGCTACTATAGTGCCATGTCGAATGGTAGATCCAATGGCTCCATGAGCAATCGTAACAATAGCGGCACAGCGTCTAAAGGCGACGACATGGCAAGACCCCCTGTGAGGTCTGGATTAGACTCATTCACAGGCTACAAGAGTAGCAATAGCAACAGCATGTATTCTTCAAAGAAATACAGAGAGCAAGACGACTTGAGTCCGAGTGAGCTTGCTGTAAGTATTTGAATCACATGCTGCATCTACCTCTTGTATATTGATTCTCTCATTGTGATATGCCTTAGAAATACCTTAAAACTGAAACTGATCATATTGTACAAACCATCCAAAACCTACTGGCTGCTCTCAGACTGCCTCAACAAAACGGTGAAGCGCACGGTATCATCAGCGCGCTACTGAAAATTGTAGCTACTATATCAGAGCTCTCCAAAGCAACATGTCAAACAACACAAGGTTACCGATACAGGAATGAGTGCGATCCCGTGCTGAACCAGCTCAGTCAATGCTCGCAACGTATCAGTATGATCCAAGCAAAATACTTTGGTAGAGGAGCCATGGCTACAGCAAACGCGAAACGAGATCTCGCCAAAGAAGCGTATGAAGTGGCTAAATTTACCAAGGAACTCATTACATTGTTTGAATCCTGAATAAAACGGTTTATTGTACATTTTAGGGAGGTGGGTCCTGTTTCAATAGCAGTGGTTGTAGTACACATGTATGGCCACATCCAGTGGGGCACAGTTTCTCTGTAATGAACCACTCTCGCATATGAGAGAGATGACCGCCGTGGTTACAGCCTTGACACCACACATATAACCCACGCGCCGTTTGATGGCTACATGCAAATGATTGAACAAAAGAACGATGTGCAAAAAAGATGCAGCAACTTACCATATAGAACAAGGATTTAGTAATCGATGGCATTTATCGCATGCCCACGATCCTCCTGCTGTGCCATTCACTAGCTTGAAGCATGTATTACAAGCAATATTGATAGTAGTCGCGTTCTATTCATTGGTAGGTGAGTGCTCCAATGGACACTTTCAATGTATCACTATACTACCTCATTTCGCTCTCGCACATTCTGCACTTTGCACGCCTTGATAACGGCAGTAGCAGTGGACCATAGCTTGAATCGATGCAAAAGATCAATATAAGCTGTGAACCAATCTTCAATTCGTTCATGATCGATGTTCAGGTATTTTTCCAGCACCAAATACAATGTAACACACATTTGAATGTCGCCTTGATCTGTATAATATTGTAATAGTTCCATGACGACGGGCTCATGTTTCCATGGCAACCGCAAGTTGAATGGCGATGATGGGTGCTGTACAAATGAAGAATTGCTTGTGTTTAAGCTCTCTACATCCCCATCTGATGATTGTGAGATATCGCCACTCTCTGTCTCGTCTTCTATCTGAATCTGATCTTGCTCTTGTATGCGAAAACTTGCAGTGTCTAGATGGCTATCTTCGAGATCCATGTTGTCTTCGGTATTTGTATCCATCTCTGACATGTCTTCGTGTATATTATCGCCTTGATCCGCTTCCACTGGCTCATCGCTGTAAAACATGCCAATGATCTTCCATGTTTGTGCTGTACGATACCGTCCCATCTTCCACGCCAGCTATCCAAAAGGAGAAGTTAGTCATTTCCATGCTCAGAGATCGTGCACACAAAATGAATACCTCGCCATTGATATCACAGGCCACTGCCACATTCTCACTGGAAATAACGTAATTCTCGGCAAAAACCGAAAAGGCTTCAAAATCAAACAATGGCATATGAACAATACCAGAACTTTGAGGGGGTATATATTGAATGACCTGCAGCAGCTGTTTAGTATCATGCTTACATGGATCGCATTGCTGTATCAGCTCACCTCTTCTTCCGATGCGCTTTTCATACCTAATCGCTTGTAATTCTTGGGTGATCCAGCCAATGGTTTCGTAATCAGACTCTCGTTTACAAACAATTCGCGAGAACTTTTATCGATTGTAAAGGCAACATCACCTTGCACGTTCCATCCCATGCCATTTCTCTTTAGCAGGTCAAAGGGCCGATAGGAGCTTCGAATATCTTGTCGAATAAACCACTTGTCTTTGGAAACTGACAGTAGTTCACTAGAGGTATGCCATGTAAATCCTAGCCATGATGATCAGCACACACCCTCCATACACTTTACACAGACATTGTACCTGTTGGTGTGGTATCATGCTCATCGAATGCATATTTCGCTATATGTGGTCTTCGTATATCCCAAACATGTATTCTACTATCTGTCAGCAGAGCACAGGACGCAATCTCATTCTCGAATCCAGGTCGCCACTGGATACGAGACACAGAAGCCATGGTTCGGATCGTATAGAGTGGCCGTCTACTGTCTGCTGTCATATCCCACACTTTGATCGTCTTGTCTCTGCCTCCACTCGCAACCAACTTTCCATTGGGATGCCAATCCACAGTAAGGCAAGGTCCATTATGCGCACTGACTTTGCGATCGTATAATGCCTTCGGATTTCGCATGTCCCATTTCTGTAATGAACATCAGTATGGGCAGCATCTTCACTTGAGAACCTCACTTGCCTGTATTGTTCCCGTCTCAAATGCTGCTGCAAATTCGTATATACTGACTGGATTGAACTGTACATCTCGCACTGACTCTGACTTGCCTTCAAATCGATATCTGGCTCCATTCTTGGGATCTCTGAAATCCTAAAAGTCAACTGTTATAATACCATGCATGAATGGATACGCATGAATACCAATTTTACCCAGCACTTCATCATACCGTCTTGAGACGCACTTAGAAGGATGTTTCCGTTGTCTGGTTGAAAGCATATACGATTGACTGCACGGGAATGCTCTGTTATCACTCGTTCTGCCAGAAATCATCTTTAGCCCACCATTTCTTTGGTCAGTAGCGAGCTCATCTACCTGCTTTGCGTCCAATCTTGTTGAGATCCCATAATATAATGGCGCCATTGGTAGCCGCTGTAGCTACCTTGTGTTTTGTTGCTTGAATAGTTATTTTAATACAAGGTGATAATCATGCAAGACGATTGATGAATTGCGCAGAGATTTACCATTGTTTCCCCATTTGACATCGTTGCTGCTGTAGTTCAGGTTAAAATGGCTGCCAGCTCTCAAGTTGTGTGTCTCTGTGATTTCTGAATTCTCAATGTTGAATACTTTTAAAACTAAATCATGGTATTAATAAAAACGTGTTGTGGATTGTTGTATCATGGCGTCTAAGGCGTACTTTCTCGTCCAGCGACGACTACTGAATTCCCATCTGGCGAGACACTCAATGCGTTGATAGCACCAGACATACGTTCACGCATGGTGTATTTGTCATTCATCATGGCAAGATTCACTTTGTCAAAATGTGAAAAAGAAGGTTTCAAGAATGATTTGCGACCCCCCCCCCTCTGCTTATAGATTGCTGCTGTTGTGGTAACCCCGCTATTCAAAGTTTCAATTGACGAGACGATTATCTCGCTCATACTATCAGTCTTCAACGTGGATCCGTTTCTGAGGTTCTAGAGACACTGGAACAGCTATCTAAACCTAGCTTGATCTGGGATGCTACCAAATGTATTAACACTGCCTCTCACTATGTGAAACCGTACACGTTTCATGGATTCAGATGTCCATAAAGACTCCTCAACAAACAGCTCAAAATGTAACGGTAGAAATCAATTATTTTAATATATAAGATGATAGTGATACAATCATTTGAAAGCTTGATAAAGATATATATAAGAGTGTTCGTTTCAAGGAATATAGGGTGGTTGGTATGTGGGCATTGTGCTTTTTCAAAACTTTTTAACGGAACCATGATGTTCTCTTTTCACGCTTTTCAGGCAACTTTTCCTCTTGTGAGCTATTATAAGGCATGTGAATATACAAGCCAAAGGTATTAAAATGCAAGAATGTTACCTTTCCACTGCTGCTCCTCCACCTCGTAAAGGTTTAGCAATTCTGTTAAAGTTCAACATGGAATTTCCTTGTGATTTGTGCGTGCGAGCTTGCTCTAATCTACCTCTGACAGCTTGAAGTTGAGATTCGAACCTATACAACAAAAAAAAAAACGTTGTTATCATCTTAGTTTCTGTTCACTTTCTCAGGGCAGCTTACTTGTCATTTTGAGTCAGTAACTTGTTCTGTGCTTCCTGTAACAAGTACTCCAAGTTTTGTATACGCTCATTTCTAGCAGATAATTTACGTTCTGACAAGGCAGATTCCTTCTTGAGATGCGAGTTTTGTTCCACCAGCTGTATACATGGCATAATCAGCAACTTGCTTCAAATAGCATGAGGAGGACATTTACCTGCTTTTGTACATTGGTCAATTGGTCTAAATTTCTCTCTAAAAGGAACATCTTCTTTTGTTGCGCTTTATTGCTGGTCGCCTTTATCATGTTGCTTTGTTGAATACGGACTTCATCTAGTGTCATCTCCAGTTCTACCACTCTTTCACAGCGACCTTGAAGATCACGCATCAGTACCTTCTTCATGGTCTCGAAATCAGCCAATTCCTGTGCCATAGATTTTCGCATTCTCTCCAGTTCACGTTCCTTTTGTTCAGTGGCTTCTTTGGAGCTCGCTGAAAGGCCTGGCTCTTGCTTCATTTGCATGAGTTTGTCATTGACTGCCTGTAGTTCGTTCATGGCGCTTATCAGTCTCTCTTCTTCCTTGGTCTTCTTTTCCATATCAGCCTTCAATGAGTCAATCTCCTTTTGCTGAACCTGGCTCTTCATGATAAACTGGCTTTCCAGTTTCGTCTTGAGCTCTGAAATAGAGTCTGCAATATCGCTAGTTTGTTTAACGTCCATTTCTTCCATTGCAATGGTCTTGTCCAGCAACTCCTCATAGTCTACTTCTAAATTACTGAAGCGCACTTCAAGATCATCACGTTTTTGAGACAACGAGTCTCTCTCTTGCTCCAGATTGGCGATGGTTACTTTGTGTTGCTCGATCATGGCTTTGGTTGTTTGTAGTTCGTGGCGAAGCTTGGTGATGGCTTCGGGTGTAATGTCTTGAATGTCCAGGTCAGCCTCAATGCCTTGCTTCTTTTCCTCAGCATTTTCCTGCCTCACAGTGAGTCTCCAGCGAAAAAAAAAAGATGCGGTGCTCTAGGCCCACTTACCATTGCCTCTTCTGTAGCTTGCAATTGCTCCACGTTCTTTGATTCAGCGGCTTCTAATCTTGCCAAGGTTGCTTTGAGCTCCTCCAACTCAGACATGTACTCCAAATTAGCTTCCTTGAGTGAATCAATGTTGATTTCTCCCTCCTTCTTTTCATATGATTCCTTTTCCAGTTGGACCTGAGCCTCACTCAACTCAGAAGACAGTAATTTGTTGTTGCTACTGAGCTCCTTTTCGTTCTTCTTCAATTCCTCCAGCATTTCTTGAATTTCAGTAACCTGCTTTTCGCGACTTGCTAGTTCGGCTGCCTTTTCAGTGATCTGTTCAAGCAGTTCTTGCTCTCGTTTGATGAATTCTTCTTTTTCGTCATTTCCAAGCACCATGGCGGGAGTAGATGGTCTGCTATCATCATCAACGGATAGCTTGAATGCAGGAGCGGGTGTTTGTGGAGGTGTAATAGGTGCAGTAGTATTGGCAGCAGTAGCAGCAGCAGCAGCGATAGGCTTTGCTTTGGCACCGTCCATGGAAGCCCAGTTATTTTCAGGGACCACTTTACCCAATCGCCACATGCTAATCTCATTCTCGAGAGCAGAAATGTAAGCCTTGTATGAAACAGCATCGCCCTTGACACGCTTTAATAATGCCTTGAGTTCAGCAGGAGACAAATCAGCATTAACTTTCGCCTTGTTCTTGATGGTCTTTGCTCTGGCACCGAAACGTAGTGTGGAGATGGATTCAGCTTCGTTATAGGATGATGGGGAACAGTTGATAATTAATGTGGTACGTGAGTTACCACCCAATGATTCTTGTAAAATACGAGTCAGTTTAGAATCTCTGTAGGGTACATGGCTTGACTATATGATGGCATTCAATGTTACATGTCTCAAAAATCCTATTGTCTGTACCTAGTTTACCTTTCCATCTGTCAACGAGTTGATTACCATGCCCAAAGCAGTTAGTGATTTGTTAATTTTTTTGGCTTCTTCCAATGTTTGGCCTGAAGCGCCAGTCTTTCCCACTTTCTCAGAACCGGCAAGATCGACCAGGTACAGTTTTCCACTTTTCGCAGCACCCGTATCCAAATTCTTTTGTGTAATTGTTGTGAGCACGATTGAATGACTTCTTGAACTCTCAGCGTTCATATCTGTAGCTAGATTAACCACTGTCTTCTCTTTAAAAGCTGGTTTACTCACTTGTGGATGCAACAACACGATTATCACCACCAATTCTCATCACATCGTACACTTCACTTGTATCAGAGACGTAGACTTCCTTGATACCCTTGACATAGACACCTTTGACTTTGTCTTCGTGGATAGGTAAATTATCGTTTTGAGCTATGATGTACATTTCGCATTATTAATCGAAACTCAAATCTTCCATGTGCGTTGCTATACTTACGAACTAACAAATCCTTGACTCTTTCCATGTAAATCTCCATGTAAGCGACCTTGACGGTAAACTCCATATTGATAGGAGCTTGCTGAATGCTGGTAAAGATTTGCTCAATGATACGAGGGATGATACCCTTATTTTCGGGATCGTCAATGCTGGAGCCCATCATGGTGTATGTTTTACCGGAGCCAGTTTGACCATAGGCAAAGACGGTACCGTTATAACCAGCAACCACATCTGTAGATTATGTCAATACTTACATGTCCTGGCTTCATCATCTGATTTACATATAGACACACATACCGTCTACAATAGACTTGATAGAGTACTCAAAGATCTCTTGTTGTCTTGTATTTGATCCAAAGCATTTATCAAATGAGAATGTGTTTGTATCTTTTCCCTATCATGACCATTTGAGTTTCAAAAATGCAAATTTGAGGTACCTGATTTTGGTACAAATGGTTACTACAATACCTTGAGAGAGATACCCGTTCCGTCTTCCGATATTTCAACAATGGGTACACCTCCTTCTCTTATTTCCAACTTGTTTTGGGGTCGAAAACGACATACAACTTTGATATTATTGCCAGACATGGTGTTGATGTTATTTTTTTTTTTTTTGCTAGTTTTTCCGAGCTGCTATATGATGGTGAGAGACTAAATGTTTGTTTCAAAAGTTGAGTTGGTTATTATGGTAACTGTAGCGGCCTGTTTGCTTTTGTTGATGAGATTTTTCGCAAGCAAACGTGCAAGATCTGTTTCAAGAGGCTTATTTGAAAGAGAGAAAGAAAGAGCAAGAGAGCGAAAGAGAGGGAGAAAAAGCCAAAAGAAAAGAAAAACGAAAAAGACTGCAACAGAACATACACACACAACAGGTACACAATCTTTATATCAATAAATTTTGTTAGTCACTATCATTTGAACAACATCATGTAGAACCACAAACGCATTAAGCTTTTTCCCTAGCATCGTCTCCGGTAAGGAAGGTCGCAGCCTTGCTATAGTTGGTGTTGAAGTAGCCAATCTTGTAGCAGAGTTGCGGAAAAGTAGATTGGAGCAGCATATTTGATGATACAGATGGGCCTGTGTTCTAAGAACCGTTGTAGACGAAATCCCGGAAACCTTATGAGAAGCAGCTCTACAAAGCACTGTTGGATTGAGAGTGGAGCGCAATCATTTAGAAAAGCAGAACATGTAGGTCTGTGAGGCCATGTACTCGCTTGTACAGCAAAACATGTATGTTTCCTCTCTGCATGTTCTGCTTTCATTTACCACCATATCGTCTGAATTCCTTGGTGGTGGACCCCATGCCGAGACTAACATTCCCGATCAGCGTGATGGGCTTTGCTTTCTGAGTTGAGGATCCCTCTATAAACCAAAGTACATGTTGGGCTTTGCTGACAATGGACTAATCTTTCGCTCTAATAACGAACTGCCTCTCTCTTGAGCAAATCTTGTTCCTGCCAACTTTGTTGTAGAGTTTAATGCGTCTATCTTGAGCTCTTTTGAGACAAACTGCTGCGCACAAACTCCAGAATGACAGAGTTTTGATTTAGGCGGCAAAGCTTGCCTGGTATTCTTTAGTAAAAACAGCATCTTTCAAAGATAGTTCACGTATTCTTTTGCTCTGTGTAGTTTAGCTCTTGCTTGCCCTTTCCTTGATAGATTCAACCTTGCGCCCGAAATTCAATTGGTGCCGGTGCTTGTCAGTGTTCTTTCCTGATCGAGTCATAAAGGTCTTCATGTCTTCTTGGCTTTCAGTGCGTTCTAGTGTCTTGCTGCATAATTTTTGATACAGGCCAAGAGTGATCCTTCCTGTTTACAGCAATTTCTCTTCTTGCACTGCTGCTTGGTGCACGGTCGATTCCCATAAAAGCATCAACGCTTCTCCTCCTGGTAATTTCCTTTTGCCAGATGGCGAAAGAAAAGGTGCAGAGGCAAAAAAAGAAGCTATAGAGAAAGAAAAGAAGAGCGAGCTACGATTGATTTTTCAGGTTTTCTATTGTTACAGAAATTCAATCAATCATCAGCAAAACAGCCCGTCGATGATTGTACACAGGTAGCCTCAAAGAGATGATTTGGATGTAGCACTCCTTATTACTTCTTTCAATACTCTCACGCAAGGTTAAATATGATAGATGTATTATGTTTGAATAAAGACACTATGTAATCGATTGAAATCGGATGCATTTGCAACTTCGATACAGTGATTTGAGGCGGTGGTAGTGTTCATGGACGGTAATCTGGGGATTTTGATAAGACCAAGTTGCTGTTGTGGCATTCGTTTCTATAAAATGTGCATATGCATCGGTCAGTATTACAGTAAAATAAGCATAAACATGTAAACAAATAAATTACCTTTTCATAACTGATGCTCGGCAATGCATCAGTTGTGATTTGAAGATCATCCACTTTGCTCCTCAGCTGAACACTGCGTTGCTTGAGTGTGTATAGTACAGATTGTTGTGTTTGGTATTGGTAATCAGGTGATTTCTTGATGCTGGACCATTTGGATATATTGGTCGGGGCAGCGAGTTGAACCACACGAGGAGAGGCACTTGCTATTCTCATATCCTTCACCAGCACTCTAGTTTCTCGAGCAATACCTGTGATCAACTCGTTTCTCGGTTGATTTTTACTGACAGCAGGAGATGGCGTCAAATCCAAAGATCTACAGAAATCTGCGCTCTTCAATTGAGCATTTTCAGCTCTGAGATAACGAATCGAAGCCTTGAGCGTCTCCATGTGTCCCGCCATTTCATAATAACCACCTGCCATCTCTTGCATGTGCTCAGAGTCCTCTCCCTCTGCCAGATCAAAGTTGGCCTTGCGCAAGATGGATTGTCTCTTCTCTTCCCGTTTGTTGGCTTCCTTCTTGAGCTGGTTATTCTCCAACTCTAGTTGATCGTACTCATTTTGAAGATTCTCCATGGCTTCTGCATACATCTGTTCCTGATTCATGGATTTCTCTAAATCGTCCTCTAACGACTTGATTTGTTCCATCTCCTTCTTTGCTACCTCCATGCGCTTCTCGAGTAAGCTAATCTTGACCTCCGATTCTTGTAATGTCTGATCCTTCATGCGAACATCCTTGATGAGTTTGATGATCTCATCATTATGCTGCTGCAGCTTGTGCTCTAATTCATGGTTGACTACGACCTCAGCCTTGATGTCTGAGGCACGCTGTATCCAGGGAGCGACATTTGTGGTAACTAGAACAAGAGTAAATTAGTTATTGGTCCTGCTCTCAACCTATAAAAGACTTACTCTTATCCAGCTTGTCATCACGCTCAATTTGGGCAAAGGTGGTTTCCAGCTCGTTTGTAAGTGTCTTGACATTTCGTAATGCATTCTCCCACATGGAGCTTTCAACCATCTCAAATATCTCATCCCCCTTCTCACGCAACAACTTCTGAATATGCGATAACTCAATCTCTTCATGGCTGCCTCTCTTGGTGTCGATATAGGATGTAATGTCCTTGTAGGAATCAAAGCAGAATTTGCATAGTTTTGTGCTGATGGCATACAGCATTCTAAATCTATGCAGATACTCTGATTTCAAGGTCATTGCTTCCTCAAACATATCTTCTAGCTGGCGCATCAACTTCTTGGCTATAATCTTGCTGTTCTTGGCTTGAGCAATAAGGCGTCCAAGAGGCTCGTTGTAGTCTTGATCCATCTGTTCCACGCCTTCCGCAATCCTCATACCTTCCATTCTTGCTGAGTTGTCCAGCGACTGTTTAGCGTAAGTCAAGATGACAATCATGCGGTCTGCGTTCAGATCCAAAGCCTTGGTAAGGCCAAAGAACTGATCAGCATTGCTTTTCTCTTGCTGCTGCAAATGGTTTTCAGCCAAATGTTCCACCTGAGCAATGACACGCTGCAATTCAGTCAAGCAGTGCACCTCATTCACCTGGTCTGTTCTAAACAGCTCTACAATACCATTCATTCTTCTTTCAACGCCAATCAAGTCGTGATACACCTTGCCCATTTTAGAGAAAGTTGACACATCGCAGTTCTTGATGTAAGTTTGGAATCGTGTAGCTAAAGAGCTCAGCCAGCCTGCTCTTTGCTTCATTTCACAGATGGTAACTAGGTTCTCGGTAACGTTGTCCATAATCTTTTCGCTGATGGGGTAATTTTGGTCCAGATGCTTGACAATAAGACCTGCCTTAAACTCCATGCGCTTGAACAACAGCAAACAAGAGATAGGGTCATTTTCAGTCTTGAAGAAGGACTCTGGTAAATAGGGTTGAATCATATTCAGTCGTTCGTTGGCTTGAGACGCCTCCAACTTTCTCAGTTCAATATCAATGGCCTTGGCTTGTGCCTTCATCACAGTCGTTTGCAATTGGAAGTTGAGGGACATCATGGCTTGTGATTGACTGCTCAATGCCTTCTTTTCTGATTGCTCTGTTTGCTCTTTGCTCTTGAGCTCTTCCAAATCGTTTTGTAATAGCACCACGAGCTCTCTGAATTGTTGTATAGTGGCTTCATAGTCAGCAGTTGTTTCTTCGTTGGCTCTCAGACGCTCCAACTGTTCTCTTAGTAGCATATCACGATGATCAATCTCTGCTTGCAATTGCTTCTCAGTTTCCATATGATTTTCCTCTAGCTCGTCAGCCAATTCCTTTAATGCCTCCAGATCGTCTACGGTAGCACTAAGTTCGTCCATCTTTTCTGTCAAGTTCAAGTTCTTTTCCGTGAGTTGATCTACAAGATCTTCTGCTCCTAGAGCATCATCGAGTTGCATCTTGAGGTCTTCCACGAGCGCTTCGGCATCACTTAATTTCTCCATAGTTTTCTCATATTGTAGTCTTATTTCTTCTAATTCATAGTTTTCTTGTTCGAGGGTCTTGATCTTGATATTGAGTTCATTTTCATGCTCGGCGGTGGCATCCCGGAATCTGTTAAAGCGATGAGTTTTTACTCTAATGCGAAGGTGTACTGGCCTATATCCTACCTTAGCAAAGCTTCCTTTAATCGTTCGTTATGTCTTTCAAGCTGAATTACTTCCAAAGGCGTTCTCTCTTCATTTTCAGTGGACAGTATCTCTGGTGGTTTGTTTAGGATATCCGCTTCTTTCTTTAGAATGTCGAGATCTACGCTGATTTCTTCCATTCTGTCTTTCAGCATGTTGGTCTCTTGTTGTAGATTTTCTGCTCTCTCCTCTGCCACTTCCTTGTCAAGAGTCAGCATCTCCATGGATTCAAGCAAATCATTGTATTTGCTTTCAAAAGACTCTTTGTCTGCTATTGTCTCCTTAAGTTCACGCTTGGTATCTCGCACATCCTTTTGCAGTTCTGCAATTTTATCTAAAGGGACACTATGTAAGTGTCCATTTTTTATATCCAAATCCGGTGTACATACCTTGCAGCTTGTTTCGAAGTGTCAGAAATTGCTCTGCTTCCTCCTTCACCTTTTCATGCTCTCGAAATCGCTCTCTATCTTCATGCCGCTTGGTTTCCAAGATTTTTAATTTAAAGCGAAGCTCTTCATAGTCCTTCAGGGGAACAGTCTAAGCATGCATTAATGAGGGTACACAACAATTAATTGTCTTGTATATACCTGATCTGATTTACTAATAGGTCTTGAAGAGGCTAAGGATCCATACACAGGCTCTTGCTGCTGAATGTGGTGCTGTTGCTGTATCTGTTCAATGATCCTCTGATCTGCTGCTTCTTCGTTGTCTTCTTCCTCGTCTGCTTCCTCCTCCTCATCATCATCATCGACTTGTTCCTTTTCAAGAGAAACTGGGCTTGATACAATTGCCGAATTTGCAGTGGTATTTTCTTGACATAAGTTATCAAATTCTGCTTGCTCTAACTCCAATCGCCTAATCTCTTCATCCTGCTCATCATCCAACATGGTATCTGGTGTTGTGGGTGCTGTGATGGGCGTTCTTGTCTTCAATATGGATACAGGTGATGAAGTCTGTGTATTGGATCTAGCTCTCTTGATGGGAGCAGTGCCATTCGTGGATTGTTTGGGAGGTACAACCGATCTTCTATTCGGGACAGCTGTGCTTTTACTGCTAGGAATCGTACCAGTACGACTTGCTGTTGTAGTGTTTTGTAAAAGCGAGGTGGGTCTCTTCTTCGTTTGTGGTAATGCATCTGCCACAATAGATTTTCTTCTTTGAGTAGGTGATGGCGAGGCTGATGGAGTCAAGGTAGATTTTCTTCTATCTGCAATATTTGCTGTATTGATAGACGAAGGTATAATAGATTTTCTTCTGGGTTGTGAAGCTGTATCAGGTGCAATTGACTTCCTTCTCTCAGTAGGTGGGGCTACTATGGATTTCCTTCTCGTTGTCGATGGTGCTGAAGGCTGAAAATAGAATAAAAAGGTCAGCTTCTTGATTTAAATTAAGATGAACACAGCAGCATGCCTCGTTTATCGCCTTGACATTCGCAGGTCTTGTGAATACACCATGGCTATTCTTACAATCAAAGTACCGTTTGCCTTGAACTACGCCGCTGTTTTTACCGAGTGGTTCATCTAGTTCGACACCAACCCATTTGCCTGTTTGAAAGCTAGTTGTTCCAACATATCGAATGGTACCTGAAAGTTCATTATTGACTAGCACCCGAGCGCCTACACTGAGGTCATCTCGAATAACGGACGTTCGCTTTATACTGGTCATTATTCTCGGTTATTTTCCCGAAAAATTTGTATTTTTGAGAGGTGAAAACCCTTCTTCTTTTGTGAATAACTTTTAAAAGAAAGGGAAAAAAGGTTTTGCAGAGTAGAAGAGCAAAAAAAGAAAGAAAGATAGTTTGATTGCTACATTGTTCGGGTCTCGTCTTTTATATTGGCGGTTTAATATTTTAAATTAAATGTTTCTAATTGGATATTTGGCAGATGGCATCTTTAGGAAATAGGATAAACCTTTGCTTACTTTTGCTTGCAAAATAAACATTAAGAAAAGAGGAGAGTGTTTGTGCCTGGTTGTCTGGCCATAAGTTCTACATGTAAAATTCGTATCTTTGACGTTTGGTTGTGCATTTGGACGAGTAGATGCCTTCATAATAACACAATACATGTATCCAAGGCATCAAACAGCGCCACCATAATGCATCAACATTTGGCAAGGACATTAAGCAGTTCTCAACCGCATTTAAACATTTAGTATCCTTCATGAAGATTTCAATTAACAGCTCGAGGTAGTTGCAATTGAAGCTTCCATCCGTGATGATTATATTCTTTCAAGCAGTGATGATTATATCGCTTTCCCACACCCTTTCGACAACATACCCTCAACCTCTTTTGTTCAGACCAACGAAATTTTTTACACAATGCCATAAGAGAAGCTATTTGCAACGAAACCAGGCTTAATGTTTTATCTAAAAAAAGCAAAGTACAATAGAATTAGTTGTTGGAAATTAATTGAAGATTCTACAGTCGAGTGAGAAAGAAGAAACGAATACAAATCATTCAACATACGTTTTGATACAAAGTAATCGGTGGTACCATCACTGCAGACACATTTTGTAAGCTTCTAAGTCAAAGTATTAATCAGCGCAAAATCATTGAGCATGAAATTAGCCATGACGTACCTGAACGAGCCTTCATCCTCATTGCCTAATCAACGGAAACTTGGCATTTGAAGGCATGATAATCCTTTTTGTGAGGTCGTACCTACCTCCAGAATCCCGTACAACTAGAGCACTTGAGTGCGATAGCCAGATTCAAATGCACTGTGATTGACTTGATCTTATTATGACAACTGAAGCATCAAACAGGGCGACCATCGCAAGTACAGTTGAACACACTGCAGCCAAGGTAGAGAGCATTTCTTCCACATGCTTTGCGATATACAGATAAATCTTTACTCGTGTGTTTTTCATAATCCCTTATTAACATTGATTTGATCGGTTGCTATTGAACTCAAATAGTCTGAACTCTCATGAGCGGTAGTAAATGTAGAATCAAAATTTCCAGTGGGATAGCCCTGAAATCACAAGTCTAATAACAGGTCGAAATCTAATCCAGTATTGACAGTACAGCGTCTCTCATTGGCCCAAACACCATATTTTAAATCTCGATAACAATTTGGGCTCCACTTTCTAGCCCAGATTTTTGTCCTCTAAACGATGGCGCAATTGAAATCTGCGTAGGTAGCATGGTTGTTGAGAAAAGGGAGATTTTAGAAAATAGTTCATTTTGAATAGATGCTGGCTAGTAAAACTTTTTAAATTACTATATGAATGTGGGATGTATGTGTAGTGAAAGTTGTAGAGGGTACTTTGACTGAGTAGGGCATGTTTAAAGTGGGGCTATTGAGGGTAATATGGATGAGTAATGACGGAAAATGTTCCAAATGACCGATTTTCAAAGGGCCATACCGCTAGATTTTACTAAGTGAACGAGAGCTTCAAACTTAATAGCTTCTGTTTCTTTTTCAATTCTCTATACGATGGTATGGTTATTATAGATAAACAAAAAAAATTGATTATCCCCTGTTTGTAGCTCATAAAATATATGATTTTGAGCAAATTTATGAAAGGAACGTACACCTGGTACTTAAAACCCTCATATTATGATGGATACACCATAGCTGACATCTTACATACTTAGTATTGACACGATAAAGAAAATATATAGCTATTTCCTGCTACGGAAGGTTAGTCTTGAGTCATGTCGATTACTGAAAGTCTTGTTCATATTGATAGGTTTGAGAAGGTAATCATGGTCAAGTTGATGGACGAAACTTGTTGACAGCTCGCAATTTGGATTCACCTCCTCACCCTACAATAGAAGCATGCACTTTCAGTACACTACAATCCAAGACTAGCCACAATTCAACATTCCTCTTATTTTATTTCACCACTCTCCTAAACATCCCATCCCTCTAAAAGATATTTACAACCACAAACAATACATATCAGTGCCAATCTAAACATATTCTACCCTTTCCAGCATTTTGAATATAATATAAATAGCCCATAACAAGACACTTGAAATAAACAGCTTATCCTTTCTTCTTATTTTTACCTTGTTGATATCAGTTACATCTGAATTGATCTATTGTCATATCTGTGTTACTGTGGTTGTAAGTGCGATAATGATGATTGTAGAGAGAATCAAGTGGATAACATTTATTAATATGGCTGCAGTGAAATCAGGTTTAAATAGATTTCACAAAAAAAATACAGCAATAGTAAAATACAATAGAAATCAACTGTATTTTATTTGTGTATAAAATGAACTGAAGATCCTGGAATTGAGTAAAAAAAAAGAAGAGTATTTATACATTTACAACTAGCTTGTAGGATTAGTGATGATAGAGAGCAATAGGTTCTGCTATTGCGATATCTGGCAAATGTTGTTGATGTTTGATTTAAAGTGGTAATCAATGCAAGAACACTGGCCATAAGGGTCGATTTGAGTAACCTTGATGGGCTTGGGTGAGCTATCGTCATAGCATGATTTGATGTAATAACCTTGATGGTTTAAAGTGTGATGTTTGTTATTGAAGTATGGAATCCTTTATCTGGGATATTGTGCAACTATGGCAGCAGGGCATAGTTGTCATATTTGAATATGCTTGTTATTGATTTGATTCTATTTGGATAAAGATACCATCACTTATTACGACCATGATGGGTGTGATTGAATACACTGTGATCAGGAGTGATTCATTCACACGATGTGCGATATAAGCATGCATCTTTACTTTAGTATTTTTAAATAGTTTTTTTGATGTACATTTGAGCGCTTTCATTAATAGATCCAAATAGCATGAATTTGAATGAGTGCTATTTGATGAACTTTGGTTTTCAATTAAGTTGCGTTTGGGTGGCTATTTCATTACAGCTTGTCCATGTTGTTGCACAACACAGACATTTCTGACGCGCAACTGTTGTGCAACGGAAGTTAGGTTAAACAATTGCATCTAATCATATTTTTAAATAAAGAAGAGCTTAAATTATATCTATTTAGATGCCCTTTTATTACAAACACAAAACCTGTTATAAATGACAGATCAATAAGAAATCAACTAGTTGCAGACCTTCGTTACTTCAACTTCTTAGCCAATCAGATTGCTTGAAAACTCCGCTGACCTAAAAAAAATTTGCGAGGGTTTCCCCCTGTTTTGATGTGAGGCAAAATTTTAAGCTCCGCTATATATAGCAATATAGCCGCTGCTATCATCAAATTTCCCCCAGGTGCTAGAGCATGCCTTACTTACACCACCTAGCTTTAGATTCAGGCGTTGAGACTCTCAATCATCACTAAAGTAAGTAGTGATAACCAAGTGGAGGCGGCCTATCTACCTCCTAGCCTCGGATAATGTCTTGTTGAGCTTCAGGGATAGGCACATCCACACAACGTAAAAAAAGGTATGCTTCAAAGAAACATAATAATAATAAAAGAAAAGAATATAATACTATACGAGTATAGCAGTATGTAGGCAAAAAGAGACACTCACATGAAGTGAGTCAAAGAAAAGCATAACAAACGCAACATCAAAGATGTTCAAAACAGCTTGTTGTTGCAATAAAATTGCATACATGAGCAACGTGCATGGTAGTAATAATCGGATGTAAAGCAACATGGCACAAACACGCACAACTGCAAAAGCAACAGTGGTATTATAAGTTTGCAATACAGCATAATGACTAATGTTGTTTCATGTAAAGCTACAGAGGAAATACTACCAACAAAAGAAAAAAAAGAAGAAGAAGAAGAAAGCGCAACAAGGCAAACATCATGAATGCGTTATCACGAAAAAGGAAGCAATCATATAAACGTTCAAAGAAGTTTTATATCATTGCGACCAGAAGAAAGAAGATACTTACCACTTACCACAGCCACAGATAGACCAGAGACAAACCAGAGAACAAGCATGCACCAAAGATAGCAGACCAGGAAAGACCAGATTAGCAACAGCAGCAACACCAGCACCATAAAGAAACCAAAGAACGAACGATACCAGCAGAGACCAGACCAAGACCAAAGAAGCAGCCACCAGACATGATAAACAAAAGAAGCAGGCAGCAGAGATGGCCGAGAAGTAATGGCAGCAGCGATCACTCAAACAAGCAAAAAATTATTAAAACCTAATAAACAAACTCAATCAGTGTTAATTCTACGCCTTCCAATGCTCGTTTTCGAATTTCACCTAATATATTCCATTTCAAAGAAGCAGTATCAAGTTCTTCCAACAGTACAAGATAGAGTTATCGAAAGCTAGAGTGTTATGATCAATTAAACGGTTTCCAAAACCACCATGGTTTGATGCTAAACGCGTTTTGCAAAAAGGGGAAAAAAAACGGGGATATGAAAAAATGAGAGAGCACGCTATAACCGACGTCACCGCATGTAGATTTAGTCTCAGTATTGTACCGTAGCAGCGGTAAATGCGGCAATTTAATTTGAATTTGTGCAGTGGTATTTTCGTGTTCAAACTTGACTGGATTTCACATCCTTCAAACGTTTTTGCCAAATTTGACTATGAGAACTGTCGTAGTTGAACCCAACTTTCTAAGACATCTTTAGAGGACTAAAGAATCCGCATCGAATGGTGCTGATTCCATATAGGTTTTAGACTGAAAATAACGAGCAATTCGCAAAAATAGGAAAATTGGTTTTCTGTGAATATGTCAAGATTTCGCATATACAAGTTTTATAGAAAGAGTTTTCAATGTTGCATTTTATCTTTGCAATCAATTTGATCTAATATGTATTATAGGAAAAGTCTTCTTTTTTTGGGCGAAAAACACAATTGTTTGATTCTTTAGAATTTTCCCTTGCTAATACTCATGAAAACATGAAGATTTTCATGAATTTGCAATGACCAAAAAAAAAAGATAAAGAATCAGGAAGTAAAGCGTGGCCAAGAAAAGGCGTGTGGTGCCATTCCAAACGCTCAAAACGCTTTGTGGCATGAATTTGTTAAGCACAAAGAATAAAAGAATTATTATTTGCAGCTTATAAAAAATGTTCGATATTATAAAAACAAGAAAAGACTTATTTGAATAAGATCAGACACAAAATCTAAAGATTTATTGATGAAGACAAGAGTTATTCTATGTATACTAAGTTCTGAATGCCAAAGTAGCAATTTATCTTGTACAATGCCTATCACATCTGGTGAACCTCAGTATTTAGATAGCTGAGATGCACTTCAATTATCATAGCTTGTGCAGTGAAATCAGGTTTGAATAGATTTCACAAAAAAAATACAGCAATAGTAAAATACAATAGAAATCAACTGTATTTTATTTGTGTATAAAATGAACTGAAGATCCTGGAATTGAGTGAAGAAAAAAGAAGAGTATTTATACATTTGCAACTAGCTTGTAGGATTAGTGATGATAGAGAGCAATAGGTTCTGCTATTGCGATATCTGGCAAATGTTGTTGATGTTTGATTTAAAGTGGTAATCAATGCAAGAACACTGGCCATAAGGGTCGATTTGAGTAACCTTGATGGGCTTGGGTGAGCTATCGTCATAGCATGATTTGATGTAATAACCTTGATGGTTTAAAGTGTGATGTTTGTTATTGAAGTATGGAATCCTTTATCTGGGATATTGTGCAACTATGGCAGCAGGGCATAGTTGTCATATTTGAATATGCTTGTTATTGATTTGATTCTATTTGGATAAAGATACCATCACTTATTACGACCATGATGGGTGTGATTGAATACACTGTGATCAGGAGTGATTCATTCACACGATGTGCGATATAAGCATGCATCTTTACTTTAGTATTTTTAAATAGTTTTTTTGATGTACATTTGAGCGCTTTCATTAATAGATCCAAATAGCATGAATTTGAATGAGTGCTATTTGATGAACTTTGGTTTTCAATTAAGTTGCGTTTGGGTGGCTATTTCATTACAGATAGGTAACTCTTAGATTTATGCAAAAAATACTGCTACAGACAATTTGGTACAGATCTGATACATGCAAACTCTCAGAATATTTGAAAAACAGGCTATTCTTAATAGTTGTCGTTGTAGGGTATTATCTTTCAAATGTGAAACAACCATTTTTTGATGCGTATTTATATTCTTCAAACGTTTTACAGACTGGCAATAATAGCTAATATGCATATTATTCCGTACAAACATTAAGATTATGAATTTTGGTATGACCTCATATAAAATAAATAGGCAATAAGGAAGAAACTTGTATATACGTTTGTTTTTTTTCCGAAATTTCACTTAGGAGTTCAGTAGGAAGAAAGCATAACACCTCGGATAGACCCAACACAAAACTTCAAAATATCTTCTTATACTAAAAGACGCATTTCTAGTAGTAATAGACGTAGTTCGATCAGTTATAGAAGCTCGAAATATTCTCAAATCGAGATAAATCTGTTGTAGAATTTTGTTCAACAGTTTTGGTCTTATCTATATTTATATAGCTTTTTTTTAATTTGAACAAGCGGGTGACGTAGCGTAATGGATAACGCATCAGACTTCGAATCTGAAGGTTGTGGGTTCGAGTCCCATCGTCATCGCTTTAGCGATTTTATTTTTCAATTTTAGCTATTGTAGTGTGTATAGATATTGTTTTTGAGTAGCCTTAGACAAATGTATACAAAAAAATAGAATTGAGATCTTATTATTCTGCAAGTTGTTTTGATATTTATACTAAATTAAAAGATTACACACAAAGTCTGTCTGTACTTGACAAAAGATTGTTGTTTTATGCCATTCTATAAAACTTTATCTACAACATATTAAATACGGTCCAATTGAGTAAACCAAAATAAGATCTGCTTGATGTTCGATTTATTCAGTAATTTCGTGTTTTCTCCTGTACAAGATGCGATCAAATATTATTATGTGAAATATCCGCTGTACTTGACTGCCGCGAATATCTTCGTAAGGCAATTTTCAATTGCTCTATCCGATGAAATCTAAGGAGATACATAGTTCTCCAAAATATTGCTGTTAACGTAAGCCTATATAGGTCAAACGATTGATTGCCTGCTTCATTATTCGCCATTGAGTACTACTACACATAAAACGATGATATATACTCATCAACTTGGGGCCTACATTCAACCAAACGCAAACTCTAGGTTATATCATTCGGGAGCTTTCAATTATTTTCTCGAAATTGTTTCAGAAGCGTTAAATCTGATCATTTATAAATACAACTTGCCAAACTACTTGACCTGCAAAAAGTTTCCAGCTTTGAGCTTTAGTCAATTTTGCAAGGCAGCCTAAAACGAGGCACACTCTCTTTATTTGAAGATAATGGTGCAGTCGAACATAGGTTTGATAGTATACACATCCCAGAGGCTACTGTTTTTGAAAAGATATGAGTGCAGACATGAAATTCAATCGCTGGAATAGCCAAAGTATATTCATATGATTTTTAAGACTCTCTCTCAACAGTAACATCTTTCTTTTTTCACCAAGAATTCTTAAGTAGATATTCAATTAGCACTAAATGTCATTAGACGGAAAATTATCAAAGCAAGATCATTAGTTTTTGTGCATGTTTTCCTAGAAAGAGTTCAACAAACGAACATAGAGCTGAGGAACTCTCGGACAATTCAAATCAATTGATACTCCCATCCGTATCATTGCACCTACCAATCTAAATCATGGATCGCGTAATGGCGCAAATTGTAATTGCTAAAGGACTTGAGCGCACACCTAAGTTATTACTGCGCTTGCGTTATATAATCGACCATAATCTCTTTTTATATCTGATAAAATACATGAATGTTTCAATCTTTCATCATGTTACAACACTACATCTAAACTGAAGATGTAATGCATAGAATAATCGAAAAATCTGATAAGAGGCAATGTCTAGGATACCACACATACTAACCTTGAAAAGGACTAAGTTTACATTACGAATGGAAATGTCCACAATTCCTGAAGATCCATCATTTTTAACGTTCAGACAACATCAGACAGCGATTATTTTATGAGTAGAGAGTTGCAGATTCATCAATCTCCTCTAATAAGCTGCAATATCGAGTCAGTCCCTTGTATATTGTATCAGCTGCATTGTAAAGCACCAAGATGAATTTAGAGTGCCCATCCATGATACAAACAGAAGAGCATTTTGTGATACTGATTGCAATGACGATGGTATGTGAGAATCAAAATGGCGTGGTCTTCTCAAGTTATCAGATCTTTTTTTCGTTTTGCAGTTGCACAAATGTTAATCTCAGAACTGATTCATCTTATCATTGTACGGCTCAGTTGGATAATCTAGAATTTCAATCCGTTTCTTGTGGACGTTATTATGTTCTCGAGAATCTATTTTATGCTTTAGAATCAACCTCCAATGCCTCCCCAGCAAACCAGTGGAGGGTATTTACGGAACCAAAACGATGTCTAAAAGTATAAATACCAAGTACAGATTTGCAATTGAATGGCTTGTTCATTGTACATAACATACAAATCCACCTTATAATGGTCGCTATCTCTGGAACATCTTGGTTTACACTTGCCTCTGTTGCCACAGTTCTTTTCGCCACTGTTACGAATGCTCATTTGTCCATGACAGTTTCAAAAGCTGTTGTAAGGAAACAGGAATAGATACAGTGTGCTTTATTAACAACTCTCTCTTTCAGGACAACACTTACTTGACTACTGCTGTCAGAGTTCCTCATGGTTGTCAAAGTGCTAACGGCTCTCCTACTCGAGCAATCACTGTTACCCTTCCTGCTGGCGTGATGAGGGCCCAGTTCGAGAATATTGCTGGTTGGGTAATGTATTCATTTTATCTGTTTATGGTATTATTCACTGACATCAATGCACAATAGAACATCACCACTGAATCTGAAGCAGTTGATCCTCCTGTTACGATGGGCTCGTCTCAAATCACTTCCAGAGTCAAGACTGTTCGCTGGGAAGGTGGACCACTTCCTCAAGGCCAATATAAAGACTTTGGTATGCGTATCTTTTTACCAGCTGCTAAAGATGACAGTAAATCCGAGCTGATCTTCTTCCCTGTCCTTCAAGAGTGTGAAACTGGAAGAGACCTCTGGAACCAAATCCCTGATACTGAGGGCTATAACCATGAATTGCAAAGAGATGCACCTCACATTGAAATCAACACTCATCCCGATGATACTCCTTGGACTGAAAACAGATTGGTCAAGGGACAAACATCTACTGCAAGTGTCAATGTTGTGAATAGTGGCTCTGCTAGTTTATTAGCCGCTGCTGTTGCTGCTCACTATCTTATTTGATCTTTTAAATGCTAAATTTTGACTAATTACATTACTTTTCTACCTGAATCTATATATAAATAAATCAACCCTCGTCCTTCAATCAACCAGATCACTTGATAATGCCTCTGTCTCGATACTTTCATTGAGCATGGAGCCATTGATGCTCCTCGGTGACTCGCAACATGCATTTCACTTTCAATAATTTAAGTCAACTTTTGAAATTTCTTGATGCTACCACCTGTCTTTCACTCTATAACAACAAAAAAAGAATGAGCGACCTTTATTCCGGTATGTACATGCTACTGAATTAGCCTTCATTGGAACATAACAATTTCCATCAGATAATGATCCCGAGTACCGAGCAACTCGAGTCAAATCTGGCATCCCTCCGCCATCAATACGCGATCGTCCTAGAAATCATCGTCAGGGAGGCGATTTATCCAGATTCAATCCTGCGATGCAGCGCAATCAACAACAACAGCAAAGATACTCGCCCTATGGTCAGCAAGGCCGTGATGACAGAAGGCATCACCAAGAGTATGACAACCAAAGATACTCACATCACCAACAGCAGCAACGATATCCTGACCAGCGTTACTCTGAACAACAGCAACAGAGACAACCCTATCCAGATCATCATCAGCAACAGCAGCAACAGCGCCCACCAGCACCGGCAGCACCGGCAGCACCCAAACCCAAGCCATTAGAGTTACGCACAAGTACCGACTTTTTAAAGTGTGAAAAACGGCTCTCGTTACAAGACCTTGTAGATACCATTCAGCCCACAGCATGTACACCAGAAACAGACTATGACTTTTTGAGCTCTAAAGCATTGGTTGAAAAAGTAAACCAATTGAGGGTATGTAAGCTCAGAAACGGGGTATATTGACAACACAGATTTGACATGTACATCATTAGGAGAATATTCGTCATGTGCCTTACGAACAACGATCAGAAGCAAGATCCAAGAGCAATCCGTTTGAAAGAATCGGAAATGCCATCTTTATGAACAGGGCAGCAACCAAATTAGCTGCCTTGGATGCGACATTTGGACTGGCTACAACACACAGCCAAGAGTTTACATTTGCAGACATCTGTGGAGGACCAGGCGGATTTTCAGAGTATCTATTATGGCGAGTGCACAGTTGGGGAGAATCTGCCCATGGATTCGGCATCACTCTAAAAGGAAGCGAAGAAGTGAATTGGCATACAGAGAAATTCCGGCCTGACATCCCTCGTCATAGTTTGACAGAAATCAACGGAGCTGATGGAACAGGCGATTTGTACAAGATAGACAACATCAAGCAGTTTGAGGCCGCCGTCTTGAAGGAAACAAGAGATCAGGGCGTGGATTTGGCTGTAGCTGATGGCGGATTTGATTTCACAGGACATGAAGCATATCAGGAGTTATCGGCTCAGCGTCTGTTGTTGTGCGAGGTTGTTACTATGCTTACGTGTCTAAAGCAAGGTGGACATTTTGTATGCAAATTCTTTGACATTTTGAACGAAAGCACTGCTGGGCTAGTTTGGTTGCTGTATCAGCTATTTGATGAAATCTGCATTACGAAGCCACTGAGCAGTCGACCAGCTAATGCAGAGAGATACATTGTGTGCAAAGGACTCGTGCATGAAAAACCTACGCAACTTGTTCAGCAGCTGATGAAGGCCATTGACACAAACACAGCCGCCATCAGTATTGTCACTCGTCCATTCTTGGAAAAGGATGAAGATTTTATTGATTATGTCAAGATGCGCAACATTCGATTTGCCATGAAGCAGACAGAAGCGTTAGAGCAGATGGACCAGTTCATCAAGAATCCGTAAGTTGTTGTGAAATGTGTTTGTGTTCTGAACGTGTTACTCATGTCGTCTTAATAGCCAACTTGCACCGTTGTACGACCAAGAGCAAGTAAAGAGACATTGTTTGAATGAATGGAGATTGCCCTTGCAAGACTCTCAGCAGCACTATTTCTAAAATAAAAAATCTCATTTCTTTTGCTGATGTTGATAATACAAGGAGCCTCCCACCATGGCTATCACCGTGAAACCCTGAGCAGCAACTACCGCGTATTACTCAATATCACATCCAATCTATACATGGATGACATCCATACCTCTGAGACGAAACATGTTATTTGCATAGGCTCTATTGCCAGTCTTGATGCCTACAGTGGCAGCGACCAGAGCAAAGCAAGTTAAAGCGACGCCTACAGTGGAGATGGTGGCATGAATATCACGGTCATTAGGTTTCAGATTGGCGTTCATCATGAATACCTGCTGGCACAAATGGTTCCTCCTTGGACTTTCTCTTGATCCTCTCCATGGGAGATTCACCGTTCAATTTGTATCGTATCTGTTCCATTTCCTCTGGCGTGTACTCTTTCATTATTTTCCTGTGTGTGAATGTGTGAAAGAGGCTAAATTCCAAATAGTTTTAGTAGGTTGCAATATAATCAAGTCTAAAATGGGAGAGCTTCTCTCTCGCTCTCTCTCTCTCTCGTGTTGTACCCCCCATTAAATGAGGTAATATTTGTCCTTGTAGAGTTTCACACGAAATTAAAACGATGGTGGGCGCTTATCCCCTTCCATTCTGACTCACACATGCTGAATTGAAAGGGATATAAGCAAGCATCTTTGCTCATACACATTAAACAGCCGAAGATGGCTTGCCAAATGGAGTGGGCACCCTTCTTTTTTTAATTATATAAAGGGCTTGATTAAATAACTCTAAATCAAACACTCTTTCTTTTCAATTTATATCTGTGCAAAATGCCCAACACTAAAGTAAGTTGCTGTAGCAGCCTAGTGATAACGCGTCCGTTGACATGCCCTTTTTGTTTAGACTTTCTTTGATATCACTGTCGATGGCAAGCCCCTCGGAGTAAGTACACTGTATCAGAATTCATGCGTACGCGTTATTCAACAATGTGCCATGATAATAGAAAATCGTCTTTGAGCTATACGACGATGTAGTTCCCAAAACTGCTGAAAACTTCCGTGCTCTCTGTACTGGCGAGAAGGGCTTTGGTTACAAGTCTAGTGGCTTCCATCGTGTCATTCCCAACTTTATGCTCCAAGGTGGTGATTTCACCAACCATAACGGCACTGGCGGTAAATCCATCTATGGTAATGTATATTGACAATGATCAAAGAGTAAAGAGCCAGCTTTGCTCATACATCTCTACTCGTATTCAGGCGAGAAGTTCAAGGATGAAAACTTCAAGATCAAGCACACTGAGCCTGGATTGTTGTCCATGGCTAACGCTGGCCCCAACACCAATGGTTCTCAATTCTTCATTACCACTGTTCCCTGCTCTTGGTTAGATGGCAAGCACGTTGTCTTTGGCAAGGTCATCGAAGGGTAAGTTGGCAGACAATTAGCCTATGTAGCTCCATACTCATCAATTTATATTAGCATGAACATTGTCAAGCAAATTGAAGCTTTGGGTTCTGACTCTGGCAAGGTCAAGTCAAAGATCGTCATTGCCGACTGTGGTGTACAATAAATACAAACAGCTTGATTTTCTCCATCTTTTCATCCCCCATTAGTATAGTAGCAAATAAATAAACAGAAAAAATTACAAGAGTGCATTCTCTTATAATTTTGTATAGCTCTCAAACAGAAAATAAGCTTTTTTTTTTTATCGCTTTTTGTTGCATTTTTCAGTTTTTGACGCCGAATGACTCCACTGCATGGATGGGCGTTCTAGACTCTGGTTTATTTCTTTGTGAAAAAGCTTGTAATGGATTTCATGCCTTTGGTGTTGACCTTGGCTAAGCTTCTAGGCACTTGAGGCTTCTTTTTCTAAAACAGAATAGTGAGTTTCCGTCGGATATACATTGTCGCAAACAAAAAGTTACCTTGGCAGGTGTATCAAGGAATGCTTCATCTGGATGTGCTCTCTTGAAGAAACCCGATGGAGATGCATCTGTCACGTAGTTTGTAATATCATCTAATTCTGTCTCTTCCTTCTCTTCTTCGATCCTAGTTATATACAAAAATGAGCTGCTATCGTCTTTCAAGCCATAGTGTTTACTCACTCTAGTTTTGTCAAGAGTCGATTGAACCAATCCTTGTTTAGATAGTTTGATAGTGTATATACAGCCTCCAACTTTATGGAAATTGCTTGTTGATTTGTCGATTCGAATGATTTCTTGAAGGCTTCATTGGCCATTAATTGATCCATCTTTTTGACAAGCCAATCCAGGGCTTTTTCATGGTTTAGTTTATATACAGATAGATCTGTGGCAATTTCTAATGCACTGTGTCAGTCAATGACGCATCCCTTTCAACCAAAAGTATACCTTGAACATCGCACACATGTGCTAATTGCTTTGTGAATCCAGTAATGTTGGTTAGTCGGTGTACATCAATCGGCTTGGAGTATTCTTCGCTTGTAATGCCTTCATCATCTAATGTCTCTGTTCCAACAATCTCCAACTTTACATTCTCTCTACTAAAGATATCGTCCAACGTCTTGAATTTCTTATTGTCTTTCTTGTATGCTTCGTCGAGAATAGGCAGTGCCATGAAAAGTGGATCCAGTGATGTTATGAATCTCACTGCACCATCTTTAAAGATACAGCGTCAATTGCACCATTCTTTGCTTAGTGAGGGGTGATATACCTTTGTAAATGTCAGCGTCTATTAGCCAAGCACTTTTGCGTCCTGGACCTGTTACTTTCTGTATCTCATATAATGTGCCTTTGTCATTGTGAAAGTAAATGGATCGTCTATTTGATCGAGGACAGGGTAAATACAACTCTGTCAAATGATTCACGTCTAATTCAAGCCACTGTCAGATAATCGTAGTAGACATGGAGCTTTTCCTTGTTGAATTACCATTTTCTATCTTGTTTGTAAAGGCAATGATTTGAGATTTCATGTGTTATTGAATGACAAAAATAAGCAAAAAGGGGAAACACGACAGATAAAATTCTTCTCGTATTAGAGATGTTTGAAACCGCGTTTGCGTCTTCGTGTCACTCGAATCTTTGGTAAATGTCATGAGGAAAACAGTATTTGGTGATTGCTCCAGCAAATTCATACCAAAATGGATATCTACTCTCATTTGTCATCCATGCATGACTAGAGGCTACTTGAATCTAGTATTGCCTCGATATATAGAATGTGTCAAACGAAAGCTTACATAGGTTTTAAATGACTTTACGATGATAAGAGCTTGCTGTACTACTATTTGAGAAGAGTATCTACCACAAAACAATGTGGTGGTCTATATACAAGAGCCATCTATGCTATGAGTTGAGATACAGGCGATGGAAGCCTTTCAAAAAGGGTCTTTGTGCCACAAGCAAAGAGCAGATCAATAATTCATCCAACGTGCGTTTCTCTCCATTAAAACATAAGGTTACGAAAAAATATCGAACTTGGTTCGAAATAGAGAAGCTTCTTTTATGAACATTCTCTTGCAAATCAATTGAACTGCGTAGGTATCAGGAGGCTGTGTGTTCCAACTACACAACCTTCGCAAAAAGTTCATGAATTACTCCTGACTCATAACAACAACGGAGGCGAGCTGAGCAATCACATCTACTCAGATAAGCTATTTCGTCTTCTATATCTACTAGCCGATCTATCTCGCTACGCTCGATGTCGGCATCGCCCTGTGGGCTCTCGCAAAAAAACATTTTAAATCAAATATTATAACATTTTGGTATATCAAGTAGATTTTAAACAATCAATTATTAGTTAGTAAAATAAAGGTTATATCCGAGTCAGGAGGAGGAGAGGAGGTATCTCCTTCAGCATCTTTTTTGCTTACACTGATATCAAACAAGCCTTATTGGGGCAATGTGAAAGAGAATTCAAGTTTTATGCAGCATTTTAAAGCCAAAATCTTCATTTTCTGATAGTAGAATTGCCATACCATTTGCTACTGCTGATGCTCTAAATAAGATGGTGGCATAAAGCTGGTCATAAGTAAATACAGGATTTGCGTAAGGTCTACAGCGCCTTTTTTGAGATTTTGCCATTGCAAAAGACACCTTCATTAAGAAAAGATATCAAAAAAATTATGTGCGCTAAGCAATTGTCCTTTCAATTCCATGATCACCATTTAATCAGCATCGTAATCATCATTGTCATCAGCAGAAAGGCATTTGGGTCTGCCAGCAGCAAGCCGCCGCCAAAACTGATTCAAATTCAGCTCATTTTTTTTCTGTTCAAGATTGGACAGATATTGTCTTTTTTCGACTTCTTTAATCTATTCTGTGATATTCGACTATACAAACTGTCATGATCACCCTACGCTTCCTAATACATTTTTGAAGTACTTTTCAAGGCGCTTCCGATGGTGCTAACTGTGATGAGTGTTTTCACTGAAACTATTGAGCAATTTAATAAAATTTGAAATGAGGTTTTTAGCGAAAATAGCCATATTTCGCATATGAGAAGTCTCATAAAAGTGGTTTCAGAGGTTGCTTTGGATCGAGAGAAACATTTTGGTCTGATATGTACCATAGAAAAATCTTCATTTTCAAGGTGAAAAATGCGATCGTTTGATTTTCGATGAAAACCATGAGGGGTACCTCATGCTTTTTGGTCTATTTTTGGCCTTGTTTTTTGGGTCCCCAAAAAGTTGAGCAAAGGTGTCAGAAAGTTACTGCTACTCAAGTACAATTGTTTGGCGTTATGCCGGTGGCTCAGAAATGTCTACATATCAAGATATAAAGGCTTGAAAGCTGTCAAATTTGGTTATGTTTTGCTTTATGGCTTTTATTTACACGGCATGAATCACATCTTTGGTAGCTGCAATTTACTGGAAAGACAGATCTGTAGCCTGAGCAATTTTTAATTCGAATAGGAGGCAAATTGATTTTGGTAAAGCTGATTCATGCAGATTTTGATGCGCTATGTTGCTGGTAAGCTTATTAACAATGAAAATGAAAACCCAGATTTGCTGCTTGAATACTATGGTCTTGCACCGTCGCTTCACTGCGATCAAGCCCTCATATAGATCGATGTTACCAAGTGTTGGATTAGATACTTAGTCGTCATAGGTTTTGCACCTTTGCTTTTCTACGGTGAAGCCATCATTAAAACCAATACTTGGTAGCATTGGTTTCAATACCTAATTACCATGGTTTTGCACCTTTGCTTCGCTACGATAAACCCCCTCCCCATTGCCGACTTCTCCGGTGGTTTTATTCACGTTTGTCTCTCAACATCAAATCGCAACATGGTTATTCCAGCGGCATTGACAACTTTTATTTATCAGATATTGGCCATCATAGCAACAGAGGCAGTGAGCCAAATTGTCACTAGTATTGCGACTACTCAGACTTTCTATTGAATAAGGTCAAAGTATTAGATGATGTCAAAATGCCTACTTGTTGGATTGCTACAGTCATAGTTATCCCTTTGGTGCTTTTAAGACCACACATTAACCGTATAATATGCTGATAACCTACGCAATCTGTTAATACTTATAGTAGAACAATTCAATGCACTGGAAAAGATAAAAAAAAACAGCTGGAAGAGCTACAGAAGAGAATGAAAAAGTTTCCCTATATGCATCGATCAATGCTCTTGCAACGCTTGATCTACCAACTTTCTTCTTGACCAAGCAACAACAGATATTTTTAACTAAAAACTAAAATGTTATCGTGTATACATTGTAGAAACCAAGCGAGGAACAGCGTCTACTACATCATAGTGCCCACACAAGTTTATTGGTAAAGAATCCCGTGAGTGATTATCAGTGATATGCACCGCATTGACGTTCAGTAAAATAGTACTTTCAACGTTTCAATTTCACAGTATAAGCAAGCTGTAGCTGTGGATCTGACTGTTCTGCGATGTTCTACATCAGCATCAATAGAAACAACTTGTATGGACAGACTGCATACTTGCATTGCCTCAAACTACTCTAAAATATGCAAGACACAGCAAAACTCGGGTACATTTGCGACGCAATTTCTCGAACTAGAAGCTGTTTTAGACTGTCAGAATAGCACTGGACAACTGCTTTCAATTGGCACTTATTCACTACTGTCTTTGCTCAACTTTTTAAGGACCTAAAAAACATGGTGAAAAATCGACCAAAAAGCATGAGGTACCCCTCATAGATTTCACCAAAAATCAAACGATCGCGTTTTTCACTTAAAAAATGAAGACTTTTACTATAGTATATGTTACTTCAAAATGTTTCTCTTGATCCAAAGCAATCCCTGAAACTTTGTTTGTGGGCCCTTCGTATATGAAATCTCGGCATTTTCGCCTAAAACCTTACATTATATTCTCTGAAATTACTCAATAGATTTGTTAAGAATACCCCTTATGATTAGTACCGTTGGAAGCGCCTTGAAAAGTACTCCAAGGAAGCTTAAGGGAGTATGGAGAATCATTACATTTTTCATAGTCGAATCTAGCAAAATAATTTAATGGAGTAGATTTTGGATAGAATCTGGCCAATCTGGAGTAGATACGAATCGAAGCTTTAATTAATTTTGGTTGGCAACTGCAATGCCTCTTTCGACATATATAGTAGTTAATGTCTGTAAAGCTAATGAGAGGATTATAGATTGAAGTGTACTACAGCTTTATCTTGCCAACATCTTGTGATTTTCTATGCATTGATATATTTAAAAGGTTTATTCGTTGCAAATTGCCCGTTCAGATGCGAATTTGATATGAGATTTAGAACTGTCATCTTTCTCAAATGGAGTATGACACTTTGAGTTTTAAGTCCATAGTATTCCATACTCGGCTCAAGCATGATGCTATGGTGCAAGTGCTTAAATTGGGATGCTATTCCTCAAATGATGCTTTCTCAGGAACATTACCATTTATAGTTTGCTGAGCATTATGCTCTTGATCAACGTCTGGAACGGAGTGCATTAGAACCGCTCCATGCACGTTATGTTTGACACAATGACAAGTATTGCTTTAATGACAAATTATTGCGTCAGACTGCTACCAATTCAAGCATTGAGCTTCATTGCTCAGTATGAGTATTGTGGAACAATCTCGAAGTTTTTGCTTTATAATCTTTCCAAGAGAAGGGTTTGATGCGCCGGCGGTCACATTTACATAATGTGTATTACACACATTAATAAATTGATCAACGCTATCTTTATTGCTCTTTATACACTTTCAACTTTCTCTAGACTTATTCACATTGTCGCAATCAAACAACAAATATGGCCCGGGAGGGGTTTTTGTCATCCCAAAACTAAAACCATTGAATTCGACCAAACATTGCTTTGAATGTGGGGAAGAATTCAGCTTATTCAAACAGAAATATCATTGCAGAAATTGTGGTACTGTAGCAGCAAAAACACTCACCTAAATGTTGCTTACTGATGTGCATTTAGGTAATGTTGTTTGCTCCAACTGCTCAGATCAAAAGAATACCTTGAAAAAGTTTGGATATGACAAGTAAGTAAGTGCCTTTTTTCGCAGCAAAGCAAATGACCAACTGGTGATAAAAAGCCCTGTAAGATGTTGCAACACATGTGAACGACTGATACAAATGCAAAACATGAACTCGAATGAATTATCAAAGCTATCACCAAAAGCTCTGAAAGAATATATCAACGCTTATCATCTACCCTCGAAAATGGCTTTGGAAAAGAGCGATTTGGTTCGCATCATTTTCAACACAAGGCCTATATCCAACGATAACGAGTTATATTATAGAAGAAATCGCACAAAACCAGCAGAACGGCATAGTGGATCTGATGATGATAGAAAAAGCTTTTCGTTTTCAAACATGATGCAGGAGTTATTCACTCCTTCCTCAAATAACTCAGAATCGAATCATGCAACAAACTCAAATGAACAGCACAGAAGAGAAGAGGAACAAAGACAGAGACAGGAACAAGCAAGACGAATGCAACTACAGCAACAGCAGCAAGCTCAGGCTCAGGCACGGCAGGCACAGCAAAATGCACAAAGACAAAGACAGGCCGAGAGAGAAAGATTAGAACGTCAGCAACGAGAACAGTACATGCGACAGCAACAGGAGCAGCAACAAAGGCAAAGACAATCCAATACCTCTTCTCAACAGCGACCGCCGTCACAGCCATCACCACCTATACCAAATACTGAGAATCTATTATCGCTTCATGACATGATTAAATCCAACATTGATCCAGCATCTCTATCGGTACGCACCCTGAAATCAATTTTGAAAGCAAATTATGTAGAGCAATCTCATGTCATTGAAAAATCCGAACTTGTGAAGCTTGTAATCCGACTTGTTGACTCGTACAAAGCGGAGCATGACAGTAGTGGTGGAGGCGATAGTGGCACGGGAGGTGGTGGATCAGGAAATGAAGACACGCTCTGTAGAATTTGTATGGATGCCCAACAAAACTGTGTGTTTTTAGACTGTGGGCATATGGTAACATGTATGGACTGTGCTAAAAAGGTAAGGGATTTTTATCAGAAAGAAAGAAAGAAAGAGAGAGAGATAATTTATTGGATTTGCTGTATAGTTGATTGAATCAAAGAATGAGTGTCCAATCTGTAGAGAGCCAATTTTAAAGCTGGTGCATGTGTTCCGTTCTTGAGAAACCAAAGATAGTGAATAATAAATACCTTGACCTTGTACTATCTACCTCGGATTACTAGATGATTTGTGATGGCAAGAATAAATGTGCTGTGCGTAATGTATTTAAGGGAAATAGGATAAAAACGGTGCTTCTGAACGAATTTGTACTTTTGTCCGTTTTTGCCTATTTGTGCTCTTGATGTCTGGATCAATTACATCCTCCTTGATAAATCTATTATATACTACTAGAGCGAGAGCGAGAAAGAGAGAGCCAAATCACATTATTACAATCATGGAAGGAAACGAAAAAGCACTTGATTCTTGTCCTTGTCAATTTTACCTTTTTCTAATTGAAAGCTATGCTTGAATGGTTCCAAGAATATGGAGTAACACAAAGTAGTGCTTGTGCGATTTGGAACCAACTTCTTGAAATTCTATCCAGCTTATTCACATATGTATAAGGCGATCTTGTGCCGCTATACAATGCAACTTTACCTTTTTCTTTAAGCTTCAAGAACTTAAAAAGGCGATATGTGGTAATTAAGGCAATTTGCAACATCCCCCTCCATGTGATGCAAAACCGTTTGATATCTTCTTACTAGCATATAGCCTTTTCTAGGAAAGAATGTCCTAAAAAGAAGACGTTCGCTTTATTTCTCTTTACCTGGTAATAACCGAATGCTTCAGTAATCTCCATTTATGGGAGGCATCGTTGCACTATACTATACTTGCTTTCTATCTTGTTTTGATAGAAGATGTATTCAACATGAAACTGTTTATATCTTAATCAACAAGCAACAATAAGCTACATAATGACATTTGTTTACTACTGAAATTTACAGCTGTAAACAGATGTAAATTAAGTATGAGTGATTAGATATTGATTGTAATACCCATTTTGCGTGTATTTTACTCACAACTGTAGTAATACTAACAATCTTCTCAAATGGCTATATTATCATCTGATGAGTAACATTGTTTATCTCGTATTTGATATGCAAATTTATTGATCTATTTGGTGTCTCCCCAAGGACATGGCTATATAAAAAGGACTTGATTTGTTCTTGATTTGATGTCTTCACCATCTTTCTCTTTTATATATACACACACTAAACAAGTAGCTTATACCCCCTCTCTCTATCTCTTGAATATTGCTTGTTGAAAATACTCACACTTTATGGAATCTAAAACAAGTATCCATTCCTCCCATTCTGCTCGGTTGGAGGAAAGAGTGATTCATGAAACTCTATCTTACGATGACAAAAAAGCCGGAAGCTTCTATGACAATGAAGATGCTATCGGTGGAAACACACCAGATGAATACACTGACGAAGACTCTCCTATTGAAGAAGTCCGTGCTGTAGTGCCAAAGTAAGTTTTGATACAGCCTCAGATTCATATCAATCTACTAACTCATGTAAACACAGTACGGATGACCCCTCTTTACCTGTCTTTACCTTCCGTATGTGGTCTCTTGGTATGGTTTTCAGTTGTTTGCTTGCCTTTGTCAACCAGTTCTTTTGGTACAGACGTAATGCCATGACTCTCTCACCTCTGGTTGTTCAATTGATCTCCTTCCCCATTGGTAAACTGATGGAGCTGGTTATTCCTAAATCAAGATTCTGGAACCCTGGGCCATTTAACATGAAGGAGCATGTCTTGATTACTGCCATGGCCAATTGTTGTTACAGTACTGCTTATGCTGTTGATATCATCACTATTCAAAACTTGTGGTACGATCAAGATATGGGTTGGGGTGGTGGTATTCTCCTTATCTGGACTACTCAACTCATCGGTTTCGGTATGGCTGGTGTCCTCAGACCCTATCTCGTCTATCCTAGCTCCATGATCTGGCCTGCTAATCTCGCCAACATCTCCTTGTTCAGATCGTTCCACATCTCTGACGGTGAATGGACTGGCATCTCACGTTACAGATACTTTATGTACAGTTTCGCCGCCATGTTTGTGTACTACTGGCTCCCAGGTTACTTTTTCCAAGTCTTGACCTTCTTCTCATGGGTCTGCTGGATCAAGCCCTCAAACCGTGTTCTCTCTCAACTTACTGGTGGTCTTGATGGCCTTGGTATGTTTGCCATCTCCTTTGACTGGTCTACTATCGTCTCGTTTCTTGGAAGTCCTTTGGTTGTACCTTGGTATGCTATTGCCAACATTGCCGTTGGTGCTGCTCTTGTCTCTTGGGTCATTGTTCCCGCTCTCTACTATGGTAATGTTTGGGATGCTCAAAAGTTCCCCATCATTACGTCTGCTTTGTTCACCAAGGATGGTGGAGCTTGGAATAACACTATCGTCATGAATGCTGACAAGACTTTGAATGCCGAGGTTTACGAAGAATATGGCCCTCTTTATATGACTAGTTTCTTTGCTTTTACCTACGGTATCATGTTTGCTGGTGTTACCAGTATTTTGTCTCACACCTTCTTGTTCCACGGTAAAGACATTGTCAAGCAGTTCAAGCGTGCTCGTACTGATGATGAGGATATCCATCGCAAGTTGATGCGTGCCTACCCTGAAGTGCCTCTGTGGTGGTATCTCGCCATCTTCTTTGGCTCATTTGCTGCTTCCTTTGGTGTTATCTATGGATGGCCCGAGATTAAGCTCCCCTGGTGGGGCCTCATTCTTGCTATTGCTATTCCTGTCATCTTTACTCTTCCCATTGGTATTATTCAAGCTGTGACAAATCAACAACCTGGTCTCAACATCATCACTGAACTTGTTATTGGTTACGCTTTACCCGGTCATCCTATCGCCAATGTCACCTTCAAGACATATGGTTACATTTCAATGGCCCAATGCTTGACCTTTATCAGTGATTTGAAATTGGGTCATTATACCAAAGTTCCTCCTAAGGCTATGTTCTGGGCTCAAATTGCTGGTACTGTAATCGCTGGTGTGATCAACTTGGCAACTGCTAAATGGTTGATGGCCACTGTTGAAAACATCTGTACACCCGAAGCCTATCCATTCACTTGCCCTAGTGCTCATACCTTCTACTCTGCTTCTATCATTTGGGGTGTAAGTTTGTTTGTGTGCTGGTTTGATTAGAGGCTAACGTATTGATTTCCTAGACGATTGGACCCGGCAGAATGTTTGGAGGCAATAGTCCTTATAGTTCTATGAACTGGTTCTTCCTCATTGGTTTTATCTTGCCCATTCCCTTTTGGTTCTTGTCCAAGAAATACCCAAATAGCTTGTGGAAATATGTTCATATTCCCCTTATTTTCAACGCCACTGGTATGATGCCTCCTGCCGTCCCTCTCAACTTTTCCATGTGGTGCGCCACTGGTTTCGTCTTTATGTTCTGGTTGCGTAAATATCGCCACAACTGGTGGATCAAGTACAACTACCTTACTTCTGCAGCATTCGATTCTGGCTGTGCCATCGCTGCTCTTATCATTTGGGGCGTTGTGCAGGGCTCTGGTTACACTCCTGACTGGTGGGGCAACGGAGGCTCTGATAGTTTCGATCACTGCCCTCTCTCTTCAGCCACTGGACTCGAGTAAATTACTATGCTTTATTCTAATTCCCTTTAATTATTACTATCGTATTTAATAGCTATCCACTCTTTTTATGAATAAAACATAATTTCTAATATCTATTCCATCCAGAGTTGTTTGATAAGATCACATCAGAAACAGGTATTGGAGATTTGCATGGCTCGAGGCTGTTCTATATAGTAGCGAGATGGGTAATCAAACGTTACTATTTGTATATAGATAAAAAGCCTGTACAGAACACTATTCTTACAATGTCTGTACGTTTTTTATTATTTTATTCACTTTTGGCTAATAATTTAGGTATTTTGCCAGACGTATAGTTGCCAGCTGCACAAATCACCATTCTAACGAAGACTGACACGCATTTGGCTTTGATTTCACCTGAAATATACCACGCACTAAATCCTCGATGACTTTGTCGTCTTCCAGAGTGTTTTCGACTATATCTTTGCAGTAGCAAGGCGTTACTCTACCATACCAAATGGCACGATGTCCATTGTGAGTGTACACAACCAAATTTCCAGCAAATGCATGTCCTATACATATTCAATTCATGTCAAAAATACAAATCAATACAATTGCTTGACACAGTACATCACAGTTCTCACCTCCCAAATGGCTAACCAGTGCTATTTTTGTAGCTCCTTCGTCTTTTGTGGCATTCAAGGACGCTTGTTCCAGAGCCTTTTGCAATAAAGGCCCGACAGTTCCACAACGACGATCTTTGTTGCCATGACCACAGATCAGGATCAGATTAGTGTAAGGGCAAGGATAGACTGAGAAAGCTTGGTAGCATGGCTTTCTGTAGATGTAGTCAAACAAGGCGTCCACTCTTCTGGGTGTAATGTTGGATATGATGATGTTGTCAGGTAGTAGCAAAATGTCTGTGCCTGATGTGGAGTGAATGGAAGGCAGAGAGCAGTTTGTCACAATCACACGCTGGGTTTCTTGTTTTTGCTCTTCTGCCGTTTGCTCATGGCAACCCACAGGGTGATACCTGTTATCAAATGACCTGTGATCTAAATGCTTCCTCTTGCGTATGGTTTCAATAAATGCTCTTGCTAATCCTTCATCTTCAATGTGTGCTGGCCAATTCGTCTTGCCTGTCATGATGACAATGTGTATAGCGTAGGACGGCACTGTATTATGCAGTGGTTTTGATGTGTCAATTTTCAGTTCTGGAGGCACCAACGGATGTGGACATGGCTTATCGCATCCTTTGCATTCAATGGGTACAATGGGTTTCAAATCTTGGATATCAAGCGGTGGTATAATGCTAGTGACTAAATCGTTGGTACAAGAAGATGAATAGAGATTACTGAGACAATTAGTAAGCCATTTCATTGTAATTAGGCATTGGTTTAGTGTGTAATATAAGAAAGAAATGAGGAAAGAAGAGGAGATACCCCCAGCATTGTTTTATTTTTATAATCAGATCTTGCTTTAAAGCTCCGGATTCAGGTGTACTTCATCTATCACCATGGTATCAGATCGTGTACTAAAAGGTCATTTGCAGGTGGCCTATTTCTGGGCTTTATCACAAAATGTAGCAAGCTCAATGTCTCTAGTAGATAAGCCTTGGCAATCATGAGTAGACAATGTAATTTCAACTCTGTTGTAGACCTACAATAGTCGATGTTAGTTTTGCCAATGGCACCCTATAACTTGCAATTCACATTTACATTGAACCACTCGGGATGATGATCAAGTTTGTCAGCCTTTAATGCAACACGTGTCATAAAACCAAAAGCTTCGTTGAAATCTTGGAATGAATATTTCTTGATGATGGCGTCTCTGTTGTCAACCATGGTCCATCCGGATGAGAGCAATGGAGATAAAAGTTGATCACGTTGAGCTTGAGTGAGTGTGGAAACAGACATTTTGGTGTAGTTATGTATAGAGAGAAGAGGTCTAAACAAAAGTCCTTTTGAGCCGAGAAGCATTTTTATACACAAAATTTCAAGTTCCCACGGTAACAGGAAGAGAGGAGAGAAAACCTGGTCGGCAGAGATGGATGCTGATGAGGAAATAAGGCTGTTTGATTTCAGCCTGACATTCAAATGCTGAAGGGTCTAAACAGATACCTAATGTGTTGTGCACAGGTTACAATTCATGGTATGTCGATACTGTTAAAGACTACATATGATCGATTAGTTTTGATCATTGTACTGATATATAGAGGATTTCATCTCTTAACTATCCGTCATCACGAAAGAATCCGCTATAAATGATCTGTAACTGAGGATCCAGTTTTAGGATGCTCCACGTCTGTATACATCAGATTATCGCATACACAAGCACACAGTATAGCACCATTACCTCTTACTACCCGAAAATATGCAAACACAACGAAATTTGGATTCATTTGAGCTGCAATTTTCGTGTTACAAGCCGTTTTGACCTGCCAGAATAGCACCAAACAATTGCTCTCATCTAGCACTAACTTCCTGACACCTTTGCTCAACTTTTTGGGGACCTAAAAAACATGGCCAAAAATCGACCAAAAAGCCTGAGGTACCCCTCATGGTTTTCAAAGAAAATCAGACGATCGCGTTTTTGACCTTGATAATGAAGACTTTTACTATGGTATATCTTGAATCAAAATGATCGTATCGACTCGAAGCATCCCCTGAAACCATCTTTGTGGGACCTTGATATGTAAATTTTCGACTTTTTGGTCAGAAACCTCTTTTCATATTTTTGTAAATTATTCAGTAGGTTTATTCAAAACATTTATCTTACTGGGTACCATTAGATGCGCCTTGAAAAGTACTTCAAGAATGTATTAGGAAACAAAGGGTGATCATCACACTTCATATAGTCGAATCCTGAAAAACAGTTCAACGAAGTCGAAAGCTATCAAAATCTGTCCAATCTGGAGTAGACCAATAATCTGAGTTGAAATTAATTTTGGCGGCTGGTGGGGCTGGCTAGCAAACTCAGTGCCCTTTTTCATCATGAAGCCAATACAGTAATAGATGCTTTTGAAGCGTATGGAAAGTAGGTGACAAAATAGATGGCACTACCGTCAGTCATGCTATTTTTCTTGAATTCTATATTTAATAACGCCAGTCTATCAAAACACTTGTTAGGTCAACTTCTTTCCTTTTTGAGGCTTTGAAAGCGTATAGGGACCATACTACATTTATTATGTTACACTGAGTCTTTTGATTCTTTGCTGAGTGGTTTACTGACCTACGCTTTTCTTTGGTGGAAGCCAAACTACGTTCAGATGGGTCATGTTGCCGGTGGCCTTTGGCTAATAATGCAAAATTAGTAACAATAGCTAGAATGTTAGAAGAAACTTGTTTGTTGATTGATATATAGTGATTTAATATAAAATCTCTAATCATATTTGAGCCATGCCTGACAAATGCCTGGCAACTCAATTTCCATATCATTAGGGTTGTAAAAGTGTCTAGGGACTGAACATTTATTATGTTATGGTTATGAATTAGCAGTATTTATACTAAATTGACTTTCAATTGTTAGACGTTAACGAAAGAAATTGGCATGATGCATTTACGGAGTAGGCACTGGCTCACCAGCCTCAGGCATTTTCCTGAGCTTGGCCATTTCCAGAGTTAAACACTGTTCAGCAGACGTTCTTTTATTATTAGGGCCAGAGAGGTCGCAACATAGGAACCAAAAGCTATCAAATGCGCTATGTTCGTTTGCCTCTTCTGTTTATTTCTCGAGTTGCTTGGTAAAGGCATCATCTCTGTGTTAAGCGGGCATCTTGTTGTGATTATGTTACAATTCAATTAAAGATATAAAGGCGATTGTTGTGATTGGCAATACAATGTCTAAAATTGCGCTTAATGCTTCTGTATCTATATTGATTTCAATTAAAAACAAGATTTGATCAGCAAGCTATTACGACAATTATACCTCGGCGCCACCAAGTACTAAATCCTCGTACAAATACTTTAATGTTGTACAATGAACAAGACCCACTACCATACTTTGGAATTTGTTTCGTTGGATGGGCATCAGTTTGTGCATACAGTATATGCTTTCTGAACATTCTGCTTGACGGAATGCATCTAAACGATATGCTAGGCGTTGACAGCTGTTGACTCATTCCAACTGAAATATATACCGATTTATTTGTTCCACTCCATCATATTGACCAAGAAAGGCGTCATCCGAGTAATGCTATTTACACTGGTAAAACTGACCAAATCTCGCTAGCACACAAGAAATCAACCGTGCAATCCAATTTCGATTAAATCTCTGCGACCAGAATTGAATATATTTATAACACTAACAACATTTGCTTTTCCACTTACCCATCAAAGCAAAAAAAAAAAAAAAAAAAAACGCTTTTATTTCTACCGTCTTTCCTCTGCTCAATGCTTTCAACGTTTTCGTTGAACGACGACCCGAAGCCTCAGAGATTTCCCTACTTACTGCAGACATGTTCTGCAGCCCATGAATCGTCAAAACCCAGACTGACGTTATTAGATATAGAATTCAAGAAAAATAGCATGACTGACGGTAGTGCCATCTATTTTGTCACCTACTTTCCATACGCTTCAAAAGCATCTATTACTGTATTGGCTTCATGATGAAAAAGGGCACTGAGTTTGCTAGCCAGCCCCACCAGCCGCCAAAATTAATTTCAACTCAGATTATTGGTCTACTCCAGATTGGACAGATTTTGATAGCTTTCGACTTCGTTGAACTGTTTTTCAGGATTCGACTATATGAAGTGTGATGATCACCCTTTGTTTCCTAATACATTCTTGAAGTACTTTTCAAGGCGCATCTAATGGTACCCAGTAAGATAAATGTTTTGAATAAACCTACTGAATAATTTACAAAAATATGAAAAGAGGTTTCTGACCAAAAAGTCGAAAATTTACATATCAAGGTCCCACAAAGATGGTTTCAGGGGATGCTTCGAGTCGATACGATCATTTTGATTCAAGATATACCATAGTAAAAGTCTTCATTATCAAGGTCAAAAACGCGATCGTCTGATTTTCTTTGAAAACCATGAGGGGTACCTCAGGCTTTTTGGTCGATTTTTGGCCATGTTTTTTAGGTCCCCAAAAAGTTGAGCAAAGGTGTCAGGAAGTTAGTGCTAGATGAGAGCAATTGTTTGGTGCTATTTTGACGATCTAAAATGGCCTTGAACGTAAGAAAACGCGGCTCAAATGCACTCAAATTTTTCTCTATCAGGGACACTAAGAAATAAAAAGGGGAAATGCCAGTATGCTGCTTGCTCGTATACGAGGTAACTACGTGTATATGGATGTAGAGCATCACATAAGAATTGGATCCACAAATAATATGAGGGTTTTCATTTGTAAGTGGAGGATCAAAATGAAAGTAGCAGTATTTTGACAAGATATGCAAGGGCAATCGGTAGCACGGGCTTCCACTGTACAGGTTGGTTCTCGCCAAAGTGAAGCGAAGGTAGAGAACCATCCGAAACGCAAACATTCATATACGGTAATAGTCTTATTCGTTGCAAATTGCTCATCCAAATGCGAAAACCAAAAGTGTCGTCCTTTTTAAGATTATAACTCCCATGTGCCAGCCCTGGTTGAGCATTACCAGCCGGAGAATGTGAAGGACTAACGTATGCAAACGGGAACTCTTGGTCACTCTTTAGGTTGTTCAGATAGTACTAGATAGGCTGTTCAGGTGCTTTCCATCAAATTTACACAATGCAAATCAAGTGACTCGTAAAAAACGGCTTCAAAACAAGCACACACCAAATTTTCGACATTAAACTCTCTCTTTCAACTTTATACACAATCATAAACAACACACATGGATAAAAAGAGTAGGTATTCATAACAGTGATGTGACATTGGCACTCATTGCGAATTTAATCAGGCTCTCAAGTGGAAAGACCCGTCGTCTTTTTTGACATTTCAATTGGTGATGTAGCTGTTGGACGTATGAAGATGGAACTCTTTTCAGACATTGTGCCCAAGACTGCCGAGAATTTTAGGTAAAAATCACTATACAGGTGATGCTATACGAGACATTTACTAATCCTCGTACGCGTTTACATCCGTTCAATAGACAATTATGTACAGGCGAATACAAGTAACATATTTGGCATGCTTTGCATAGTTGACCATCTTACTCAAATCAATGGTACATTTTCTTAGGAGAAACAATCAACCCCAAGGATTCAAAAACAGTTTATTCCACAGGTAAAACACATGTATCAATCATTTATGGGAAGGCAAGGAGGCTCACCCTATGGAACCCTCTGATTGTAGAGTGATCAAGGATTTCATGGTACAAGGTGGAGATTTTTTAAAAGGCGACGGTACTGGATCAATGAGCATCTATGGCGACAAGTTTCCAGACGAGAACTTTATCGAAAAGCACAGTAGCGCTGGATTACTGTCCATGGCAAATTCAGGTCCCAACACTAACGGATGTCAGTTTTTTATTACATGTGATGCCTGCGACTTTTTGGATGGAAAGCATGTTGTGTTTGGGCGTCTTGTGGATGGTTTATTGACACTGCGTAAGATTGAAAATGTATCTACTGGACCCAACAATCGCCCAAAATTGCCTGTCAAAATCACTGGTAAGGAAGATTCTGTGCTAGTATGTAATTTTATTAAGCATTTTTCCCCTCATGTAGAATGTGGACAAATGTAAAAAGAGAAAGCATTAGATAATTAGATGTGATGGTGTAGTAAAAGAGTAAATAAAGCCCCTTTTTTTTTACATTCCTGGAGGAGGATGCTGCCCATTTTGTTGTTGCTGTTGTTGCTGTTGCTGTTGCTGCTGTTGCTGCTGTTGCTGTCTGGCAAGGAATAGTCTCTGCTGTAAATCTCTTACAGCGTTGGGTTGTAGATTGAGATTTGCAAGATTGGCCATATTGATATTGTTCATACCAAGCAGGTTACCAGCATTGAGATTGTTCATGTTGTTATTGCCCACATTGTTGCCTAGGTTGATATTGGAGAGCAATAGACTATTGGCATTGAGGCCTGCTATTCTGTTAGTATATACACCCACACACTGAAGATATCACTCAGCCTACCATTCATATTCTGTTGGCCTTGATTTGGCTGTTGCTGTTGTTGACCCTGCTGTTGTGGCCCTTGCTGACCACCTGTAGCAGGACTCCCCATGCCCGCAGCATTCATCATTTGCTGTTGTCTAAGCGTGTTTTGTAAATGCTGTACATTGGGATTGTTGTTTGCATTCAAGAGACTCAAATTAGCTGTGTTTTGTAGATTGGCCAGCATGGCTGGATTGATGTTGCTGCCTGACGCAGGTGTAGATGCATTAGGCGCCATACTTTGAGGAATTGCGCCAGGAGGCATACTGTTGGGAGGAACAGTGGTGCCTCCGCCTGCATTCAAGTCTGGTAGTGGCACTCGTGTAAACACAATACCAATCAGTTTACCGCCTGTATATGTGATAACGACGCCATGATGAGGTTCTGGTGCGCCGCCCACTTGAGTGGCACCGAGATTGAACACGACCGTAGCAATCTGAACACATGGCGTTAGCCTCTTCTTTTGGAACCATCAAATGAAACTTACATATTTCTTTGTCTCTAAATTTCTCATCAACAAGGTAAAGTTGGTTTGATCTTGCTGACTGCTGGAATTCAAGGGTTTGAATTGACAGAATGGCAGCTTGTTTTCTATGGCTTGTCGTTGAAGTATTTGTGCTCTTGATAAAGGCGATCGACCAGCAATCTGAAGGCGTGTTGGCCAGATATCAGGGCGACTAGATACAAAGGCGATTAGTATACTAGTTGGCAATCAGACATGCGGTACTCACTATTCGTCCAAGCCAACACTATTTCCCTTTAATGCAATTGCAAATGCACCACAATGACAACTAAACTCTTGCAACTGACCTTCGGCGGTCTTGATATGCCACACAATTTGACCCGTCCAAATGGGTTGTGTAGGGACAACACCTTGGCCTGATGGATCTTGTAGCTGCTGTTGATTCAATGCACCTGCTTGCTGCTGCTGCTGAGCCTGCTGTTGCGCTTGCTGTGCCTGTGCCTGTTGTTGTAATAGCTGTGCTTGCAATTCGCTGAGATTGGGAGGTCTTGCACCTGGTTGTTGAGGGCTTGCTTGGTTTCTTTGAGCCAATTGAGCAGCAATCAACATGCGCTGTTGAGGTGTCAAATTAGCGGGTATTTGTACATTTGCCATATTACCAAGATTGAGCTGTTGTTGCTGTTGCATTTGATTTTGCAACAGATTATTAGGTGTATTGGCATTGTTGTTGCTCATATCTGGTGTAGAGGGCCTGACTTGCATGCCACCGCCAACACCAGCATTAGCAGCATTGGCAGCAAATGCCATGGGAGATGCGTTGGGTGCAGTAACAGCTGCTGCGGTAGAAGGAGGTGCTGATGTATTGATGCCACCGCCTGGAGGTTGAGGTACGCCGTTGGGCCCCATAACAGAGGATCGACGCAGCTGATCCCCCAACTTGAGTAAGGCTGCTTGAATGGTTTGTAGTTGTTGTTGTTGGACAGGCGTCAGATTCACCCCTTGAGCAAGCAAGTTGTTTCTCTGTTGCAAGAGATATTGTTGTAATTGGTGTGGATTTTGCATGCGACCTGGTATCGTTTGTTGTTGTTGCTGTTGTTGTGGCGGAGGGGTTTGCTGCTGCTGTTGTTGCTGAGGGGTTTGCTGCTGTTGTTGCTGATGTTGAGCTTGTTGAGCTTGTTGTTGAGCTTGCAATTGCTGTTGCTGCTGCAACTGCTGCGCTTGGGCTTGCTGCATTTGTTGCAATTGAAGCTGTTGTTGCATTTGCTGTTGTTGTGCTTGCTGTTGCTGCTGCTGTTGCAACTGTTGTGGCGAGGGATGTTGCTGGTTTTGCATATGCTGTTGTTGCTGTTGCTGCTGTTGCTGCTGTTGCTGATGCAATTGTTGTTGCTGTTGCTGGAGCTGTTGCGCTTGTTGCAGCTGCAGTTGTTGAGGTGTTAATTGCGTCTGTTGAGGAGGCGTTTGCTGTATCTGCTGTGCGTGTTGAGCCATGGGCGATGGTTTGGATGGTGGTGTTGATCCAAGTGCAGCAGTGTTTGGCTCATTGGAAATCGGCTGCTTTTCGTCCATTGTCACATCCTCCTTCTTGATGCCTGATACTGATCTTCGTTTGTTGGCAATCTCGGCATTGACACGGGCACTTGCTTCAGCAAAGTTTTTGGCATCAAAGGCAGGTTTGGGTAAACTGATGGATCCAGGCACGTTCTCTCTCTTTCTCTTTTTACCCGAATCGCTGTGTGCAGAGTGTGTTGAGTCGATGGCTTGTTTGCCTTGCATCAAGTTTTTGTTGGCATCTACTTTTGCAACTGTGAGTAAGGACACTCAAATGTAAAGCTGGCAATACTACCTGCGGGCATAACTAGAGGTGGTGCTACTGGTAGCTTGAATCCAGCCAATTTGACAACATGAGATGGAACAGCTGTCTCTTGCATGGTATTCAGTTCTGTTTGCTGTTCGTTTACCTGGACCACGATATCCTCTATTTCCTTGCATGTTTTCTTTGGCGAAATCAATGACAGTCGGATATTGGACTAGACGCACAGACATTCAAATGAGCAGACATGGCATACAAGGAGTACTAGTAAAATGTACCTTTTTCATCTCTGTAGCTACATCTTCCAGCTTGTATCCTTCATATTTGTCGACGAGATTGCACGTGGATCCCATCTTGTACGGTAAACTGTTGGATAACAAAATGCAGTGTTGGATTAATTCTTTGCCATCTACTTCTTCTTTGTATTCATCAAACAACTATACAACGGCCTGTTAAATGAACTGCTTGGTAAAACATACTATAGGCATTACCTCCAGCGCTGCTACCATGCCTTCACCTACTGCATTCTTGATGATGCCTCCCTCTCTAAAGGGAATATGCTTGACAATATCTTGGAATTGAATTGGATCCGAGGTAAAGTATTTTCGATCTACAGTAGCAACAGAGAATGGCTCGTAATCACCAAACACAACGAGTCCATACTTTAGGACAGGCTGGCACAAGTGTCAGTCTATGTGCTTTGCGCCTGTAATTCGTCTTACCGTAATCTTGGTCTTGGGTTGTCCTTCTTCAGCTTCTGTTACGATGGGTAAACGCAGTTGTCTAGATAAAAGTACATCAGTGTCAAACCATTCTATCAGTGCACATCACTGGCTAAATTACTTTATAATGGGTTCTATGTAGGCTTCGTATAGTAAATCAAAGTGAGGTTTCATTCGAGCTGTTCCATCGACAACGAATACGATGACCACTTCCTTCCTCTGACTATGAGATACTGGGATCTGCGGCGATTGGTGATGCAGCGGTGTAGGCGATGCATGCGATCCCGGTGTCGTTACATTGTTGGCACCTGCAATGGGTGTGGCATTCATGGTCGGTGTGGACATGCTGCTATGTGGATGAACGCGCGCTTGTTGTTTTGTGCTGATTTCTTTTTTGGCTCTAGAAACTGTTGTACGATAGAGACTACAATCTATCTCTCGAAAGGAAGGCTTAGATTATAGCAATGATGGCAGAAAAGAAGTCAAATAGACAAGATGTACTTTATATAGAGACGCTTCTTATTTGAAAGACGAAATGTACGAAAAGGGGCATTGCAGTGAGGATCTTTGGATGGCCCAGTTGTTATACAACAGTGCTTGCAATGTGACTCTCTCAAACTACACTCTCAGATCATAAAATTGACGAATCTACATGTTTATTCTAAATTTTTCTAATGCATTTTACTAGCTAGTAATGCAGGATTCTCTATGAAACTCTTCCAAGTATTGCCAAACTGAGCAATGGTAGCTCCATCGACAACACGATGATCAGCAGACCAACTCACTGGCAAGATTTGTTTGGCTACAAATTGCTGTGATGCCTCATCGAAGCGAGGCAATCGTCGAGCAGATCCCAATGCCACAATAGCCAACTCGTTGGAGACAATGATGGGATTGGCGTAGGTGCCACCAATGGATCCAATGTTGGAGAGAGAGATGGTACCGCCTTTGAGATCAGCAAGTGGAATAGCGCCCTTCTTGGCCAGTTCAGTCAAGCGATGAATTTCACTGGCTACTTGGAAAATAGTCTTTTGCTCGACGTTCTTGATGTTAGGGACAATCAAGCCTTGAGGCGTATCCATGGCAACGCCGATATTGTGGGCTTCTCGGTAAACGAGCTGAGTAGACTTGCCGTTGTCAGATTCTTCAATGTAGGCATTCAGCAATGGAAAGTAGGACAAAGAGAGTGATAGACTTTTGATGAGGATGGGCAAATATGAGATCTTTTTAAAGGGGAATCGGTCAGGCTGACTGCTGATGTACTTGTTGAGCGCTTCTCGGTATTCCGAAGTGGCATTGAGCTCAATCTCATCCTTGTAGCCCAGCTGAGGAATCGATAGGGATTTGGTCATTGTCTTGAACATGGCTTTCTGGATTGCATTTAACTTGACAGTTTGCCCAGGCTCTTCTGTGGATCTGACAGTTTGATCTGTTTCGGTATGGGTCTTTGTCTCGACTAGTGTATCAATGTCAGTGGCGAGATTTCTCTTTTGTGTTATGGAATAGTGTACCTTTTTGAAGCCCATCAAGCTTGATGTGCTTTAAAACATCGCCCTTCAACAGCATACCACTCTTTCCAGAACCTGACACATCCTTGACTTGTATGCCGTATTGGTTCAACAATCTACGAACAGCAGGTGTAATCCAGTTTGTCTTGTAGTTGGATGCTGGTGATGGCAATGGGGCAGTACTAGCAGTATCCACCGCACCGGATGGACTGGAAGCACTGACCGGAGATGGACTAGCATCACCGGTGTCCTCTTCATCTGTCTCAATATCAACCAGAGGATATCCTACTTTGGCCACGTCATGTTTACCATAATGCAACTTGACCACATTGCCTGCATAACGAGAGGATATCTCTACCGATGCCTTATCAGATTGCACCTCACAAATTTTATCAAATTCTTGTACTGTAGCTCCAGGCTCCACAAACCTAACATTGAGATCCGTGATCTCGGTCAGATTTCTCGAGTGTGATGCATTTTGTTACAGAGATACTCACCATTGCACAATCTCGCATTCAGTAATACCTTCACCAATATCTGCCAACAAAAAGGGCTTGATCAAGCCGAGATTAATGTTTGAGTGATGGAATGATCTACTGTTCAACTACATGACAAGTGTCAGGGCCAACAGAAAAGAGAAAGAGAGAGCGCCGATAGAAACAGTGTTAATGCAACACTGTGCCTTACCTTGATTGTATGTGTAGTCGCTTGGTGGTATGATGGAAAACGGCTTTTGACCAAGTTGAGAAGCATCTTCATGAAATAGTGATGTGAAAGAAAGGAAACCGTGGAAAAAAGAGTGAAATCAAAAGGTGAAAAGGTCAATATCCGTGGGAAAACCGACACCATTGAATAGCAGCAAATCAAAAAGGGGTGGATTACTGTCCATCTGGTGCTACCTATAGAGTGTTTTTTTTTCTTATAGATGGACAGACATGTAATAGCTGTGAGGCAACGAATCGATTGTATGGGTATTCGATGGTAATATCTATCATGCGAAATGCCATTTTGCTGTCGAATAGTGGCAATGTCATTCGTGGATTGAGTAGCAGTATTAGAGACATTGGGTTGCTCAAAAAAGCTCTAAATTCTACGGCATGGATGGTGTTTACAATGTCAGATAGGTATCATCAAGTTGTTGTCGCTTAATCAACATGCGAAATGTGCAATGACAGATGCTGCAACTGCCTACAAGGTATTTCATTGAGCTCGGCAGAGATGAATGGCTCTACCACGACCTTCTAGAGTTTGACATCAAAGAACAGTTTGAATTGGTACAAATTTGCTTATCCATTGACATTTGGCGGCGCTCCGAGTCTTATCATTCACCCATTTTAGCCTGAAATATACATGCTCAACAACATTGAGTCATGCTACGCATGGCAAATTAATCTGCTCGCACCATGCATGCATGCTTGATTTTACAGAGGTAGTGTGTGCTCTTAAATGAGCTGTAGGCATACTTTCAACTAGGAAATGCATCCCCAAAAATGCAATATCAAAGTTTGAATCCTGAGTATGTGTGATCAATGTATACGTAAATCCAGGTCATCGCACCTACATGACATGCAGCCTCCAGCATACTCAATTGAGGCGAATAAATAGCCATCAGACACACACTATCTGTAAACAGCACAAACAAAGACATCACATTTGCTGATTCACTATGCAATCATGCGAATTCACCAACACGAACTTATGAAATGTCGGATGGCACTGAAACCATGGTAATACAAATTGTTGAACTGAAACACATCTAAAATGTGAATCTGACTTGTAAAAAAAAAAAGAAAAAAAAGAAAAAAAAAAAAAAAAAAAAAAAAAAACTCACCATGGATGAAAACAAAGTATAGATATATCAAGATGCCAAGTAAGACTTTTTTCCTCTTCTTCTTCTTTTTACTCAATCAATCAAAGAAAGGGAAACATGTCGGATACAAACACGTTTCCGCCTTCTCCTGTAGCTGCTGCCGGCATAGATCCACAACAGCAGCAAGAAGCCATAGTAGATGAATCACATCAATTGCATCAAGAGCTCAACACAGCATTAAAATCAGAGCAAGGAGGTGCTCCCGTACACGTCTTTTATCCAGATATGCCAGCCGAGCAAAAGAAGGAAGCATTGATGAAGAACGCACCCGAGTTCCCTACCATGGTTGAGTCATTAGAGCACATTAGTGAGCCATTAGCCACTGACATTGGATCGACTGCCAACGACAAAATAGCCGAGACATTATCCAAACCTGTCAATAGCAGCAACAACAAACAAACATCCAAAACACCAGGCGCCTATGTCGAGCAACCTGTCCCTATCCAGGGAGGTATTCCCGATTGGTATAACGTGGGTTGGACAAGCTTCTCTAACCTACCTAATCCTGGAGATGAAAAAGCCATGCAAGTATTTGCAAAGACACATTCTCCCGAGGAAATCAAGCGTATCTTTGAGGATCGCTCTCGATCTTCCAACGGTGACTATGCCTCAGATCTAGTAGCCCAACTCGTTAGTGAAAAGTACTATGGCGAATGGTATCACAACTGCGGCGTTGTCTTTGTCGCCATCTTCTTTACTTGGTTGCTGATCAAGATACGCCTAGGTTTAATGTCCTGTCTAATTGTAGGCGCTTTTTTTGGTAAATGCCATTGTGTTGTATGTGTAACATGCAGTAATGAAATTAACCTTATTCCGCGTGTGTGTTTATAGCCACTTACTATCGTACCTCAATTAAACGCACCAGACGCAATGCCCGTGATGATATGCAACGTCAAGTCAGCATCAACCGCTTGGAAACAGATGAGGAGACTGTCGGCTGGATGAACCACTTTTTGGATCGTTTTTGGCTTATTTTTGAGCCTGCCTTGTCTGCTCAGATCATTGGCCAAGTGGACGCCATTCTGGCTGAGAACACGCCTTCCTTCTTGGATTCCATTCGCATGAGTTCATTCACCTTGGGCACGAAGGCTCCCAGCGTCGATGGCATCAGAGTGTATCCTGGTACTGCTCCTGATGTGGTTGTAAGTAGCAATACTGAAGCAAAGTAAAAAAGAAACTCACCGTGTTCCTGTAGTGCATGGACTGGAAGCTGTCCTTTATCCCCAACGACGTCCTTGATTTGACCGCTCGTGAAGCACAGCAAAAGGTCAACCCCAAGATTGTATTGACTATTCGTGTTGGTAAGGGTATGATTGGTGCTGGTATGCCCGTGTTGCTTGAAGATATCGCCTTTAGCGGTCATTTGAGAATCAAGCTCAAGTTGTTTAATGAAATGCCTCATGTCAAGTCGGTGGAGCTGTCCTTTTTGGAGAAACCTCACTTTGATTACGTGCTCAAGCCTGTGGGTGGGGATACGCTTGGTTTCGATATCAACAACATTCCTGGTTTAGAGACATTCATCAAGGATCAAGTGCACTCCAACCTGGGCCCCATGATGTACGCACCCAACGTGTTCACCTTGGACGTCGCTGCCATGATGGAAGGTGCCAATGATTTGGAGGCAGCCAACGGCGTGCTTGCTGTTACTATTTACTCTGCTAATAACCTCAAGCCCAACGATTTATTTGGTAGTCTGGATCCTTACTGCTCCTTCCGTGTGGGCAATGTGCACAACCCTGAACTTGCTCGTACCTCTGCTATAGAAAACACCTCGCATCCCAAGTGGAACGAAACTCATTTCGTGCTCTTGAACAACCTCAACGACATTCTCTGCTTTCAAATCATGGACCGTAATTCTGGTCGAAGCGATGCTGAGATTGGTGTGGCCAATTTGGATTTGAAGGATGTCCAGGAAAATGATGGTGCTATCGAAGGCTTGAACTTGGTGGTGCTTCGTAGTGGTAAGCCAGTGGGTGAAGTCAAGGCGGATGTGCGCTATTTCCCAGTGTCCAAAGCTGAGAAATTGGAAGATGGCACTGTAATTCCTCCTGCTGAATCCAACAGCGGTGTGGTTCGCTTCTACGTGCAGGATTGCAAGGACATTGGCCAAGTGGTTACGCAAAAGAAGGGCGGTATTCCTTTGGTAGGTGGTCTGCCCATCATCAGCGGTGTCCCTATTGTGGGATCTCATGGCGGTGATGTCAATGCCTATGCTATTGTCAAGGTGAACGGCCAAGAGAAGCTCCGTACAGCTACCTTCAAGCGTAGTGTCAATCCTCGCTGGAACAAGTTCATTGAAGTATTTGTTGCTGACAAGTCCAACCTGAATTTGGATGTTACCATCATGAACAGCGTTGATTTTGGCGATGATACAGTACTGGGTCGTTGGACATCCAGTTTGATGGATATGGAAAACCAGTTAATCAAGGAGAAGAACGATTGGTGGAATTTGAAGGATGGCACTGGCAAGATCCACTTGAACATGACTTGGAAGCCTGTGCCTCTGACCGGCTTCTCTGCTGGTTTGACGCGCGGTAGCTATCGTGAGCCTATTGGTGTTGTTCGTGTCAAGTTGAACAAGGCTACCAACATAAAGAATATAGAGATGCTGACTGGTGGTAAATCAGATCCCTATGTTCGCGTCATGTCTGGTTTGCAATCGCGTGGCCAAACGGAAGCCATCTTGGACAACTTGAACCCTGTCTGGGACGCTGCTGTCTACGTTCCCATTCATGCGCTGCGTGAAGATCTTACATTGGAAGTCATGGATTACAACGATGTTACCAGTGACAAGTTTTTGGGCATGTGTGAACTCTTGATTAAGGACATTGCTGTTGAAAACAAGACAGAGGATGGTCAGACTTACTACGAGGCATTGGCGCCTGTGTCTAGAAATGTAGAGCTCATGAACAAGGAGAGAAAGTCTGGTAGAGGCCAGCTGAACTATGAAGCATCCTTCTTCCCTACATTGGCATTGGCAAAGCAATACACGCAAGAGGAACTGGAGGCCCAGGAAAAGGAAGCCAAGAAGAAGGACTCAGTTGCCAACGGTGATGCTCCTGAAGCCAAACAACAAGAAGCTGCTGTTGCTGCAACTACCTCTGCTGCTGCAGCTGCCACCAGCCCCCCTGAAAAGGACCTCCATGGAGAAGTAATTCCATACACTGAAAACGGCAAAATCAATCTTCTTGCCTATTCTGCTGGTGTCCTGTCTGTCAAGATCCACGATGTTGTCCTGCCTAGCAAGAGCAATGCTGTTGTAGAGATCTTGTTGGACTCTAACGATGCTCAATTCCGTACAGCACCTGTCAAGGGCACAACACTCAGTTTCAATGAATCTGGCGACGCATTTGTCAAGGAAATGGACTTTTCTCGTCTTGTGGTGCGTGTGCGTAATGCTAGAGACGACGTTAAAGATGAAGGTCGTATTGGCTTCTGGACCAGTCGTGTACAAGATATCGTTCAGTCGATTCAAAACCGTCCTGAACCTGCTCAAGGAGAAGAGGAACATGAGGACGTTCAAGAACACAACTTGTTGGATTCTAATGGTGGTCTCATTCGCCTCAGTTTCAAGTTTATTCCTGCTATTCAGTTCCAATTAGACCCTAGCGAAAGTTTAGAAAGTAAGTGTTTTGTTAGTGAATGCGGCGGGTTTTGTTGGGATCCCCTATTGACGTACACTCATGTTATATAGACCAGGGCAACTTGACAGTGACACTTGTGTCTGCCTCAGGTTTAAAGGCTGTTGATAGAAGTGGCACCAGTGATCCTTATTGTGTCTTTAGTATCAACAAGGAAAAGGTGTATAAATCACAAACCTACAAGAAACAACTTGCGCCTGTGTTCAAGAACGAGGGCTTCACTGCTCCTGTGGTGGCTCGTAACAAGGCTGTGTTTGACGTCAAGATTTACGATTGGGATCAAATTGGTTCCAACACCCTCCTGGCAGAAGGCCCTATCCCTATTGCCAATTTAGAGTCATTTGCAATGCAAGAAGAGGATGTACCTCTTCGTGGTGGTAATATCAAGCTTCGCCTCAAGTGGGAGCCTCAATTACTCGCTCGTAAGCGTATGGGTACCTCCTTGTTGAGCTCAACTACACATATTCTCACCAGCGGTACTGGTTTAGCTGGTGATGTGGTTGGTTATGGTGTAGGTGCAGGTGGAAAGGTGCTTACGGGTGGCACTCGCATGGTAGGCGGTGCTATTGGCGGCGGTACCAAAGCGGTTGGTGGTGCCATTGGAGGAGGCATTGGCGCTATTGGCGGTGGTATTGGAGCCATCGGCCGAGGATTTGGCAAGATTGGAGGTCATGGCAAGAAGTCCTCTGGCGAGATTCCTGTGGTTGCTACTCAGGAACTCTCTGACAGTCTAGTTGCTTCACCTGTTGTCTCGCCTGTCACTAGCCAACATCTTGCTGGCATCAATACAACGGCAGAACACCGACCCGACATGGCACATAGAGGGAGTGTCTCTGTCCTGTCATCAAATGGATCCATCAACAGCCCACGATCTGTGTTTGAAGACCGAGAGAGTAAGTAAAACAAAGTGCCCTACCTGTATGTCTATTCATCAACATGTCTATATAGAAAATGTCACCATCAAGGTCAATGTGGTGGAAGCCAGAAGTCTCAAGGGCTGTGGCCGCGACAAGATGAGTGATCCCTATTGTCGTGTTAAGCTTGGCAAAAACGCTATTCACAAGACCAAGCACCTCAAGAAAAATTTGAACCCTGAATGGTACATTGTTATGAAACACGTTGGTGAAGAAAATGCGTCATATCTAACAACTCTTTCTTCCAACAGGAATGAAACATTTACAACAAAAGTATTTGGGACATCTGTCCTTGAATTCATGGTGAGGGATCACAATACCTTGGCTGATGCTGATATTGGAGAGGTTTCATTCAATGTCAGTGAGCATGTTGATGAAGGTAAATCGTTTGACGGCTGGCTTGCTCTGTCACCCAATGGAACAGGTGAGATCCATATTCAGGTGCAAGTCATCTAGAGTGTGTAATAATAGTAGTAATAAAAATTGTAATTCCTGTAACTATTGCCAAGAGAGACATTTGGATGGGATTATCAATGACGAACCTTACCAAAGACCTGTAGATCTCGTTTCTAAACGCAGATCTCTTGAGAAATCAGAGAAAGCTGATGCTAGCGTCTGTATGATATAATAGTAAAAGGTAAAAGGTCTCACAAATCTACAACCAAATTCATCCAGTGAAGGTGTGGGTAACCTTAAACGGAGTAGATTCTCATGTCTCACAAAGAGATTACAGGTTTATTGCTAGTAATTACACTGTAATTAATGAGTGAAATGCTCGAATAAATGCATAGACAAACGGATGAATGCGTCGACAGTGAGAATTGGAGGAGACATTGGACAGAAGGGATGTTCCAAGAGAGAGAGCATGCTGGCAAGCATTTGGCCATGTTTTCGTGACTAGTTTCAAGCCTGCTTGCTTGCAATGGTTCGCTTGAAATGTGTTTATGATGCTCCCTTTCTATTCCTTCTTTTCTTTCTTCTCTCTCCCTCTCTTACTTTTTTTTTTTTGATAAAACTCTTTTTCTCTTCTTTTCAGCATTCTTTTTCCTTGACAGCACACCCTATCCTTCAGATCAATCACATCTCTAGCGTGCTAAAAAGAAAATGTCTTCTCCGAGCAATTCAAATGGAGGTTTATCTCGCTCACTTTCGAGTCATTTGCAAAGACTAAATATTCGTACGCCCGAATCTTCAGTGCCAAGTTCACCTGATATTTCCGAGAAAGACTTAGGTTGGTTTTTTTTTTTTTAAACTTATTACTATGGGATTCCATCATGGCCAGTAATTGACATGTACTTTGCGTTATAGGCCGCAAACTATCGTCTTCAAATCACACCTCTTCAGCTAATTCTTCCAACAACAATCAGAGCGGTGCTGAAACACCCACCAAACCTTCAGGTTCATTTCTCTCCAGAACACTGTCTTCAAAGCGTGACAGATCCAATTCAGTGGGACGTAGTAGACCTTCCTTGCCACCACCACCGTCTACCAATTCATCGCCTCTTTTAAATCGAGCTCAAAGTGAGCGATCCACAGCAACCACGGGCACCACTACCAATTTGCAAATGAAATATTCACCACCAGCATTTCATAGCGATGATAGTGGTGGCAGCACACCTCAGCTATCGCCACTCAAGGATTTGCCCAGCGGCGCTTTTGGGAAGGCTAGGGATAGATCGACATTCAAAGGAGTGATTGATAAGTTTGTTGGCAGTTTTAATGGTAAATACAACTGGGTGATTCCTGGTTAAGCATGCACTCAACAACTCTCTACATACAACATACTAGATTTGATCAATAAGGACAAACAGTCAAATCAAGAACAGGAAAAGGAAATGGAGATTTCAGGTCCTTACAACGCTAAACATGTTACACATGTTGGATTTGATGCTAGTACAGGTGAATTTACTGGTTTGCCTCAAGAATGGCAGACGCTGTTGCAACACAGTGGTATTTCCAAAGTAGAGCAGTACCAGAATCCACAGGTAAACAGTGTGATAGGAGAGTGATACATGTGTTGACTCTGCCTGTTTGTTGTAGGCTGTGTTGGATGCCATTGGTTTCTATCAAGAAAATCGAGATCATGATGAATCCGTGTACCATAAAATGGAAAGAGCCCACGCGTTGAATGAGCAGCAAGAGGATGATTCGCCTAATTTGACGAGTCAGACACCCCCGCAGTACGACGATGATGAATACGATGAGATGGAGCGTCATGCCAAGATGCAAGAATTCAAGGTAAACATGGCTGTACTATATACCACACATGGACTGAACCTTGTCTATTCCTCAGAAGCAAAAATCCCAAGAACGACTGGATGAACAACGTAAGAAAGTGTTTCTATTTATACAGTGGTACAAAGGAATTAAACCTTATATTCTCTAGTGTATCACCAACATCTCCAGCAACAGCAACAGCAATACCAGAAATATCAACAGCGTCTTCAACAGCATCAACAACAACTGCAGCAAGAACGCTTAAATTACGAATCCTCGACATCTCCCAAACTATCCCCTTCATCTCATGCAGCTCGAGATTACGATATCAAGCGCAAATTAAGCGCAAAACAAAGAGACAGACGCGAGGATCAGCATCCACAACCACCTGCTGCTGCTCAGCAATTACCTATACAGCAACAACATAAGCTCAAGCCCCACCAGCCTTCGTTAACAGGATCTCCAGGCACCGTCAAACAACGGGTCAAGGAGAGAAAACACACCATGAAAGATGCTGAAGTGATTGCTAAACTAAGAACGATTTGTACAGAAGCCGACCCTAGTCTTGTCTACAAGAACATGCGAAAGATTGGCCAAGGTGCTTCTGGTGGTGTGTATACTGCTTACTCAGAGGGCAGTGATTTCCCCGTCGCTATCAAGCAAATGAATTTGGAGCAACAGCCCAAGAAGGAGCTGATCATCAATGAAATCCTGGTCATGAAGGAGTCCAAGCAAAAGAATATTGTCAACTTTATTGATTCCTATCTGTGGCGAGGTGATTTATGGGTCATTATGGAATACATGGAGGGCGGCAGTTTGACAGATGTGGTGACAAACAACATGATGATGGAAGGTCAAATTGCTGCTGTGTGTCATGAAGTCTTGGAGGGCCTTCAACACTTGCACTCTAAGGGTGTAATTCATCGTGATATCAAGAGTGATAACATTCTATTGAGTCTGTACGGTGATATCAAATTGAGTAAGTTTGGATTGGAATTTTGCTAGTAAAATAGCCCCTAACCTCGATGGATGATAGCTGATTTCGGTTTTTGTGCTCAATTGAACGAAATGCAATCCAAACGTACTACCATGGTAGGCACACCTTACTGGATGGCACCTGAAGTCGTCACTCGCAAGGAGTATGGACCCAAGGTGGATATCTGGTCATTGGGTATCATGGCCATTGAGATGGTGGAAGGTGAGCCACCTTATTTGAACGAAAACCCCCTCAGAGCGCTCTACCTGATTGCAAACAACGGTACACCAAAACTGCAGAATCCAGAAGCACTTTCGCCCATTTTTAGAGACTTTTTGGCAAAATGCTTGGAGGTGGAAGTGGATCGTAGACCATCTGCTTCAGAAATGTTGAAGCATCCGTTCCTGAGATGTGCAGATCCATTGCCTTCACTCGCACCTCTCATCAGAGCTGCTCGTGATGCTGTCAGAAGAGAAGAGTAGTTTCTTCCCTAATGCCTCCCCCCCCCTCCTTCCCCTTCTCATCTTGCCCTCCCTCTTTGTCCATCCTCATCGCATTACACTTTATATGTTTTATTCTTGTATGTTAATATTGCCCTAGTTTTTTTTTATAGCTTTTTTTTTTTTTTTTTTTTTTTTTTACTTTTTCTTTTTTTTTCTTCTTCTTCTTTCATCACGATATATCTATAAAAACATTGAGATGATTGTATAAATGATGTGTGTCCATTTTTAGCCAAAAATCATCTTTTTCATTGAAGATCGATTTTTACTATGATTGGTCTTGCTTGACAAGGATCTTTGCTGAGCGGGTGGTTGTGGGCTACTAGGTGTATGGGTAGTGATGCTTTCTGAATGAATGGAAAAGCGGTCGGAATCATGAGGAAAATCCACTTCTGCAGTCGAGATGTTGGACTCCATCTTGTCATCATTCAGAGCAGCAAGCGGCGTGGGTTCATTTTGAGTAATGTACTCCTTGGGTCTGTGATGAACCAGTTGAGGTGATTCAATCTGTCGGTTAGATACAGTTGCTTGTCCTGGCGCTAAATGACGACGGATTTGCTCTCTGTCCATGATACTATTTGAGCGTTCAGAAGGCTGCAATGATGGCGTGGGTGACATGATGGGGCGTCTGATACTATGATTCATGTCTGAATTAGCTGTAGTGGTGGTCATTACTGATGTTGCAGAGGGTTGGTGATATAAGCCGCCTGCTGCGATTGCTGTTGCTGCTGCTGTAGCAGTGCTGCTTGCATTGCTGTCTAGTTCCTCGTTCATCAGGTTGGGATCCACGACGTTGGTAGAAGCCATAATGGAGGGCGACGTGATTGTATTGCCGTTAAGGTGCATGGATGACACATCTGTGTTGGAATAAGCAGGCATGCTTACGTTATCATGGATCTCTTCTGGCTGTTGATAATAGTAGTCTTGCTCTTGTTCTTGCTGTTGTTGGACCAGGCTTTGACGATGCATGTGTTCTTGATGCATGGCCCAGTTTCTTTGCTTGCGTTTAGCTTCTTCAAACATGCTAAACCAGTTGCTGGGAACACTTGTTCTTAAATAACGAGACCACAAATGAATAGGAGGGTTGCCACATTCATCAAATGCATTGTAGATGTCGAAATCTCCAGGTAATTGTCTTTAGAATGGACTCAGTCTGGTGCCACAATAGAAATCTAATAAATGTAATGTATTTACCTTGCTTCTGACCATCTCAGAGGCTCTACTTCAGACCCTAATGGAATGTGTAAGTGTGAAAATCATGGCGTTCATTCACTCTTTCGCTCATCTTACGCAGAATTGAAAAGCAACACATATCATCATTCCATCCTATCCCAATGTGTCAGTGGCTTCACATGTCAACCTTGGATCAACCAAGAAAAAAAAAAAACTCACCCTCAAACATGGCCAAACTGACTTGCTTGATCTTGATGATATAAAGTGCACCTTGCTGTAACTTGTCATGGTGAATATTGACAAAAGGTGCATCATTACTAAGTGGTGGGATCACACTGGCTCGATTGGATAGCGATGGTGAGGAAGAAGGTGTCCAGCGAGCCAGCTTTTTCAATGTAGTATTACGGTGTTTATTATCGACCATTTTGTTCTATGCGTACAAGTGATAAAGGAGAACAACAACAACAATGACGACAAGCAAAAGAATATATAGATTGGGTTACTATAGTTATTAATTTTAGCACTCATGGTGTTGTCCAACAGTTTGGTGTTACACTTAATTCTGGTGTGTATACATTACATGTACGCCGATGTTGACCAAAGCTAACACGTTATAGAAATGAATGATGGCATCATGATAGCCTCTCGTTGAGTCTTGTAGGACAGTTGAAAAGTGTCCACGATCTCCATCGAAATGGCACTCGAGCTACCTTGAATTTTGATCCATGCAAATCATACACACATGAAATGTGGCGCCAGATTGCTATATGTAGTAATTGACCTCAATATTATGTCCATTTGGCAGGCTTTCTAGACTTGTATTTGGTGCGTGGTCTCCCTGATTTTCATTTGTGATTTACAAACGACTCCTGGTGGAATAGTTTTGGTGACTGGACAGTCTAATGTCGACTTTGATTAGGCAACCATCCTTGGATCATGAACCACTAAACCATGGTACGTTTGAATGAGGCACAACACACTTGCTTTGCTACTGTAGCTTTCTTTCCGGCGCTCTTGAGGGCAGATGTCGTTTCTCTAGAATGATGCTTTTAGCAAATTGACCATGGCCCGGATGCAATGAATGATGAGATGTGTGTTGGATAATACTGCTGAATGCTCAAAGGAAATCAGTGTGAATCTACTAGAAAGCAGAGTTTTTTGATGATCCAAGATGTACAATGTCTATTGTTGATATGTGTACCAACCATAGGCTCAAACGGCAGAAGAGGTTATAGAGAAAAGACATATCTAGCAACTGCAGGTATCTCCACACACACACTTTAAATAGCAACTGGGTCCTAAGCTACGGGGCTAGTATTTTCTTTCTACAGCCATCAACCTACGATTTATTTCATTCCTCTTTATACTCCACTTCTTACACTAGTTTCAGCCATCAAGCAAACATGCTTCTCACTGGATTCACATCAAAGCATGCACTCACTTTTAAGCCTCTCATGTCAAGAGCATTCTCCATCTCTGCCGCTTTAAACAAAAGTATTCCCTTGTCGTGTAAGTTGAGTATAGCCTACCTAATGATTCTCCTCAGCTAACCTGGCTTGTCAACCACATAGCAAATGCCTACTTGCATTCTCACGACACCGGCAACAAGGACCGTTTTGCCATTTCATACTTGTCCGATAAAGACGTTCCCAATCCTGAAGCATTGAAGCCAGAGCTGATTGTAGGATGGACTCCCGAACAAGATAGAGTGGATCCAAAAACATTCATTGAAAACGCTAAATTCGTGGACTTTTTGACTACCGTTTTAAGAGAAAATGTGCACAAAGTGGAAGACAAAAACCTGAAAGCAATGGCAGATTGGCAAAAAGAAGGGTAAGTGAGCAAATTGGTAATGTGGATAATGGTTATTTATGCAAATCTGGTAGTTGGTTACATATCGGTGATGAACGTAACCCACCCGCATGGGGTAGGATCAATTTCCCGGAAGACATCATTGGAAGCGTAGAGCTTGACAATGGAAAGATTAAGGAAGGATCGTATCAGCCTATGCCAGCTCATAGAATCATCACCAACAATGGTTTGTTTCAACTATCAGAGCCCTTGACGAAATGTGTTGTGGAAGCGGCTAGAAAAACTGCAGCATCTTGAAGACCGGGACAAAAAAATAAAACACATACTTTTGCTTACATGCTCATGATTTGGGAGTGATTGGAAAAGAGAATGTGGGATGGTAAGGTAGAGACCATAGATCGTCTCGCTGTGCATTGGCCTGTGCAATGATGAAATGTCAAAGACTATCGCATGTAAACATGTCGACGCATGTCATGTTGCAATGCTGCATTCCACTAGACTTTTGTAGTATTTATTTCAGTTTAATATCTTTCAATGCCATCAGGCTTCATGTGCTGATATCTGGCATGTACGTTGATCAGCTCTCTTCATGTCAACGATCACATCATGTATAGATCCACCTGGCAAAACATAGTCCAGGTATGTGACTCTATAAAACGAATCTTGTTGATGGTGGGGTGGTCGTTTAATTTGAACAAAAAAAGAGCTTGACAAGGGCATATTTTTTTTTTTTCTTTTCCACTATATACAGCTTTTTCGACATGCAATCAACAAGATTGTTCGCACCAGCAACTGGTCTCTTTAGAGGTCTCGCTAGAAATCACACCCAAACCTCAGCCATCAGCATTAGCGGCCAACGTTATTTCTCTAATACATTCCATGCCAAAAATGAAGACTCAACAAAGACCCCTGAAGCTGTTGAGGCAGCCGGCGAAGAATCAGTTCAAGAAGAGGAAGAGGCTGAGCCTGTCAAGCTCTCAAGAAGAAGACGTAGATTCCATGAATGGGCTAACGGAAATGGATCTAAATACAGTCGACCTGCCAAGGGCACCACCAACTATCTAGGCACTTCAAATGTAAATTACACACAGAGAAATGAACCCAATGTGTCAAAAAACTAACAGCTTTGTATTAGCCCTTCCCCAACAATCCTCTATTCCAACCAAGAACACCTCTTTCCGATGCCCGTCGTCAAGAGATCTACGATGCTTTTATTTCTGATCCAGAGCAATGGTCTGTTCGTAAACTCGCCACTCAATTTGGCATCTCTTTGAAGCGAGTCGAGGCCATTTTAACATTGAAGGCTCAAGAAAAGGAGATGGAGATGAATGGTGTTGCTTTACAAAAGAAATTCAACAAGGGCATGGAACAACTGATGGGTGTAGATCAAGCTTTAGATACATTGAAGGAGCCTTTGATCGATATTTTCCCTGCTGTTGGTAAACCCAAATTCAAGACATTAAAGGAAGATGCCTCTTTCACTCCCAAGGACGCAGCTGATGTGCTTGGCCGTATTCCCTTCAAGGATCTCGAAAGACGTGTCATTGCATCTGAGCAAGCTGAATTCACCTTACCCACACCATCTGCACCTTTAGATTCATCCGTCGTCAACAACAAAACTACAAAACGCAGCAAATTTGTTATTGTAGATACTAGCTCTTAGAAAACAACAGTATTTGTATATTTAAAATAAAATTTTACGTTCTTTCATTTGACATGTGTGTTGTGGGATGGATTCTGATATGTTTATAAAGCAATGAGTATATTACATACCATTCGCTTCAATCAGCATTTGAATATCAACATGTGCTCTATCGTCAAACGCAACATGCACTCAGACGGCAGCCTTTTTGGAATCAATTGTAAAATGCAACACATGCTGGATCTGACCGATGGCAGCAATAGTCTTTTGATTGGGAACTGTCAATCATCAGAAGCTATATTCTGTCCATAGGCAACTGCTAGACATCTGCTCCCAACTATCATGTTAACGACACATATTAGAACACATTACTCGATCATCTACGCCCATCATTAGCTCGCTTGCTTCTGAATCCTGCAGAACACAGAAGCATATCCTCTTGTTCTTCCTGTGACGCATTTCATGACTCTCTTTTCGCCATGAAAGCAACTTTTTTCGCCTTGATTAGTTCATCAAACTTTTTCTTACTACATACAATACGAAATAATGGTAATGAAGTTTACCTACGTACAGCATTTCCCCCCAATATTAACGCCAAATTGTCTAGTCATTGCCTATTGCCACTACTTCAAGTGAGACCAAAGATCTCTTGAAAATGGAGCGCGTCGGTAAGATTCAATCCTCACGCACGCACACACACACACACACATACACACACTTGCAGCATTTGACATGAAACAATCCTTCACATTAGGTGCTCACTCTCATATTCGTGGTTTGGGTCTTGATGATACCCTTGAGCCTCGTGCCACCTCTCAAGGTATGGTTGGTCAACTCAAAGCACGTAAAGCTGCTGGTGTCATTTTGAGAATGATTGAGGCTGGTAAAATTGCTGGTCGTGCCGTCTTGATTGCTGGCCCACCTTCTACTGGTAAAACTGCCATTGCTATGGGTATGGCTCAAGGTAAAAAAAAAGAATGAATTTTAGCTTTGCGTTATCGAGTACCACCTAACACTTGTCTGCAGCTCTTGGTACAGATGTCCCCTTCACCATGTTGGCTGCTTCCGAAATTTTCTCTCTCGAAATGAGTAAAACCGAAGCCTTAACACAAGCCTTCCGTCGTTCAATTGGCGTTAGAATCAAGGAAGAGTCAGAACTTATCGAAGGTGAAGTTGTCGAAATCCAAATTGATAGATCTATGACTGGTGTAAGTAGCGAACGTGGATGTCAAGAGAGTGGCGCCGTTGATATGATGTATGTAGGGCTCTAAAACCGGTAAACTTACACTCAAAACAACCGATATGGAGACAATTTACGATCTTGGAAACAAAATGATCGATTCACTCAACAAGGAAAAGGTGATGGCAGGCGATGTTATTGCTATCGACAAGGCTTCTGGCCGTATTTCCAAGTTGGGTCGTTCATACGCTAGAGCTAGAGATTACGATGCAATGGGTTCAGACGTAAGAAGCGCTATTTTCAAATACTCAGCAGTAGATAGACATCTAATGTTTTGTGTGTGTAGACTAAATTCGTGCAATGTCCCGAAGGAGAGTTACAAAAGAGAAAAGAGGTCGTCCACACAGTGTCACTCCACGAAATCGATGTGATCAACAGCAGAACCCAAGGCTTCTTGGCTCTGTTCTCTGGCGATACTGGCGAAATCAAATCTGAAGTTAGAGATCAAATCAATACCAAAGTTGCAGAATGGCGAGAGGAGGGTAAAGCAGAAATTGTTCCCGGTGTGCTCTTCATTGATGAGGTGCACATGCTCGACATTGAGTGTTTCTCCTTCTTGAACAGAGCTTTAGAAGATGACATGGCTCCTGTTGTAATTATGGCTTCCAATCGTGGTATCACTCATATTCGTGGCACCAAATACAAGTCTCCTCATGGTATTCCTGTTGATTTGCTCGATCGTATGCTCATTATCTCCACCAACCCCTATGAAGAGAAAGAAGTCAAGGAAATCTTGAATATCAGATGTCAAGAGGAGGATGTGGAAATGACAGATGATGCCAAGGATGTGTTGACCCGTATTGGCACTGAAACTTCTCTTCGCTATTCCATTCACCTTATCACAGCTGCTAATTTGGTCGCAAGGAAGAGAAAGGCTCCTGCTGTGGATGTGCAAGATATCAAGAGAGTGTATTCACTTTTCTTGGACGAAAAGAGATCTGTTCAGTACTTGAAGGATTATCAAGATCAATACATGTTCAATGAGCATAATGATACTATGGCTGTTGATACTGCTATGGAGTTGTAAAAAGGAATAAACTAATATATACTTAAAATCAAATGAGTGATGATTGTAAAATTGTCTTGATGATGGTTTATGAAATAGTAATGACATACACTAGGTATCGCATTTGTTACATTCAACTCTATCAGATATGAAAGTGTATTATAGAAGAAAAGTAGCCAAGCTAAACTATGGCATTGTTCGATTCGCGATCTTCTTATTTGAACTTTCAACAGCATTGATTGCCATCCAGTAGTAGTAGATGAGCATGGCACTAACTTTTGCCAGCCAAAATGGATTGAATCTTCGAAGACTTCTTTCTGCTCGAAATAGGAATTCTTGATCAATTTCGACTTGATTGAACTATTTTGCGCAATTTGACTATGAATGTTGTACGAATTATCCCATGCCTCCTTAAGCTTAGCGCCCGTGGTGGTAGGGCGAAGTGGTTAAGCATCCAGCATGCCATCTGGATGATCCCGGTTCAAATCCCAGTGAACGCATTTTGATTAATTATTGACGGTCGCGACTGATGTCCTCGTTTGGTGAATGTTCTCTTAACCAGTATCTCTGTACTAGCCGATCCATCTCGCTACGCTCGATGACGGCGTCGCCCTGCGGGCTCTCACCGAAGACATTTCAAATCAGAAGAGATAGTAAAACTCTGCTATAAAAGTACATTTTAAACAATGACTGTATTAGGCATGAAGCTTGATATAAACGTCAGAACTTTGGAGGTATAAATCAATATTTTTTATGAAGCATTTACGTTATATTATTATAAGACTTCTGGTTTACTACATCCCCCGTCCGAGTCGCATTTTCTGGCGGCAGAACTATGATACCATTCGCGGATGCTGCTCTTGAGATGGCGATACATAGCTGGCCATGCGTAAACACAGGACTTTTATGAGATCTACAGCGATTTTTTTGAGAGGTTATCATTGCAAAAGACACCTATATAGGGAAAAACTCGCAATAAAACCAAATAAAAAAGGGTTCAAGCTAATCGATTGTTCTTTTAAATTCATGATCCCCAATTAATCAGCATCGCAATCATCATTGCCATCAACAGAAAGGCATTTTGGTCAGCCAGCAGCAATGCCGCCGCCAAAATCAATTCAATCTCAGAAAAAAAATTCTGTTAAAGATTGGACAGATATTGTCTTTTTTCGACTTCTTTAATCTATTCTGTGATATTGGACTATATAAACTGTGATGATCACCCTACGCTCCCTAATACACTCTTGGAGTACTTTTCAAGGCGCTTCCAATGATGCCAAGTAAAATAGATGTTTTGACTGAATTTAATGAGCAATTCCAAAAAATCTGAAATAAGGTTTTTGGCCAAAATGTCGAAATTTTGCATATAAAGACCTCATAAACGTAGTTTCAGAGGTTACCTTAGATCGATAGAAATATTTTGACTTAAGATATATCATAGTAAAAGTCTTCATTTTCAAGGTGAAAAATGCGATCATTTGATTTTCGAAGAAAAGCATGAGGTACCCCTCATGCTTTTCGGTCGATTTTTGACCATGTTTTTTTGGTCCCCAAAAAGTTGAGCAAAGGTGTCAGAAAGCAACTGCCAGACGAGAGCAACTGTTTGGTGCTATTTTGACGATCTAAAATGGCCTTAAACGCGAGAAAACGTAGCTCAAATGCACTCAGACTTTGCTGTATTAGGCATACTCTTGATTAAAGAGGGATAGTATCTGTATGACACTTGCTCTTATATAAAGTAGCTACGTGTATATGGATGTAGAACATCATATAAGAATCAGATCCGCAGATAATATGAAGGGTTTTCATGTGTAAGTAAAGGAGAAAAATGAAAGTAGTAGTATTTTGTTAAGATACGCAAAGGCAATCGGTAGTGCGAGCTGCCGATGCGCAGGTTGGTTCTTACCGAAGTGAAACAAAGGTAGAGAGCCACCCGAAGCATAGGCACTTGTATTGGTATAAAATAAACTTTATAGCTCTGATAAGACTTGGTCAATGTTCAACCGCAGGGCTGGTGAAAAGCCGTGAGAGAGGCTTGCAGCTGCCAACTAGTAACTGTTTAAAGCACTGATGCGTCTACTGATAGAAGTAATTGCTGAAATTTGGTTAAAAATGATCATTAGTTACTCTTTCCGTCTGGTCGTTTGTTGAGCGTATAATTTTCGGTTTTGGGAGCATTAATCTCGAAGAAAAAGCTGTTCAAATATAGCTGCTGATAACAATCATTCTGATCAAAGACGATTGTTGACGACCTTAAAATCCTTTCAGGGCGATTTCAGCTCATGTTCATGACACTATCTCTGAACTAGAACTATTTGATGAAAGGTATATCATTTGAAATCAAATTAATATTTATAAGTTTGTAACAATGTAAATTTTATTTCATTTTGACAGCTTTAAAGCCTAATTTTTGAATTGAATATTGTGGATAAATGTTGGATTTACTTGGTATCTTCTGTACCAACAATGATGGTGGAATGGTCACCAGAGCCTTTGCCAGTGTAGCCATCACTAGAACCCTCACCAGTGTAGCCATCGCCAGAGCTTTTACCAATATAGCCATCACTAGAACCTTTGCCGCCGTGAGAGTCCTGTCCGGAATCATCGCCTTTGACTACAACACCTTTAGGTTTAAGGGCAACAGTTCCGTCATCAGTAATGTCGAATTTAGTCTTATCGCCAGTACCCTTAGGTCCGTGGTCATCACTGGATTCACCCTTGACATGAGATCCTTTTCCAGATTGACCTTCACCAGAGTACTTGTCAGAATGGTCACCACCAGAGCCTTTATCAGAGCGACCGTCTCCGGAATCGTTACCGCCCTGAGAGGCCTTCACGGAGCCGTTTTCAGAATCATCGCCTTTAGCAACAGCATCCTCAGATTCAAGAATTTCATCACAGTCATCAACAACAGCTGAGGCAGACATATCATCGTAACCCTCAAGACTATGACCATCACCGGATTTGTCCTTGGAAACGACAACGGATTTGCCATCTCTTCCCTTGCCATAAAATCCTTTTTCAGAGTGATCGTCACCAGAGCTAGATTCCCTGCTTGACTTATCGCCACCATCTTTAGCAGCAGTGACATTTCTGAAGCTACCCTTGCCTTCCGTGTGGCCAAGGTCATTCCCAGTGGGGGCAGCCATGCCGTTGTCGACCAAGACCAACATAGCAGAAGCAGTAAGAGCCAAAATAGAAGTGTATTTCATTTTGTTGTTCAGGAGATTACAAAGATGAGTGGAGGGAATTGATGCAAAATGTATCTTCTTTTATATGATTTTATTGCTTAGCAAATCGACTTGATGGTCTCTTGATTGCCTTACAGTGGATGGTGGGCTACTGCATTGTTGAAGAAAGTACATTCTAGCAGGAAAATTCACTATAAGATGCGAATGTTGATGTTCATCTAGAACAATGTGCTATAATGGCATGGTTTTATTGATGCCAAAAAGTACAAACAAATACTTTGTCCTATCGTCATTACAATTTTGTGGCCACTTGTCGAGACAGCAACTTGTATGAAAGCAGATTGTGATGTAACTTGTTTTATTAGATTAATGAGTATAGGGTAGCAGCCAAGAACGTACTCGCAAAAGCAATACTAGGCATTATGATATTTGAATTGCTCGTATCTGATGGTGTAGATACAGCAATAACTACAGCAGCATTATTCTCAGCAGCTGATACCATAGCCGAGTTCATAGAGTATGAAGCAGTGGCTTTATTGACTGTATTTGCAGCATGTTCACCGACCAGTTTACCAACGCCCCAAGGAATTTTAGCACCATCTGGTTGAACAGCATATTCTGGTTTAACCAACTTTCCATCAGGGCCAGTAATACCAAATCGTGTGGTCCAGGCATTCTCTCCCTTTTCTGCATTGAAATTCGATTAGTACACTATACAGAAATTTCCCGATGATCCAAGCACACTCTACCATTCGTAAACATGAGGAAATAAACAGCTGCGTGAGGCTCAACTTCTGGTGCAGTCCAGTTGAATGATTTGACGGTTCTAGCATCCAAATTCTGTATTTCAGGTGAATATCATGTGAAATAACGTACACCCAAAAGTACACCTACACGAGCAACATTCTTCAAAAACTTCTGGCTGTTGTTGTCTCCAGTCATAAAGTCTATAATAGCATGTTTAGCAAACGATTTATGCAAAAACTAGTGTCAACAGGTGTCTACCAATTTTGAATTTGGTCCAGGTCTTCTCCATTGGTGGGTTTTGTTTATCGTCAACTATAAATGGTTTCAAGAGAGCAATTAAGCAACAGGAAAACAAACTAGCTTATACGTTGAATATACTTGCACCAAGTTATCTCATATGATTGGCCAGACTTCCAAATAGTTCCAGGCTCTGGGTAGTTAGGAGCCATGTTTGCATAGACATAATAGCAAAATGATGAAGCAACGAGTGCAAATCTAGTTAAAATCATTTAGGAAATACCACAGAAAACAGGCAGAAAGGTGAAAGAAGTTGCAGTTCCCGGATAATATCGTTTTATAGCCATGATAGAAGAATATTTTTTACATTAACCGTACAAACATACATTCCCTTTTTATGTCGGGTAGTATCAAAATCATACAATAAACCGCGTATTTGTTGTGTGTATTTGATTGATCTGGAATAAACTGCAATTTGAAATGATGCCATATTTCATGTGCCTGCCTAAATGAACGCTAGCATCCACAAGCACAGCGAGTCGTGGCCGTGGTGCGTGTGATAGTGGCGTCAGCATAGAGCCAAGGCAAGCGTGGGAGCCTTACATTCTATCACTGTATTCTTGGGTAGATTTACAAATCAGTAAACGATTTTGAAGGAATCTATTATAGGGTTGGTGGTTTGAGAATATAATTCATGGTGCTACATGCCCAACTTCACATGTTTGGTCGTTAGACATCATTCTGATCATATAGTGCATGATCACTCTATTTTGTGCCTTCTTCATATATCCAGCAGTCCGAGATACTCCTCTACACAACGAGTGCAATGACTGCCGGAGTTCCATCGATAAACCCCTAATACACTCGATTCTATATAGCAGAATGATTGTTAAGGTTTTGGCAACCATTAAAGGCAAAGTATCGTTGATTTGATTTTGCCTATTTTTAATACTTTAGTATCAGATTGAAAGAGTGGCACTGACTCGGGCAACCAGATGTATATTTGAAAACGTATCAGCTAATGATGTCTATTTTGTACAAGTAGTAAAACAGCAATAACCAAGTGTGTGCCATGGCTGATATATCATTTGCATTTTAAATTCTGCTCTTATTCCCAGTAACATTCTGCTTGATGTAAGCTACAAGCTACCAGGCCAAACCAACGGAATCTGGCTACCAAAATTATAGTATAGCCGGAGATCTATCAGCACCATGTAACTCTTCGAGTCGAACACCTCAAGAAACAAGATTAACTGTTAATTACAGGCTAATGTCGCACAAACCCCTTTTGTTTTTTGGGCAAAATCTTCAGAATACCTATCAAATGTTACGCTGATAACTCGACAAAACATCGATATAAAATAGTGTTGGATACTCTATCATGTCTTTCAGTCAAATCTCATTAGTAACTAAGCTTATACTGGGTCCTATAAACCTTAAAAGTCTATACGATCGGGTGCACAACACACTAATGATAGCGAAATGGTAGGACTCTGAATCAAACCATGAAATGATTTTTCTACTACATCTTGTTTAACCTTTAATGGGCTCTATAATGAGGAATTAAGATGATGATGTGATCCTAGATATATAGGTTATCTTGAGCCTATGCGAAAATCAACAAGCTGCTAAGAAATCTGGTCAAGCGATAAGTCGCAATGAAAGATAGGGGTCTGTATTATAAATATGCATCATGTGTGATATGGCTGCTCCACTGTCACTGATACCCTACAGAAACTACCATAGTTTTCTGCCATAACATATGCTGATTGAGCAAGACATCGTGTGCCCCTCTTTTTAGTGCGAATCAGATTTATATTACTTTGAGCCTTACTTGATTAGTTACAGATAAGCTTGATGTTAAATTTAACGTTCCGAGTCTCTTTTTGCACAATGCTCATTGGCGTTGAAAACGTCATAGGGGCTACTAATTAGTATTCAATCGCGGGGCGTGCCTTTTGTATGAATGTCTAATCTCGAAATTTGACAGTTATATATAAGGGCTTGATTTGTGGTTCCTTTTTTTTAAAAAATTATAAAAACCAATCTCATACAAACTACAAATATCAACATGCTCTCTGTCTCCTCTCGTACCGCCTCTATCGTTCTCGTTCCTGTCACTTCATTTGCTGGTTACGCTACCTATGTTCGTTCAACTGCCAAGCCTGGCCAAGCTCACATTGGTAAATCTTCTGCTGAATGGAGAAAATACAACCAAGGGTTAGGTGTTGATGTCTCAAGATCTGGTGGAGGTCTCTAAATATCCTGGCCGCTTGTAGGGCTTTTTAGCTCTGACAACTATAATGATGATTATACATAATCTTTTCTTTCTCGGCTGGGCCGTACCTTTCAACCTACTCATCAAGTCATTTCAACGCACATTACATTTGTTCTGCTTTCATGCAGTCTCTTGATAAGCATTATACCTTTTTTTACTCAGAATCTCATTTCAAACATGAAACATGTTTAATAAAAAAAAAGAAAATTAAACTTCCCAATATGATGTTACTTTACGCATTTAACTTTTGTTGGGTGAGAAACGGTGAATTAGTTGCACATCAACAGCGAAACAACATTGTGCTGTTTTTGTTGGATTGTGTAACAAGCTGTATCAGCAGAAATTACGATAAATGTAAATAGTAGCTATTTATTCAATGGTTTTTTGTTTTGTACATTATTGATTGATTATGAAGTGAAACTGGTTTGCTTATGGGGTGGGGAAGAATTGCATGTAGATGTGAATCTCACCATGGCTAGTCAAACCCAACTTGGCGGGCAACTTAATCCAAGTATCAATAGGGGCACCAGAGAAGGCTTCCTCAAAGTCAAAAGTGGTATCGCCAATCTTGTCAGAGCCAATCGTATCCTTGTCCATGACCTTGATGTAGAGTTTGTGCTTACGGGATTCACCCAAGTTGAAAGTGAAGGTTTGGTTCCAGACAGGATCATTGGTATTGCTGATAACGGTGGTCTTTTGCTTGTAGTCGTCATCAATCCACAATTCACTGTGAGCGCGTGTTAGTACAACGCTCTTTACACCCTTAACTCTCAAACCATTGCATGAATACTTACACATAGGGATCGTTCTTACCGATCATGTCTTGACCCTTGAGCTTACGGCCTTCGACTATTGAAAAGTGGTGTTAGCAATTGCAATTACAAACCCTAGCATAGATAAAACTTACTGATAGTAACGTTGAGAGTTCCAGAGGGGTTCTTGCTAAGCATACTTGATGATTTGTTTTTAATTGACTAAAGAAAAAGCAAGACAAGTTTCGCGATTGTTGGGACCTTTATATAGCTTTTCAGGTTGTTTGTGCCAAGTTTTAAGTTTGCTAACCGAATGGGGCACCGCTTTAACGCACAAACATGGCAATTTCTATATATCACAGCACAGCCATTTTCTGCTCGCTTCCAAATACGTGCAAGAATCAGCTACGCGGGCCAAGTAAATGTACGTCATGTTTGTCAGCAGAGCAAATTGATGAAGAAGCTAATGTTATATTTGAACAAAAAGGAGACAATGGCGTACACTAATCTGAATTTAGTTTTACAAATCATCATAGACATCATATACAGTGCCTGAGCATATGCAATTTTCTGTACAACACTGGACCCAATTACGCTATCATGCCTGATTGCATATAATAGCAGAAAATGGCGGATAAATGGTCCAACTATCCGGTTGACTGTAACTTGTTGCTTTCATGTTGACATATATTTCTTGTCATTCTAAATCTGTGTTTCTGTGTGTAAACAGACAACCTATTCTTAGAGAGCTTGTTTTTTTTTTTGGTGGGAGCATCCATTTGTCGTATTTAATGCAAAACGACATCTATTTATATAGCCTCATGATTACATTATCTCAAGGAAATCCATCATGCAAATATTACAGTGATTTATTTTACATTATCGCATTAAAAAATAGTTTAGAGAAGGGGGGGGATATAAGTTATTTACATTTGAATTCACAGTTAGAGTTGAGGTGCTGTATTGTTGAATGGCACATCCGATTCTGTTATTTTCTCATAAATGGGCACATCATTATATGAAAGGGGAGGAGTGCGTAATATTGTGTCACTATGGCTGCTTGCAAGCGAGATAGATGTCGACAATCGAGGAGCTGCTTTGGAGGGAGGAGAGCAGGGTATCATGCCCATATGCATGGCTGCAAGGTCTTCACTACACATGCTGCTACTGCTTTCACGACGAGTTTGTTGGGTATATTCAGGCATGTAGTTGTCATGAATGCTGCTCTTGTTGATTGTGATTTTTGGGCTCAAATAGCGCTGCTGTTCTTGCTGCTGCTTCTGCTGTTCGATGTGAGCTTTATAGAGAGAGTCGTGCAGTAAAGCATCTCGCTTAAAGCAATCTTCTGAGCAATAGATTGACTTCTGTAAAACTCGACAGCTTGAGTTGTCTGTGTTCACAATACAATGACTGAGCACCACTTACCGAAAATGGACTGACGGCACAATCACAGAAAGTGCACCAATTTGTATCACACATTGAATGTTATAACAGGTTGAAATACTCAAAGTGGAAGAAGAGGGAAAAGAAGAATAGAGCAGAGGATATGTATACTTTTGATATCATTATCAAATCATGAAATCTTCATATTTTTATATAAATGATCACACTGAATGAAACCAACAACAAAAAAAGGCATGACATGCGATATATTTTGAAGCCAATAAAAAATGCCACCGGTCTCTTCCATCAACTGAATCCACGCGGTTGACACATATTTATAACCTGAGATTGTAATCAAGATCCATTTCATCAATTAGCCGTGGCGTAGACAGGGTTCTGCAGCTGATTTAGAGATATAGCGTTTAGATTCCATCGATTATTAGTATTCATCCAACAAACGCCCTGGTTTTCATAGCAACAAAGAATCCTTGTGGTACAAACACTACCGGCTACTATTAACGTAAGCCTTTGCTTGTCTCTTTCTGCGAAGAAAGCTTTGTTCGTGGAATGGAAGAAGAAACAAAAAGATTTTTCCAAAATTATCTGGATGTGAACCATTTCTTTCTATTTACTGCCCTTAATTACATAATTATTAGGCAAGATTTATGCTATCAGAATCAGAATCTGAATGTATTTGTTGATGCCAAGCGACGAGGGTAATTAAAGAACAAATCATGGGATTTTTTTTTTTAGCAACCGTAATTACGATTGAGACTTATTCTTGCCAACATATATTTACATATGCGTAGATATACAAAGACAAAGATACCATTTTTAGGACTTATCATCGTACGGGCATCTTACAGCTTCAATTGTCGACTTGAATCAATAAACGCCGTAGTCAGGGATCGATGAAACGGCAAACCCACTCTCTGTTACAGCCCTTAGTATCACTTCCTATTCTGTTATTTACTTAGATCAATGATATCCTTTTGCATAATTCAGTGTATCAGCTACCTCTATTGACAATTCCGTCAACTTGTACATGCGTATTTAAAAGACTACTTGCTGGACACGTTGATAGAGTCATTGTCATTTTACACCTGTCTCGCATATAAGTAATCTAATACAGCAACTTCTACTACTCGATAGATTGATGGTCATTGTGTTTTCGAATATGATCTCTTGCAGGCTAACAACTGCACATCAAGACCTTGTCAAAATAAAGTACAGCATTGCAAAGAAGAAAAATGCTGATTGTTGGGCATTTATTTATTAATTAATTGATCTTCAACACATACTGGAATTCTCTTTGACCAGATTCTTGCTACATCTCGCTTCTTTTAAACAGGTCATTAATGAAAGATGTATGCGCATTAGATGTGCTACACATTTGGGAGGAGAACAACCTCAACAAAAAGATTCCAGATCAGAGTACCCCCATGCTATGCTAATCATATAGTATCTCCAAGACAGTCCAGTATAACTTGTCAATGAATGGAGTTGTAACCGACCGATGGCCAGGACTATACCTTGGAATCTTCGCTCCTCCCCTTTTCTCTATTCTTTTTGATTTCTCTTTGAAATTCGAATTGAAATTCGCTTTGAAAGTAGCATGTTACTATAGCAAAACATTGCGAAAAGGACGATGGGGTAATTGAATTTTTAGATTGAATGAGGCACTGCTGAGAAATAGATGACTTTGGAAATGAAACAACTTTGAGGAGCAATGAGCTTCTTCATACAAGAACCTGCTAACTATGAGTGATTACGCGTAATAGATCGATGGATCGGATGTTGGGAAATGTTGTACATAAAACTGCTTGGTAATAACTAGCTTCGTTGAGGTGCGGTAAAGGTTTAAAGCTGTGCTGCGCACTTTATAAAAAGGAGAAACAGCTATTCGAGGTTCTATGTTGATAATAGATCCTTTATATCAGGACCGAAGTGAGGGAAATGAAAAGCAACCAATATATATATATATATATAAAAAGAAAAGTGTTTGGACGTTGTTCATTATTCAACTATTAACTTAAACTGGCTTTTCTATTGATGATTGAATTTCGTTTTCCATTGATTGCTGTACACAAAGGAGACCTCGTTTTATATATTTTTAAGCGGGGGAATATACATACTTTAAATTGGAAAAGTTATTATTCTTGAATAAAGCAAGCTACAGTTGTCTAGTCTTGACAACAAGATTTTTCAACATGTCAGGTATCTATTGATAATTTAAAACCAACAAGTTAATACTGAAGTGAATTAGACTAGATTCGGACAGTAATCAGGATCCAAAATAAATGTCATCTCAATCAAGCCATGCTACGATCAATAGATAAGCATACAAAATAATAGTATTAACATAATGATAACAAGGGTAAGATACTCTAAAATTAGGAGATGGCAGATACTAAAGTAAATATCAATCAACGGTATTGTAATATATTGTAACATAAATAAACCTAAACAAGATACATGCCCAACAATAAAGAGCTATTCTTCACGCATGATTCACAAACCATATATTGAAATACCATTCTTGGTCCGTCATCAGATCAACAACTAAATAACCCAGCAATAATATAATACAAAAAACGGAATCATTGACAGCTACTAAACTGCTGCTAGATAATAGATATAAACGAAATAATATAGATAGAGACATAGAATATACACTTTATTGTACATTATCCTGATTTCGAATACAGAAGAATTTTAGCAGTATTGTATCTGCTTTTTCAATCCCTTTTTACTGCATGTACTGTAGGGAGAAAAACTGTCCCGTTCGTTCAGATAATCTTGACTTTTACCCAGTATATTGCCAAAACTCAAAAAGAAGCCCCCTCCCATACTGCGTTCGACAGAACAGCTAACAGGAATTACAGCAACATAAAAAACTTATGGTTGGACTATATTTTGATCCCTGTATAACCAGCCAAAGTGGGAAGTGTCAAAAATGTTAGGCGGGTAATTCTAAATGATATAAAATAGTTGATATTTTTACTTCCAATAAACGTATTGAAGAGATCTAAAAAACTACCCGCGGTATGCTCAGGATATTTGATACCCCAGGAGCATTTTAAAAGTATAAAAGAAGCTAGTTTTTTCATATTTTTTTCTTTATTTCTTTGCTTTCTTATTTTTTTTTTTTTCAAAACTTTCATTATGCCTGCTCGTTTAACACAAGATTTGCGCTACACTCTCCGATCTTTGCTCCAATGTGGTCTTTCGTTCTCAAAGATAAAAGATATGTATCCAGGAGTTGGTAACTGTACTGTTACAAGGCTCAGAAAACTCTATTGCCCTGACCTAGCTATACCTGTTGGCGGTGTTTAGGATATAGATCATCTCTGAGAGGCAAATGTATTAGGCGTTGTATATTACATAAGAGGATCTGAGAATGAGCAGAAATGCATAGTAGAAGTGAGAGGTCTTTATTCGAGCAGCACGAAGGAACATGAGTGGTGCCATCAAATGGCTAATCTATATCCTGGTTCCTGGAGAGTGGTAGCCTATGGCCTTTCGTCCCTGGAAGTGGGTTTCAATTCCGACAAATGTTCTTCCGTCAAAGCTATTAGGAAGAACATTCTATCTTGGATCATCTTTGTTGTTTTTCATTGACTGGTGGTTCATAAGTTCTTATGCAGCACATTCTCGTTAACTGGTTCAAGGCTTATACAATTATCCCGCATTCAAGATCAAGGTCCTATTGCTGCGGCACTGTCAAATAACTATAAATACCTTTGATATCTACACTAGTTTTGATCCCCATTCAATCTTGGAATAACTTAATAAGTATATTCAGTTCTAATTGTATTTACCCTGTCTATATTTCGTTATTCTAAACAGGCGAAAGGCCGAAAAAACTTGGTACTAAAACTATGTCCCTAATGTCAAGAGGACTTTGATCAGGTACTTTAAAAAGTCCCAGAGCAGCGCAAGAAAGCTTAAGATTGATGGGTCAAGATATGTCAATTACTGGCATCCGCAAGTCATTGAGAAGAAATGGTCTTAAATCTCGAAGAAAAGCAAAGATCAATTTTGTTAGCAAGACAAACAAGCGGCTTCGATTAGCGTGGGCTAAAAAGCATAGGCATCTTACTATTGCTGTTTGGCGTTGTTCAGTGTTTCCGGATGAAACAAAAGTAAACCTTTGGGGCTCAGATGTGTTGTAACTGTCTGAAATACGTGAGAATGGATATGTCTTTTTATTTTCAGTAAAATCAGATAGAGAGAAAAGGGAAGGGTGAATGTCTACTGCTATTTGTATGTATGATTTATGGATTGCTTACACACCCGTCTAGAATGGTGTTCTCATGCTAAGTTTTAGTGTCAATCCTCACTTATGCTAAATGGTAATTATTTCAGATATAGATGATCAGTCTAAATATCTTTAGTAGCTCTTGGCAACGTTAATTACTTACATTCCTTATCTGCTATCTTTTGACATATAGAGAATAGCTTATCGAAACTTGGCTTATGTGAATATCATGATTATCGTTTACATGTTGAACAGCTTATTTACATATGCTCCATATGTGCATAGTTTATTGCTCAATTCAATCTACGACATTATGATTCAGGAACAGTTATATGTGTGAATACAACAAGATGGTAATTCATTTTACTGGACGAATGGTGGCCGAATCATGCAGCCGTATCAAGTCAAGTCTCAGATGCAGAAAAATGACGGTGGAGTCATGTTCTGGAATTGCATAACAGCGGAGGGGCCTGGTTATGGTATTACCATTATTGAAGGCTCAATAAACTCGGGCTTGTATGTCGACATTTTGAAGACACCATTGGACGACACTCTTGAGCACTTTCGGAAGACATTATCTGATGTGCGATTTCAACAAGACAAAGCAACACCGCATACCTCGGACATTACTAAGCAATGGTTCACCGACAATGGGTTCAACCTAGACGAAAATATGAATTGTCCACCCCAAAGTCCCGATCTTAGCCCCATTGAAGATGTATGGCATCTCCTAAAGCTTCGTCTTAATAAGTGCTCCACTAGACTCTCTACAAAAGAAGAACTAGAGCGGCGTATTAACTTAGAATGGTACAAAATAACAGAAAACGAGTGCCAAAAATATATTGATAGTATGCCTGCCCAAATCAAGGCTGTCATCAAGAGCAAAAGTGGTTCAACTCACTATTAATGATTTTATAATAAAATGTACATTTTTCTATGTTTATTTTTTAAACAATAAAATCATTCGATTTTAGTTTTTGAAAAAGTCATAATTATGTATAGATAGCACTACTCTATCTCATTCAAACGATATATATCTCGACTTTGTATACAAAGAAATGACTAAAAACTAATGCAGAAAGACAGATTTTTAAACGAACGGGACAGTTTCCCCCTCCCCTACAGTATACCATTTAAAACATAATTCAGCTGTAAGTTTTTTGAAAGCTTCTGTTTCGCAGTGTACAGAGCTCTTAAATAACCCATCAAGTGCATGCAAAAAGGATATTCGAGCTCTACCTCTAGGATAATACGAGGTGGTGTACCAAAAAGTTATAATATATTTTTTAAAATTTTTTTCAGATATGCATTAGGTATATAGTATATTTTTTAATCTTGGAAATTGTCAGGGTTGAAGGGTATTCTGATAGTGATTTAGATCTGCAGGATATCATTGACAGGCTAAACACAAACAAGAATAAGAAGCGCAGGCTTAAACCTAGAGCGCCAGCTACCAGGAACATCAAACAGCGATTAACCTGGATAGCACACAACATTACACAAACTATATTGGATAAAACCAATATCCAAATCTAATAGTAATAAAGACATGTTTTATCCATTCAACTAAAAGGCTATAACATCTTCCAGCACACTTCATATCCACTTCCTTATATATCTCGATCAGATGGCAAGTTACATATAGTATCTGTATATATAAACATTGACAAAATCATCAAATAGCTCGTTTAGCTCAGTTGGTTAGAGCGTGGTGCTAATAACGCCAAGGTCAACAGTTCGACCCTGTTAATGAGCATTCTTTTTTGCTAATTGACAAAAAAAATAGTGCGCGTAGCCGATTATATCTCGTGTTTTGGTAACGAAACCTGTAGTACGAATGGATGCAGAGTAAAATGAAATGTAAGTTACATTTTCTTATTTGTATACTGATCTTGGAATTATGCTAGGCGAAAGGTTGTTCACTTGGCATTTACCATCAGAGATATTGTTGCTCCAAGTCAATTGCTACTTCTAGCGTGTTGTCACGCATCAACATCATTTCGAGACTCGAGTATCTTTTTGAGCCCTTTTTATATAACCATTCAACTTCCAGTCTAGTCTATCATGTTAAGGTCTCATGTACTGTAGATCTTGAGCCCACCTTGGGAGCACCTGATTAAATCAAACTGATCATCGTGATTCATAAATTATTTGTTGGGTAAATGGCTAATACCGTTGCAAAGTAATTCACTAATAAGAATAAAAGTAAGAAGACGTCTTCCGCTGCATTCTGATGAATAAAAAACGCATTTTGCTGGCATACTAATTATCTTGCCTACTTGGACCCAATAGATGTCAAAGTAAAGACTCGGAATCTCGCCGTAGCGGTCAAAAGATTAGTTTGTATGAATGATTCATTTCTCTAAAGACATGCCACTTGATTCAAATAACAAATGCACCTAAAAAAATGCAGGCCAATCTCCTTTTTCACGAGTGAATGGCTTTAATTAAAAGTGCTGCGCGGATGTAACATTGGAACATGTCCGTAAACCTCCACTTATGCACATTTGCATACGCTATGTACCACAGTATGCTTCTACGTTGGAGATTAGGTTTCGATTTAGTAATGCATCGGTATTTTAGTAGCTTTTTCTGAATATGAGTAGAGTTGCCGATTTGGAATACAAGGCATAAATAAGATGATTTTATTCTAAATTGATTTTATATTATGAATAAGTTAAATGGTTTGAGCAGCGAGGATAGGGTTTTCAACAGCTAAAGAGGCTTGATGTTTTCTGCCATTCATCAAGTCTGCTTGATCAACCATAGGATGTGCTGCCTGTTCTGCAACAGAGGCTTGAGAGGCTTCCTCAGCTAAGCCTGCAGCAACAGGCGGTAACTCAGCTGAGAGAGAAGAGGGTTCAGAAGCGGCAGCAGCATTAGGAATACTCAACAATAGTTCAGGGGTAGGGATAGAGGGGAGTGATGCTTCAGGTGTGGGAAGCAAAGAAAACTCAGGAGCAGAAATCGAGTTTTCCGAAAATGGAGAGTGGAGCGCCTTGTCCAGAGATGAAGCGACATTCGATAAAACAGAGAGGGTTGGTGATGGTTCTTGGGCATCACCGGGAACAGAGACAACATCGGGAACAGCGACAGCCTTCAAGTCACCAGCGTTAGGAGCATCACAGTAAATACTACCCTCGAGTTCTTTGCAAACAAGGCCAGCAGCACAATCACGAACAATCCATTTGTCAATGTTACAGGTCAACCATCTACCAGTTTTACCAAGGCTAGCGCATTTTTGCTGACCAGAGACAGCACATGATGTACCGTCAGCTTCACTATTAGCATTCTCCACAGAGACAGTGGTAGTTGAGGCGTCGGATGAAGACAATGCGGTTGTTTCCTCTTCCTCTTCTTCGTATTCATCCCGAACTTCATCATCTTGGTCGACCAGAATGCTTGGTTCAGCAATGGAAGAAGAAGACGTGGTTACTTCAGCAGCCAGAGTAGTAGGGGGAGGGGCAATCCAGCTTCCTACATTATCGATTTCTTCGCTTTGCACATCTTCCTCAGGGTCCTCTAAAACTTGTGAAACAGGGTTACTGTTGCTTTCCGTGATGGACTTGTTTTTCAACAGTGCTTCACACGATGCAGGTTTGGCAGTATGAATCTTGTTGACAACCTCCAGCAGCTCGCCATTATCTTGATGAATATCCCTAAAAGCAACGCGCATCAGCACAACATACAAAAGAACCACTATATGTCCGAAACTTACCACACCATGACGCCAGCCAGATCCTCACAGAGAGCATGCTCTACCTTGATATTCAAAGACTCAGGGTCGTCATATGAAATGAAATGCTTGGTATCTGGATTAAAGAGCCAAGGGGTTTGTGATACTTGATCCCAGTTGCGTTCCCAACCTTTACCAGGTGTCACCATATCGTCTTGTAACAGGCCTTCTTTGCGAAGATTGGTCCATTTCCAGATACCAGAAAGACCACCAGCTTCCTTGTTACAGTAAGGATCTGACCAGTATGCATCGTCAGAATCGCCTTTGGGTGCACCTGCCTCGGAAGCTTGGAATTGATCTGTCTGTTGTCTCATGTCCACCTGAGCCTTCATGGCACGGCCGTAAAAAGCAAGCCCAGCAGTGATCTTGTCAGCGGGCACACCAGCCTTCTTCCAGTCTCGGATACTCTCCACAAAAGAGAATGGAGCGCCTTTACCCTCTTCTGCTTGGAAAGGAGCATTTGGACCAGTAGTAGTAGCCCAAGCACCATTGATATCTAGGAAAAAAAAAATACATATGATGAAACAAGTGTATTACCAATCCCATAACCCAAAATTTACCATAGGTCATTAAATTGACATGATCAAAATAAGGTACAAACGGCTTCAAATCAGTCATTGGTACACCGGACTTGATAAAAGGCTGAACGTGGACAGCCATGGAGATCTCTTTGTGCTCGTTGGGAAATTTCTCGTCCAATGCTTGTCTCAGTTCTTTGAGCAACAATAAGAAGTTGTCGGCATCGTTATCAGCAACTTCGTTACATCCAGCGGCTTGTTTTCCAGGGTACTCCCAATCTGTAAAATTAAATGTCAAGATACGACATGCATGTATCCTGCAAAGAAGGCTTTACTTACCAATATCAACGCCATCGGTCTTGTACTTTTCAATAAAGTCTAAATTCCAATCAATGAACTTTTTACGGCTTGAAGCAGTTGCAACCATGGGACTGAACCGCTTTGAGCCTGTCCAACCACCCACTGATAAAAGCACTTTAGTTTCGTTGGCATGTGCCTGCTCTACTACTTTAGGAAGCGATGATTCTACAGCCCAATCATCAGGAAACGAAGGCAAATTGTCTGGATTATTTAAAATGGCAAATGCTATGGAAAACAAAAACTAGATGTTGGCATATCTACAGAGCGACGGGACCAAGCAAAATATATTACCATAATTGATGTGAGTGTATTTGCTGAATGGGATATTTTCGACTGGGTAGTTGGCATACAACCAATTGGGAAAGTATCTATAAAATATTAGTTCCTATGGCCTCGATGCTCTTACAGCACTTGCTAGTTACCCAATCACCATCTTTGTGGAACCTTCGCACAAAGCAACAGCAGAAGCAAGTGCAGCAGCAATCAATGATAACCTCATAATGTCGTATGTTTTTTTCTTGTGTGTCTGATTGTAAGGGCAAGAGATGTGAAGAGAGAAGACCAGGCTAGAATCCATCTTTTTATACATGTATCGTCAATTGGTATGCCAGTGATATTTTAAATCGACAGAAACAATGATAAAATGACATTTAGCTCCATTCCATTCATTGCAAACACATACGATCCATTGTGGCTAATTGATCAAATGATTGAAAATACGAAAGAGGATTCAATTGAACCATTTTTACAACGAACAAGCGTGCGGTAATTGGATAGCATTTGGATGTCGAAATGGATGGGCCTGGCCCTTTTTGTGGTCTTTTTATATACTGCTTTGACCCCTTGTTTTTTAAGGTATTTTTTGTTGTTGTTTTCTCTCTCTCTCCTTCTCTCTTTCTCTCTCTCTCTCTTTTTCTTTCTGATATTTTTCTTTTTTTTTTTTTTATACTGCAGGTATAATTTTTTTTTCCCTCTTTTTATATTCATACTCATAAAAGTAGCCATTCTTTGTTTGGAACCGAAAAAAAAATCAATAAAATGAGCTTGCAACGTAAAAAGAAACCAGTTGAATTTCATTTTGTAGACATGAATGATCCAGATCGATACAAAAAACTCAAGGTTGCTCGTGCCTGTGATTTTTGCCGCCGTCGTAAATCAAAGTAAATAAATCAAGGAATGGGCTCTCTTCAATTATTCCCCTGTTTTATAAATGCTCCTTTGAATTTAATTTATATAGGTGCGATATCGGTATCCCTGGTTCCGGTACTTGCTCCAATTGCCACAAGCACCAAATGGTTTGCATCTTCTCGCCTGTGACTTCCCGGGGATCTGATGCTTCAAGTACAAGACCTGAAGATGCTCTTCTGACACCTCAATACCAGCCTCAGCATCTACAATATCAGCAGCAGCAACCTCAGCAGCATCAACAGCAGCCAAATGCAGTGGAGCAATATGCATTGAAATACCCATTGCTGTGTATCAAGGACGGGCAGGTTGGATATGAAGTAGATCAGCTCATCACTTTTATCGATGAACATGCAGTCGATCAACCAATCAACTCGTTGGACATTAATAATTTTCAGGAACCATCATTGCAATTGGAATCAAAGCTCTTTAGCATCTATTTTCAGCAGGTGCATCCAGCTTTCCCTGTGCTGTTGAAGCAATCAGTGCTCAACATTCATTCACAAGATCGACTGCTGTTGTCAAAGACATTGCGCTATGCTATCATGACAATTGCATGCCACTTCTACCCGAAAACAGCATCCACACCCTACGACTATCCGCACAACCAAGATGTCTCTTCCAACAACACAGCTGCAGCCAACTACTTTTACGATATCGCAAGAAAAGAGCTGGATACCGCCACATTTACCAAGAAATTAGATGTCGTTCAGTCATTGCTTTTGCTGTACAAACACACCGAGATCATGTACAAAGACGGCACGCGGTATTTAGAACAAGCACAAGACCTTGTCAGCCAAATCTCCTCCATCATGCCACAGCAACAAGAAATGATCAATCGCACTCGTTGGATACTGTTTGGCATCATTGGCTTATCCAATCTATCTGACGTAAGGTACAGCACCATGTATAAAAGAATCGATTTGCCTGATGAACTACCTCAAGCTTTGCAAGAAGAGATCAAAGATGACAACTCGGCTCAACAGCATGTGAATCGGTTTGCTCAAATTGCCAACTTGAGTGTGCTGTATTCACACACAGTTCAAAGTCTAATTACATGCTCCACACCGCATTTGATATGCCTGACTCAGTTCAAAGAGATTAGACAGCATTGGCATGATTCAGTAACTCAGAGCCGATTGCTCACCAACCAAGATCAAGAGCAGGACATTGATATCATGATACTGTACAGCGCTATTTTATACGATATGCTCTACTTGCTGCTGGTACTGCACTATCGTCTCATTGAAACTGAATGGGAGTCGATAGAAACGGCATATAGATTGCAACGCATGGTACATAACCTGGTAACACGTGCCTCGTTTTTGAGCACTGTGCAGTGTAGAAGAATGGCGTCCTTTGCATTGATGTTGTCGTTACAGCTGCAGGTATCAAGAGACAAGATAGATGTTGATTTTATTCAACAAGTGCGCCAAACATTGCAGTGTATGAAGATTGATGCAAGAATCGACAACGCGTTGCAAGAGTTGATATCCAATCAAGTCAATGTTCAAGCACCAGCACCACCACCACCACCTATGGATTATTTCAGCTTGATACCTCAGCCCATCATGCATTCAACCAGCTCATCTCCTTTGGATTTCCCCTCATCCTCAACGCCTGGCTTATGGGATATTCTATCAACTACAACCAATGGTGGCCTGAGCACTCCGATCAGAGAAGAAGACAGCAACCAAACATCTGACTGGATACTCGATCAGCAAAGACGACAGCAGCAGCAATTGCAAATGTACGAATTGCAGCAGCACATGTCCTACTTTACACCCGTTTTACCAGGCACCAACAACACCGGTAGTTCCAATCAGGCCGCCACGACCACGACTGCGGCCACGACTGCAACTGGAGCTACTACAAACACAGATTATTCCTACTTGATACCAGACATTTGGAGCCCAACGACTATAGAGAACCTCAATCAAATGAAAATATAGCTTGTTTTTTTTATTGCATTTCACATTTATACACACACATTTTATACACACAAACACACACACACACACACACACACACACATATATATATATATATAGTTCATAGGCATACCCACACTCTTCTTTATTTCAACGATCTTGTCTCCTGTCTTCATCAATAATACCAGCCATTTTTAATAATTCTTTATCCAGTTGTCCATCCGATTGTCTTATGTTGACACCTGCTCTTCTGGCAGCTTCTTGCTTCTCGAATTGCCACTCTTTTGCTTGTCTTTCTCTGTCCTTTTCATTGCCCAAACCAAACACTTCAATATCCTCAGTATCAAATTGATAATAAAAATCCTGATGTCTTCTCGATTTGATGGCGCTCTGGAAACTAGGCTGAGACGGGTATGCTTCATTCTGATAGATGCCTTCTTGTAATGTGTTTTTCAATGAAAGAATAAACTCATGCTTTTGATTGCTGCCAGTAGTGGCGCCAAATCCAATGCCAAAATCATGATGGTAGTAAATGTAATGGTCGTTGTTATCGACACCGCCTCGGTTGATAATGGGTCGAAAGATGTCGAATGAGGGGTCCAGTTCAAACAAAAAGCACTGATTTGTCCCCCAAAAGTGTTTCGAGTGCTTCCAAGGTTGTGTAATGTAAGCTCCCACAATCATTGACTGATGTTGTTCCATAGTGTTCTTTTTGCCTCCAATGATGTAAGGCGTGGATATCGCGTCGACTCTCATCACAAACAAGGTGGGGCCTGGGTACTTGAAGACATGGCTCTCAAAGCGATTCATACTGAAGCCATTCTGATCTGCCGAGTAAAGTCGACTCCACTGCTTGGTGATGAGGATCTCCTCGGGTAAAGACCATGATAACAAGGTGGTATAAAGTGGAGACAGTATCTCTGATTCACTGGGTGTGGGTACTTGATCTTGTGGCAGTAAGCGAGATTGGTTTTCTTTTAGGTGGTAGGTGAAGGTTTTAATAACAAGTGATTGTAATGGCTTAAATAAGTGTGGTGAAAAGGTGTTCTTCCACTGGCAAAATGAGACGTGCGAAATACACGGTAGATCATCACTGCTAGTATCCAGGGGCTTGATATTGTTCACAATCTTGGCTGCCATGTTGTGCATACTGTCGAAATCATGCTGACAGTCCTTGTCTGCCTCTCCAAGCCAAATCAGCAGGACAAACAATTCAATTAAATCTCGACACAAGATCTTGGATCCTCCTTCTCCATCTTCTGTTGCTGCTGTATCATCTCCTTTATCCAGATCCATATCACTGAAATCCACGCCTAGCTCTGCCAATGAAAGGCCTCTCGATAGCAGTGTTTCTTCATGGTCTTCATCCGGCTTTGCTACCATGACTGGCTCGTCGTCATCCTCTACTTGTGCTTTAGCAGCATCCTCTGGCGCTGGCAATACCGATAATGATTGAAAAAAGAGGTTTTCAGATACGTTGTCTGTCTCTGTGTCGAGATATCCTATGATGACTACAAATGCAGTAATAAATGCTTCAAACGATAGAGGAACAGGGCCAGCTGTTGCGCATGAGGGATAGGAGCCTAAATATGAAAATGCCTTGAACAGTAAAACACCAGCAGGTTCAACTTGAGAAGGTAGTTGCAGGTGTTTCTAAGGCTGACATGTCAATGTGTGGCGTATTCATGTGCTTTGGTCCACTTACCAAAAACTGCTTTGGCTCAATGCACTCAAAGTTGTCTTTGAAGGTCGATTTTAGATTGTTGAAAACATACTGTAACGAGACGAGTTCTACTCTTGTTAGATATTTCCTTGGCCTGAATGCATGTCTGGATGATATTGATGCGGACGAGCTCTTTCTTTCGATCGGCTTCGTGTGTGATTGACCCATATTTGCTAGTTGGAGAAAAGAAGAGACAACGCGCAGGACGTTGAAAAATTCATCATGATGGTTCCATGAGAAAAAGAGAGTGTGCATAGTAATAAAACAACAACGGATTTCATTTCTGATTTGCATGTGCGGCCGACCACGCTTGATTGCATTATTTTCAGCAGTATGCCAACTCTTGAGATGTGCAATCTCAACCAGCCGCTACAGGTCCATAGAGAAGAAAGTGGTTCTATACAGAATAATGTCCTAGTTTAGTAGCTATGGACCTTGTCCACATGATGGATCAAAATGCTTTATAAACAGTGATCGGGAACATTTTCGCCATAGACATCTGGACCTGAACACGGCTAGATTATAGATAGATGCAATTACAACATTTTGTGTTAAAATATGTCGTCGTAAAATTGTTTGCTATTAAACAGAATGAAAATCAATGCTGTGGGATAGCATCATCGTCATCAAGTGTGGATACACCACAAAAAGTAGATTTACCTAAAAAGGCATTTACATTTACAACATTCCTATAGTACTTGCAAAAGTTTAAACAACCATTTAATCCGAGTGTGTATAATACTCATTACAACCATCAAAGAAAGACCACACACATACATAAAGAAATTGATACATATTTTACCCTTTTTTTTTCTTCTTCTTTTTTTTTCGCATTTCTCCTTCTTTTTCAATTTTTGAATAATGACTATGATAGACACAATTGCATCACCTGCTCCACAGAGGAGGATCATAGCAAAATATCCACATAGCAAACATAACTCCCCTATGATGTCCCCTGGAAATCGACGCAGAAAAGACGTCGGCGATTACTGGCTGGGCAAGACATTAGGCAGAGGTTCATCAGGTACGCAAACACCATCTCTGCTCTCATGGATCCGTGGACTAACAGATACACCAGGGCGAGTCAAGATTGGCATTCACAAAGTGACAGGAGAAAAAGTGGCCATCAAAATCATCGCCAAATCACATCTAGCTGCCAACGCGTCCGTGGAGAAGGCAGTGAAGCGAGAGATTGCTGTGATGAAGCTCATCAGCCATCCCAACATCATGAGCCTGATTGATGTCATTGACTTGTCAGACTCACCCAACTTGTAAATATGGACGCTTGGACCAAGAAATGCTTTATTTACATCCTGTTATTGCGATTCTATTAGGTATTTGGTACTGGAATATGTTCAGGGCGGAGAATTATTCGAGTACTTGGTATCGCAAGGAAGACTATCCGAAGCAGAAGCTAGAAAATACTTTCAACAAATCATCATTGGATTGGATTACTGCCATCGACACTTGATCTGGTGAGTCTCATCTCTGCTTGTGAACATGGGGATGATATATTGACCATGTTGGGGGTTACAGTCATCGAGATTTGAAGCCAGAGAATTTGCTGCTGGATCGAGAAAAGAACATCAAGATTGCAGATTTTGGCATGGCTTCATTGCAGCCGACAGGGCAAATGTTGGAGACAAGTTGCGGGTACGTAAAATGACATGCGTTATAAAGTAACAGTGGCTCATACAATGACACAGCTCGCCTCATTACGCCAGCCCTGAGATTGTCAATGTAATCCATCATCATTCAACACACTGCCAGTCGTCAACTAACATGCTTCTACATGTAGGGCATTCCATACGACGGTTCAGCATCTGATATCTGGTCTTGCGGTATTATCTTATATGCCCTACTAAGTGGACATTTACCATTTGACGATGACAATATTCGGCAACTACTAAACAAGGTCAAGGTTGGAAAATATAAAATACCAGATCATTTATCAGATGAAGCCAGAGACTTAATTACCAAAATATTAGTGATTAACCCAGCCAAAAGATTGACTGTACGTTGCTGTTACACCTCATTCATGCAGAATACTAATTCTTATATCGGTAGATGAAACAAGTGCAATCTCACCCTTGGTTCACCAAAGATCCTCCACCTAACCTCACTACATTGCCTGACCCACCCACAGCCACAGAAATTGGTAGACCAGTTGCAAATGCAGCAGAGATTGACGACCGAATTCTCGAGACACTCAAAGTGCTTTGGACCGATTTATCTACTGAAAAAGTCGTCGGTGCATTATTAAATTCTGAGTAGGTTTGTAAATGGAATGAATGACCTATATAGTAAAGTATTTATGGGTCGCGACATTAGGTACAATATGCAAAAAGTAACCTATGTGTTGCTACAAAGACACGCGAATTCCTATTGGCAGACGGAAAGAGACGATGACATTCGATCAGGTACAGATCGAGTAATGCTTCTATAGGGTCAGATGCTAATATAATGTCACTAGTGGCATCTCCTGCTAAACGAAGACGTCCAGCTACTATTTGCGCTGTATCGGAAGGAAAAGAGCCATTCCCAGGCTTGAATGAGATGATGTCAAAATTAGCCGAGCGTGAAAAGACATCAAATGCACCTCCAATGACGCCTGGCATCCAGCATCACAACGCAGCACCCAAGTCTTTGCAACAGCCAATGTCTAGGCACACAAGCAATGCGACTTTGAGGCCTGTTGTGCCACCTGTAGAAGCAGTGCAAGATACACTTCCACCTCCCGTGCCTCCTAAACCTATTGTCATTCGTGCAGATCAGATCTACACTGAGCATCAACAATGGCAGCAGCAACACCAATCACAGCCGCAACGATGGTAAGGGAAATTTCAAAATGTCATTCTAGGCCCATCTCTTTAAACGTTACTTTAGGCATTCACCGATCTTGAGTCGACCAAATACCAACAAATTCTTACCCACCATGTTTGACCAACAGCTGTATCAACATTACGTTATGCCTCAACCACCACCACCACAACAACAACACCAACAACATATGAACATCAACCACATGCTATCACCCAGAGCTCCAGCCAGTAGTGCTCTCAATCACCATCAATTTCAGTATTCTCGCAAAAACCCTTCTCATCCTCATCATCAACCTGACTCCAAACTAAATCGGTTCATAAACATGTGGCAACGCAACCATCGTATCGACCCCAGCCCGCCATCGCAGCAAAACAGTATGTTTAAGGTGTCGTCCAAACCCATGATATTCGATAGAAAAGCCATCGAATCTAGTTCATCTGTGTGGAGAGACAGCGTCATGTACGAAGCACCACTACCTCCTTCCACTCCTAACCAAAGACAACAACAGCATAATCGAGCTTCGTTTGTATCTACTTCATCCAGAACCCCTCAGCAACAGCAACAGCAACAGCAATCGCCGCTGTTTTCACCACAACAAACAACTGTCATGGAATCGCCTAAGCTGTCCTCCTGGTTACCTGGTTTGTTTCATTTCAAACAGCCAAAAGTGTGCTCGTTGGAATGTGAGGCTAGAGACGAACGAGAGGCGATAGGAAAAATATCGCAAGTGTTGGAGGAGGTAGTTATAAGGAGCGATCATTTGAATTCACTGTGTCTTATCTCACATACACTCTCTATTAATAGTATATGGAGGGATTTATCACGGAAAGACAAGAACCAGATGGTAGAATAAGACGTAAAGGAGAGATGAAGTTATCACATCGTAAGTCAGATGAATCATTTGAAGTACAAGCATAGTACTGACTACAGGTGCATGTAGCTGTAAAACCCATTTTATTACGATTCAAATTGGAGATATACCAGTTGCAAACAAATCAAAAGAAGCGTGTTTATCGCATCAATTTTATTCAACAACAAGGTAAATAAGAGAATAATAGACAATGGTTTGAGCTACTCACACACGGCTTCTAGGTGATGCTATGGCACTTGTAGCTGCAGTGAAGCTCCTGGATCAAACACTCCAAACTTATGAACATGAGGCCGAATTAGTGGCTACAGCCAATGGTTGGAATACAAGAAATAGCATTATAATGTAGAAAGTAGTATAAAATATATAACAGATTTATGATACATTTGGTCTCATCATTGACTCAAAGCTGAATAAAGACTATTGTTATGTTTGCGCTGACGCAAGTGTACCATCAGGAACAGGAGCAGGCTTATTTAACGTATGCGCCAACATGCTTCGCCTATGGTCGTCCCACGATGAGTGGTTTTCTGCGTAAAGAGAGCCATTCATATCGTTGAGGAAATGACGTTTAGTTTGGCGAGATATCCCTCCATCATATACGGTGATTTCTAATGAGGTGCATTACAGCAGGGCTTTTGAAAAAGGCTTTCCAATTGAATTTTGATGTATTTAGATTCTGAACGTGTCATGCCAACAGATGATAAGCACATACAAAACGTCTGTATTCGACGAATTGATCATTGAATGCTATCTTCTGCTCTGTCATGAAGGGTACATCCTATATTGCGAGAAGCTATGGAAGCGCATGCTCCATTTCTTGCTTTTAGAGAGGTGCATTAACTTGATTTCATATCATGCAGTTTTGCGAGATCTTATCTTTTGAAAAAGACATCCTCTTTTCGTTGAAACAAATAAAAAAGCTTGTCTATGTCAATCCAAGATAAATTGGATTTTATGCATTTATCCCATCAAGTAGACTATGGATGTCGACTTCTTGACCTTCCACTATCAGATGTGAGTTGCCTGCAGCTCTGAATTTGACACTTCTAGGAGGGTCTACGTTTGTATCAATGGGAATTATTCATATTTGCGCACACAATATGACTGCGCTACCTTTTATTACTCAAAAATATGCAAAACACAGCTAAAATTAAATGAATTTGAGTCATGGTTTCTCGTGACATAGGCCGTTTTAGGCGGCCAAATTAGCATCAAACAATTGCTTTCATGTAACACCAACTTCCTGACACCTTTGCTCAACTTTTTAAGGACCAAAAAAAAAACATGGTGAAAAATCGACCAAAAAGCATGAGGTACCCCTCATGGTTTTCATCGAAAATCAAACGATCGCGTTTTTGACCGCAAAAATGAAGACTTTTACTATGGCATATCTTGAATCAAAATGTTTCTATCGATCTAACGTAACCTTTGAAATCATCTTTGTGGGACTTTGATATGTAAAATTTCGATATTTTGGCCAGAAACCTCTTTTCATACTTTTGTAAAATACTCAATAAGTTTATTAAAAACATTTATCTTATTGGAAACCAATAGATGCGCCTTGAAAAGTACTCCAGAAGTGCATTAGAAAGTATGGCATGACTATGACAACTTTCATAGTCGAATCTTGCAAAATAAGTCGAGCCGAGTCCAAAAACCTTAGAAATGATCAAATCAGGACAGAATGTCGAGCGGACCTTAAACCCGTTTTGGCTGGTACCTCTCCAAATCACGATGAATGCAAGCAATTTTGTAAATTTAATAAAAAAGAGGCTACGAATGAGGCAGTTCCTAGCTGACTCTGACTACCTCCTTCTTTTACTCTTTATGTGTGAGCTTTTATACCTGAAAACAGCAGTGAAAATGCCTGGCGACTATAATTTCATTATTTTATGGTGCAGGGCTCCTTTTAAAAAAAAAGAGATAGTTCACCATGACTGTATTGAGACTGAGAAGTCAATGGTATGACAGATGCTGTAATGCGTTTGAATATACTACAAGCCCAGGTAATGGAATTATCTTTTGTACGCACTCGATATACTATGAAAAGTATGTAGCTGTAGCATGGTGCGTGCAGATCAAGATTTGTTGTTAAGTGAAGCCTGCAGGTTGAATATTAAAGGGGCTGTGGTTTATGTTGATTGCCAAGTCGTGGCACTCAAAGTTGTACAGCTGGTCTTTTCTTTGATTATTGAGCAGCAGTGCAAATGTATAACAAGATTACATGCTCTTGATTTCATTGTGTCTTTTTTCCCTGTTGCTAAACAAATTCCAACAACAACGACAAAAAGACACGATACCCGGCTACATTGGCCATTCTGATTTACCAGGCACTAGCAATTCTGCGCACTAAAGCAGTGAGTCTTGTGGTCACTAGCAATTCTGCGCACTAAAGCAGTGAGTCTTGTGGTCACTAGCATTGCTTACAAGAGGAGAGACTTGGACTACAAGTTGATGTACTTGCAAAGCCCTCTGGATCTGCTCAAAAATTATAACCGCTTCAACCAAACAGCGTTTCAGAAAGCAACTATCGTCTTCTTTGCCTGCCTTACCATTGCACTGAAATTGATCCTTGCCATCTTCACCAAGCTCAACTCATCGGTTTCAATCTACCATGATCTAGCAACTACGCCATTGAATCAATCAGTAGCCACATCCAAGTATAGCTGGCCCTCAACTATGCCAGTATTTGATCACTTCATCCCTTACTTGACGAGTCCAAATACAACTTCACTTGAAGATATGACAAACGCATACATTGATTTCAATCTTCGTCAGAGCAATACGCGAAACAGTGATGGCCATTGGTTTACACCCAACGTTACCAAACGCTTTGAGTGGGACAATCATCAAGTGGCGCTCTCTTATGGATTTCTCGGCTCACCAGCACAAGAGAACTTTACAGTTTTTCCATTCAGCAGACAAGGGTATTCAAGTACCGTGGCAAGCTGTAACTCAAAAGGAAGCAGCAATGTAATGGATATTACGCTGGATATTTATGGCAACGTTGTGAAAGCTGCTGGTCTATACTCTACTAGTTGTTATCCCACGTACGACAGTGGCATTCCCATCCTACATCGATTTAACAGCCAAGACAGCTTTCAGCTTCCCAGTTTGCTCGATGCTAACGACACTATCTATCGTCCACCAAAGCCATCTGGTTCTGTATCAGCTTCGTCCTCTTTTGGTGTAAGCATATTCAATCATAATACCACTCACATGACAATGGGCGTCAAAAAGACAGCACACATTACCTTTTACAATCGCAGGGAAAATGCTACCTTTCCTACAGATTGCTCCATCGACAGCAGGGTCAATTTTACCAACAACTTTAAAGACTTGCCTTATGATGCCGTGCTATGCGAATTAGAGAACGTCATGCTTAAATATTATAATAATGTCAAGATTTCAAGGGAACTATGCTGTAAACACGGTTTACACCTATCGAAAGAACATGATGGTCAATGCTCAAGGAGAAATGGTGATGCTTGATTTCACGTTATTCCAAGCTTTTAGCGTCGAAGGAAATCTACTAGAGGACAAGGAGCACATGGTAGCTTACTCCACAAACAGTTTTCTCTACGGTAGCCCACCAGGCATTGACGTTTCAACGAATCTCTCCAACGACGCAATTGGATCCTTATTGATAGAGCTAGATCCTTCTGATTTGAATCAGGAAACGGTTGACATTTTGGTGGGTATGGCATCGATGCGAGTGCGATGGGAGAACGGAGACTATTCAGACTTTACGTTGAACTAGTCTGAGGTGATCAACGCCATCAACACACCTACTTGGTGGATCGTAACTGTATCTACGCTGGTATTGCTATTTCTGATCCCACATGCCAGTCGTTTTGTTGTGAGACGTATCCCTGAATATGCAGATAACTTGCGAATTCTCTTACTACTGACGATAGAGCGTTCCAGTGTCTTGGAAAAGGCAAGAAAAATCAAAAACGTTGGTATTCTGTTGACTGACCAAAGCGATGAAACTAGCGACATCGCCTTGCTGTCTGTCAATGGGTACCCTATAACTATTGCTGACAAGTTGACGAGCGTCGAAACCAGCCTTATTGAGGAGAGGACAGCTAGCACAGACGAAAAGCTTATGCATAGCAGTTGATCTGATTCATGTAAGCTTTTTTTTTCTAAAATAAACCAAAGCCTGGCGCACTACTCCTTGGATAGCACATCCTACATGGATTTGACAGGAGCACCCTCGGAGCACTCGGATCATCATTTGTCCGTTAGCACAGACAAACTCTATCAAGATGCAATCCATGATCATTGATATAAGCATTGATAACGCCATAATTTAGTATCATAACCACCCATAACAGATCAGCCTATCCAAGCGAGTACCATGTGGGCTTTATAGCTCCTTGATTCCGTGTTTAGTATGAAACTGACAAGAACAATAGGTTTATGCTTCAAAAACCGCAATTTGAAACCCACAACAGACTATAAAAGGAGTGAAAATCCTAGTTTTAATGAAATCATCTTCATTTTCATCACAGCACAATATGCTACTTCACAATCTCTTCAGCAATTTAAGCATTATTCATCACAATAAAGAGGAGAGCGACTATGCTCATGTTCCCAATTACACACCCACTATACTGACAAAGATTGAAGGCGATCATCAACATCACCACCATCATCATGTGTATCATTTGCATCGCAGTGAATCGCATGCTCTTTCGGTTTGCTCGTCTTGCTGTCCACAGAATGAAGACAATAGCATTTTTGTCGCTGAGCCAGGTACAGAGAGAAGAGGCGTATTTAGAACAAACGAGCCAATCTGGGTCTGTACTGTTAATGCTGCTCCTCAGCACAAATCAGATGCCAATGGTAATGGTCTCATCATTCTCGATGACCAAAGCCAAAAAACACTAGAAACTGTTTACAAGAAAAAGAAATTGACATGTCAACTAGCTGAGGACTCTACCACTGGTTTGTGTAATGTGAATTTAGTCTACGGTGATGCAGATGCCAGCACCACCACCATTGACTCCACTGCCGACTCAACCGCATCAAAAGACCCATCCTTGAAGTCCATCCGACAGCTAAATTATGACATTGACATTAAACGAATGACAACTCCTGTTTGGTGGTTTGAGAAGAAAGGCCTCGGTCCTAGAAAGGAATTCGGCCGGTTTGACTGGAGAAATCAAATACGTTTAGAGGCCTATGACGACGATAACGCTACGCTAGCATTGACAGACGGCTCGTTTGCAGAACCATTCACTGTTGCCTTGAGTCAAGCCAAGCATAAAGATGAACAGGAATGGCAGGGATTCATGTATTTGAATACGGTACCTCGGCAGAGTAATGGCAATGATGAATACGACGAATCCGATGATGAATATTACGATCTCAACATCCAAGGAAGAGACAACTTTCCCAATTTCAACACTTTCAAAGACAAACAAGATCAAGAAGAGCTTAGACAAGAAGAGACCTATCGTAAAGCACATATCAATAAACAGGTTTAGATTTATTCTGCGTGCAAAAGAACATATTCTCTGGTGCTACTGCCAAATTTCAACACGTCTTTTGCTTTCAATTCAACGAAACGAGTTGCTGGAATTTGCTCGTTATTTAAAAATGTGCCATTGGTAGCTTCCAAATCAATAATGAAGGGCCTAATTATATCATGTCAGAATAAAGCGTATTGGCATGCCTGATGTCTTCACTTACTTTACCACCTTGACAGGCTTACCATTCGCACCTTCCTCGGTGACTATTCTGTACTGTAACACAGCATGTTGCTTTGAGCATGAAGGATGATCAACTGGGATGTCAACAACCTATGTAGAGACTCGATATTAGCATTTTTAGAGTATCGGCATGGATACCAAATCGACTATACCACACGATCACGGCCGATTAAGTAGGAGCTTTGTCTATGAATGTGTAATAAATCTAATGGGCTCACACGTCAATACCAGAAACATGTCAATTTGCATCAGATAATCTTACCAACTTGTTCATCACCTTTAAATACATACAATCTCCATTTAGTCGTAGGTTTAGCAGCCTCAGGAGGCTCATTGTACTTCAATTCGACACCTTTCACAGTGTTTGTCTCTGCAGCTAATTTACCAGACAAGCCGAAATTGGGTTCGACCTTCTCTACAGGCTCTTCTTCCACTCTCATATTATCCTCAGGTCGTCCCCATTCAAATTTCTTGCCTCCCCTCTCGGTATTATGTTGTCTACGATCGTCTCTGGTGTTGTTTTCACGACGGCGAGATGGTGGTGGTGAGCGAGATCGTCTACGCCTTGGTGGCGAACGAGAGCGAGAATAAGAACGAGAACGAGAACGATGGTTGCGTCTTCTGGGTGGTGAGCGAGAGCGAGAATAGCGTCTATATCTTTCGTTTCGTTCGAATGGTGATATAGACCTTCTTGGAGAACGACGATGGCGTGAAGGAGAGCCCATGTGAATGTATGTTTATATGTTAAAGGATGCTGCTGGTCATGAAAAATGTCACAACCAAACACACCCAATGTCTCTATAGTCACAGTACTACGGTGCTACGCACCCGAGAACAGCAAATAGAATACTTTGGATAAATGTGTCTGATGCAATCGAGCCATTCCACGGAATGGTATCTGGTCTTTTGGATCTATTCACGCAAAGATAATGTGATCTGGGCAGATCATGATGGCAATTGATATGATTGCTCAGGAAAAATCACTCAAAACACACAACATTTCGGCAATTCACTCCGTTTGTCTGGAAGAAATATCAACTCTAAAGAATTTTTCACAGAATGTGTAACAGATCAATCCTTGTACGCTTGCTGATCCATTGTAAATAGTTTACGTAAAAAAAAAAAAAATGCAATAATGAATCGAGTGGAGAGATTTCCTGTATCAATGCAATCACATTTCTGTACAGATCAGACTATAAAATTGAGACGATTGCAATCATGATTTCGTGGGAGCCAAATACCAGCATATCAGATTCATTTCTAAACATGTATCAGACTCTTCTCCATGAAAAGTAGGTATTATATTTAGTAATACACCTCCATTTAGCCGTTTCAGGATCATGACAATTTTTAGATGTTTTCTATGAATCAATGATGCAGAATAGCGTAATCATCGGCCGCAGCAACGAATACAACGCATAAACCACAAGGCACATTTTGGACTTTTTTGTACAGTTCACCTGTAAATCTATCATGTTAAAGCACATTCATTTAAACAAAGTTTCCCGGAGTTTACAATGGTTAGCGTTGAATGCAAAAACGATGAGTCATTATACTACAATGGCCCAGTGCGACTGTAATATAAAGTGCCATGTTTTAGGTTGACATTGAATGAAATCATTTCTGCTTTCATTGCAAGCATCCAACATGGTAGCTGAGCCAGATCAAGATATGATAAGGGTGCATTGACAATTTGGCACCAACTTGGAGGACTGCACATGAGTCATGGAGAGAACGAAAAATGTTTACTTGTTGCTTCTCGACCTTCTATGCTGCTCTGCATATATACAAATCTTAAACCGAACAACTCGAAAGTAGGATGCTATGAAGATTTTTTTCAATTACAGATGAATTCTTTTTACGTACAAAAAATTACAGAGAAGCCATTAGTCAGAAAGGCCATTTTACGTTACACCATTGGCTTGTGGTTGCCCATCGAGCTCTTCTATGTTTGAATTTCAAACACTGAGACAATTCGAGTATAAAAAGAAGGATTGAAAAATGAGTCTTTTTTTTTTTTTTTTTTCTTTTTCTGCATTTCTACATTTTACTCTATATACAATTTCCAGATTCTTTGAATCAACAATTACAATTTAGATAAACAACATGACAGAAAAGGAAACTGTCGTCGATCAAGATTGGCATGCAAAATCCATCGACCAAGTGGTGGATCATTTCCAAACTTCACTGGAAAATGGTCTTTCAACAAATGAAATCACATCAAGGCACATTACATACGGCTTCAATGAACTATCCGCTGATGGAGGTCCTACATGGCTTAAAGTCTTGATTGGACAATTATTAGATGTGATGAATTGGATCTTTATTGCTCTGGCCATTGCTTCTTATTGTCTAGCTGATTACATTACTGGATCACTGTTGATGTTTATCGCATTGCTCAACCTGTATCTCGGCTTCTCTCAAGAATATGCTGCTGAACAAACATTAGCTGCTCTTCGTAATCTCTCATCTCCCATGGCTGATGTCATTCGTGATGGTAATGAGCAATCAATTCCTAGTCGGGAGATCGTGCCTGGTGATATTTTGCTCGTAAAGGAAGGTGACTCGGTCGGTGCTGATGCAAGATTAGTCTATGTGTCAAATCTCGAAGCCGATGAGGCATTGTTGACTGGTGAATCTGTGCCTGTTGCTAAACAATTGGTCGTTCTCGAGAGGCCTGGTAAGTAAAATCATGTACTGTCATTGTGATGCCTATGTTTTAATCATCCATATCATTAGATGAGCCATTAGGTGATCGTATCAACATGCTTTACTCTTCCACCATCATTTCCAAAGGCAGAGGCAAAGCCATTGTCACTTCCACCGGCATGCATACTGAGATTGGTAAAGTCGCTTCCAAGCTGAACGATGCTAGTGACTCTGATCGCACTCGTCTGCAAAAGAGTTTGGATAAAATGTACTTTATTTTGCTGGTTGCTTCTGTTATTTGCGTCATTATTGTGTTGGCCTCTGTCAAGTTCCAAGCTGATTATGACACTGGCATGTACGCCATGACAGCTGCGCTCTCTGTTCTTCCTGCTGGTCTCACAACAGTAATGACAGTGACATTGGTCTTGGGTGGCAAAGAGATGACTCGTCAAAAGGCCATTGTCCGCAAACTCAAGTGTCTGGAAACACTGGGCTCTGTCACCAACATTTTCTCTGATAAAACCGGTACCTTGACCATGGCCAAGATGGTGGTGGTTCGTTTCTGGACTCCTGTTCATGGCTTCTTTTACGTTACTCCCAACGGCCTTGCTCCCAAGGGTGATGTCTATTGCACACACGACAAGTTGACTGATAAGATCAGCGATGATGTGGACGCTGAGCTCATTGACAAGACCAATCTTTCTCCTGATTTAACTCATTTAGTGCATTGTGCTGCTCTCTGTAACATGTCTAGTATCTACCAGCGTGACGAGAAGGACGTGGCGATTGACGATGAGAAGAAGGTCCCTGAAATGGATAACGAAGCCACTGAATCAGACGATTGGATTGCTAGCGGTGCTCCTACTGAAGTGGCTCTTCAAGTGTTTGCTCACAAGTTTGGTATGGGCAAACCTGATCTGGAGAACAGTGGCTGGGAGTTGCTTGCCGAATACCAATTTGACTCTACCATAAAGCGTATGACCACTATCTGTTTGGACAAGAACACTGGCTTGATCTATGCCTTTACTAAGGGTGCTGCTGAACGTGTGATTCAACTCTGTAGCAACATGTCTACTGAGGCTGATCGTGCACCTGTGTTGGACAACGTCAATGTGTTGGCTGCCAAAGGTCTTCGTGTGATGGCCATGTCTTACCGCAAACTGGATTTGCCCTCCGATGTCACTGCTGAAGAGTTGCAACAAGGTTCTCGTGATGATATTGAACGTGATTTGACCTTCTTGGCCATCTGTGGTATTTATGATCCCCCTAGAAAGGAATCTAGACAAGCTGTGCGCGAAGCTCATCGTGCTGGTATCTCTGTCCACATGCTGACTGGTGATCATGAAATTACTGCTACTGCTATTGCCAAGGAAATCGACATTCTCAGCAAGAGCCTTTCTGACGATGATCTCAAGCGTCTTGTCATGACAGGTACTGCCTTTGATGCCATGTCAGATGAAGCTATTGATGCTCTCACTGATTTGCCTCTGGTCGTTGCTCGTTGCTCTCCTGAAACCAAGGTCAAAATGATTCAAGCCTCTGCTCGTCGCAACAACATTGCTGCCATGACAGGTGATGGTGTCAATGACTCTCCCTCGCTTCGTATTGCTGACGTTGGTATCTCTATGGGTAAAAATGGCAGTGATGTCGCTAAGCAAGCTTCTGATATCATCTTGACCGACGACAACTTTGCTACCATCATCCGTGCTATTGCTGAAGGCCGTCGCATCTATCAAAACATGCAGCGTTTCCTCTTGTACTACTGGATCTTGTTGTTCGGTTTGGCTATCGTCGTTCTGGTCTGTCTGGCTATTCGTGACCCTGCTGGTCGCAGTGCTGCTCCCATGTCTACTCTTCAAATGATCTACATCTACATTGCCATTACGCCTCCTGCTGGCTCGCTGAGTACCCAACCTGCCTCAAAGACTGTCATGAAGGAGCCTCCTCGTCCTCCTACTGAAAGCATCTTTAACCGTGAAATTATTATGGATACCGTTGCTTACTCACTCGGTGTTACTATTGTCTGTTTGGTTGCTTTCCTGGTCCCTCTTTACACCATTGGTGATGGCGTAGGTGGTGTGAACTGTGATTCAGACTATGTTGCTGGTGCTTGTGATTCCTTCTATAGAGGTCGTGCTTCTCTCTTGGTCTCATTCACCCTCGCTTCTTTGGTTATAATGGTCCACTGCAGATCTTACCGTAACATTGAATGGAATGTTGCAGGTATCCGTGAAACTCTTCGCTCCAAAACTTTTGTTGGTACCTTTATCTATGACATTGTTACCTTGGTTCTCTTCATCTATATTCCTGCTGTTGCCATTCAAGGTTTCAGAATGACGGCTATTACTTGGGAGTGGGGTTTGGACATGGGTCTTGTACTCTTTATCATTCTTTATGGTGAGATCTTCAAGTGGGGCAAGCGTACCTTCTTGAAGCCTATGGATTCTGGTGCAGTTGATTTTGATGATGAAGACGGTGATAATAACACTATCAAGAACAGCTAAATTAAATGTATATGTGTATACATCCAATGGTTTATACAGGAACATCTGCATTTTACAACTTATTTAATTACACTTATATATACGCATTCTCTCAGATAAATGCATCATCTCTTAATTCATTCTACTGTATCATATATACATCTTTGATTTACCCATTTAAATAAACTATTTAGACCTTGTTTTTATATGATACGAGCCTTTCGAGACTTCGGGTGGTTTCCTGACCTACGCCTCACTTTGGTGGAAACCAACCTACGTTCAAACGGCTCGCGCTGCCGCGGGCCTTTGGCTAATATCCCAAAATTAATATAGCTAAAATGTTAGAAGAACTTTGATTTTTGATTGATATAAAATCACTAATCATATGAGTGTTTATGCTTCGGATGGTTTTCTACCTTCGCTTCGCTTCGGTGAAAACCAACCTGCACAGCGGCAATTCGCCTTACCGATTTTCCTTGCGAATCTTATCATAATATTACTACGTTCATCTTGACCCTCTACTTACACATGGAAACCCTTCATTTTATCTGTGGATCTGATTCTTATGTGATGCTCTACATCCATATACACATAGCTACTTCATATACGGACAAGTAGCATACTGGTATTTCCACTTTTTAGTCCTTAGTGTCCATAATACAGCAAAATCTGAGTGCATTTGAGCTGCGTTTTCTCGCGTCCAAGGCCGTTTTAGATTGTCATAATAGGACCAAACACTTGCTCTCATCTGGCAGTTACTTTCTGACACTTTTGCTCAACTTTTTGGGGATCAAAAAAACATGAACAAAATTCGACCAAAAAGTATGAGGTACCCCTCATGGTTTTCATCGAAAATCAAACGATCGCGTTTTTCACCTTGAAAATGGAGACTTTTACTACGGTATATCTTGAATCAAAATGTTTCTATCGATCCAAAGCAACCTCTGAAATCATCTTTGTGGGACATTGATATGTAAAATTTCGACATTTTAGCCAGAAATCTCTTTTCATATTTTCATAAATCATTTGATAAGTTTATTCAAATCATCTATATTATTTAGTACCATTGGATGCGCCTTGAAAAATACTCCAAGAAAGCTTAAGAAAATACAGGATGATCATTATATTCTACTTAGTTGAATCTGCAAAAATAGCTCAATCAAGTCCAAAATTATCAAGATTTGTCCAATCTAGAACAAACTATGATTCTGGGTTTGAATTAATTTTGGCTTGTGGGGCCAGCTGGCAAACTCAATGCCCTTTTCATACTGCAATACAGTAGTAAATGCTCTTGAAGCGTATAAAAAGTAGGTGGCAGGCCATAGCACTATTGTTTATAATAATATTTTATTGCATTCTATATTTAATAACGTTAGTCTGGACATTGACGATTCATGGGCTGCGTAAGATGTCTGCAGTAAGTAGTGAAATCTCTGAGGTTTCGGGTCATCGTTTGAAGAAAACGTTAACAGCATTGAGCAGAGAAAAGACGGTAGAAATAACAGTGGTTTTTGTTGATTGATTGTAAAATTATTAATTATATATGAGCCAGGCCTGACAGATGCCTGGAAACTCGGTTTCCATATTAAGGTTGTAAAAGTGTCTAGGGACTGAACATTTATAATAATATGATCCGTGGCCCTGATCTGCTAAAAGCCTGCCTCTCTTGGTTTCTGTAAAGTCACATTTCAATGAAATGCCCAAATCGAAGAGGAATTTTGCACAGTCATTCTTTCTTTCATTGTTTTCTTTTTTCACTTTAAATACACAGATACGCATGAGTACGGCTCCTCCAAGACATATACAGAATGACCTCAGCACTCTATTAAGACGAGAACCTGCTGATAAAGATTCCATTGAACATAAAGACTGGGAGCTGGGTTAGGATGGATTGATAATGACACGCTCACCCCTTTCCGCGAAAATCTAACACGTATCTCATCTTTTGTAGCCTATTTAAAGTTGCAATTGGAGAGATCCAGACTGACAGTGAGAATTGTGCGAGATGGCAAAAACAAACAAATAGCAGAAATGAAAAGAGCATCGACTTGCTCAATAGAATCACTACGTCAATCAATGAAGCATGAAATGGATCAAATCGAAAGAACATTTACAAATCAATTGGCGCATCAGACAGCTGATATTGAGAGATTGAAGCATTTATGTAACCACTATAGAGACCTAGTATCTTTTCATCAAGCAGCCAGTAATGGAGACGCAGTGGTGGATAAGTTGAGCATCAAAATAGACGAACTGGAAACCCACATCGACAATCAGAATGGCATCATTCAAGGTAATCGATGCTGATTTATTATAGGCATCTGTGCTGATGGTAATTGAATACAGAGCTGGAAGATGCTGTTGTTGAATTGCAGACCAAGAACTTGCAATTGACGTCGAATGTGTCGAAAACTAGCCAAGTTGACAAGGATAAGATGGATATCTTGATGAGAGAGAATCAAGGTGAGGAAGGGATATATGTGGACCATTGCAGAACAGATGACCAATTCAAACCATGAATAGAACTGCAATGCAAAATGGATGCCCAGGATAACAAGATACTGAAGTTAGAGTCTGCAATTGCTGATTATGTCCAGAGGGAAAGGACACTGATAGCACAAAATGACTGTAAGCCTGCACACACTGCTCTACACTTACCGTACTGACACATTCTTCATAAGCGCTTGCCAAAGAAAACCTAGAGCTCATTGCCAAATGTCGAAAATTACATGAGCAGTATGTTTTTTTTTGTCTGTTCTATTGATTAGATACTCACACGAATGAACAGGGTGGGCTCCACTGCAAAACCAACCTTTAAAGCAAAGACTGTATACCAACGAAAGCCCAATTTGACACAAAAGTCATTGAATACAATGTTCCACGATCAAGCATCATCATCTACAGCATCTTCGCCTGCATCAACGCAGTCAGCGCCATCTCCAAGTGTATCCACTACCACACATACAGCAGTTACAGCAACAACATCTACCACAACATTTACCAATACTGAAACATCCAGCGAGAATACCAGCAAAATACCTTTAAAGCGACCTTTATCGACCACACTATCAGACAAGACAAACAGCAAAGTTCCAGTGCTGACACGAGACACCAAAGAAAAGGGTGATGCTGTGAAAGTAAAGCAAGAGCAAGTTGATCTTGATTTAACCACGGCGACCGAAAATGTGCCAGATCAGGTTACTCATATAACTAAAGATACCTCAGCAATCAGAAAGAAGCCAAAAAACAACACTTCTGTTACGACTGCATCAACATTCCCCGTGCGACAAACAGCAAGGCCTACATCTGCTCCAACCACACCCGCTTCTTTCACAACTTGCAATGCCAGTCATCGCAGAGGTAGAAGCAACATGATAGGAGGGACCTGTACAGCATGTGTTAACGTAAGTATCTTGTCTTGTATTTGTGTGTATTTGTTGCGCTCATTTAGTGAACTAGTTTTACGGTACCGAGACAATCACGGCAAACATTGATGGGCAGCAGTTGGAATTGACAGGAGAAGATCGCATTCAACACAATTCCAGACACAGACACCATCGCAATCAACGTTCCAACACCCCACCCGGCTTCTGGGATCTGGATTTCCAGACACCTGAAAGACCTTAGTGCCTAAATTGTAGTAATATATGTATATAAATAAATGATTCTTGTATCTGTGCTAAAGAAAGTAAAGGATGGCTATCTTTTAGCAATATCTGTTTAATGAATCCTACTACAATGATGGCACTCTGAACACATATTGAATGCACTGAATTCTATTGTCAGTGATGCATGCATTTCATCACATTTTCAGGCTTTACATATGTCCACCTGTACAACGAATACATCATTATGGAAGCCATTACCATCGGATTTAGTCATAGGATCACTGGGGGACGAAGCAGCCAACATGTCTACAGTCAATACTCCATTAGAGCTACACCAAGTCCAATCTTTCGTATTGAGAGTGTAACCATCCACACGCACACGACCAGGAATTAAGCCAACTAATACTATTCTGGAGTTCCTTCTCCTAAGACTCTCATGCGTCTTGACCCAAAATCCACACGACGAACTCCTGTGCGACAAATGAGCTTCGAATGTAGCATACCAGGGACAAGAAAGCCGTGCTTCGTATTGCACCATGCTGGTATGTAAAATACACACATTGCCATTGAATTTATCCGTCAAACCTAGACAGGCCATGGATAAAAGGCCAGCGCATTGAACAGTACTCACAGACACAAGTGTGGAACCATAGCTGCTCACTCTAGCCATCATGTTTGTAGTGGTGCTTGTGTTGTGTGATTGCTTCCATATTGGTAGTGTGCTACTCATATCATTGCCACTGATTGTGCTACTACTACTGCTGTTGCTACAGTTGCTGCTGACACTCTTGATGCTACCACTGTCATCGTCATTCTGATAATCACACGATGGTTCAAGTAGCACAATGTTGCCTCGATCTGGACCACTGACCACATAAGCAATAGTCGGCATCATGGCCAGTTTCTTGCAGCAAAATAACCCACTTGATACAACAGCTAATTTCTCATGTGGCCCTGTATTCCAAAATCCACAAATACCATAGTGAGGTCTTGTTACAAGCTCTTTGGGGCATTCATTTGGGTAGTGCAGTTCCTGATGCAAATTGTGCAATGCGATCAGTGATTGAGCATTCATAGTATTGTTAAACACGGTTTCAAATGTGGGCTGTGGTGCCTGAGAGGATCGCAAAATGGTATAACCAGCATGCTTGGTTTCAGCTACAAGTTTGTAAATGAGATCCGCGTTGTGCTTTCCTGGTATATCTGTAATGTAAATGGGACCACCAGAAAGAGCTCGACTATTTGAAAGGGACATTGAATGATGTTGTCTTTGCCATTCTTAATGGTGTATCATACCTGGAAGCATGATACTCGGCAAATGGATGGTCGGATTGAAACATATCCCAGTCGTCAATTACCGGATAGTGTGCAGTCCATAACGCATTGATCGCATTGGCGTAAATGTGCCAAGGATGGCTCTCCTTTTCCTCAGGGAAGAAATCGTCGCTATTTCTATAGAATGGCATGAATTACAAGAACGAAGCCAGGTTCTTTCAAGACTGAAACTTGCCTAAAAATAGACTTTCGTTTGTTGGAAAGGATTGGATCAAACAACACATGCGGTGTCAATGCCATACAGTGCAAAACATGGCCAGAAAGAAACGTGTCGCCACTGTCAATCATTGCTCGTCTAAACCTGTCCCATAATGCAATGTTTTGCTGGCCATTTGAGCTGCTTAGTTCTTGAAAACTGCCTTGGTTATCCACTTTGACAAAATCAACACCTGATTCGCGCAAGAATTTGTAGAAATCGTTATAGAATGCCTTGGGGTCATCAATGATGCCTATTTCTTGATGATGCTGACGATTTAAAGACCATGTATACTTGTTTTTGGCAGCAAATGCTTGATCAACTCCATTCCAATAACCCCACAGCGCCTTTGAAAATAGAAATCAGCAATGCCTCCCTTTGATACATTCTACAACTTACATGCCATACGCCAATGTACTTTATATACGAATAATCAGACTTTAATTGCGCCACTGTCTTGCTCAAGCCATCAGGAAACTTCCGAGTGTCTGCTTCGAAGCCTGCTAGTTGCCGGTTTTCACTGACTAATTGCCATCCATCATCCAACATGAGGTATTCCACTGGTATATTGTGCTCTTTGAGGCTTTCCAGAGCTGCTTTCACTCGTGTCAAATCAGCATCTTGTCCAAACGCATTCCAGGTGCAATACCCTAGCTTATTAAGCAAGATATTGTCTGTATCTAGCAAAATGCCATCTTTCTCTGATACCTGCTGAATACAGGCCCCGTAGTAACCAAGTGCTGTCTGTATCAACTGGGCAAAATGCTTTTTTTGGGATGTCGACACAATCAATAAATGAGCGTCTTTTCCCAGTATATGATGGAACTTGATCGAGCCACCCTCTCCAAATGATAAATAGCACTCTGCATATTGACAAACAGGCAGCCACAGATGTATATCACCCCTTTCCGTGTCTTGGTATAAAAGTAACTGGCATTTCTCGTTTGCATTGCGACCTTGAAAGTGGGTGGTGCCTGTAACTGGGGTCAACCAAGTAGACCTGCTCTCGTTGCAGCATTAGTTGGCTATTCTTTCCGCTACCACACTAGGTGATTACCCCTTCTGTATCAGACACACGTATCTATGCATGGGATGATGAAGTTTCCCAAGTGTAAACTGTGCAGGGCCGTCCGACTGGCTTCTGAAATGCCAAAGATGTGCGACATCATTGTATTCTTTCGCAACAAACTTGAGTTGAGGAACAGAGGCAAATGATGGCGCCATCGGTGCATCTGTAGTGTATGGTGTTATGCAGACCGTGCCATTCTGATCGGGTTTACCGTACCAAGACCAACAAAATTCATCATTCTTGTCCCTGAACTCTAGTTCCAAGGAATACCGCAAGGTGTACTCGTATTTGCCAGGGGGTAAATGAAAGACGTTTAGCAACAGAGAGTATTCATAATGGCCATTGCTGGTATTCTGCTGCGTAAACGGTATTGCAATCCATTTTCCTCCTTGTGAAAGGTTTGTCCATAATTCAATACGTCTTTTGCAAAGCGAGTAGCAATGAAATGCTATGGGGCTCTTGCTGTACTGTTGGATAATGAGCGACGAGAATAAATCAGGGGCAAGGATGATGGAGGGTTGCTCGTTCGCTGCCATGCTAGTGTACTTGTGTGCACGAATACAAATGGAAAAATGGAAAATCTGCAGTTTATGCGTGCCACCAAATAATATAAATGTTCATCATGCTGAGTTAACGATGCTGTAATAAAATGATACGTTGTTTTTTTTTGTATCTAGCAATTAATCTCGCATTTGAAACAGAATGGTGTAATTTTTTCCCTTCAGGAGAAAGAGAGAAAGAACGAATCAAGATCATAAAGCTTATTTTAAGGCAGGATGCTGTCTTCATTAATGTTTATGGCAATAAAAAAGATGACATGTTGTTTTTCATGATCATCCATTGCGTGCTATGACCAAAAAGAACTCGCTGATCACTGTAATTAACTCTTTGAAACAGTAGCTTGCATGACGTTTGATGCACTCATAACATGCGCACTTTTTTTTTTTTTTTTTTTTTTTTTTTTTTTTTTTTGACAGGTGTGAAGAAGATCTGATGGTTCAGCTTGAGCTTGAAACATCTCCTTTATTATATTACGCAGATTTACCATGGAAGCTACTCGAATAATCAAACCAAGTAGCTAATTTTTCAAACGGCTCAACTATAATATCCCTGAAAATCCAGAGGGCTGGAAACACCAAAGATCGTTCCACCAAATTGCATAACAAATCAACGCTCTTCAAAGCCTCTTCTTGATGGATGAGAAAGCCATGTTCACAATTCCATTCGCAATGATGGATTCATTCTTTGTGGGTAGAGAAGCAAGTGGAGCATATGGGGAACAAAAAATCAACCGAGCTTTTTAAGCAAATTGCCTTTGCATTAGAAATCACTGTAGAATATTCCATTCACAGCCATCACTGTTTTGTTCTCCCTGCTTAGCAATATATCTTGATATGGAGATGAACTTGTTGATCAAATAATATAAAAAGCATAAATCTAAGAATACATGTGCTTATAAAGAATGTGCCATGACGATAATGCAGTATTACATCTTTTAAAGGAAATACAAGCATGGCATTGGAGGATCCCGATCGGTTGATGAGAATATTAATTGACCTAGCTATCGCATTTATTGCCATGACAACAAGATCATTAGAGACATGGACTACGGATGACAAATCTTGAGATGCTGCACGACCAAATGACAAAATGACCTCAATGACATTAGCTGACAAAAGGGGGGGAGTGCAACATGGCAAAGCTATGATATCATGGTTACCTTAAACAGCACCACAACACTCCCTTTTCTGAAACTTTTTCTGTGTGTGCCTCTTTTCAACGTACCCCCCGCTCAATTCCATTTAATTTAGAGTCTTTTATAAGCTTACCAACGACTGTTAATAGGAATAAAACACAGGAATATTATTTCCAACCCTTCTCTCTTTCATTCTGTTTTGCAACAGCATTCTCGCGTATACACCATTGTACATACTGATCTTCAGTCCAGCAAAGATACAGTACTTTCGGCATTTATGACAAGAGATGCCTTATTAAAAACTACTCCAATACCATCAACAATTACTACAATTAATTCCAACAGCAGCAAAATTACTCAATGTCTCGATCATATATTCTCATTTCTTGATAGCAAAAAAGATCTACAGAAAGCAGCACTCGTTTCCAAGATTTGGCATCAGAAGGCAGCCAAAAAACTATGGTCCAACTTTAAATTTGTTAGAGAAAGAGATTTTGAACGAATATTTCATATTCTTTCAAAGAGATCAACCACAATATCATATGGAAATTTAATTACATCACTAGACTTGATTCACTCGGATAGAGACTTTATTATAAACTCGAATCATATATTCCTAATCACCATGTTATGTCCGAATCTCGAATCCATTGCCATCACATTTCATCATACCCGATTAGTTGCGCCACCTGTAGCTCAACATTTACTAGGAAATAGAAACCCATCTTTGCCAGCTCAGAGGCCACCTTTACCATTACCCATGATGCTAAGACAACGACAACAACAACAACAACAGCAGCAGCAGCAGCAAGTACAGCAAGCGCAACCTCCAGCGCCAAAGCCTTTGCCACAGCCACAGCCTCAACAGCCAATCCAGACTCCAAGTTTACCTCTAGCCCATTTCGCTCACAACTGCCTTAAACTCAAATCCATCCGACTGGTATCCTACTCACCAAAGACAGATGATTCCGTGTACGAAATGGCCAAATTTTTGACATCAGGGAGCCTAGAATCCATCACATTCAGCAACTGCTCGACCATCCAAAGCTCAACGCTATGCAAGCTAGCCATCACCAATCCACAGATGAAGTGCATTGAAATCATGGGCAGCACACCTATCAGCGACTCCAGCTTGGCCACCTTGGTAGATCGATGTGGCTCAACACTTGAATACCTCAGCATAGGCAACGCTCAACAACTCACTGACAAATCAATGCGATACGTACCTCTACGGTGTAAAAAACTACGACAAATTTGTATATTTAACAATACAGAACGAGTTTCTGAAGATACCCTTACTGCCATGATCACACATTGTCCTACACTGCAGACCATTAGCCTCAGTGATTCTCGATGTCTAGGCTCAACCTTCTTCAATTCTGTTGTACAACGTGTAAATATAGAGATGGCAAATATTCTGCAACATCAAGCGCATGCAGGATTTGGATTACAGAGATTATGTCTAGGTGGAGTCCGAAGAGAGATGATTACAAGTAAATATATGCACGAACTGATAGACAAAAGTGCCAGTAAGAATGATTTGCAGACGGCCATGGATGATCAAGACGATGAAAATGACGATGTCGAAAATCAATTAACTCATATCATTGATACTACCAAGTTTATACCAAAATCAACTGTCATAAGAGGAAGCACTGTGTGGTGGCAAAGACGTCGCTTGATCACGCCTTCTACAGCTTGATTTTTTGTTTCGATTTAAACCATGATTCCCCCCTTCCCCCTCTGTAAATATCATAAATTCACTTGTACTATCACATCCACAATAAACTGTTTTATATTGCGAAAAAGTCTTGAATTGGATTCATTTCAGTTATGAACTGAGCTGATGGCATCAGACGTGTTCTTTAGAGATAGGGCTTCTTCATTGGCAAAAGTATTAGTTGTGCTTCGTTGAGTGACAAATCGTTGCACATTCATTCCACTCTCTCGTACGCGTTTCGAGTAAAATCACCGTCATTGTAAGGGACAGAATACAAGAATCACCTCATACTTGTATGCATGGTTGGCTCTTACAACCAAACTTTTCAATGAGGCGTGAAGAGATGCGGAGTGGTTACCGAACGGGTGTTGAGCAACTGAATGGAAGAAAAACGCATTAGTTTCAAAAATCAATTTAAAGTCTTCATGGACTGTTGAAAGATCCTCTATCACATCAGGTTTGATAGATGTACTTTATTTATAATGATGATAATAACGATAACAAGCCTGATTATTGAAGAGCAATGAAAGAGCAAATATACATATGTATTTGCAAAGTAGAAGGGAGACGTAGTCATTTAGAGGTTGTTGAAATTGTGCTTTCTTTTAGCATTTTTGACCCTAGGATCGTTGCTGTTGAGATCAAGCTTTGTTGCTCGAATTACCATAAGTGTGTAAGAAGACATCATTTCCATGGGAAAATCAGTGTTCTCGTCCTCATCGAGAATGGAAGGTTTGTTCAGTACTCTTGCAGCATTTTCTACCAGTGATTTCAAACGATGCATAGTACAGACTATACTTTTGATGCATCCCATATTGTACCAATCTCTTGACAGATACCACTTGCTAGCCAACATCATTCTGTACATAAAGTCGTATATGTGATCCACCACAAACACTTTACATGCATATCCTTCTAAGAGTAATCCAACAACATAATCATCCTGATAGTCAGCGAGTCCGATTTCTTTCAATGATCCTTGTTTTGCGGGACTAGTTTTAAAGAAATTGCATGAAAATGTTATGGCTCGATTATTACCAGAGGCGAAATGATGAATTGTTGGTTATAAGTAAAACGCAAGTTTTTGGGAAGAGGGAACAGAAGTGAAATGTCAGTAAAGTCTGAGCTTATATATGGACCTGATGGCACCATTGTGCTACCAGATATTGACAAAAACGCTGTGCTTCAAATCATCCTTTCAGTTCTTTAGCAATCTGAATAAAATCACCCGACATACTGGCACCAATACGCTTCGCCTCCAAAGTTAGCAGGAGATGTTCATCACGGGAAGACACAATGCTGTAATCGGCTCGTTCACCATGAGTAGCAAGCGATGGATCCATATCTCTATATCTTTTAGATGACGAGCGAATTATACAGTCAGCGCCATGGCATTTCTTGAGTGGTGTATTTCGTACATAAGCCTTGAAAAAAATGTCAAGCGTGTCACGGACCAAGGTTGCTTCATTCTTGTCGTTCATAGTGTAGTTCATTGAGTATGTGTCGCGCAATCCAGTCAACAAAGACTGAATGGTTGTCGCATTGTAATGAGGATATTTGGCTTTCCATACATCAATAGCTCTCTCATGTTGAAATCGAATGCGTCACAGATCTCATTCACCTCCATATCTGGCTCGACAATTTCGAAGCGATCAGTTGAATTGATTTCCTCCAAGATAGATTCAACAGCGTCAATTGGCATATATCTTTCAGCATATATATCGTCGTCAATGACTAAGATTCCGTCTAATGCCAATTGCTCATACGTGTCAAGTGCTTTCAAGTCCTCGGCCTTTATGATACATCTCTCTATCTGAATGCAAAGAAAGAGTCTGAGACGTCAAAGCTATCTCTGGGTATCCATCTTTCCTTGATGTCATTTATGTTCACATCATAATTTCCTTCGGTAGTGTTCAAGTAGTATAGGTGTTTTGGAAGATCCATTTTTGCGAGTCTTGTGAAGGTACATCCTGCGAGGAGGATGAGGTAGACGTGTCGTCTGAAGAAAATACAATGCTCGAGACGGTATCTTTGGTTGCTGTGTTCTGGGATGTACTTCTTGTGTTCTGGGATATCCTTGTTGTAAAAAAAAAATGTATATCGTATTGGCCTGGCCAAGAGCAGCACGAGCATTGGTAGCCCCTCGAATGCTGCGTGTTTGAGAACGTTCACGCTCAGTCCAGTAATCCAAAAATTCGTCAGACAATAGAATATCGAAATTGGTTTGTAAAAAAATGCTTTGTTAGTTTCTTGGCTTCAGACATGTCTCTACTCTTGCTTTTGCTGTTGTGATTTGTTGTTACAAATTTAATAAATTATTCTCGTGATGATTCTCTTGAATTGCATTTCTGCTTGTCCAGGAATTCCTGAATACGAAAGCTACCAATGCTACTGTTTGCGAATACACAAAAGCTGCACACATAATGAATGAATAAAAGAGATAACGAGAAGCAAAAAGCCTATTCATGAAGCAACTTGCTTTTATATTCCAGCGCGTGGGTCACACACTCATTCTCAATATCAAATGCTAAAAGTATCTCTAAAAGCACATTGAAATTTATGCTATTGCTAGCCAAATGCCATCTGATAAGGTCATGAATCCTCTAGCCCAGTAATCCAAACACTATTTCAGATAAGTAGAAAATCACTCAAGTATATGTATGAGAGGCTTTTAGCTGGCTATCACTCAAGGCACGACGCCAATGTAGCTATCAGCAGATTTAACCTTTGACGTTGTATATTATTGACTAACCAATCTATCTCGCCACGCTCGATGTCGGCGTCGCCCTGCGGGCTCTCACCGAAGACATTTTAAATTAGATACTATAACATTTTGGTAATATCTAGTAGATTTTATACAACCAATTATTAGTTAGTAAACGAAAGATTATATCAAGCGAAGCCTATTATTGAGACAATGTGAAAGAAAGTTCAAGTTTTATGCAGCGTTTGTAAACCACAATCTCCATTTTTTGACAATAGAATTGTCATATCATTCGCTGCTGCTGATGCTCTAAATAAGATGGCGACATAAAGCTGGTCATAAGTATATACAGGGCCTGTATAAGATCTACAGCGACTTTTTTGAGATATTGTCATTGCAAAAGACACTTTAATGAGGCAAAGCTCCCCAAAAAAGTATTTGCGCTAAGCAATTGTCCTTTCGATTCCATGATCCCTATTTAATCAGCATCGCAATCATCATTATCATCAACAGAAAGGCATTTAGGTCGGCCAGCAGCAAGCCGCCGCCAAAATTAATTCAAACTCAGGTTGTTTTTTCTTTTCAAGATTGGACAGATTTCGTCTTTTTTCGACTTCTTTTTATATATTTTGTGGTATTCGACTATACAAACTGTGATGATCACCCTACGCTTCCTAATACATTCTTATAGTACTTTTCAAGGCGCTTCCAATAGTACTAATTGTAATAAATACTTTGACTGAACTTATTGAGCAATTTAATAAAATTTTAAATGTTGTTTTTAAAGAAAATGTCGAAATTTTGCATATGAAAACCTCATAAAAGTAGTTTCAGAGGTTACCTTAGATCGATAGAAATATTTTGACTTAAGATATACCATAGTAAAAGCCTTCATTTTCAAGGCGAAAAAAGCGATCGTTTGATTTTCGATGAAAACCATGAGGGGTACCTCATGCTTTTTGGCCGATTTTTGACCATGATTTTTTGGTCCTTAAAAAGTTGAGCAAAGGTGTCAGAAAGTAACCGCCAGATGGGAGCAACTGTTTGGTGCCATTCTGACGATCTAAAATGGCCTTGAACGCAAGAAAATGCAGTTCAAATGCGCTCAGATTTAGCTGTATCAGGGATACTAAGGACTAAAAAGGGGGTAATACCAGTATGCCGCTTGCCGGTATATGAAGTATCTCCTTGTATAAGGATGTAGAGCATTGCATAAGAGTCAAATCCACTTCATAATATTAAAGGCTCTCATTTGAAAGTGGAGGTCTGAGATAAGATGGACAAACGCAATCAGTAGCGCGAGCTACCGCTGCGTAAGTTGATTGTCACCAAAGCGAAGCGAATGTAAAGAGCCATATGAAGCGTGGATACACTCGCTTATAGCAATCAAAGAAGTATCAAGTTTACTGTTGTTGTGATTTCGTTGCATTAAGCGTACATCGCTAATTTTATCCATTCAAATTAATAAAAAAAAAAATCCTCCAGATCAAGCTTGAAATCTCCTTTTAAAGAAATTTTTGGTACCCTGTCAAGTTTGAATGATATGAATACCATGATTAATCGACCTCGTTGATTCAATACACTCACTTCAAGGTATTCAATAATATACTGAACACCATTCCTTTGCTGACATCTTGATTTTTCTCTGTTTTTACCATGTGATCCTTATTCTTATTAGTTTTTTTTTCGAAAATTTATCAAATGCCTCTAACCATAGTCTTGGCCACAAACTCCTAAAACTCACCCAAATTGCCAAGTCCAATATATTTCGCCTCCAAGCTAGATTCATTCTTGTCATTCAGTAGTTCATGGTATAGACATCGCGCAATTTAACTGAAAGGACCGCATGAAAAACACTTAATCAGTGATTTGCTTTGTTGGAAAAGAAATGTAAAAATACTTCTTTGATGCATCAATGCATCCTTCTAAACCTCAAAGTCATGGCCACAATTCCATCTTCTGTGCTGGCGATTCGACACGACGACTAAACAGCAATGAAGGATAAATGTAATCAGCGAGTAGTTGACAGGGTCAAGTGAGCTGCACATCCAGATTTTGATTGCTGGAAAAGTGACACTCCACCTGGCTATGAATCCCACACCCTGACTCCTCTGCCTTTTCTCCTGTGCAGCCATTCTTGTGTAGTTCTTCCAATGCCATGGATGTTGATTTGGCGACTGCAGTATTATCGAAATTGCGCCAGTTTTGCTTTCTAATACCACTGTAATCGAGAGCACCAGATGTTATTGATTTCCTCAAAATCCTTTCATGATATCTGCTCAAAAGTTAAGTACTCAAACTATCCAATTTTTCGTTGCAAGAAGACGCCTTTGAATTGCTACATCAAAATTAATTAACCATAATAGAATCGAAGAATCCAATGTCTTGTTTATTATATATTTTTTTTGTATAGAAAAGCAAATCAATTCAAAATTGCATTTAGACTTCAAAGTTGGAGGGGTTGCGGCCTTCTTCTCTTTGAGCATCCCACTTTTCAATCTATTCAGATATACAGAAATTAATCCTTTGTCCATGTATCCCATTTCTCTTCGTAATCAACATACCCATTCGTTAGGGCACAAAGAATGATAAGCTCTATAAAATTGCTTGCAGGGAGCAAAGTCTTCACCACGAGCGTTGATACACTTGAAGTAATCAACATAGTTTTGCCAGCAGCTATTCAATGATAAATGTAAAGCGTGAATATAAATCTCCTGGTCATGATGGAATCGATCAATACGTACTGCTTGGTTTGGTTGGTGTTGGGGAAACTGTGTGTTGAATTAGAAGGTTAGTTTAAACATGTCATATTTTCTGATTATTTTCCATCATCATCAAATAACACGTTACCGAGCATCGAAACCAGCTATAAAGTGACATTGATGAGACACGCATTTAAGAATTTTGTCATGACATATTACTTACCGGTGGTCAACTTTTGTGTATCAGCAGCGTCAGACATTATAAATTCAAATAAATATAAGAGAGAAGGGAGTTGAAGAAGAAGAAAAACAGCAAAAAAAAGGTGTGGAGGCCTATCGTGGATTAAAGTGTGGGGAGGAGGAGGCTCATTTTACCACCAGGGTAATGGGATTAGAAGAGAGAATTGATGACGTTTATACCTTATTCGTTGGAAGAGGTTTGCTTGAATAATTAACAGCTGATAAAACCTTTCATTCTCGATCTCTGAAAGATTCAATGGGAGCAGGGTTTGACAATGAAGAGACTTGTTTGATAAGTCGAGGCATTGGCAAGCTACATCTCGAAAACATAGCATCGTTTCAACATTTGCTTGTATATAGTTTCTTAGTGTGTGAGAAATTACCAATGTTGTGCCTTAATTTTCAAATATCAGATCAACTCATCTATGAGATTAATAGATGCGCTGTTCAGCCATCTCTTTGTTTTCAAGCTTTGTACATCTGATATCGCTTATTACCTTGACAAGAAGTCAAGGGGTTGATACTATACAACAGCACATAAAACCCTTTTTCACACATTTCAACACATGAATCAGAAAGTGCTATTCTTTTGACATGTCAAACCCCTCATTGTTATAAAGCATGTTTGTGAAATCTACCCATACCTGCGCGATAGTAGTTGTGAAGCAATATTTGAAAATGGTTGATTACAAGAACTTAATTGGACTCCCTTCATAGAAATGCTCTCCCTTCAGGCAATATACACTCATATTCCAGAGCTGTACTTTGCATCAGAGCTTGACGGTTTGATTGATATTATAAGCGACAGGACCTCTCAATAGTAGCTCATCTCTTCCAATGAATGCTTGTAGTTTCTCATTACTTGATGTCATGAATCTCGCAATCCAAGTTACGAATCACGTACTTTTACTAGCAAAATCATCTCAAATAGCCTGCATCTGGCTCGCTTCAGGTTTTTAACGATTTGTCTCGACTAATGAGCGTCTTCGTATTGAATTGTTTACATGAATATTTGAGCTCAATATGTAACCTAAATACGATGAAGATCACAGGCTATTACACACTTCAAAATGCCATCTAAGGAAACGGTCGCGGGTTAATGTGATAATTCACGTAGAAATAGGTGTATATCAGATAAAATTTATTTTGTGTCTACCAACGAGGATGCTCATATTCGGCTGAACCCTCAAATGAGATTGGAGCTAATTGTTGGTGAGGATGGGCGTAGTCAGAATCTGCCAACTGTCAACGAAATTGCACCCATCATTTCCAAAGAATATTCTGGCACAAATTTTAAAAATATCCTCATCACATACCAAATAGCTTTTTCACCTGTGGCAGTAGTCTCTATTAATCGATTCAATGAAACGAATGCTGGTTACATGCTGCAATCATGCTTAGGAAGCTGCAATTACACATATCTTGTAGGTGGACCAGGCTGACTGGCGTTGCCAGGTATAGAAATGTCCAACAAAAGCAAAAGAACGTATTCATGCTAAGCGATAGTCCTTTCAAATTTATGATCCCCATTTCATCAGCATCGCAATCATCATTGCCATTATCATTGTCATCATCAAAAAAAGGATTTGGGTTAGCCAGCAGCAGCGCCAAAATTGATTCAAACGCAGATTAATTTTTCTGCTCAAGATTGGATAAATTCTGCTTATTCTCGACTTGATTGAGATATATTGCAAGATTCGACTATATAAATTGTGATAATCATCCCATGCCTCCTAATACATTGTTGGAGTACTTTTCAAGGCGCTTCTAATGGTGTTAATTCTAGTAGATGTTTTGAATGAAAATATTGAGCAATTTGGTAAAATAAGAAATGAGGTTTTTGGCCAAAATGTCGAGATTTTATATGTAACGGCCACAAAAGCAAAGTTTCAGGAATTGCCTTGGATCTAGAGAAACATTTTGATTCAAGATATACCATAGTAAAAGTCTTCATTTTCACGGTGAAAAAAGCGATCGTTTGATTTTTGATGAAAACCATGAGGGGTACCTCATGCTTTTTGGTCGATTTTTCACGTTGTTTTTTTGGTCCTCAAAAAGTTGATGTTGAGTCTGTAGCGGTTGCGGACATTCAGTAACTCAGCAAGAGTCGGATCATGATTTACATTGTTTCTCACTGTCTACATTAGGACATTAGGTTCGACACAGAAGTGAATCATATAATCGATTATGATGGTCTCTGATAGTGAAGGATAATGATGGCTACAGATTGTATCATCATGGCTGATCGAACGAATCGGATCCTTCAATTGAATGATATTAGATAAACATGATACGATGTATTGACTCAGTTGAAACAACAAGATAGATTGATGATTCATCAGTAATGATCTCTTATAAATAGGATGTGTTTGAATCAGTTAATAAATCTAGAAGTTTTCGTATCTGGTTACTTTTTATAGCCTTCCTTTTTTGAAATCTATCTTAATTTGTTAATACTGTATCTTTGAATACAACAGTTGAGCAAAGATGTCAGAAAGTTACTTCTACTCGAGTACAATTGTTTGGCGTCATTCAGATGGCTCAGAAAGGTCTACATGTCAAGGCATTAAAGCTTGAAAGCCGTCAAATTGGGTTGTGTTTTTATACATTCACCTGTCAATAGTCGCGTTTTTGTTATAATACAAAGGCGTAAAGACATTGCATGTATCAGTTTACATTCAGAGCACGCTGTTACATCCAAATTTTTAGTTGGAAATATCAGGTTGAGCGGCACTGTTATATCGTTATATCATTGTGCAATGATACAGCTTATTAGTGAAGCGATGGCGTTTATAAGACACGCTGGACATCTTAAATGCAATATATAGTCTGCATCTAGTAAATTGTATCTACTATGATTCTCTGATCTGGATAAGATGCACAGATCATTACTAACCCCAGTTTACAGTAGGTCAAAACTCAGTATCCGGAATTCATGCCGAGCGGACTGATTGGTTTTTTCGCGAATATCAACAAGCTGCCCTGAAGAGTTAAATTTTAACACTCTTTCTTCCTCTAAATCACCGTAACCACGCAACGACACCCCAGCTGGCAAGACAAACGAGCATCTTTGGACCTCCCAACAAACAAAAATAAGGAAGGAAATGACAGATCAAGACAATATAGTACGTTCTAGGTAGTATCTTTATTTACCGATATAAAATGTTAAAATCATTTTTTGCGTATTGATATAGGAACTGCACTCGCAAGTCCAGGATTTACAAGAAGACATTAATAGGATCCAGCAATCCAACAGATTGCTTTTTCGAGCAACGGCTAATGAAATGGATATACTGCGAAAAGAAAACGACAAACTAAACAGTATAGTACTGGCACTAAAGGCAAATTTCGACTCAATAGTGTCTACTTTTCTCGAGCAGAGGGATCAAATTCGAGAATTAGAGACATGGAGGATGAATATGGAGAATAGCCAACTATCAATTCTTCAAAGAAATGTACAAGACGACGAAGAAGATATCAATTATAACAAATTTCCTGAAGATCAAAACGAGAACGACCAAAATCAAAACGTACATACTGCCGAGCGAGAAACCAATGAACAGAAGCAAACCAATTCAGATAAAGAGGGTGACAGTTACGTGGCAACCACACCCAAATCAATCACCAATAAAATTAATGAGCTTACTGAGCATGTGGGTATTTCAGCCGAAATCAAATCAGTGAAATGCCCGATAATCAACGACACAACTGTGGATGACATCGTAAAAGAAGGAGAAAAAGCTGATCAAGGAAAAGAAGACTCAATGGAAGTTGACCTAGCCAAGAGAGATCTTACTGTGCAAGGTTTAGCAGTGGAAATAAACTCAACAGAGAAAGAATCTGTAGATGAAGAATGCAGAGAGATGGAATTGACTGAAAATGGTTCAAACAAGGAGGATGCAAGCAAAAGCGCCGCGACAAAGAAAGAGCTCGCAGTAGAAGGCTTAGTGGATGAGAGTGGATCAGCAAAGAGACAAGTTGTAGATGAAGAGTTAACAAACATCGAGTCACCAAAAAGCGACTCGGCTGAAATTGATGTAAAAAAGGAAAATGCAATGGAGATTGTCCTGTCGCAGCAAGATCTTGCAGTAGAAAGCTCATCAGAAGAGGTAGAAGTAGCAAACAACGAATCAACAAAAGTCAGTTCAACAGAGGATGATTCGAAGAAGGATTACTCAATGGAGATGGACTTGGTTCTAAACGACAACATAGTGAGCAAGCCTTTAGAAGAGGAAGAATCAATAGGCAAGCAATCATCACACGTTTTTTTTATGAAGACTGATACAAACAAGGAATCTACAGAAATAGAAAAAACAAAAGGAGAGAAAAAATTAGAGAGCAAAGAAACAGCAGACAATGAGTCGACAAATGATGGGTCAACAGATCTTGAATCAAACATGGAAGACTTAATTAAACGTGATTCAGCGAAGAAAGAATCAATTGATCCCGATTTGGCACAGAAAGATTTCAAGCAAGAAGGATCAACATCAAAACGTTCAGAGATGAATGAGTCTACAGGAGTCTCAACACAGAAAGATTCACAAGACGCTACTGTAGTGAAAGATACAAAAGTGGCGGACTTAAACGAGAAGGATGCAACAGAGCAAGAGCCAACAGAGAATATGAATCAAATCGCTAGTTCTTCTCAAACATTAGTACCAGACAAAGTGATCAATGCTACATCTACTTCAAAGCCCAAACGAAGATACAAAAACCCCATTGTTTTAATCAAGATTAAGAAACAAAGGTTAAGCTCAAAGTCATTATAGTGGCGAATGCATACCAAGCTACACACATATATAAAGAAAAAAAAATAGTAGTTAGTCCAATTCACTCAAAATTTACGAATAAATGGCCATCATGACTTACTTTAGTACTAAATTCAAGCTTTGATCTCTTTTGAAATCGTGTAAATTCCTTGTTGTCATGCATTTTGACCAGTTCTTGCACAGGCATCAATACAATTGGCCAGGCAAAGCCCAAGAAATAAACAAACCACGGGATCTTGGATAGTTCAAAGGGGCCATGCGCGAGTGAGACGGCACAGAAACAGAATTGCAAAATGATGCTACATAATACAAACGGGTCAACGTGTATCCCTTTGGTAAGGCAGAGCTTTGTTTTACCTCAAAAAGAAGGCACCGATCCAAATTCTGTTCCGGAATGGTATGAATTCAATCAGAGAGGATGTTCTATGTAAAAATGAAGGTGAAATGCAAGCTAATTTGGAAATGCATTAGTAGCCATGGAGACGCTCATTAAGGATTAAGCTCTTACCTAGATACCAAACAAATGATAAAAGCATAAAGTTTTGAGCGTAGGTCACTGCCCATTGCTCCTCTGTCGTCCAATGATACCAGCCATTTGTGCCAAATTTACCAAATGCATCTGTGATGTTGATACCCAAAGAGTAAATCAATGTCCTATCAAGCTATCAGTGTGAGCGCTTTGTCATTAGTAATGACTCGTCACCAACTTACATGGCATAAATGGCAACACACATGGTAATGACTAGAATAAATCGTAGCACGAAATAGCACATGAATCTCCAGAAATCAGTCAAATGCTCGATATTTTTGCCTAGGCAAGAGAGAATAAGTTTCTGATAGCGGCAATGAGGCTTGATTTTCAAATAACTTACCGGGCATCAGCAACATAATGCCATCTTCGTGAGGTGTAAAGAGCATAGACATGGATAGAATGGGCAAAATAATCCATAAGACCCATAAAATCTGATATCCTGCAAAGATGGGTGGCAACAATAGACAAAAACTCAAGAGCAACATCAGTGACATGGTCATGCAGCCAGCGACATAGAAAGCAAATCCCATTCTAACGCAAGTCAACAGTCTTCTGGCATCACGTATCAGCTGCGTTACGGCATATAAACTTGTCTCGTATTGCATGAATAATCCGCATGGCAGACTGCACAAGGAGGCTCCAACAGCCAAGGGTGGTTGCCGATCATTGGTTGAGAGGCGACCTTTGCTTTGAGCTCGTGTATGCATAGGTTCCATGGCGATACTGACATCAGCCTATGTTATATTCTGGTTAGTATACATCTTGTGTGCCTTTAACCTTGCAACTACATACCAAAGCAAAAGATTCGGTATTCTTGGTGTTGAGGGCATTTCCAATACAGCAAACGACCTCCCCATTCTCTTGAAATATACGAACCATCTCTCTCATTGCTCTTGGCGTACATTCTGCAAATAAAGAGACGTGCAATGGTATATCATCCACATCTTCTAAGTGAGGGCGTATCTCATCAATGCCACGAGGTAGTTGAGCTTTGATATCGTGCGTCTGAAGGTATCCGTTCCCACAATTCTCGTCGTCAGGGTTTGATAGCAAGATACAACTATTCCAATCCGTCTCAAGACCAAGTCTTTCGGCAAAAGCTATAGATTAGCAGATATTAGTACTACACATCTAATTGTGGATATGCTAGTGTACCTTTCGACTCTCTTTCTGCAGTAGTTGAGAAATAAACAAAGCGTATACCAGCAAGCCCCAAATCCTCAATGAAATCAACCACATTCTACCGATCGAAAATACATTGGTATATACACATTCAAAAGAAGTCTCTCATGCTTACCTGCTTTGGCTGATGACACATGGCTGTCATGCCCAAAAAGATCTGACCTTTAACTACCTCTTTGTAGAAAGTGGCTTCCTCTTGCTCATCCACAGGTTCATCTTCTTCAAAAGAGTAATCACTAGACCCTGTCTCTGATGACTCGCTGCTGCTGGAACTCGTCGTTTTGGAAGTTCTGCGGCTTTTGGGTGCATTTTCAATAATGGCCACACTGCTTGCAGGCTGCTTGCCATTGCTTCCCTGAACGTGATGAGAAGACGACGAGGATGACGAGGAAGGCGAGGACGATTCAGATGAAGATTCACTGCTGCTGGAATCAGAGCTATCTGAACTGGGTGGTTTGTAAGGCAACACGACAAATGCACAGCCAGGGTCTTCGTCTTCGTCGTCGGATGGATTCAAGAAGGGAATACGGCCATCGTTGACTGTGTTGATGGGACGATAAGCATAGGCAATGCATTGCATGTCATGAACAAGGGCGTTTTGGAAGAAATCGTTGATCTTCTTTTCCATCTGTCCTCATTGTAGGAGTTTTAGCTCTATGGTTCAACATTTGGTTTGAGGGGGGTTGCTTACCGTTTCACTCATGGTTTGAAGCGAGTTTCCGTCCCAATAATCAGAGCACTTGTCCATGACCAAAGAGGGGTGTCCATCCGTGAGCAATTGATAGCTTCCTACAGCGATGGTGAGCATGAAGCCCTCGACATGGATTGATACTGCCATTTCTTTACCTGATGTGCGTTCTTCAAATACCGTGGAAAGGGCATTGGGCACTTCAAATTGATAGTATTTGCTGTACTTGTATCTTGGTGTGTTCAATATCTCGTGGTATGGCGCAAATGTGTAGATCTCTGCTCTCAAAGCAAACGACTGTAGTGCTTCTTCTCTGAAACCAATGCATTTACCAAGGCGACATAAACAAGCTATTCCAAACAAGTGTCAGATCCAGACATGTCAACCTTATAAAATCCACCTTACATTGTCTCGCGGGAGCTGTTTTGCCATACACATGCAACTTGGAACGTCTACGGTGATATTCGGACCTCTTACGGCTTTGAATGACGCCGCAGTTGGTGTTGAGCATAAAATTCAAGCCTAATGGTTTCAAGCATCTGTTGTCCACATACTTCAGTTAACAGGCCTATTTTCGGAATACTGGTGATATAAACTCACGGTAAATACTGCTCCCAGTCTTGATCCTCAAATTTCAAGCCAGTCTCCTCATCTGAGTCTTCTTCCACATCCAGGTAGGTGATGTCCTCTTCATTATTGGGAAACATGAGCTGCTCTACAGTAGGAAACGGCTAAAACAAAGAACTAAGTATGGCAATCAGTGATAGCTAGACAACATACATTGGCAATGGTTCCCTCTCTATCCAAACAGCAGATCACAGTGGTGCTTCCCAGTGACTCCAGCAGGTTGGTGGATCTAGTCAGGGAGAGTCGATCCCATTTGGTCAGTAGCGACAAAAACCTGTCCCACACAGCATCTATAGCCAAACAGGGTTAGTCATCTATAGTCAAGATGGATAGGCTTAACTCTACTTGGACTCAATTCCAAATCCTTTGTAGGAGGAGGTGCTTCCGCATCAAATTCATCCACTTCGTCATCGTCTTCATATTCCGTCTTTGAGATTTGCAGTGCCTCAAACAGAATCAGCAACTGAGCATTACCAAAACTGCGGGCAATGATCCACATGCTTGGGATACACAAGGGCAGCAATGGAATGATGGCGTAAATGGACATGGTAAAGACCTCTTCAATGAGCTGATCAGCAGGAAAGTGGTTGATCCATGTGCTTCGTATACCGTAGCGCAAAAAGTTGACTAACAGAGCAATGCCCAAGACAATCCAGATAATGTACTTGTAAAATACGCGGATAATGACATGGCTTTCATTGTGCATTACTGTGTTGGGTCGTTTCTGGCTCAAAGCTCTTCGCATGTTTTTTTCCAGGGGTGATTCCAACAAGATAAACTGGTGACGACCTCTGGATCGCATGTACTCCTCCATCAAGCCGAAAGGTGGTGGGATGCCAAAGAAGGAAGGCTTGAAGGACTGGTCCTTGGCAATGTAGTATTCTTTCGTGTTGAGTGGCGGTTCCATAGCACTCTCACTGCTACTACTGTGTGTGCTGCGTCTCTTTTTCTGCTTGACATCTGCCGCCTCGTGGCTAACATCGTCCATCCCGTTGTACTCGTTCAAACTCGAGACTGGCATGGTTTTGTGCATGTACTTCATTCTTCCAGGCGCAATGTCTCCATACAACATCTCCACAATATCACCTTCCACCAATAAATTGACAGGGAAAATACGAACCACACCATCTCGCACGACTTTGGCAACAGACATGGAGGGTATAAAAGGAATTTTGGTATCTTGCACCATGTTCATACCACTTCTCTCCAGGGCACCGATAATGGTGGATGCGCGATCTGTCATTTCTCGGTACGCCAACACCTGTTCTCTATAAAATATGTATCCATTCCACGCTGTCATTGAAAGCAATAACAAGGCCTCCACCAGCAATCCAGTAACTCGGAACTGATAAGGCTCGCTTTTGAAATAGCCTGCTATGTAGAATGCCAGTAATCCTAGGCCACTGATGCCACTCAGGAGCATGGCAGGGTTGAACAGTACAATGCCAACATCTTCTTTAAGCATGAGCCACCCATTCAACTACAGTTTGCAAAGCAGAACTTACCAATCGTCTTGTCTATGCGAGCTCGTTCCTCTGCAATGATGCTGTTTGCTAAATACAATAATTTACTGCCCATTAAATCAGCTTGATTGCCTTTTATTCCAGTTTGTCATTGCAGCCTACCTCAATGCTTCCTCGCTGGATAACCCAGGATGTCTATTGGATTGTAGGCTCTCTCGTCGACTCCACGATTGTGATTGCAGGTTGGTTTGTAGTACTCGCTGTGTTCGCTTGTGCAATCGACGAGGAATGGATCTTCTCCGGAATCCACTGGCGTCATGATGGTGTCTGCGGTAGTTTCGCTCATTGTGCCTCATCATTCTCTCGCGATCTCCTCGAGGCATTTCATCCACCAGATCATCGTCTTCCTCCGTGTATACAGTCACCATGGCTTTGCTATTTGCCAGCTGGTCTTTTCTATTGCCAGAAGAGGCTTTCCCATTGCGTGAATGATGATGCTTGTGATGGCGGCGTCGAGGCGTACGATTGGCATGATTGGTATGGTCATCATAGTCTGGGTTCAAGTGGGGATCTGCCTTCACAGAGTTGTTTGTGTTGTGTCTCGAGAGCACATCTCTGTGCGTCATGCCATCCTCCTCATCGTCATCTAAATCGTCGTCTCCGTCATTCTCTGCAGCTGATAAATCTGTGTCCTGTTGACAACTGTGCAAAGAAGAGGCTTCCATCATGTTCAGATGAGAGGATCCACGGTCTACATGCAGCGAGTTGAGTAATCGACGTTGGTGGTTACTGACTGAATCGGCATCTGATTCTCTTCGAATGGGTGTATAGCAAAATGCATAATCGCTTTCTGACTCATCATCGCCAGATCGTAAAAGGTGAGCAGCGCCATTCTTCTCCAGACGACGAGGAATAGAGCTGCCATGGTCGATCACTACTTGTGCTGAAACGCTGGAACTAGAGGAATCTGTGCTGCTCTTGGATGAACGACTGGAATCGCTGTGATGGCCGTCATCGCCATGCTCTCCTTCCTCGTTGTCTGATCCCTTTTTTCGTCTGCTCTTTTTGGATTTGGATTTGGCTGGTGCTTCTGACTCCTTCACATTGATGGGTTCTGCTTCGTTGGCCACGTCTAGTAGGAAAAATGTAGTGCCTTCTTCGTCTCGCACTGGCTCAGGGATAACGTTCAAGGGTGATTCTGAGTTGTAGGAGACGGCAGAGTTGTGAGATGTCTCTGATGTGGTACGTTGCATCTCATTGCTATCCTTGTTTTCAGACATAAGCGCTGATACTCACGGGGATTTACTATTGTGCTGATATAAGGTAGTAAAAGTAGAAGAAACAAGGTGAAAGAGTATGAAGAAAGAAGTACTAAAGATGAAGCACTTTTTAACCTAGTCACAAGATTGGTCGTTCTGCATATGTCAAATGCCTACGTTTAAAGGGTATTTTGAAATACATCATTGGTATGAGCAGGCCTCTAGAACGTATCTTCATGGTATCCAGCATGCCAAAACGAGTTTTGTCTTTTTATACATATACTTTCCAAGGAGCAGTGATAGCTTGATCTTGAGCAATGTTGGCAAGGTAGGATTGCCTGGTTTGAACAGCCGCATGTAAATGCTGCAATAATGGATGCCTATGACCAGACGGTACGTCCAAACATGTCATTATAAGGTACAGCAATGATCAAAGTAAATGCGTCGGCTGACATGGCAGTGATCTCTAGCATTGTCCAGCATTTGCAGAGATGATGAATACGATCAAATGTCACATATCTACTATGCATCCATCTAACTCAAGGCCTATCCAATGGGTCATTAAATCCTACATCAATAGCAACATTTTCCATGAGCACCTCATCATCTAGTACTATGCAAAAGGTGTTCGTGACGAGTGCCCTAGTCTCTACCACTGTATGCATAACACATGCCTCTCCTAAATTTGCAATGTCTATTTGAAAAAGTGTCACACTCTCTTCAAACGATGCGCAGGCTATTTAAAGGGAAAAAATTGTTTCCCCGGCAATCAGGAAAGGCTTTTTCTGCAATCGACACAATAAATGAATGGGGATATTTCAGAAGAAGCATCAGGATATGATTTGTATGCAGCATTAGTCCTGTCCAACATGTTGGATACTGAACAAGACCTCATTGAAAAGAAGGAAAAGGAGCTGGAGCTGGAGCAGCAGCAGCAGCAGCAAGACCAAGAGGACTCTCCTACATCCTCGCTGGAAGAGACGAATCATGATGTTATATGGTAGATATCACAGAGCCCATCTTACAAACAAACTGTACTAACTACTATTAAATGGAAGGGTGCCCGCTGATAAACACCCAGAGATTGCTCCCAATGAATTTGCCAACTTTATCAAAACGCATGGCGCAAACACACCCACCCGAAGAGCCTCCAGCTTACATCGACGAAAATCCATCTTATCCCAGTCGCTCACCTCCAGCAGTAGTGCTAGATACAGCCATGATGAGGATGAGGATGAAGAGGCTGAACTCAACCGTACGCTGTCCGAGAAGAAGCGCATATTCTTGCAAAAAGTCATGACCGAAAATAAGCAATTAAAAGGTATCTTGTACACCTACACTAAAATGAAAATTGTGTACACCATATTAACACAAGTTGATAACCCATTTTTAGACACAAATTTTAATACGCAAGTATTTGACCGCAATTCGACTTCAAATGATGACTCTCGTATTATCGCTCCCAGATCAGATAGATCGCTGCTTCGTCGATCCGCCTTCTCTGCTCGTGGTAGAAACAGAAAAACACATGGCTCATTGGACAATAGAGAGCAGGCAATGAAAAGACGCTCTGTCTCTCAACGAAAACCCTCGTCGGCTACTGTATCCACCTTGAATGATGAAGTGGCATCATTGACATCACAGAGCACAGCCCGTTCCTGGGACAAATCTGAGGGTATCAGCTTGTTTGATCAACCGGTGAATATGAGTGAATGGATCGATTTGGGCAGTGCAAGTCTTGAGTCAGACGATTCTCAGAGGGGCATACTGACTCGTGTGCATGATGCGGAGTCGCAACTTCGGTCTCAATTGGATGTTGCTAGTAACGACAAGATGGATGAAAACGAACATTTGCAACACCAACAACAGTTCGAGGAGACCAAAGAGGAAAATGTTGCCAAAGATACTGAATCGCCGCCAATGGCCCAGTTATTACCAGCAAAAGAGATAGATCACAGTGCAGTGGAAACACAGACTACTGATGCCAACGTTGATTTGGAAGACACACAGTCGAGTAATGCAAAATCATCATTAACACCCCCAGCGACTAGTACTGCACCAAAGCATAGGCTAGAAACTCCAAAGCGACCAGGCATCATTCGATCAGAGACAGAAACAAACAGAATCCCAATGACAGTGGCAGCGACAAAACCCGAGAAACGCTCATCGTGGCTAGGTGGATTATTCAACGATAAAAAGAACAGCAAAAGCAATGGTAAAAAAGAGCCTATATCTACTACAGTGATCAACAACAATACTTCATCACCACTTTCAGGACTAGCCTCTCTATTCAGTCGATCGCTATCCATGAAGTCAAACTTGCAATCCAATACCAATTCTTCGCAATCGCACGCTGGAAAACTCAAATCGAAAAACAAGATCAACAATACCACTAATCCAACTCTACCTTATAATACTATTAATGCAAAACACCCTAATCTTAATAATAACGTCACTACTACTATTAACGATACGACTAAACCCTCTATTACTACTAATATTACTACAACACCTACCATCATTACAAACAACAACAGCAACAAAAAGAAACGATCCAGCAGGCTGGAAATTCCACCCCCTTCCGAACGTACCTTTTTCAATTCAAATCGACTACCCTTACACGTTGAAAGAGCTATCTATCGTCTATCGCACATGAAGCTCGCTGACCCTCGCCGACCCCTACAGCAACAAGTGTTGATTTCTAATCTAATGTTTTGGTACCTCTCTATTCAACAGAATGATTTTCAACGTGCTGCTGAACAACGCATCGAAACCGAATCTCCTCCAGTGCCTGACACACAACAGAAGAAGGGAGGTAAAATGAGTCGATTGATTCATTCTGCCAAAAAACGACGAAATGAAGTAGCTCAATTTGTTCAGGCCTATCCACTGTCGGGAACACACCATGATATCTCCAATTCGTCATCATCAGCATCTTCCATTTCGAGCACAACGTCAAATAATAGCACAAGACCCTCCTTGAAGCACAGCAATGTGCAGTTCAGTTTACCGCCAATACCAAGTCATCATCATACAATCAATGTACATGGTGATGATAGCGATGATGAAGACGATACGGAAGAAGAAGACGATTTACCCCTTAGCCATTACAAGAGCTGAATAAATTGATTCTCTGATGTTTTGATGTAGAACTTTGCTCTGGTTTTACAGTACCGGGATTCATTAGTCCATGTACAACATAATCTGTGTGCATATTTTAGTCGTATTTTCCTATTTGCGGAGAAGTAGCATGAGTAAAGTGAATAGCACCTCTCAGTGTTAATGTCTTTTGATGTCAACATACTAAACATTCGATAATGATGTAAGTTAGTGTTAATCTTCGTCAATCAGCAACAGTTTGTCTAATATAAATGCTGCTTTAAAACCACTACTTCAGTATATAACTGTGAGTATTGAGAAGACCATGTCAAATGATACACAAAGATCTTCAAAAATCGAGAAGAGAGACATGTGAGTATTACGCATTTGTACATAAATCTTGATTGTGGAATAGTATCGGTATTTGAACCACTTTTCGATGCTTTTGACTATGCGCTACCGTATAATACATATAATATAACATAAGCGTTTGTTGGAACGTGCTCTGCAATAGTGTCGAATGTCTCTTAAGCTCTGTTGCTGTTAGCTTTAATACTCAACGAAGGCCCCCTTTTTTTGGTTGGTTCAACAAAAAGCTCTTATACACACATATAGTGGGCCGTCTCTTGTTAAACGTTCAGTTTGAAGATATACCAGGAAAAGAATACAGTGAGCACTTTGTTTGAATTTAACCAATTACGAGTATACGTGCATGACTCGAACAACTGATATTAATTGAAGGTCCATTAATAGATTCTACTATTCATTGCTTTTAACTGGATTTTAGAATGAAAGAGTTGCTGTTGAGGAGTGGATGACTTTGGAAATTAGCCAATATTGAACCATGACCTTCGTACAAAACCCGCTAATTACAGATAAGTATGAGTGATATATCAATAGATGAAGTATTGCAAAACGTTGTTTTCAAACCGCTTGTTGGTGATAACTTACTTTGTTGTGGGGTCGCAAAGGTTTGAAGATGTGCTGCTCATTTTACGAAAAAGGAGGAGCAGCTATTCTAAGCTCTATGTTGATGTTAGAGCCTTCATATCAGGACCCATTCTGATGGGTTGCTAAACATAAGAACGGATTTTCGATTGACAAGAAGTAATTAAGCGAGCAAAGTGAAAGAGACTCAGCCAATAGAGATTATCGTTTGAACGCTATTATCTCTACAACGGTTGTTAACTCAACCAAGCCTATTAACTATAAATTTGATTTTGCTTTCCTGTGTTTGCTTTACAAAATAAGTTATAGTTTGAGTATCTGCAATGCTTCCTTGCAAAAATCGGGTTTTAAACCCCAAAACTATAGTTTACAGTGGCAAAATCACATTTCCGTTAATTACAGCACAGAAGCGTCCATGTGGTGCTCAAGTCTAGTTAACAAACTCACGGCGTGAAATGGCTGATAGTATCACACTACAAGAGCTTTACATACTTCACTGTAGCAAATAGTAGCCTTGCTCGATTGATTTTGTTGTGCCGGAAGGGCTATAACTGTTTATAAAGATTAAGGTATTCTTGATGGGTAGATATGTCTGTGTTGTGCAACAACATGGACAAGCTATGATAATTGAAGTGCATCTCAGCTATCTAAATACTGAGGTTCATCAGATGTGATAAGCGTTGTACAAGATAAATTGCTATTTTGGCATTCAGAACTTAGTATAAATAGAATAACTCTTGTCTTCATCAATAAATCTTTAGTTTTTGTGTCTGATCTAATTCAAATAAGTCTTTTCTTGTTTTTATAATATCGAACATTTTTTATAGCTACAAATAATAATCCTTTTATTCTTTGTGCTTAACAGACTTTAGACAATTTCTTCTGGGGCCGACCTATTGGGCAGTGTAAATTCATATAAGCTAATAATGCTACTACAGCTTTAAGGGAAGTTTTAAATGATAAGTGTTTTTTGGTTTTACACAATAAATAATGCTATAAATGAAGTGGTGCAGATTCAGTAATCACTTCCCTCAGAAAAATTTTAAAATAAATGAAAAATTGAGCCTATTATTTCGATACAAATTGAAATATAGTATTTCGAATTCAAAAAATTCGACCATCCAACAAAATAATAACTTTTCACAAATAATATCAAAATTAGAAGATTTCCTGCCGATGAAACTGCTTAAGGAAATGTTAGATAAAATGATTGCACCTTATATTATATGTTTGAATAAAGAATTCAAGTTGTATTTACTAGGATACTGTTTTATTACAAGAACTAAATCATATTTATTGACAGATCAATAGGAAATTAACTAGTTGTAGACCTTCGCTGACTCAATCTCTTAGCCAATCAGATTGCTTGAAAACTCCGCTGACCTAAAAAAAATTTGCGAGGGTTTCCCCCTGTTTTGATGTGAGGCAAAATTTTAAGCTCCGATATATATAGCAATATAGCCGTTACTATCATCAAATTTCCCTCAGGTGCTAGAGCATGCCTTACTTACACCACCTAGCTTTAGATTCTGGCATTGAGACTCTCAATCATCACTAAAGTAAGTAGTGATAACCAAGTGGAGGCGGCCTATCTACCTCCTAGCCTCGGATAATGTCTTGTTGAGCTTCAGGGATAGGCACATCCACACAACGTAAAAAAAGGTATGCTTCAAAGAAACATAATAATAATAACAGAAAGAAGAAAAGAACATACTTCTATAGGGATATAGTAGTATGTAGACAAAAAAGAGACACTCACACGCAATGAGTCAAAGAAAAGCATAACAAACACAACATCAAAGATGTTCAAAACAGCTCGTTGTTGTTGTTGCAATAAAATTGCATACATGGGCAACGTGCATGGTAGTAATAGTCGGATAGATGTAAAGCAACATGACACAAACACGCACAACTGCGAAAGCAACAGTGGCATTATAAGTTTGCAATACAACATAATGACGAATGTTGTTTCATGTAAAGCTACAGAGGAAACACTACCAACAAAAGAAAAAGAAGAAGAAAGCGCAACAAGGCAAACATCATGAATGCATTATCACGAGAAAGGAAGTAATAATATAAACATTCAAAGAAGTTTTATATCATTGCGACCAGAAGAAAGAAGATACTTACCACTTACCACAGCCACAGATACATCAGAAGAATATAGGCAATCACCAGATATGAACCAGAGAACGAGCATGCACCAAATACAGTAGACCAGGAAAGGCCGGAGTAGCAGCAGCAGCAATACCAGTACCATAGAAAAACTAAAGAACGAATGCCATTAGCAGAGAGCAGACAAAGACCAAAGAAGTTATTTACCGCTTATCAATACCACAGATAGATCAGATATTACGAAATCAACAGATATGAACCAGAGAACGAGCATGCACCAAATACAGTAGACCAGGAAAGGCCGGATTAGCAGCAGCAGCAATACCAGTACCATAGAAAAACTGAAGAATAAACGACACCACAGAGACTGGACAAAGGCTAAAGAAGTAACCATCAGACATGATACACCAAAGAAGCAGACAGTAAGGATAGCAGAGAAGTAATGACAGTAACACCCACGTCAAACAGACAAAAAGAATTATCAAAACCTAATAAACAAATTCAATTAGTGTTAATTCTATGCCTTCCAGTACTCGTTATTGCATGGTACCTACTATATTCCACTTTAATAAAGCAGTATAAAGTACTGTTAACAGTGCACGGCAGTGTTATCAGAAGATAGAGTGTTATTATCAATCAAACAGTTCCCAAGACCACTATGGTTTGATACTAAACGCGCTTTGCAAAAAAGGGAAAAAAAACGGGGGTATGGAAAAATGAGAGGACGCCCTATCGGACGTCACGTTCAGTAGATTTAGTCTCAGTTTTTTGCCGCGGCAACCTTAACTGCGGTAATTTAATATGAATTTGTGCAGTGGGTATTTTCATGTTCAACCTTGTTTTGATCTGACATCTTTTAACCGTTTTTGCCAAATTTGACTATGAAAACTGTCGTTATCACACCCAGCTCTCTAATATAACTTTACAAAACTAAAGAAGCTGCATAGAATGATGCTCATTACATTCAGCTTTCAGATCAAAAACAATGAGAAATTTGCAAAAGTATGAAAACATGTTTTTTGCCAAAATGTCGAAAATTCACATAGGAAAATCTCATAGAAAGTGTTTCCAGTGCTGCATTTCGTATTTACGATCAATTCGAACTTATATGTATCATAGGAAAAGTCTTCATTTTTGGGGTGGAAAACGTGATCGTTTGGTTTTCAAGAATTTTCCCTTGCTAATACTCATGAAAAAACGATTATTTTCATGAATTTGCAATGACCCAAAAAAATTTGAGATAAAGCACCAGTAAGTAAAGTGCAATCAAGGGGAGTCGTTTGGCCCTATTTCAAGCGTCTACAACGCTTTGTAGCATGAGTTATTCAAGTTGAAAAATGGCTACATTTATGCAGTGAAATCAGGTTTGAATAGATTTCACAAAAAAATAAAGCAATAGTAAAATACAATAGAAATCAACTGTATTTTATTTGTGTATAAAATGAACTGAAGGTCCTGGAATTGAGTAAAAAAAAAGAAGAGTATTTATACATTCGCAACTAGCTTGTAGGATTAGTGATGATAGAGAGCAATAGGTTCTGCTATTGCGATATCTGGCAAATGTTGTTGATGTTTGATTTAAAGTGGTAATCAATGCAAGAGCACTGGCCATAAGGGTCGATTTGAGTAACCTTGATGGGCTTGGGTGAGCTATCGTCATAGCATGATTTAATGTAACCTTGATGGTTTAAGATGTGATGTTTGTTATTGAAGTATGGAACCCTTTATCTGGGATGTTGTGCAACTATGGCAGCAGGGCATAGTTGTCATATTTAAATATGCTTGTTATTGATTTGATATTATTTGGATAAAGATAACATCTCTTATTACGACCATCATGGGTGTGATTGAATACACTGTGATCAGGAGTGATTCATTCGCGCAATGTGCGATATAAGCATGCATCTTTACTTTAGTATTTTTAAATGGTTGTTGATGTACATTTGAGCGCTTTTACTAATAGATCCAAATAGCATGAATTTGAATGAGTGCTATTTGTTGAATTTCGATTTTCAATCAAGTTGCGTTTGGGTGGCTATTTCATTACACTCTGGAATCCATCATTTTCATATTCGCTCCTAAATTTCATCATTTGATTTCAACAAATAATTGAATTCAAGAGAGGGTTGTCTAATAAGACGAATAAAAACTCTTCTGATGAGACGAAAGCTTGCCACTTTAAATCAAGCTATATGTGGTTGAACAAGAGTAAATATGAGTCTTCCTTCAATATATACAACGAAAGCCGAGACAAGGGTATAACATCACAAACAGTGCCACCACTACCGTTTATATGACAGATATTACTATATTGCTTTATTAGCCAATTTATGGACTCTGCTACGACAATTCCATTGACTATAGAGGTTGTTCAGCGTTTGAGACTATTAATCGTGTAAGAACTCAAGAAGCGCGTCGAAACCAAGTGCTGAATTTTGCTCTATTACTACATTATACAAAGACATAGATTCCCGTCAGCAAAATATACATGCTACAAATTGCAAAAGCTGATTACCGCACAAAGGAGAAATTCAAGTATGGACAAGGCAATATTTCAAAAAGAACATTTCAAGCCTCAAAGTAAACCATCGCTGAATTACAGTATGGCAAAAACGGTGCTCACACAGAGCTTATCTACTAGCAGTATGCTATATACAATAAATTATTGTGCCATTCATCATACACGAGACTAGTGGTAGCTTAGCTTGACAAAGTACGAATGACTTTTGACTCATGACAAAGCAAGCGTGAATGCCTCTATGACTATGATTGCTACCTCAATTATATGACTATAGCCCACTTTGATCAGTTGTACTGAGAGCAATAGCAGCTAGGTACAAGTACTAAAAATATTTGTGTATGCAATAAAAGAACGTACCTTTATTGTTAAGAGGTGATAGTCAGGAGGAAGTGGAGGAAGAAGAGCTAAAGATAAAACCACTAGCTTGAATTGAGTTGCTTTATCAGTGTATTGATATGACTAGGAAGCAAATGAATTCAGTTATTGGAATATGAGGATGTCAACTATGAAACGATTCTACATACATCACAGTAGCTTTTTCATAATAGCGTTATAAATAGTATATAATTGTACGTCAAATTATCTACGAAATAGAAAACAAAAAAAGGAAGTACCTAGCAGCAAAAGTAATGTCAATGACGAGGTCCTGTTATAATACAACAGTGCTCTGTAATTCATAATCATATGTTGTATATATCTTGTTAGATAGCGTTAGTAGTCACTGTTGAAGCATAAAACAACAACAGCCGTTCGCTGTCGTTAGAGTACTTGTTCTTAATCAAACGCGATGAATGACACAAGTGGCAAATGTATTCAATACTAGAAATGTTACTTCAAATAAAGAGAAGCGTTGGAAACAGCTAATATTATTAATTCAATGATTTTAGAGCATTAGCACATTTTATTCTGTACCTACAAACTAAACAAAGCACAAAGCAAACAAAAAAACTTAGCATTACAGTAAGGTACCACATGGAAGCTTTCTGTGACAAAGTGTACTCACTGCATTAATATATTATATGATCCAGTTCCACAAATACGCCATTTAAAAGCTTTTTACCAATTTATTGCTGTATTATTGATATAATTTAATACGATGCTTTGTTGGGCTGACTGTATTAAAGATGATTCAGAAGATTCATAGTTTATTATTAGCTTATCATTAGTTTAAGTCAATATGATCACTGTTTCTACATTTCTGATGCATCGGAAATACCTTTGAGAAGCTAAAAATATTAGATTTATGATACTTTTACAAGAATACAATTAGTATTGTATACATGTAAAGCTAGTAGACAATCAAGTTGATTCCCATCACGTGAGTAGTAGTACAAAATATTGTGATAACTATAGTATTATCTAGAATTTTTGAAATTTCTTAAATTTTTGCTTTGCGAAATGGTAGCTTTCTGTCGACGGAACAGACAAGATTACGAGTTCAAGTCCCTGTATTCTCTTTTTTAGAGAAAATTGCCATTATTAGTGTTTTGTAGCAATGTTCATTTAATTCAGGGGTAATTTGATATAGGAACATATATATGTTGAGATTTTTTCATACGATAAAGTTTTACTAGATAATATATATATATAAAATAAAAAATAGGCACCTGATGCTTTATGATCCTTCCTCAATGTCTTGAAATGTGATTAGACTTTCGTCTTCTGGGTTTGGCTTACCGCCTTCACCAAGATCTGCATCGTCTGGATCACCGGCGTCAACCACATCATCCTCATTGTTGTCGTAAATTTCATTCTCGTCATCGCTAAGATCCACCTCAGGAAAAATAACGACATTGTTTAGCAAGTCAGAGGCATCTCTGCTTGCAAACAATACCGGAGGTTTGGATCTTGAAACATTTTTCAACAGTAACTTGGCACTGCGTTGACGGCGAGCAACGTCCAGAACTCTCATTCTGACAAAATTATTGTTCTGTTTTCCCCTCAACGATGACAACTCACCTTTGTAGTTGCCAAGAACCCTCTTTGCTTCACCCTTCATCGAAAAGTATCATTATTATACATGCTTCTTATGCTATTGAGTTTACTCGAGCCTACTATCAAAATAGAAATTTCTTCGACGTTTCTTTTCAATATATGCCAGTTGTTCAAAGGGGTGGGCAAATCCAGACCATTTTCGGCAGCATACAGTCTGATCCGTTCCACTTCTTTTCCGACTGTCTTCTTCTTTCTTCTGTCGCGTACCTTCATACCATTATACACTAAGATATTGCTCTCGCTTGCGATTCAAAATTATAACTCACTGTATGAAGTTTCTACAAATTTGTTGATCATCGAAATGATCGCCTCTGCTTTCTTCTTCAATATTTCAAGCGACAAAATAACTCTGGCCGCCTTTGCAGTGCCTATCATTTGGGTTAGAGTTCAATCTAAGGGAAGTTTTCGTTCTCACAAAAGGTCAAGCCATTACCAAATGAGCCAGGTTGAGATATCTTGTGCTCTTTCATCAGAATTGCAAACAGGAGGTGTTTTACAAATGTATTCATTACATTGTATCGAACTTCAATAATCCGTTCTCAATGTTCTTGCAAGGCTGGGTCATCTAGGCTGTTGATCATCGCATACCCATACACAGATTGTAATTGCTTGATTTGATCGACCAAAAAATTGCTTCTATTGATATCTTTCCTGGTAGTGATTTCAAATTTTCTTCCACTACATTTTAAAAATGGCTCAACAGTAATATTCCTCTATGCACATGTTTAAAAGTTACCTTTCATCTCTCAAGTCATTCAACAGCAAATATTCAACGATTGAAGCGATTTGCTGTGCTCCAGAAGCGCTCTACACCTTCGCCATCTGATTAGTGAGTCAGTATTTTGTTCTCTCGCTTTTGTTGTTCATGCTTATTTACCGGTATTGCCACTGCCATTGACAACTCGTGGATGATGTTGGACTTAACAGTGCATGCTATGAGCATAGGCGTGGAACACTGTCACGAGATATAAAGGAGCCCTCTCCTTTAGCCCTGGTATACACGACTAATAGTTCGTTCTTGTGTTGGAATCGATGTATGCAGTCTCTGAATATGTATATGCTTACCTCTAATTTGCCCTTACACAGACAAATAATGTCATACATAATTAATAGTTTTTGAGAGTTACCCAATAAACTCATATGATGACTGATAGCCGCAAGTGCGTACTTACGCCTGTTACAATCATTTAGGGGAATCAGAAAGTTGTTAGTCTTTTTTTTTAGCATTACCAAGATCTACTTACCCTTCGCCATTATAAATATCGTATAATCGAATAGGTACGCCATGTCTCGCACAGTTCATAGAAAAAACTCCTTCTTCGTCAAAACGGTTACTCACCTTTCGATTTTTCTTTGAGCCAGCTTTGAACGTAGGGTTGTTGATGTTGTCTAGTTCTTCAAGACCACACTTGATGAAAATGTGATTAGTATGCACCATCAAGTACAAACATTTTAGTGCATCTGTATTGTCAATATGCTTACCAGCTCTTCTTTCGCATCATCTTTTTCATTAGCAAACTTTTCAACTTCACCTTCGACTTCCCACAACTGTGCAATGTCGTAGCTTGTTGAAAAGATACTAGGATAGAGATCTACATCATCTCGGTTTCGCTTGTTCATCTTTCTTTTTAATTGGAAGTTGCCATCCATTACAACTCCAACGGTATCGCCATCCTAAAAGAAAGCCTGCATCAGTTTTTGCTAACGAGATGCCTTGCAACGCAACTCACAAAACACGCATGACAGTACAAAGAGTGGTTGACCAGTCGTAAATCATCCAAGGCATGGCTCTTCAAATTTCGATATATTAGTTGTAGTGTGTTGAACAAGCCGTTATTCAAAATTTTAAACTAAAGAGAAAAGAGAACGGCGAGATATTGAGATAAACAGCACAATGGTCTGCAGCATTTAACTTACGTCGTTTTCACCATAGTTACTCAACAAGAGATTATCAACATTCTGCGTCTTCACGAATGCATAATTTGAAATGCTTCCATGTAGCTTCAAGCTCATCAGTTTTTCAAAGACGGCGAAATGGACCGCAGCTTTTGGTTGAATTGTGCTGCTTGGCAACATTTGCATCAATACCAATTTCTTTAGGATTGGTTGATGCATACAATAATCAACTTTGATTTTTTGATGGTCTGCAAATCAAGTGTCAGTTTAGCTTGTGTAATATTTGGAGTTTCACTAAATTTATTTACTGTGTAGCATATAACAATACACCTCCAACGTTTTCTTATTGCTGCAGTCGCATTGATATGTGCTTTTCAATTGATTTGGGACTTTGAGGGTAGGGTCAGCATGGCCATGAATCTCGTGAGATTCAAGATACCACTTCTTGAGCGAGACACTTTCTTGAGCTCAAAAGTCTTTTCTCATTCTCCTTTGTTTTTTTTTTGTCTGAAAATGGTTGTGAAACCATAACGCTGGTTAGAAGGCTCTATGTAGTCGAAGCCATGGTCGATGCTGTCATTGTCAAAATGAAATGCTCCGTTTGCATGGACAAGTTGTCTAGTGTTGTCGTTCAGCGAAGCATTAGGCTGGGTTACAGCTTGCCTATTCTGTTTCTCCAGCTCATTGATATACTTGATGGCTTTCGCATGTGCAGTCTTTGTGCTCTTCTTCATCAACTGAGACTTTGTTGTAGAGCGGCTGCGTTGTTTGCGTGCTATTTGGTCATTCTCTTCAAGGTTATCTCTGCATTTGTTGGCATTTTCTTGATGACCGTTTTGTTTGATTCCTTGTTTGCTTCTTCTCCTGTGGCTTTCTTGGCTCTCTTAGCAATTTTATAAGCTGCGTCGATTTCCAACATTTGATGAATAGCGGACGAAAATAGAAAAGTGATGCTGGCTTCCTTACAAAGAGTATTTGGTGAGTTGACTCGATTGTTCCACAACCTACACAGTTACACAGTTGGGGAAGATGTTTGTGCTCTTTTCTAAACACCAATTTGTTGAATCACATAACAGCAGATGAAAGTACTTTGCATTGACTGCAATCAGAAATTTGTATTTGATGCGTGCTCATCAAAATTATTTGCAATGTTTTGAGGAGGTTGCGCATCAAATGCTTTCGCAAAAAAAAACTACTGATAAAAACTGCCAATAGCATGCTTGAAACTATTGTTACAAAAATAATGCAGCGTAGAGAATGAAGCTAGGATTAGATAGGCAGGAAGGGCAATATAGTAAAGGGAAGAAGCTTCTGCATCAGTCGAAAGAGAAAGCTAAACCAAGCGCAACTAGTAGCGTGGGGGGTACAAGTGAGTTGTGGGAGGCATGATAGCCTACTGGGGTCAAATAATATTTAGAAGGCATTCCCCAATGATTGCGATCAATAAACAATTGGCAGCAAGGTATAGTATAGAGCAGAACGTATTATAGGCAGAACGTATTATTGGCAGCCATGTATAGGCAGCAAGGTATAGGCAGCAGGGCCTATTAAGCCCAACAGCATTGGATTTTGATATCACCTGTGATTTCAATATCATCTGTGATTGGTACAAAAATCCCCAAGTGTTAAGGAAAAATATATAACCTTGAATGAGTACAAATAGTACTCATTTTTGTAGTGACACAGGCATCTCTTTTTGAGTAGAGTAATATGTAAGAGCTGATTTACATGAGTATTAGCAAAGGAAAATTCTTGAAAACCAAACGATCACGTTTTCCACCCCAAAAATGAAGACTTTTCCTATGATACATATAAGTTCGAATTGATCGTAAATACGAAATGCAGCACTGGAAACACTTTCTATGAGATTTTCCTATGTGAATTTTCGACATTTTGGCAAAAAACATGTTTTCATACTTTTGCAAATTTCTCATTGTTTTTGATCTGAAAGCTGAATGTAATGAGCATCATTCTATGCAGCTTCTTTAGTTTTGTAAAGTTATATTAGAGAGCTGGGTGTGATAACGACAGTTTTCATAGTCAAATTTGGCAAAAACGGTTAAAAGATGTCAGATCAAAACAAGGTTGAACATGAAAATACCCACTGCACAAATTCATATTAAATTACCGCAGTTAAGGTTGCCGCGGCAAAAAACTGAGACTAAATCTACTGAACGTGACGTCCGATAGGGCGTCCTCTCATTTTTCCATACCCCCGTTTTTTTTCCCTTTTTTGCAAAGCGCGTTTAGTATCAAACCATAGTGGTCTTGGGAACTGTTTGATTGATAATAACACTCTATCTTCTGATAACACTGCCGTGCACTGTTAACAGTACTTTATACTGCTTTATTAAAGTGGAATATAGTAGGTACCATGCAATAACGAGTACTGGAAGGCATAGAATTAACACTAATTGAATTTGTTTATTAGGTTTTGATAATTCTTTTTGTCTGTTTGACGTGGGTGTTACTGTCATTACTTCTCTGCTATCCTTACTGTCTGCTTCTTTGGTGTATCATGTCTGATGGTTACTTCTTTAGCCTTTGTCCAGTCTCTGTGGTGTCGTTTATTCTTCAGTTTTTCTATGGTACTGGTATTGCTGCTGCTGCTAATCCGGCCTTTCCTGGTCTACTGTATTTGGTGCATGCTCGTTCTCTGGTTCATATCTGTTGATTTCGTAATATCTGATCTATCTGTGGTATTGATAAGCGGTAAATAACTTCTTTGGTCTTTGTCTGCTCTCTGCTAATGGCATTCGTTCTTTAGTTTTTCTATGGTACTGGTATTGCTGCTGCTGCTACTCCGGCCTTTCCTGGTCTACTGTATTTGGTGCATGCTCGTTCTCTGGTTCATATCTGGTGATTGCCTATATTCTTCTGATGTATCTGTGGCTGTGGTAAGTGGTAAGTATCTTCTTTCTTCTGGTCGCAATGATATAAAACTTCTTTGAATGTTTATATTATTACTTCCTTTCTCGTGATAATGCATTCATGATGTTTGCCTTGTTGCGCTTTCTTCTTCTTTTTCTTTTGTTGGTAGTGTTTCCTCTGTAGCTTTACATGAAACAACATTCGTCATTATGTTGTATTGCAAACTTATAATGCCACTGTTGCTTTCGCAGTTGTGCGTGTTTGTGTCATGTTGCTTTACATCTATCCGACTATTACTACCATGCACGTTGCCCATGTATGCAATTTTATTGCAACAACAACAACGAGCTGTTTTGAACATCTTTGATGTTGTGTTTGTTATGCTTTTCTTTGACTCATTGCGTGTGAGTGTCTCTTTTTTGTCTACATACTACTATATCCCTATAGAAGTATGTTCTTTTCTTCTTTCTGTTATTATTATTATGTTTCTTTGAAGCATACCTTTTTTTACGTTGTGTGGATGTGCCTATCCCTGAAGCTCAACAAGACATTATCCGAGGCTAGGAGGTAGATAGGCCGCCTCCACTTGGTTATCACTACTTACTTTAGTGATGATTGAGAGTCTCAATGCCAGAATCTAAAGCTAGGTGGTGTAAGTAAGGCATGCTCTAGCACCTGAGGGAAATTTGATGATAGTAACGGCTATATTGCTATATATATCGGAGCTTAAAATTTTGCCTCACATCAAAACAGGGGGAAACCCTCGCAAATTTTTTTTAGGTCAGCGGAGTTTTCAAGCAATCTGATTGGCTAAGAGATTGAGTCAGCGAAGGTCTACAACTAGTTAATTTCCTATTGATCTGTCAGTAAATATGATTTCGCTCTTGTAATAAAATGATATTATCTTAGCAGATACCATTTAATTTTTCTTTGTTCGATAGCAATATAAGGTAGAGTTGTCTGCTCTGGCATCTACGGTATTACACAGTTTGATATTAGGAATGTATTCCAAATATATTGTTCAAAGGGGTTATATATATATATAAATAAAAACTACTTTAACACGGTGTTATTTACGACGATGCTGCTGTTACGACAGCATATTCTGGCCATCCCGCCACCGAGCGATTGTTTTTACTGCTGAAAACTATAAAACAACGCTTTATGCTTAAACAATACTACCTCTCCCTCAACTGAAATTGCATAAGATCATAAAATTGTTCAATGATTTCACAACCACCTCTCTGCAGAAAAATTGGTTACTTTATGAGTTAAATGAATGTATTATTAAGCAGTTAATATCTCTTGCAGCATTGATTTCGGGCTACTATCTACATAGGATAACGCTCTAATACGACTTTGAAGTTGGGGTCATCCAATATCGAGTTTTGAAATATTGGTGTTAGAGCTTTTTTGAAAGGAGTATGCTCCTATGACAAAGATCTGCGATAAAAACGGTAGTGTAACTGAATTTTAGACTAAAAGGGTGCTTATTATTGCTGAGAAAAGAATAATTTTTAAAATGAGTCAATTTTAAATTATTATCTTCATAAGAGGGCCTATTAATTACAAGCGACTACAAGTATTAGATCACTAGTGGATGCGCTGTTGGGAAACATTATATTGGAAACTGAGAATATATTGCTGCTCTATTGTGGTTCGGCAAAGGTTTTAAGCTATGCCGCGCACCTCACCACCAAGAAATGAGAAGAGCCTTTTCACGCCCTATTTTGATGCTGAAGAAGATTTTTTATCATGGAGATTATGTAACCATTTTGAGGGGCTTCTAAACGTATAAAGGGGCGGCTTTCAGTCGCTACATTGCTTGGTTATCAAATAATTAAGTGAGGAAAGTTTAACGTAATTAATAATATGACAAAGAGCAGTGTTTGGACACTACTCCTTGTTCAACTGTCAACTCAACCTCGCCTCTCTGTTAAATAAAGCTTGTTTCTCTCTGTTTGCTCTACAAAATGAAGCCTCGTTTAGCTGGCTAAGATGCTTCCTTGCCAAAATCAAGTTTTTGACCCCCACCCCTCCAAATTGGAGCTTACAGTGTCAAAATACGTTTTTCTTTGGTAACACCACGAAATTGTTTACCTGGTGCTCAATCCTATAAAATAAATTCAGGGCGTGGTATAACTATAGCAGTGTACAAAAAAATTTTATATGCGCCACTGTAGCAAAAGTTAACCTTGACCGATTGTTCTTCGACAATTTGGCAGCAGAGGCTGACATATCAAGTGTTTTCAATCCATGGAAACTTATGCTGTAGCTTCGATTAGTACAGTACCTTAGACAATAGTTTGTGTCTAGGCATACACAATGAGTATTTCACAGGTAAGTTGGTACAGTTCAAGTACATGCTTTTTTTTTTGAATATCCTAAAAAAATCTGATAAACAGACTTGTATAAATAGAAGCTGTAGGATTACTATCAAGAGTGATACCATTCAATGTTCATTTTAATTCTGTACAAGCCTACTATGAGCTCGGTACAATGGTTACTGATAAAAAAAATACTTTTGAGCGATGGCAAGGTGGACGAGCCCATCAAACGTGTGTCAAGCTGGCGCTTAGCAAAAGACATTTTTGGATTTCCACGAGAATATTAGCACACTAGCTGCTTATTCAAGTCGTTTATGAATATTTGGCAAGTTGATGAGTCTTATTAGACGTTCTGGAACCTATTAGCTTTATTCATAAAACTTGCTTAATGAGCGTAACAACAATTACTGCATTGTTTCGATCCACACATATGATACGCTATCAAACGCTGATATCGCTAAAGCAAATCATATCTGACTTTTCCTTATGTATGCAGATTCCAAAACCGAATCTCTAAATGGAACCCATTTATCGAAATCAAGAAATGTAAGAACTAGTAACACTCCTGATGTATACCTTATAATAATGCCATAGAAGCATACATATGAAAGCAGATTGATCACCATTGTCTTTTGTAACATACCACTTCCTGTGACGCAATTGGCAGAAAACCCTCCCCGCAAAACGATGCAAGATTTTATTTTTCCACATTTTATCTTTCTCCTCGTTCTTATTCTTTTCGTTTTTTTTTTTTGTTCTTCAGATACTTATAGACAGATTGTTGCGTAGATATCAATTAATAAAACTCCCAGCGTGTTCTTGATTCCGTCTTTACAGCAGTATCGATCCTATACCAGATAACAAAAATAGCAGAAACAACACTACCAGATATAAATCATAATGGCCTTTCGGTTTAATTGGCCAGAGTTCGATAGTGAATTTTATGGTGAAGCACGTTCTCAACTGGAAGCAGCATTAAACAAAGGGAATAAGCCCAAAAATATTGTAGATCATATTTCAGTAACAGAATTAAATATGGGAACTACAGTAATGTTACAAAAATCATTAAATTTTGTAATCGTATTAAATCCCAATCTATTTGTAACAATCATGTAGGCACCAGATCTGGAGATACTAGAGATTGGAGAGCTTTCCACAGATAAATTTCGTGGTATATTCAAATTAACTTATTGCGGTGATGCTTATATCGTTATTCAAACAAAGGTCCAAGTAAGTAATAGTAATTGCCATGGAAATAAATGGAAACATGTGATAATATGCATTATCTGATGCTTTTTCTCATTTCATAGGCTAATCCAATGCATGCAAAGGAATCCGATTTACCCCGGCACACCAGACCAAGTGTATTAGCTGCAGATCAGCCGTTAGTTGTGCCTATGCTGCTACGAATCAGTGATCTTAAGCTTAGAGGTATCGTCGTTTTGGTGGTTTCCAAGACCAAAGGAATTACGCTCGTATTCAAAAACGATCCGCTTGAAAGTATTCTGGTTAGCTCAACATTTGATAGTGTTACCAGTGTTCGAAGTTTTTTGCAGCGTGAAATTGAGAATCAGTTACGCAATTTGTTTCAAGAAGACCTGCCAGTGATGATCCATAATCTAAGTTTACGGCATATTCAAAACGAACAAGAAAAAGCTTCTAAACAACAACACGAAGAATGGGTCAAAGCGCAACAGCTGCGGCTCATGGAGCAAAGGAGACGTCGCAAGAACAATAATGCATCCGACCGCTCAGTGTTTTCAGATCCTGGTATGCAACGAAATCTATCCTCGCCTTCAGTCATATCCTCGCCAGCATCACTGAGCAGTGCCAACAACAAAAGAGCAACGTTTAACAATTTTGATGCATTCTCAATGCCAGATTTATCACATCAACCTCCACCTTCCACCATTTATTCGCAACTCAACTCACCCCGATTCAACCGATCCGACTCATTTCCTTACCTAAACGATCCCAACGGTCAGCTATCTCCTTTATTAATACCACAACAACAGTCTGCACCAGCAACCTTTAGCAGTTTTAGCGATTTGTATCTAATGCACCAGTCAAACAACAGAGATTTTGAGCAACAGTTTATACCTCTGCAACAGCCTGTAATAGCCGCTAATCTGTCCGCATTGAATGAACTATACAGTAGTCGGTTCGCTGCGTTGAAAACTCCACCTTACTCAGAGTCAGAGCAGCAGCAAAAGATGGAGATCAGCACAAACCAAGACGATCTCTATATAGAGGATGAATACGATGACGAAGGAGAAGACGATTCATCTTATCGTTATAAAGAGGATGCATCTTCGGTGAACTCAATCATAGCAGCAGAGATGTATGCAGACGATGTGGATGCACCATGGTATGTTACTGAAGGACCAGAACTACCCTCCATTCGCGCAGATAACGAAAAGACCCTGACCATGATGGCAATGGACGAGGATATTATACTAAATCCCAAAGAGAATGCAGTGGCGGCGAAGCTGGCTCAGCTAGCCACTGTTAATCATACGATATCACCATTTGCACACACAATTGAGCATTTTACCTTTCGTTCACTACCGCATACCGTCAAGATTGAATCAAAAACCAAACATAAAAAGAAGCCAAAAAGGCGTATCATTAGATGGAATACAACTTCCTAAAGCCTGTCGAATATATATATTCTCATTCATTCTTGTACTTATAATTTATCAAATAAAGCATTCCTTTTTTTTATGTTTCAAATTGGATAGCACGTTTTTTGCTTTTTCGTGGTTGTAGCTTTGGTGCAACCACTACAGGTCTATCAAGAAACAACCGAGAAACAGGTACAGGAACTACTGGCAATGCTGAGCCTGAACCCTCAGATCAATCATATCAACAAAATTTCTTGCAAACCTAATCAAAGATGCAATGTTTCATTACGGCTCACCCAAATCAATAGATTTTGATATGAAAAGCGGCTGGAAATAGCCAGAAACTATAGTGTTTCAATGGCCGAGGCTTCTTTTAGAATGCGTTGGGAATTCATTTGGGCTTGAACGTCGACATGGATGAACGACACAGTTTGATAATAAAGCATGCAACCGTTCTTTATTAGTCAAGATCAATCAGGAAAGTTATATGCAGGCAAAAATAGAACGAAAAAAAAAGAGACGTAAAAAGCCAAATCAAAAATGCAAAAAAAGGAGAGAAAGAAACAATCTTTTTTGAAGGTGAGAGAAGAAAGTCAATGGGGGGAGGGGGAATGTACTGAAGGAGAGGGTGATATAAACGAAGTAAAATAAAAAGCAATTCTATGATGAGGTATCCATATTGTCGACATTTTCAGAGTCATCCGCTACGCCGTACCCGAGAAACCACCACCAAATAGCCTCGTAACAAAACACAAACTGTCGCAGGGTCTGTACCATACTTAACCTCTGTTCTCTGAATCTAGAGATGGTTTGCAGTAGAATATCATGGTCGCTGCTGCTAGATTTCATGTTTCTCAGACGATAGAGAACAGTATCGATGGCGCAGAACGCACCAGATCTACCACAGCCTGCTGAGCAATGCACAATCATGGGCCCAGCAGCATCTTGCTGGGCGTATTTGGCTTGTGCTGAATCAGCCATTTGGATGATTTGAAGTGTGCCTAATGGGTTGTCAGGGACACCGAAATCCATCCAACCAGTGTATTGCAAATGTGTCACTTGTCTATTTACTGAACCCTTGGTGATGGACAACTGTCGAACGATGACAACATCATCCTCATGAAGCGCTTCTGGCAAATTGTGTTTGTCGATTTGCTGAATGGTTTCGTTGACAAGTGTGATACTTAGGTCGCCGTATTGAGTAGGTGAGTTGATTTGAGATGGCCAGTAACGGTGGCATTTGATCTAATGATGGAGGCTGTAAATTTTCCATCCCATTTTTCGTGAAAGATGACCACTCACCTTGTTCATCTCCTCCTCCTTAGTAAGCATGACCAACACACGGGAGTTTTGTTCCCAAACTACTTGCCAAAAATCATTGAAAGTTGCGGGTAATGGACCTTGTGTTGAGATGTAGCGACGGAAGGGCTGTGTGTTCTGTGCAGGGCACTCTTTCATGATTTTGACACACTGTGTGTTGAGCTGCTCCGGTCTAGCATCGCTCACCGATTCGTCGCTGTCAATGTACTGCACATAACTGGCGTTAATATAATCTGAAACTTTGTGATCTCTAATTTTGACTCGCGTGTACTCTGCGCGCAATGATGGAATCATGATTTAATCATCTTAGTGTCTTTTAGCTTTTTTTTTTACTGCGACTTACCAAAAGGCCAAATGTTGGTGTATCTATTCAGAGCGCCCATTTCAATACCAGCAACGATACTAAATGGATACTCTGCAGGGTTATCTGTGTGTTTAGAGTGAAAATGCATGATGTTTTGGAGTCTTCTTTGCTCTGTTCTTTCGAGTTTCTATAAAAAGCAACATGTCAGACATGACCTCAATCAAACGTATACCAATCCAGATTCTTACTTCATACGTTTCAGCCAGAATTTGAGCGCCATCTTCCTTGACAGTGCACTGCAACCATTCCGGGCCTTTAAAGCCATTATCACTCATGTGAGCTCCTGCAACACAGCGTGGCATGGTATCGACCAATTCAACTTGGCCCTTGTTATTGGGATCTACGTTACACTTGGATGGCAATCTAATAGGAAATCGTTCTCGGATGGGGCCATGTGACAGCTCCATGTTTTGACGGATGTTGGAGAAGAATGGGTTGAATGCTTGGTTTTCAAACTGAGGCATGGGAGCGGTAAATGGACCTAAAGAAGGGGCAGCAGCAGGCATGTTGCTCAATCGAAGCTTGGGTCGAGCGCCCTTCTGGGGCAAATTGAGGGAGAAGCTTTCACCACCAATAGTAGGAGGACCAAAGTTGGAATTGGGTGGTTGTGGAGATGTTGCATTGGATTCACAGCTATCTTTGAATGCAGGCGAGAACGCATCAAAGCCACCTATGGAGGAAATGAAGATTATGTATTTATAAGTATGTGTGTAACAAACAAATTTACTCTCTCTATTTTACCTTTTAGATAATATAATTGACCTTTAAAACCTGCTCGGATCAATTTAGCACCTAAATAAGCAGATGCACTATTTTCGAGCAAACGCAGTGATTGCTGGTCGTAGAATACGATACTCTCAGCCGTCTCCCAAGATCTCAGTCTTTCGCGGGCATGGTCCTGCACAATAGCTTCGTATACCTTGTCGAGAGTAAACGTAGGTCGCTTGAGAATGGTGTTTGGTATAGAGACATTAATGGAACCACGTATTCTAGAATGCGAGTACTGCACAAATGAGCGCACATCCAGAACTAGCAGGCCGTTAGTGTTTCTGTATTTGTCCAACATTTGGTTCAATCGAGGTGCTTCCAAAGCTTGCAATGGACTGTTGGTTGCGTTGGGTGTAGGCTGTTGTCTTCTGTTGGCAAGCGAACCCATGTTCAAGTTGAATCCGCTGCCCATGGGAGAAGATCTTTCAGCGGATGGGCTGGTCAATACAGTGGGTTGCGTAGCATGGCGAGCCTGAATGGCATTCAAAAAGTCTTGGTGGAGCGAAGGGTTGATAGGAGCAGTGTAGTAGGGTGTGTTTGCAGTAGAGTTTGTGCTGTTGGATGCTTCCTCCTGTGATGTGGATTGGGGCATGATGGAAGGCATGTTTAAAGGAGTGAAATATGCGTCATTCGCTCCATTTCCTCGTGTGGGAGATTCAAAGGCCAGGCTCATGTTGTGTGCGATAAATAAAGAGAAGAGTCAATGAAAGAGGAAAAAGAAGGAAAAAGAGCACCATTAGCCTAAAGACAAAGGAGAAAAGCGAATGAAATTATCATGATGTGACGGTATTGGAACACACTTCAATCCAGACTCCAGCTTCATGTGCTACCAATGTCGTCATGGAGCCCTAATTAGTATGTAAAACGCTATAGGAAAAAGAAAAAAAAAGAACAAATCTATTGCAAGATGTAGTGTAGATCCAATGGTTACATTTCTGGCGATAACCGCAAAATTAAGCTTATGAGATTTCAGGGAACAACATGATATCATTTTCAACAAATGGGCCATTTCTTTTATTCATTCCAACAAAATTAATACTAATTTTAAAGGCAATCAGATTATTTACTTGAAACGCTTGAATTGATCCCGGTTCTCTTCAAAGTACTTCTTCAAGCTATGGGGCTCACGATCCAATATATGACGAAGCTCATCAGAGTGCATGTCCAGCTCGCCCTTGTTAGCCAATCGCCACCATTCCATCATGGTGTCAATCTTGCACTCATGGATGTACTTGTTGATAGGGAAAGCCCAGAAACCATCACGGCCCTTCTTGAAATCACCACGTTGGTCAGGACGCTCCTTAAAACGGTCATCCTTCTTGATGTGCTCAAGCTGCTTCTTCATGTCGCTTTCAGAAATGTGCTGGAACTTGATGTCATGGCGGCCTAAGCCCTCACCAACTTCACGAGCCATCTCTTCGCCGCTCAGGGGCTTGGAACAGGTAAACTCATAAACTTGCTTCTTGAATTTGGGTTCAATTTGACGACCAGCAAAGCGCTCACGTTGCTTCTTGGCCAAGCGGTAGACACCCTCGACGACATCATTCAAGTCAAGACTAGTAAACTTCTTGTTCTTCTCGACAGGGAGACACAGGCGGTTTTCGCCTTCCATTTGGGGAGCCAAGTAGTAAAAGAGCTGGTACAACATGGGGAAACGGACAATGCAATGCTTTTCGCCACTAAACTCTTCCTTGACCATCTTTTCAATGCGGCAAATTTGCTTCAAGTTACGGAATTCAGAACCTTGCTGGTTGCTGTCGTGCTTGTGAACGCGATCAACGCCAATACTGTGTATCATGATGAGTAAAATAGACCATATGTGTGTGTGTGTCTGCATATGCTTACCAAGACATCATGGACATATGCTCAACATGTTGATGTTTAGCAGCCTTGATCATGCACTCAGCTTCCTTCTCCCGGTCAGAAGAGAACTCGGGAATCATCATGACACACATAACATCCTTCAAGCAGTGACGCATCTTGTCCTCATCCTTGTAGTTGACCTCCATGATCTCAGCACCCATCTTCTCAAGACGGCTCAAACCATAGCCAGAACGACTACGACACAAGAGACGGAGTTTATGACTAGAGATCTCGGGCCCTTCCTCGTGTTTCTGCATAGCCTCCAAGCAGCGATAAGCCATAGCATAGCCCATGAGAGAATCACAGTTGGTAATAGCATAGACGTTTCTTGAGATGTTGGATTGTTGTTGAGACATTGTCAGTTATTTAGATAAAGATAGTGATATAGAATCAGCACTTTTTGCCCTCGATATCGTCCTCCTTTTATACGTTTTGAAGCAACCGATGGCTTCTCTCAGGCAAATTGTTCACTACTGATTTAGATGCCCCAAACATCGAGTTGATTTTTCTCACTATACTACATCAAACCAGTTTTAGCTTTGCTCGCAATAAAAGACGTCTTCGCACGCAATGCAATGGCAAGTTGCTTGCAACATGTGATGGCACACTAACGCTAAGAAGGTGCAAAATCCTTATATCTTGTTTTGCTTTCCCAACAGGCGTCTTCTATTTACATGGCTTGTGATAGCAAATGTCAGAGAGCACACTGTAGATATAAGCAATGTCAAGCATGTATGATTCATGTGCCTGACATACTACAGTTGATCTTCTAATATATACACTGTAAAACATTCAAAAAAACTAGAAAAGCCAATCAAAATTTTGCAGAATTGTGTGCCGTACAAGATGAATAGAACCACCAGCGAAGCCGGCAATGGAGAGGGGGTTTGGGGGGGAGAGGCTTAGCCCCTCCACCAAGAACATCAAGCATCACAATTTGCATAAAGTTTATGAAATGTCGTCTGTTAAAATTAAATCGAATTGTCATGCCTCCTGTTCAAGCTAGAACCTGTGTAACCTGTAGAGTTGCTCTCTACCTGAAGATTTCAATTTTCGAAAATGTGATCTATGTCGAGTAAATAGAGAAATTTGATAAATAAATCAAAGAAATGAAAAACAAACATTCGAACGAACCTTATATATTTTTTGTTTCAGGAACGTACTCAAAACTATGCCAGACAAAGAGCTGCATTGAGACCGCCCAGAGCACCTGCCGCTTTCATTTCAGAGCTAAGAAGAATGCGGCCTCATTATCTCCAAGAACATAATAATACATCTCATTCGACACTTGATAGCATTGGTTTATAGGGAGAGTTTGCCGTATCGAAGCAAAGGTGCAAAGCTAATGATAATCAGGCGTCTAATCCAATACTTGGTATCATTGATCTATATAAGGGCTTGATCGCAGCGAAGCGAAGGTTCGAAATCATAGTGATTAGCAGCAAATTCAATTTCTCATTCCCTAAATTAATAATTGATTATTAGAAATCTAATTATATAGCAGATTTTTATTATTACTTACGAGCCTTTCGGCATTTCGGGTGGTTTCCTGACCTACGGTTCGCTTTGGTGGAAATCAATCAACGTTCAAACGGCTCGCGCTGCCGGGGGCCTTTGGCTAATATCGCAAAATTAATATAGCTAAAATGTTAGAAGAACTTTGATTTTTGATTGATATAAAATCACTAATCATGTGAGTGTTTATGCTTCGGATGGTTTTCTACCTTCGCTTCGCTTCGATGAAAACCAACCTGCACAGCGGCAATTCGCCTTACCGATTTTCCTTGCGTATCTTATCATAATATTACTACGTTCATCTTGACCCTCTACTTACACATGGAAACCCTTCATATTATCTGTGGATCTGATTCTTATGTGATGCTCTACATCCATATACACATAGCTACTTCATATACGGGCAAGCAGCATACTGGTATTCCCTCTTTTTGGCCCTTAGTGTCCCTGATACAGCAAAATCTGAGTGCATTTGAGCTGCGTTTTCTTGCGTTCAAGGCCGTTTTAGATGGTCAGAATAGTAACAAACAATTGTTCTCATCTGGCAGTTACTTTCTGACACCTTTGCTCAACTTTTTGGGGATCAAAAAAACATGAACAAAAATCGACCAAAAAGCATGAGGGACATTCTCAATCTTGGTCTTAGCTATACCAAGGATGGTAATTGGTTTACTGGTCGCGGTTTTGTCACTCTAAATAGGGACAAATTAAAGAATTATGCAGCTGAACTTACCCCTCAGATCCAGTTTGGGAATTTCAAGGAGAAGCTACATTTGGTTTGGAGTAACATGAACCCAATTTGTCAAGACTGCCACACTGATGATCATATCAAAGCTGATTGTCCTCGAACAAAGAGGAAAGCATGTTTCCGATGCGGAAGCTTGGAACATCTCATCGCCGGGTGCCCATTAGCTTCATGGAATAGAGTGAAGAAAACTAATGATCACAACAAACAAGGTCAACATCGCCAGCAAGAGAATGTTGCCCAACCTAAACCTATAGGTAGAAAGGTTGACCTTTTAGATCTAATGAATGTGGACCCTCCTAAGTACCTCAACCACAAGAAGGGGAAAAGGAAGGCTACATCCCTTTCGTCGAAATCCCCAAGCGATGATGAGGCACTTTCCAAGGGGGAAGTATCTTCAGCAGACGAGCCAGAGTCTGATTCCGACGCTGAAAACGTCCAAGGGCATTCAACTAACTTGAACGACAGCAAGGATATGCAAATGGAAGAGGTTTTTGATAACAGGGATCAGGAGGAGATGAATGAATCTCAAGTTGGTGCATCTCAGGAAAGTGACTCCCATGATGGTGAATCTCAGGATGGTGAATCTCAGGTTGCTGAATCCAAGGGTCGGAAATCTCAGGCCGGTAGCCTCTCACAAGAGGATGCTCCCAATGGACATCTCGAGGAGGAGGACAATAATTCCTTTGGTGATGAGGAGTATGTCAAGTCTACTAGCGAGGAAGATAGCGATGGGGAATCTCCTAAGGTTGTTCATAACAATGTAAGTAGATATAACTTATGACACTCTGGGCACAAGAAGAGTGTAGATGAACCTACTGAGGAACATCCCAAGCGATCTATTGATGAACTGGCTTCTGCCCCTCCAGTAGAGGACAGCGAAGGTCCTAGCAAAAAGCAGATTAAACAGCAAGAGACTAATGCCAGAGATGAAATGGTCTTGGATGGACCATCAACTACAAACACATTATAATTAATAATGAGTAACACCAACCAAACTAGAAACATTAACATTAGGATAGGTTCCCTCAATTGTAGGAACCTCAACAAACAATACAACACCAATACAACAAATAGGTTCATTACCTACCTTAAGCAGCAAAAGTTAAATATACTACTACGCCAGGAAACAAATATTCCTCACCATTCCTTTGAAAACATTACAACAACTTTTAAATATCAATTCCAGTACCACCAAGCAATCTGGACTGGACAATGTGGAGTCATCAACTTCAATCCATCACTGAATCTACAACAAATCAAAATTCTAGAAGATGGAGGAGTTATTCTGGCCAAGCTATCACTGGTTAACAATAACATGCCTCCAATTTACATTTTAAATATCTATGCTCACTCTGATAACTACAGGGCGAGAAATCACTTGTTCGACCAAATCATCAGTCTCCTCAACTCCATGCCTGAGATGATCCCTTCTCTCATCATAGCCGGTGACATGAACTGCTGCTTTGACTCCACAAGTCAACGCTATAATCGCCAAACTGGAAAGCCCAAAAGTTTCATTGAATTTTTGAACACTCACTTTTCAGATTGCTTGAACCAACCAAATTTACCGCATGATTACACTTTTAGGCGTGGATCGTCTCTTTCCACTCTCGACTATATGTTTGCAAGCCGCGATGCTTTCTTCAAGATGAGTGATGGTGATACCACATTTCTCTCTCAAGAATGGACAGACCATGCCTTGTTAACCAAGACATATACTACCGGCATGACTAACTGTGGTAAAGGTGTTTGGCGGGCCAACCCCTTTCTTGCGAAGAACCCTATCTACGTCAACAAATTAAACACTGCTATCTCTAACTACGTAGAAACCAAATTAGATCCTAACCTATCTGCTCAAGAAAAATGGGACCTGATTAAGAAGAAAACTAAGCAAGTTACTCAAAACTTCAGCCGTACTCACTGTTCATGGAGGAAAGCTAAAATCAAGAAGCTACAGAGTGAGAGGAACAATTTGCTACATAGGTACCGGAATGACTCCGTCTGTTTTAATCTTTTGCTTTCTCCTGTCGAAAAGGAGCTATCCAAACTCCAACAAGAGGTAGTTGACGTCCAACGACTGAGAGCAGGACAGAGATGGCACGAGAAGAGTGAAAAGTCTCCAGGTTACATCAAGCAAACATTAGCGGAAAAGGCATCCAAGCGAACAGTCTCTAGCCTAAAGCATCCTACTTCCGGGGAACAATGCTGGGAAACTAGTACTAAACTTGACGCTGCTAAAGTCTTTTACCAAGACCTATACACCGAGGAAGAAATTGATCTCAATTGTGTGGAAAGAATGCTACAATATATCGACAAAACAATTCCAGCTGAGGACTCACAGGGCATCATTGAAGACATACCCTTACGAAGATATCATTCAAGGATCTCAAAGAACGCCAAATGGTAGTAGTCCGGGCCTGGATGGTATATGCTACGAAATTTTGCACCTTCTAGTAATCAACCCGAGCTGTGAAGCGATTATTCTGCAAGTGTTCAACGATGCTTTATCACTAGGCAAATTCCCAAAATCCTGGCAGGAATCATGTATTGTGCTGCTACCAAAGAAAGGGGATATGACTGACCTTGGCAACTACCGTCCAATAACCCTAATAGCCTCTGATTGCAAAGTGTTTACCAGACTACTTAACTCACGAGTCATAGAGGTAGCAAGTCACCTTATAGCCCCCCCCACCAAAGTGGCTTCCTGAGAGGTAGATACATTGGAGACCATGGGATGTCATTGAAAGTGATTGTAGACAATGCACGTGAAGCAAGATGGAACAACTCTGGAGAATTTGTCGAATATGCTGGGATTATGCTGGACAACGCCAAAGCGTATGATAGGGTACATCCCCAGTATCTATCCAAGGTCCTAGTGAAGTTTGGTTTTCCAAAACAGTTTGTCCAATGCATCTGCAAGTTATTCTTCGACAACTCAATTTACGTGAATGTCAATGGCTTTTTAACAAATCCTATCGAACAAAGACGCGGAATCAGACAAGGAGACAGTATATCACCAATGCTGTTCAACTTGGCTATTGAACCATTTCTGCTATCTGTGACCAAAAGTACAACTATCTCGGGGTATAGTCTCCAACACGTCAAGCCTATAAGCAAGAGAGCAAACAGTTGGGTGGCTCCTCCTCCATTGAAAGTACTCGCATATGCGGATGATGTCCTGACATTCGTCAAGTCTCGGGCTGAACTTCTTGGTCTGGAAGAAAGATTGAGAACTTACAACAAGGCCTCAAACTCCAAGATCAACTACGACAAGTCCGTAGCCTTCCCTCTTCATGGCGGAAGAATGACAAGCCAAACTGGTGGCCTAATTCAAGATCATGCAACAAACAATCTCAAAATCAAATGGTATGGTTCTACGTCTACAGGATTTATAAAATACCTAGGTTATCCAATTTGGTTCTGCAATCAACAAATAGACGTATACATTGCTAGACTTCTGGGTGATATTACTACTGCTGTTGAAAGGTTTGCAGCACGACAAGTCTCACTGTACGGCAGAGCGAATATTGCCAACACTATGATATTGTCCAAACTATGACATGTCATTCGGATGGTTTACCTGCCCAAAGACACAGTCAAGAAGATAGCCTTAATCATTTATCAGTTTGTAATGTCTGGTTTGTATCCACCTCTAAAGGGCAATTCTCTCTTCCTACCAAGGTATCAAGGCGGTTTAGGACTGATTGATATAATGGCGCAACAAAAGGTTCTGCAATTCAGATATCTGAACGCTTTGCTGACAGAAAACAGCAACAACGTACCTGGTCTCACTTATAGGCTACTAGTGGATTATTTGAAGATGTCGCACGACTCACCATCGCACATAATCCCTATACTGTTCCAAACGGCTAGATACAAAAACCAGTTAAGAGGCTTCCACCCTTATTACATGATGTTCGAGGCAATAGATACCTGTATGAAGCATTCTCCGCTCTCACTCGCTTGGCCTGTCAAACCAAATGTCATGACACTCTTGTCATTGCCAGTGCTGGAAATTCTAGATTTTGACAATGAGAAAGTAGCTATGGGATATACAAGCAGAGACTCGATCAGGGAGAGCAAAGTTCACGACTTCTTCCACATCGATCAGGAAACAAGTACTCTGCAGCTAAAGTCAATAAGTGAATGCAAGCGACCAAACATCAGGAACCAGATAGAAAGAGGCCTTCTTCGTGGAAACATCAAATTGAAATCCTTTGCGGATACAAGAAACATGGAGGCTCATCTAGATCTACAGCCTTTCATTGCTATGCTTAATTACCAAGACCGCCCAATGCTTCGAATGGCGAACAAAGACTTGAGATCAATTATGCTGGACATACACAACCTTGATGTTGGACGAAAGTTCAATCATACCATCAGCAAAGTCCAGTGGAAGCACTTCTATCATCAAAACATGCACCACTCCGTGAGAAATGTCTGGTATAGAATGATCCATAAGCAATGCCCAAGTAAATCAGCTCTTTTCGTTCGACGCCTGAGGAACGTTGAAGATGACAAATGTACCTTCTGCAATGATACTGAAGATGCCAAACATCTCATGGGTAGCTGCCCCCACAAAAACGACATTTGGTCCAACATCTTTGAACAATTCCTGGGATATCCTAAAGTTGCCAATCCACAACAAGTATACCAATCTATAGTCAATCTGAACCTGAAGCAATACTTCATCTACAATCTCGACATCAAGATTACAATCTTCGACCTGTTTGCTGCCATCATTCGTACGATATGGAGATTCCAGCTCCTACATACATTCGAAGGAATGCCTTTTGATACCAACTATGTCACCACCAAGATCTGTGCCGAAGTGATGAGATTGCCAGATCTCAAGCATTAATATAAGTAGTAGTTTAATTAGATATTATATATGGCAAGTCATTTTGTTACATACACTTGTCCATCATTTGATGTTATTATATTTGTATACCTACTAATAAATAAGCAACATCCATACAAAAAAAAATTTTTTTCATCGAAAATCAAACAATCGCATTTTTTTACCTTGAAGATGATGACTTTTACTATGGTATGTATTACATCAAAATGTTGCTATCGATCCAAAGCAACCCTTGAAACGTCGTTTGTGTATCTTTTATATGTAAGTTTTTGACATTTTTGCTAGAAACCTCATTTCATATTTTTTGATATTGCTCAGTAATTTCAGTCAAAACACCTATTACAGTTAACATCATTGGAAGCGCCTTGAAAAGTACTTCAAGAATGTATGAGGAAGCGTAGGGTGATCATCACAGTTTATATAGTCGGATATTACAAAATAGATTAAAGAAATCGAGTAGAGACAATATCTGTCCAATCTTGAACAAAAAAAAAAATCTGAGTTCCAATTGTTTTTGGCGGCTGTATTGCTGCTGGCTGACCTAAATGTCTTTCTGTTGATGACAATGGTGATTGCGATGCTGATTAAATGGGGATTATGGAATAGAAAGAACAACTGCTTAACACAAATACTTTTTTTGGGGAAGCTTTGCCTCATGAAAATGTCTTTTGCAATGACAATATCTCAAGAAAGTCTCTGTAGATCTTACACAAGCCCTGTGTTTACTTACGATCAGCTTTATGTTGCCATCTTATTTAGAGCATCAGCAGCAGCGAATGATATGACAATTCTATTGTCAAAAAATGGAGATTGTGGTTTACAAATGCTGCATAAAACTTGAACTTTCTTTCACATTGTCCCAATAATAGGCTTCATTTGATATTAATGTACGCAAAAAGGATGCTGAGGGAGATACCTCCTCTCTTCCTCCTGGTGACTCCAATATAACCTTTCTTTTACTAACTAGTAATTGGTTGTATAAAATCTACTCGATATACCAAAATGTCATAATATCTAATTCAAAGTGTCTTTGGCGAGAGCTCACAGGGCGACACCTACATCGAGCGTAGCGAGATAGATTGGCTAGCTAAAAGATGTACTAAAGCTTGACTTGGTAGCCTCAAAAAAACGCATTGCCTAGTTCTTACGAGTGCCACAAATTACCCTAAACTGTCGTCATATCTCATGCATAATTTGTATGAATCAAGGCATCTCATCAACAAAACAACACCATTGAGCTTCGTGTATTGGCATATAAGATGACATTTTGAGTGAAATAGAGCTGCTAACTGAACAAGCTCAACTGATTCATGCTCTCAAAAGCATATCAAACACACACTCTCATTCTACTACTGTATCTGCTTTGGTTACTACGAAACGAAGAACCACACCCAACTCTGTATAGATGTCAATTCCAGGGCCATGCATTTGTATCCCGACCTCACATTCTTCATGACACATTTGACATGTCAAAACTGTCAATCCCTTTATATTGCTAAAGTTCTCTGCCTTTCTCCTTGATTCTTCGCTGTTGTAATCCCTCCCTTACAAACATATAAACAAACCAAACCACATGTACATATAATTAAAATATTTACATTTATTTCTACTTGTAGGATGATCTCGTTTATGAAGCACGACAGAGGAGCTCACCGCCCACATTCTTCTCAATTGCTTCTTGAATCTCTAAAACACCACGATTTGTGTTGACAATAGCGATTTCTCCAGGTTGAAGAGGCTTGATGAATTGAGCTCTTCTACCGCTTGCAACATTTTTCAATTCGTTGACTGTAAAATGAACCTTCTTGGAAGGCTTGCTGATGAGAGATAATTGAGACAAGGCAGGATTGTTTTCCTTGTATTTGAGGTTGAGCCAAAGACGTCTGGTGGCGACATTTTCGTTTGTGGTGGCAGTGTATGCTTGATCAGGTCCAATGTGATTTCCGCGAGTGACGGATGATAAGAAGCCTTCTTTGTAGAGAATGTTGGAAACAGCCAAGTTCATCTTTGTCTCGGGTATCGCAATGGTCTGAAGTCTGGCACGGAAACCATTTTGTATTCTGGCACAAAGATCATGTACACGAGGCATCTTGTCAAAAAGTTACGAAGGGTGAATAAAATGTAAAATTTGGAACTGGGGTTCAAGGGTCAGTTTTTTGGAGCCAGAGATGTTGTCCCTCCATCCTCCATCCTTTCAGCAACACCCAATCATTACATATCATGACGCAGCCATAAGCCACCCTAAAAATCATCCAGAGAGCGAGAGAGTTCTTACAGCGAAAACTAGCACAAACTCCATTTTACGTGAGCTTGTTTCTTTCTATTATTCTCTTTTTGCAGGTTAATATATAGAGAAATCAACCTATATTTGTGTTTTTGTGTGGATTTGAATTAGAAGACACAGTACCAGCTTGAACCATATACACCCACGTCTATATAAATTACATTCAAGAAGCAGATATATAACACAAGATGGTGAGAAACACACTCGTAACTACGTGTATCATATCTATTAACCCGTCAAATAGTCGTCTAGAAGCTCGAAAATGTCGAATATAGTCAACTACAGACTTCGCATCACCTTATCCGATTCACGTATTTTGACCGGTCAAATGTTGGCCTTTGATAAACACATGAACCTCGTGTTAGCTGATTGTGAAGAATTCCGTAAAATCAACAAGAACGCCAAAGATAATTCTGCAGCAAACCTTGAACAAAAGAGAACCTTGGGTCTCGTTATTTTGAGAGGTGAAACTATTGTCAGCATGAGTATCGATGGTCCTCCTCCACCAACTACAGATGACATTAGATCAAGAGGTCCTGGTTTAATGGCAGGTCCTGGCATGGGAAGAGTAAGTTGATATTGAGAGATTGAGTTGTTGCCTGTATACTAACTTTGAGTTCTAGCCTATGGGCCGTGGTTTGCCTGCTGCTCCTCCTCCAATGGGTGGCCCAATGGCTGGTCTCTCTGGTCCTGTTCGTGGCGTTGGTGGACCTGCTCCTGGCGTAAGTATTTTACAGTGTTAACATTGTGAATGGATGACTAATGTGTGCGCTGTCTCTATGCAGATGATGCAACCTAGACCTGGATATCAAGGTGCTCCTGTTGCATACGGTCGTCCTCCCATGCCTGGTCAAGGTATGCCTCCCCCACAAGGTTTCCGTCCTCCTCCAGGTATGCCCCCAATGGGCTTCAGACCTCCTCCTGGTATGCCTCCTCCAGGTTTCCGTCCTGGCATGGTAAGTTTTGATGGTGAATACATATATGGATTGAATATTTACGCGAATTTCTCGTTTTATTAGCCGCCTCAAGGTTTCCCTGGCGCTGGTAGAGGTGCGCCTCCACCACCAGGCATGTATCAACGCCCTCCTCCTCCTCAGTAAACGACTTCACTATATATATATATATATATATATATATATATTTTTTTTTTTTTATGGATGAGAGATTTTATTCATTGAAACGGGTTAAACAAATAAAGCATCAAATTGGCAGGATTGAGGTGTGTGCAGGCAGGGACAACTCAAAATGGTAACGAATAGGAGATTAATGTTGCTGTTGTTTTGTAAGGATTCTCAACTCTTTGTGGGTAATTGGAAACACACAGTGTGATATCAGCGGAACAGCATCGAAATGATGGCGCCAATGAGCTCGCCAGACTTGATGGAGCATGACAGAAAAGAAGTTGATAATGGAGATGGTAGGGGTTATGGGTCTAAAAATGTACGAGGAAAGTGTCAGTTGGCTAAGATCGGTGTAGACGCGATGCAGAGAGAAACAGGTCGAGTTGATGAGATACATGTCCATCATGGGGCGCCAGATGTCCTGTTTGTGGGGGGGGGGACAGAAAATGAGCAAATGCTCGGCAGTTTCTACTTGATTGCAGAAGGCACAGCGGTCAGAGTCGACAATTCCTGGTGTTTAGAATAATGAAATATAGACAGAGGAAATACAATTAGAACTGAATCTATTTACTAAGTTATTCCAAGATTGAATGAGGGATTAAAACTAGTGTAGATTTCGAAGGTATTTATAGTTATTTGACAATGCCGCACCAATAGGACCTTGATCTTGAATGTGGGATAATTGTGTAAGCCTTGAACCAGTTAATGAGGATGTGCTGCATAAGAGCTCACAGACCACTAGTCAAGGACAGACAACAGAGATGATCCAGGATAGAATGGTATTTCTAGTAGATTTGACGGAAGAGCATTTGTCAGAATTGAAACCCACTTCCAGGGACGAACAACCATAGGCTACCACTCTCTAGGAACCAGGATACAGATTAGCCATTTGATGGCACCACTCATGTTCCTTTGTGCTGTTTGATTAAAGAACTCTCACTTCTACTACGCTTCTCTGCTTATTCTCAGATCCTCTCATGTATTATACAGCGTATAATCCATTTGCCTCTCAGAGATGATCTACATACAAATCATCCTCAAACACTCACTCACTCACCCAAACACTTTTTACAAACGAAATGATGCGCTTACAAATGATACACCTTTGAACATACAATGGCAATTACACGCAAATACACGCCCACACAACCACACACACACTCAACTACACATAAACACTTTTGTTTTTTTGAAAGCCCAAAAAAAAATCAGATAAAAAAGCCTAATCATCTTATTCAATAATAAATCCACATCAATATCCTTTAGGTTGATCAAAGAATTGAGTAGTCTGTTGATGCGGAAAAAAAAAGGAGACAGAGAGAACGAGAAATGCTTTTTTATTATGATGATGAAGGAACGGGATAGTACAAATGTTTAAATGGGTAGTGAGATTTTGAATTTCAATTTGGGGCCAATGATGGCAGGTGCAACTAACAATCCTGCAAATGCAAAGAAAAGCAAAAGCAGTAAGAAGCCATAGAACACTGCAATGCGGCGTCGTCTTGATCGTTGGCTGGTGGAGTAAATGTGCTGTTGAATTTGCTCTTTGGGTCGTAGCCAAAATAGCATCAAGGAATGCCATTTGTCGATACCTGGGATCAAGCAAATGACAAACAAAAGAAACAGTATAAAGTGGCCCATGATGAAGTCTGTGGCAAACAGACTCATTTCTATAGTTTTACATACAAATTCTCGCAGCGGTTGCGTGAATACGTGCCATCCAAGCTACAACAAAAGGACGGATGAGTTAAATGCATAGAATCCACAAAAAAGAACTTACACCTCGGCCGTACCAACGGCCTGTCCACCATCCTTGATTGCTTTGATCACCATGGAACTCTCGTGTCAATAAGAGTACTGTCATCAACTTGAAGATGAGCCGTTGAACAGATCCCACTGCAATCATGCCTAGAATGACATGCACAAAGTTCCAGTTCTCTAAAAAGTAGAGTATCTCAAAAAAGAGGATCAAGTTGAATACAGCCCATCCGTGCGCAACAGCTGCAATGGTAGCACCAAATTTGACTCCACAACATAGACTAGCTAAACATCCACCGAAAAGAGACACAGCAAACAGCATAAGCAAAGCGCCCGCGTTTAGTAAGATGGGACCCATGGCGATGATACCCACACGCAAAAGCGCGCTGGGACCTTTGTATGGTTTGCTGCTGTCGTTGGGATCAAAACTTCGGATAAAGAGGTAGGCTGTAACGCTCAGAATAGCAAGGATCAGCGGCAAGATGATTTCTGAAAACAGTATTACGGTGAATCGAGCTCGAGATTGCTGTTGCACGGGCTTCTGAGGGTCCAGTTGCTTCTTCTTGACGCCTGTTGTCCGCATACGTGTAAAACGACAGAATTCGATCCACGAGTTGAGGTGAGTAGCGCCATTGCCTCTCGACAGCCAACGAATGTATTCACGATAATCCACCAAGAAGTCGGTCAATGCAAATTGGTGAGGATTGAACAGGAATGGAGACAGCACCAGCGCCAATACGGTGAACCAAAAGTAGGCCAAATGAGGAATCCACAGCACCAGTGAGCCAAAGAGCAGAATGAGTGCTAGTCTTGCACCTGAGTACATGCTTGTATCTGCAAACCTAGAATACAGCACTGAGAACGGTAACCGAGCAGTTGCAAAACCTCGACCCGTACCAATATAGCGAGCACCACCGAATGAGAGATTGTTCAAGATGGAATTAGCGTATGTTTGAGTGACAAAAATCTCGAATAGAGGAGAAAAGGAGAGCATGTGCTTGCAGAGTCGACTCACCGCACGAAAGAACCCGCGTTCAGTGAGCTCTTGTAAGAACAGAGGCAGAAAAGCAACAAAGATAATGGCAAAGATTGAAATGACAACACGCTTAAGCCATTCAAAGATGGGCACCATGTTGTAGCATCCATCTGGCTTGAGAGCAGCATCGGGTCCAGCATTGATGTCAAATTCACAGATGGTCAAGGGAACACTGGTAGCGCCAACAAACAACAGCACAAACATAAACATGTGAACAGAAAGCATAATGAAGATGTTATTGATGTGGAAGCCAGGATGAGCATAGAAAAAGGTGAGGAATCGATCCAGCGGCAATTGCGTGCCCAAGTAATAGTATTCTCGGGAAAGCATCTGTTCACCCATACCCGTACCAATCTTTGTCACGAAATTGAGCACAGACCCAAAGCCAAGATCACGCCCTTTACCGCATTGAAAGTACTCGACATGTTTGATGCGACCACCTCGTTCAAACGCGTTCATACCAGCATAGATATCTTCGTTCAGATGAAGTCCCTTTTGTGCTTTGGACACACCGCCTCGTGTAGTCATAAAAATAGCGTTCAAGAAATCAGGGTGACCGTAATGCAGCTATCGTAAAGATATGAGTATGTATAACAATTAGAGTTGATCGCCTACTCACCCTGCCACCAATTGTAGCCATGATCCGCTGTGTCAATGTACCAAATGTTTGCTCCTTACCAGCAGCAATGTCGCCCAGCACACCCACATTCTCAGAAAAGATGTATTCACGAGCACCTACGATAGCCACCGGGCTTTTGCCCATCTTCTCGTTTGCATAGGGAGATTGGTGTTCTCTCGCCTGCATCTCTTCAAATTCACCAAGCACATTGCGGATCTTGAGACATTCCTCTAGATAGTTGTCCTGATTTGCATCAATCAGTTGCAGATATTCACCACGATAGTAGATCAGAGCTGTATTCTGGTTGTCAGATTTACCATCACCGAGAATAGGGTTACCAGGGAGACGAACACGGAACTTGGGAGCGCGGTTGCCATCAGGCTTCGCATCGCAATGACCGTCAATCAGCACAGAGTAGTAGCTTGGTTCTTGTCCCTCCACCTTTTCTTGTTCTAGGTACGCGATTTGAAGGTCAGGGTAGGCCTTGAGAATGTATTCTATACTCTCTTTTTCCTCAGCATTGAAGGAAGTGTACCGTTGCATAGCAACCACGAAACGGAATTTGCGCCTGGCCATTTGCTCCAGTTCAGCATCTGCGGCACTGTCACTGGTGGTATGCGGCGACATGGTTCCACCTTGTATGGAGCTCAACTCGGGTGTCTCCACTCGGTAAAGCAATTTGATGGCTTTCTGATAGTTCATAAACCCAGTAATAGTGCGAAACAAGGTTTGTGATCGAAGCGATGCCCAGATACGAGTGCGTAAAGTGTATTCAGGTGCTGCTGATTTGAAGCCAACGCAATAAAATGGCAGGTCGTCAATCTTGTGCTGTTTCTCTGTCTTTTCATCTGTTGTTGTTGCTGCTGCAATGGTGCTGGTCTTTGATTTTCCAGAGAGAGATCCGTTGTCGTCTAGTTCCTGGCCTTCTTCATCAGCCAATACTTTAGTGTCCTTGACAAAGTTCTCCCATTCAAATGGATGCAATTGCTTAAGGTATTCTAACAAGGTGATTCTGGCGTTCTTGTCTTCCTCTCTAATGATTTCGCGTAAAGATAAGATGATCTTTTCGCCATAGTGAGGTGTCATGACGGTGAATGTTGGCATGTTGGGCACTGGCAGCGATTCAGGCATCGGTGTAGTCAGACTCTGAGCAAAAAACTGCATTCTGCGTCCTGCTTCACTCTTTTGTGGGTAGTATTCTGTCTTGAAGGCTACGTCCTCTTGAGATACAAAGAAGGTGGGTGCTTTGAGTGTGGTTTTTGTATTTCCTACACCAGGAATCTACAGAAGAGGTTAGTCGGTACTGTACAAGGAACAACGATAAAAGCGTCTTAACTACCTGTCTATAAAGTAGTTTTGATACATGATCTGCTGATAGTAAGTGCTCGCGATACATGGACACTACCAAGGCATTCCACACTTGAGAGCACAGAATCTTGGGCTGCAGCTGAAAGTCCAATGCCGATGCTGCTAGAATCTTTGCATAGATGCGCTTGGGAAGTCGAATGAAGGTGTTTCTCCAGGGACTCCAGATGGAAATACCCAGATAGAATGATCTAGCCACCGAGAAGAGCGTGTTCCAAATGACGTACCATAGGTAAGTATCCAGGAAAAAGAGTACCAGTTCCATCAAAAGCATCAGCACCAACGAGACAGACGGCATGTAGCGGCACAAGATGGAGCCTGTAATAGCATCTTTGCAGTGCAGCACCTCCATATTGGCGATAGCCTTTAGAGGATCTTTGAAAGACAGAGCAATGAAAAAGTAGGATTCCAGCAGCTTACAGCCAAATACGCAGGACCACAGACCAATAGAGATCAATCGATCTGCCTTCTTCAGATGTGGAAAACTGGCAGTGAACGTCTGATTGGCAGGTGTCTTCTTGCTCTGCTCGGACCTGGTCTTGCGCACAAAAAGCCTTGATTGAGGAACGACCGCAAAGAAGATGCTTGTCACCATGCTGACAAACAGCTGAAGCAGTGCCACGCCCATCGATAGCTTTCCGGTTCGATTGATCTTGATACAGTACACAGAGGGCCCAGCATTGATAATTAGCACGCAGAACAACAGAAACAGACGCCGAGACAAGATGCCTGCTTTCTGGAAGTTCAAAGGCACATACATGTACTCCACAAAGCTACCCAGCATCACCAGAAGAGTGGCTACCGCGCCACCCAGAGCAGCCATGGAGACTTTGACCGCTGTCTCCTTTTCTGAGATCTTCTTGTTGTGATTGAGATAGAGAATATCCGAGTTGGCAGCAATGAAGTACCAAAAAGACACAATGTGAATGATCCAGATTCTTGTAAAATTGACCGCCAGGTGCATCCAGGATCTCTTTTCCTTGAAGGTTTTTTGAAACGCCTTTTTCCAATTGACATGCTGTAGTGAATCGTATCTTTGATGAGCAGCAATGGACACCAGCTTTGTTTTGTCTTGTAATTGCAGCTTGGAGATGGTTTCAGGGTACCAAAAGAACTGATTCACGTCGTCGTAGCCAACGACACCGTCATGGTCGCGGTCTCTTCTCACAAAATTCGAGTGCTTGTCTTTGCGATACACTTGATCCTTAACAAAATCATAGAGCGGTGTGATGATGTTATCTAGATAATCTCCTTCTGCTGGTATTGTCTGCTGTTGGTGAATAAGAGACAAGCGATCTTTGCAAGCATCGTCTGCTAATTTAAAGATAAAGCACAGCACTTCAGGGCAGAAACGTATCACAGATGCTTCGCCCCAGATCATCAGCCAAAGTGCCAATTGTCGCACGCGCTCATTGTCTGTCATGTTTTCCATTTTACATCGCCAATCCTCTTCTGCTTCAGTGAGCGTGTGTGGTTGTGGCTGTGCATCGTCTTCGGCTACGTTGATGGCTGCATTCTTGTCGCCCACCGCATCATCGAGGTTGAGTTGTGCTGCAAAGTACCACTTTCGATAGTTAGCATTGGGCCCACCGATATAGTCAGCATGTAGTGTCAATAGGGCCATGGCGGGTGTCATGCGAGAGGCACGCGAATCCAACATGACCATGAAGTGGTCCAGCATATTCAGCATGCTGTCGTATTGGAATCCAAATGCATTTTTGAGATCGATAAAGATATCTTGAATATTCTGGTAAGAAGGCAGATCAACAATGTCTGTCCAAGCAGGGTAAGGCATATGCTGCTGCTGCTGTTGCTGATTGACCAATGTCTCTGCTGATAGATCATTGCTGGATAGAAATGCAGTAGGAGACTGAAGACCACTGCCGGGAATTGAAGGGGTCGGTGTGGCTGTAACACCTCTGGGTGCTTTCAATCGTTTGGATTCTAGGAGTGCTACCAGTGATTCAGTGGAAGGCGCACAACGGAGGTACCGGCCAGAATTATGAATATCGTCATGTAAATTGTTAAGTAGATCGATATCAGCTGTAGGTGGTTGCTGTTGTTGTGGCTGTAGACGATGCTGATTATATAGATAGCGATGAGGCATGTCGGAACGCACGGAGGATGAGGAGTCCACCCAGTCTGCTTCAGAGCCTTCGTATGGCATGAATTGATGTTGAAGTGGTGGCAATGGGAACTGATGATAATGCTGCTGAATGACCTCTGTTGAATAAGCAAGTGTTAGTTTTATAGCATGGTTGATACAAGAGTGCGCAATTACCAGAAGAGAGTGGCTCATTTTCTGTAGCATCATGCTCTTCTATTACTGTCTTTTCGGCCTCATTTGTATTCGTGCTACTACTACTTCCAAGCATTGAAACAAATAGTTGTAGTTTGATATGAGAAACAAGAACAAGAGCCAAGTGATAGCAAATCAAATGAATTTATATATTAAGTTCATTGGAATGATTTAATTGAGCCCTTGTTGTAATCCTCTTTTTTTTTTTTTTTTTTTTTTTTTTTTTTTTTTTATATATATTGATTTAATCTATCCAATGTGTATATCCACCGTATTCGATTCAAAGCAGTAAAATAGACGGTCTTTTTCTTACATGTGCCGATTATAATACATTCCATGCATCCCTTTAATAATGTCACCCTATTTTTTGAATATATATATATATCTTTACTCCCTGTTTCTTCATCATGTTTGATTTGTGTGTATGTGCTCTCTGGCTTTCCCCTTCTCGTGACCCTGAATTCTTTTTTTTTTTTTTTTTTTTTTTTTTTTTTTTTTTTTTTCAATAGCGTACAGTCTCTTGAGGCTCGGCAAGTCCAATTTCTATGGGAAGTATATCAGCTAAATTAGACTCGGCTTGAAGCATTTGTATGAATAAATAGTGTACCACTGTATTTTCAATTAGCCGCTAAATACCTGCTTGATTATGCGTGTTGTAATTGTATCACCTACCAAGTGATGTCTATTCTTGTGTCTTGCAAGCATCATTCGTGTTGATTATAGGCTATTATTCGCAGTAGATGATGCTTTAGCTGGATGTAAGCCATAATCAAGAGGATAACAAGCTCTGCTCCATAAGGTTTCCAATACATATAAAAGAGAAAGCAGATTCATGCCAATAGAGTCGAATTCGTCAACTATTCCTCCTACAATGAAACTTATTTCCTTGCTGCTTGTCGTTGCTTCCGCTATATTACTTCTGCTAGACTATGCTGATGCATCTCCTACCTAGAATCATGGCGAGTCTGACCTGAGCAGCATAATGGGATCAAATGCTGCTATAGAAGAGTTTATCCAACGCAAGCTTGGCGTGGTCTACAAAAAAGGGTCTTCTACAGTCAAAGTGTACTGGCAATATCCTGATGATGGTGGAAATGGCGTCAAACAATTTAGTGTGGATGACCTCGTCACTGCCCTGTTTGCATTGGTCACATTGGCTAAATCCGTGGATGAACACTTTCCTGACGACCACAAGGATATTCTATTGAGCTTCCGTAACCTTCCATGGGATGCTACTTTGGCTCCTCGTCAATGCTCATTCAAGTGCAAGGTCCAATGAGCGTTGGGCTCAAAATTCAAGCCATATCCGTTACAAAGCCATGATTTGAAAGCAGAAATGAATAAAATACACGTTTTGAGCTGGCAGTGTCTATGAATTCAATGGCATGATCACTTTGTATATCAGTACCTTGTGTCTGCATGCTTATCTCGGGAGCATCCGACTAACAGTCTGACAAAGCCTAGTGTTTGTTTGTTACTATGTCTGTACAAACATTAAGTGAAAGATTAAATTAAAATCAACGTAGTAACTCAAACTGGTTTAAATTTAATTGAGATCCACCCATCCATTTGATGATATACTATACTATGGCATTCGCTCCAACAATAAAAGATTTTCAAAAGACTCCATTTCGTCCAATTGGTAATCAAGGCGATAGCTCCATCCACAAACCCTTATTACTGCCCTGAGGCCTACTTTTCAATACAATAAGCCCTTGTCTACACCTACCAAGACTATTCCGTACTTCCATTGCGTAATTGAGTAAAAATAGCGCAATGCCCCAACCTTTTTGTGTCTAGAGTCGCTTGCTATGCATGTTTTACGCCAATTTGATTATAAATTTCCTATTTTCTCCATTTTTTTATATGCTTTGGCGCTTCGAAAACATGCTAAACCATCATCTTTGATAACCGTTTACATACACGATCAATTTCAGCTGATTTGGAGCAACTTTTTTTCTCGATGAAAAATCGATCAATTTTGCCAAAAAAATCCTTACAGATACACGTCAAAATCGACAAAAAACCTTTGATGCCATTTTTGTACCTAAGATCGACATTTTCTTCTATGGCTTTTCTAAGCTCAATTTGAAGCTACAAAGTTGCTCCTTCACATGGTACTTTTGATTATCATGTTTTACTTGGAAAAGGTTGAGTATTTTGCAGAAATCAAATTTTTGATTTTTCTCGTTTTCTCCATCAAATCAAAAGCAATCCGCATGAAAGTTGTATCATTCAAAGCAGCTTTCCAAACACTACAATTGACCTTAATGACATTTGCTAGTTTGAGGCGGTTTTACTATCACTTTTTGTAAAAGTTGTTTTTTTTGGATTCAAAATCATGTTCTGGCCATCCAATAATCCGTTATGCATTAAACGTCCGCTAGCTGCAAAAATTTGAAAATACATTGTACAGAGTGATTTATGCTGCAGTGGTGTTTAGTTTGTCCACATTCGACGTTCCTGATACAGTAAAATATGCTCTATTTATTCCACTTTACACGCCGTTTTTACTAGCTACAACTTTCCACATTTGATAGTACAATATTTTGCCCAGGCTGACCATTTGTCCAATTTCAGCACCTTCAAATACAGCTCTATCCGTCCGTTTCTCTCTACTGACCATCCAACCTTGAATCTGCTTGTTGGCATCCAATCGAAGATGAATCATATAATCCATATATCTTGCATTGTATAGCAACAAATGGCGACGACCTCCTTCATAAAAGTATTTGCAGCTGCTTTTCATCACTTTTTGTACCGTGGTCAGTGCAGCATCCCAATCCAATTTCATGCCAAAGATGGTGGCAATGTTCTTGTCTGCTTCCGTAATATCAACTCTGTCAAATTCGCTCATGAGCTGCACGAGTTCTGGCCTGTCAGGAGGAGTCTTTACAGATTTTTCTAGTGTCAGGTTGGCGTTGTAGAGCTTTTTCCAATCATGCGCTCGTTTACTTCGAATGATGACCTACAAGTATACCAATGTCAAATAACTTGATGAATTCCGTATGTCAATAGACTACGTACCTCTGATACGATACTATCCAGCTTGATTCTAGCACCAGACACAATATCAGCCAATGTATACCCTTCTTCTGGAAGCGATACACCATTCAAATCAGGTTTTTGCCATGAATGTGGCTCCTTCTTGAGCCAACTTGCCCTTGTCATGGATTCAGGAGTAGTTTGGCCTTGATAAACTACCAACACAAAGTACTCTATGATGGTCTTGGCCTTGTCACTGCTTTGCTGTTCATCCTCTGTGGTAGGCTCTTGAGCAGGACACACCACCAATGTGTATTTCCAGTTGGTATGCGCAGGATCTGGGGATGTTTTCGCTTCAAACGAAAGATCGAAACTAGAAATGGAGACAGCAGAGTAGCGTTTGCTAGCAAGCACATTGAGTAAACCATGACGAGGTGCATTCTTGAACAAGTTTTCGAAAAAGGCATTGGAGGTGACATTACCCCCATCAAACTGGTAAAAGCCATGAATGATGCGATCTTTGGAGTAGGGTGAAGGTTGCTGGTTGGTGAGTGCAAACCGTCTGACAAACGACAAGATGTTCAAATCGGCAGGTACCTTTTCAGGCTGGTCCAGCATCTTTTGAATGTAGTGCAGCTGGAAATCATAGACAAAGGAGTTGATATGAATCATCTGCTTAAAGTGGCCCGAGTTTTCTTCAAATTTCTTGAAATTGGCTCTCTTTTTCAGTCGCGTTTCATGACGGAAGCGATTGTAATCCAAGCGCCCATATTGTCTGTGAAGTGTGTAAAGTGTGACAGAGACAAAGACGCTGGTAAGACGCACTTCGCAGATGATGGAGCCGCCTTCAAACACACGTAGCAAAAAGGTGGGGGGACAATCTGCTGTCATTCGTCTACCTAAACTGAACTTGGAGGATCGCAGTGAAGACTGGTTGAGATTGTCTTGTGTGTTGTCGTCCTTTGCAAAATCAATTAGCTGCATATCAGCACCTTCCAAATACCCAGCATATTCAAACAACAGTGCGTTGGCCATGTTCTTGAACCATGCCACAATGTCAGCTCTGCCTGTGGATCCCTCTTGCAAGTTGGGCCATTCGCGTTCAGGGTCACAGAATATGAGTGGTGTGCGGCAGAAATGAAGGACACGCGATGAGCGCATGATGGTGGACACTTCATGTTTGGATAAACGTTCTGTCAGATCCACTCCTGTCTTGGGGTCGCCATATCGTTTTCTCCATTTGAGATATACTTTGAGCGCTTTACGGTGTGCTGATTGGATTTTGGCTCGTCTCAGGAACGTCTCGAGGAACGGTTGGCCATGACGACGCAAAATATCAAAATCTTTGCTGCGAATGGTGTCTGCTACAGAGTCAGTAATGGAGTCCATCAAAGCGTGGTCCAGTTCAGTAGCACGGATGATGGATTTTTGCAAAATACTGTCGATATAATTCTCTTGCTCCATTTGTCTCGTGTTGGGTGAAGTGGCACCTAATCCGTCCCCACTTGATTTTGGAGGAACAGTGGTAGGTGTGCTCTCCAACAATTTGTCTCGAGAAGGTGCTGTGGTAGGAAACGCAATCATATCCTTGAGATCCAGCATACTAGCCACCACATGTGTACTGTTGCCTGTGTTTGCATTGGCGCTGCTGCTGTTGTTACCCGTGTTGGCATTGTTGTTGGTCCGTCTAATGCCTCCAGGTGTACGTGTTCCGCTGGCGGACTCTGCTTTACTGGCATTGTCAAACTGTCTGCCCATCTTTTTGCTAGATTTAGGGGACGTCAAGTGAATCTGAGGCGTAGATGCCGAATAGCTGGTTCCCGCTGTAGACATGAGATTGGTAGACAGTGATCGCGTAGGATTGTAATGCTGTCCACTAGTACCAAACTTTTCAATGACGTCCTTGATGGGTGCTGTGTGATGAAACAATCCCATCTTCTGGTGCAAAATGTTGCTCATGATGTCGCTACGTGCTTCTTGTCGATTGGCAACTCGGAATATACCATTGAACAAGTCTTGAGAGACGGATTCAGACCAATTGTAGGTGTAAATAGATAGCCGATGGACATCTAACGTCATGATCATAAAGCAGTGTTTCTTGGAATCCAGTTGAGGGCTATGTCGGTTCGATACACCCGAGTTGGACAGCGCACTAGACGCTCTGGATTGATCCTGCGTATCACCTCTGCTGAAGCGTCGCTGGCCGTTGTTACTGCCTTCCGTATTGGCTGATTCTCCAGAGCTACGTCTTGATCTCGCCTTTTGACTGTCGTTGTCACTAGCAGCACTGGGTCTTCTCTCAGTGCCAAATGAATCAGAGACGCTGCCTAGTTTCTCTACAAATTCATCTAGACCACTGATAGCTACAAGGCGGATGTTGCTTTGAATCTTCTGACGTTGACGGTACTGGAATCCACGATACAGCTCCCATTTGCTATTTGGATTGAGTAAATCATCACCTTCGTCATACACAGCGTTCCCCAACGAAGTCCAAGCAACAGTAGGTCTCAAGGAGGGATTAATCTTGCGAAGCTCGACATCCAGATAGCGCACCAGATCATCCATACACCAAGGCGTGGTTTGAATTGCTCTATCCATGGAGCACACTGTAGGACTCTTCAGTTCAGATGCCTTTCGCAAGATGAACAGCACAGATTCAATAAACTTCTTTCGCAATACAGTGCCCAAACGACCCTCTGCCTTGTCGAAAACAGCTCTCTGCAGTGCACCATCCATGGACAGGGCAGCGCCTAGATCAATGGTTACCGTCTTTTCGATAAAGTAATCACACAGACTCTGGCGATAGCATTCATAAATGTGCTGCATCAAAGCATCTCCATCGCACGATCCCGTCACCCAAATGTCTACCCATATGTGAAAATAGGTGGAGCCAGCTTTTGCCTCTCTGAACTCTTCCTCCAAACATTGGTGAATGGTCTCTGGATCGAAGTTGCCCCCGCATTTGCCTTCTTCTATTACAGTGGAAATGGGAACACCGAATTCATCAAGCAAGGTAAGACAGATGCCTGCCATACCTTGACCTACCAAGAGCTCCAGAGGTGTGGAAGAGCCTGGTAAGCGCTTTGTGCAATTGTAGTAAAAGCAGAATGCACCAGGTGCAATTTCACGCGTGGTTTCGCATTTACTAAGGCTGGCATGAGTACGACTATAGTCAGGTAATGATAAATGGCTTACCCTCTTAATTCACGCTTAGCACCGTCTTGTACAGCATCAGTCTCTTGATCAAAAAAGATGTTGTCATAGTAGTTGGACACTGTCTGTCGAACATAGGGACCTGTTAACGGACGAATGTTGTCTGCCAGCAAAGACTGTCTAAAATACTGCAATAGTGTGTAGGGGCTATTGACAAGACTAGGCACACGCAACATCTCTCGGTGCGTGGGTGGTTTGGATGTGGGCAAGATAAAGTCGACATCCTATGAAAAAAAAAGGTAAATAAAAACGGAAACAAAAGGAAGACAAGAGACTCACTGCAGACGTGGGCTTGGAGGTTGAATTTCTAACAAAGAACTGCTGTATCTCGTTCAGGGTAATTTGAGAAATTAATCGATTTTCAATCAGATTGACAAACTCCTTCTCTACCCAAGATGGCAGATCAATGCCATACACTTCCAATACAAGCTCTCTTCTATCGTTGGTGGAGACGCGCGGTGCACTGGATTTACGAGGTGGATGAGGTGACGTGGATGAAATTCTGGACAGCTCACGTTTTGACGTAGGCGTGGGTGTCGTGGCAGTTGTAGCAGCATCTGTGCTGAAAGCAACCAGTGTTTGCGCATCGTCCTCAACCTTTTTCCCAGACAGCGTGTGCGTGGGCGATCCATATACGGTATTGGGAGATCCATCTGCATCTATTCCAGTGCCTGACAGACTCTCTTCATAGATCTTGCAATACACAATGGATCCATCTCTCTCGATTACAAACATGTTGGGCCGATTGATTACAGTAAAGAGACGCAGCACGTCGGTTGTCAGGAACTTGAGAGCCACGGAGGGTTGCAAACGCCAATGCAAAGGGAATCGCTTGGTGTAGACAACAGGACAAGAAAACTGGCCTGGCACAAACTTGTCGCTTTCAGGCAAAAGACCATGGCTAAACACATCCGGCATGTCTTCACTTTCTTCTTCCGTGGATTCATCATCATCGTCCGAATAGATGGTGTTGGCTTCAGATCCTTCACTAGGCAATTCGAGATACTTGCTGCAAATACGCGTGTCTTGCAAGCTGTTCAACAGTGCTAATCGGTTGGTGCGTTCCTGAATCATCTTGATCTTTTCCTTGACAGGACTCAGCAAATCTGAACCAGCGGCTGGCATCTGTAACTTGGAGTAAAAGTAGATTTGCACATACTTTTCATACGGGATCAGTATCAGCCAATACAAAGGACGCTTACTTAATGGCACACCGGCTGTTTCATTTAACATGACCTCCTCTTCTGCTTCTCTGTCTGCAAATTTGGATAAACTAATGCCCAGACCATCGCAAAAGTCATCATGCGCCATCTGAGTCGAAGCAAATGAGTCTTCTTGGTCTGTGTGGGTAGTTGGCGAAGGAGGCGAAGGTTCTGTCACTACAGGTGAGGCACTGTTGGAGTACGACGACTCTTCGCTCATGTTGAACACAGAGTCCTCACAGACATAAAAGTAATCGCCCACACGCTTGAGTTGGTATTTTCCGCTCTTTTGACAGCAGCTGTCTTTCTCCAACTCGTCCATGAAAATGATGCGGCTCTCTTGATAGTTCTTGACGAACTGGAATGGCATTTTGATGGAAGTCTGATACTCAACAAATGGACAGGGCGTTCTCAGTTGATTCTCGACGTATTTCAACGTGGACAGTGTGATGATGGGTGCTTTGAGTAGTCCGTGGATGGTTTCTTCCTTCAGCAGCCAATTAACACGAGCATCTGTCTCAGCCAAAGCAGCTTGTTGATCCTGGGTGAGGCAAGAGAAGCAGTCTGGCTGTGATTGCATGGACTGAATGAGAAATCTAAGCAGGCATAAGTTAACACGGTGAAATACAATGGCATTGGCAACTTACTGGGGATTGTAGGGGAACAGATTATTCGTGACACTGTGATCATCCAAATCAGACCGGGACATGTTGAGGCACACAATCTGCAAGTAGACCTTTGTACTGCCAGCCTTCCGAGGGAAAGTATCGTTTTGTATAGTCTCTGTATCCTCCAAGTCAAACGCTGTGCCTTCCACTGTATGGCCTGTGTAGGAGGTGGGTAGCGAGGTGACAGGAACAACAATCTCAGTGCAAGATGAACTATCCGTATCTTGATTTGCAGTGGTCTTGTAAGCAGCGTTCAGTCGAATCAGCAAAGGAGCCCGAGAATGAGCAACCAAGTCTACAATGAACGAAATTTTGTCGTCTTCAGACATGTGTTCTTGGCGAGGATCGCCTTGGTTGCTTCTGTTGAATGGAGGCTTGTAGTAGAACAGGTTGGAAATGGAGCCTTTCTTGGTCTGGACGGGTTCAAAGTACTGGTGAAAGATGGCATTAAACTTTTCCTGAATTTCATATTCTTGAACATCACTATAAAGAGCATGCACGTCAGCACTGCACTACAATCAATCCTATTGACCAACTCACCTCTCAATCAGCTCATGCTTTTGCATGCACATGGTGTTGACAAACTCTGTGATGTCAATCTCCATGGTCGATTCGTTGCAGACTTCCAACATCTTACCCAGATCATCGTCATCCACCATGAACCCTCTCATCAAACAAGTGTAGAACGACTTGAGGAAACTTCTCGAGTAGAAGCGTGCGACATCTTGCGCCACACGGAGCACGCGGTCTGTCAGTTGCGCTTGTGATTGACAGCAGCTGTACTCTCCTTGGAACAGTTCGGGACGCAGCATGACACCTAATCCATCGGACTCATGCACAAGGTACTCGATAGGACGAATTGATATCTGATCCGCGTCTTGCAGCACATTTTGAATGTGCTTAAAGTTGTTCTCCTCCAATGACATGCCATGCTTGGTGGGCTTCATGGGCTTTTGTCGCACACATTCAAACATAAAGACATCCAAGAAGCGACAACGCTCTACTGTGGATATCGACTTGTGCCCATCGTCTTGCTGCAGTTTAAGTAATCCACTGGAGATAGATTCCAAGCTAGGAAACAGAATCACCACAAAGGATCTAGGGTCAAACACCTTGACAAAGCATCGGGTCTTTCGGAGGTCAGCAGGAATCAAGCCTGTGCTGGAGAGCTTGCCATCTTTGGTAACAGATTGCAGTGCACTGCGAAGGTCTTGCCAGAATGTAGCACCAACATCGTGATGCGACATGAGAATCTCTCCATTGGCAATGTAGTCCAGGGATTGCTCTACAAAATAGTGCAGCAAGGCGTAGTTTTGCAGTACGACATCCAGTTTGGCAATCACTTCCTTGTTCTTGTTCAGCAGTATATCCGGCCTGAAGCTAAACAGCTTTTGGCTGCCGTCTATAATGGGAGTAGCTGCTGTAGAATTAGACGCACTTGAATTAGTAGGATAACCAGCCTCCACCGACACAGACACGTTGGCATGACGGCGCAAGTAGCGATGAGACTTGGATTGGCCTGCTCCTCCTACTGCCTTTGTATGTCGAATCACAGGTGTTGTGCTGCCAGAATGATCGCTCCATTCTTGCTGCTGTTGTTGAGGATGAGGATGCTCTGTATCGTAATGCGGCGTCATAGTCTTGAGCTTGAGTTGGTGTTGTGTCTGCTTGTGTTGCGAGTAAGGCAGCAATGCCATCTTGTATTGCGGTGATTGGAAGGAGGCAACAACAAACTGGTTGGATCTCAGGACAGAGGCCACGTCAAACAGCTGAGGCAGCAGCATGATGGTGGTGTCGTCCGCGGGTGAATCTGACGTTGTATGCGAATTGCCTCTCTTTTTGCCCTTAAAGTCACCTACACCTTTGGATCTGCCAACAGCATGGATCTGGTCAAATGTCACAAGTTGCGATATCGTCTTTCGATCAGGCTCAAAAGTCCATTGCTTCACTAGCTCGTACTGGTCCGCATCGAAGTTGCCGCTGGGTTCCATCCACAGTTCAGTAGTAATCTTTCCGTTGACTGAATCCTTCCATACAAAATATTGGATGGCGCATAGTACCAGCTCTGTTCCGTCTCGACTAGGTAGTGTGATTTCCTGATAAAACTGGGTGCTATCGGGTCGCGGTGATACCAATTGATAGCCCTGTAGTATGGTTTAGTCCCTCATACAACATCTCTTCACTACGCTAACCAGCTTACCTGGTCCAATCTCGCTTGACATAGAAACTGGAAAGCTAAATCGTGAATGGGCATCATCTTGTTCTCTCTGTGATACGCGTCTTGATGATTGTCTGTTTGCCACGTCCATGTCATGTGCTTGAGGTAGTCTCGCACAATGTATTCACTAGTCAACCACATGGCTACTGGCAGATACCACGCCTTGGCCCTGCTCTGATTTTGCGTCAAATTTCCTGTAGGCCTGGTGACATTGGACTCGCCCTCTTCGTTCAGTGCAGCAGCAGTGGCATCAGAAGAAGAGTCCTCAAAATGCTTGGGATCTCGCATCAGCAAGCGAGAAAAGGGCCGTTCACAAACCTTGTTGCACGCCAGTTGGGTGTCTGGATGTGTCTTGATCAGATGAATCAGGTTCTGAACCGCTCGTTTGCGCGTAACCACCTCCACATTGAAAAAGAGCAAACGCAGCGTAATCAGTCTTCCGTATTCGTGGCGAACACGCAACTCGCAGAAAGATGGTGGGTACACTTGCATGGCAGAAAAGTAATCCTTTTGGGCATCCTCATTAGCACCGTTGGAGGTTGGACTGGACAGCAGTTTGTGCATCATCTTGACAAACGTGCCATCTTGTGCTTCGAAATCAGACCACGCTTGCATCACAGTTTTGACATGGTTGACCATCGCTAGAATATCCTGTTCCACATTGGAGACAAACTCTTGATTGTACGAGGAGGAAAGTTTGGGCGTCATGTAAGGAGACACATCACCGACAAGCAGATCAATGCAGCCTGGATCATACCAACAGCGTGTTCGTGCGCGAGCATCTGAGGTATTGATGCGCTCCCAAAAGGCCTTGAAAGCATCTACAAAGGCCACGTTGTGCTGCCCTATACTCAGCCTTGATCCAGCACCGCCGGCACCACGATTTGCTGCTGTATCAGATCGATACGACGAAGCCACGGAACCTGGATGAGACTCCAAGTTGTACCCACCGGTGTTGTTTGATACGTTCGTCCAGAACTTGCAGGGAAATGCAATAACCGTCTTGAGCACCTCATCGCCTTCAAAGATATCAACCAAATACGTCTTCAGCCGCTCAATCTTTGAATACACTGGAGCGGCATATGTCTCGCCAAAATAGATGGACCCAGTAACCACGCCCATCATTTGAGCTCTGCGCCGAAACATGTCCCAGTTCTGCAGCATGTGTGCAAAACTCGCATCTGTGCGCACAAATATCTCGGCTCTGGGTGCTTTGCCACGCGAAAAAATGCCGCTGGACAGCAGGATATCCTCGCTTTTGTAGCTGTTGGGCGCAGTGCCAATGATGGACGGTAGCCAGGTAGCCCGGATTCTGTATTCAATAGAGACATTTGGTTGCCATCGCAGGATCATGACAATCTGGATGCGCTCTTTCCGCACAGCGTTGAAATCGGGTGCTTCAATGTCGTGAATGCCTGAATCCACATGCTTGGAACCGTTTCCATCATCAAATGTCACCGACTGTAAGGTGAACCCTTCACGCGCTCTTGCGGCAATGATGTGCGAGAATTCAGAGGACAGCGTGTATTCGCGGTATTTCAGTAAGCGCCACTCGCCTTCAGGGGGTCTTGCGTAAGGATCCCAAGGAAAGTTGAATCGCTCTCTCATCATCCGCTCGTTGCTGGACTCCATCAAGTTGGCTTCCCGTCGATTTAACTGTGTGCCTGAATCTTTCTCTGCTTGAAGTATCAGTTCAGAATGTTGGTATCGGGTGAGAATGGTCTCTCGAAACATAAACTGTCGGTGGAAGATGTTAGGTGTCTGGATATGCTTGGCCTTGTGAATATCAACGAACTGAACAACAGGATACGATTTGCTGGTACTACTTGTCACAGGAATTGCTGAGGACACAGACGCTCGTTCATCGTGGTACATGACTATATTGGCATGCGATTTCGTCAAGCATTTATCCGAGTACATGAAGGTGCCGCTTGTAGCACGAGCCAGGAATTGCAGGATCTCCGTGTCAGGCACAAACCCAAAATTTCGACCTGGTATAAAACTGCTGGCATAGCCAATCTGGATCACATGGCATGTAATATCCTCCTCTGCAAACTGACGCACAAATGTATTGTCATGAACGTTGGACTTCATGGCGCCATCTGTCAGCAGGATCAACTGAGCGCGGCCCTGACGAGGCAGTAATTTCAGTGCAAAATGGCCTGCATGCAGTATACGACTGAGATTAGCGCCTGATTTACCAATACCCCACACTTCCTTTTTGGTGGCTGCTGCCGTAGACGAGTAAAATGAAGTGTCTTTGGCCTTGAGATCCACTTCTGAACTGGATGTCTTGTTGTCTTCCGAGATGGGCATGGATTCAGCTGAAAATGTCTTATTTTTCTTCTTGGCAGCGACAGCAGCAACAGCAGAAAACGAAGTAGTAGCCGCAGTGGCATCCAACACACCAGGTGGCGCTACCTCATTCCCTACATCCAAGTTGTATCCTTTATTGGACCGGTTCCTCTTCATGAACTTTCGAAACTGCACTGTATCTTCCTGAAAGGCCAGAAATTCCGCTCTCAGTTTTCGAATGATGGTGTGGATATTGTTTGCAGTAATTACGACATTTTGCATAAACACTCTCATGGTAGGATGTTCGACTAGCATGGGTATCACATTGACGTTGGATGCAAACTGCGAGCAATCAGCCATGACGGTGAGGCGAAGATGAGGTTGAACAACGGCTTTTTCAGTTGGTGATACTTGCATGGAGAAGGGTTGCACTATACCTTCTAATGAATTGACAAGTGTTTGAAAGACTTCGTTGAGGAGGATGTCTGCTCGGGTATTTCCTGCAGTCGCTAAACTGGAACTGAGATCAATGATGTATACAAGTCGGTTGTCTTGGCTCAGTGTCATGATGCTGGTTTTGGGTGTGATGACATAGAGTTGATCCCTGCGCCGATTGATGGCTTCTGTTCTGGATGGATCTGCCAGTACATGTCAATGACCACGTATGCTAAGCCAGATGCTTTCCACTCACCTTGATGAATTGCAAAATCTGATGCCCAAATCTTTCGTCGACTTCGTGATAGATATAGGACGTTTGTAGCCTTCATCATAGTGAGTATGTATACAGCTGCTGGATTCATGTGATTGACTCACCTCTGTGTCTCTTCTGGAGCTTGGCTGATAGAGCATCTTTAGTAGCCATTGTGTGTATTCATTTTTTGTGCATAACCGAGAGTTCTTGAGTAAGATGACAGCAGTTTTTGCCTCGATAAGCTAGCATGTCTTGTCAATTACACATGATACTATCCGTGTTTTAAGGGTCCTCGTCTACCTTTTGACTCTCTGTTTGACTCTGCTGCTGCTGTATAGTTGGAGATCCATGTCGGCTGGATGATGGCTGTGATGTGGAGGTTGATTTCTCCGAGTTGGATGGCATTGTCTGGTAGGTAAAGAAAAGATGGTAAAAGCAAAGTTTTTCTTTTGAAGTGAAATATGGTCACACAGATCGTTGAAGCATCCTGTTGAACTGATGTGCTTTTGCATGTATCATAAAGTGCCCGAGATACACGTGATGAGACTGTTGCGAGCATGCTATCAAAGGGCATAAAAGTTGGGAGCCAAGCGATTATTATGAAACACTTGTTCTTTTTCCAGAATTCCGTTATGCCAAGTCAAAGCAAGATACCAAAAAATGTGAGTTGGGTAACATGCTAACACACTGTAGACTCATATCAAGGCAACTAGACCTTTATATTACCAACATCCACGGACATCACCTTGATGCCATTTTGGACTGTGGAGCAACAAAATCTATATTTCATGTTACAAAAATCGCATGAACCTGGAAACACCATCTTTAAAAATGTGTTTAGCACCATTACTAATCTGTAAGTGGGAGTTTCTCTGTATGCTCACCGAGTCTTGATTCTAATACACAGCACAGATTCGATGCCAAACAACCGCCTTATCGCATCCTATTTCAGAGAGAGCCTAATGCAACATGTTTACAAATCGCTGTGTCTGATTCAGAAGAACTGATTGAAGCTGCTTGGAAATGGCTCAGCATCAATATGATACCAGAACTAGAAGAAATCTCGAGCCCTTTTGCCAGAGAGGAATGGGTCGTCAAGAAAATGAACCACATTGTATCTGCTACAATTGCAGGTACACTTATTTCAAGGGCTTGCATGATATAATACTCACAGACTTCCATAGACAGCGACACGGATGACCTGCTGCATGACGACGTGATACGCAACGCTTCGAGAACGTTTCGACAGACATTTGATGTGCCTTCTTCTGAGCGTCTAGTCAACTGTAAGTTGTCATATTTCACCAAAAGCTGCGGATCATGCTAAAAATACTATATCTATGAAATCAAGATTACTCTTGTTCCTGCAATAGTAGACAGGGTTGGATGTATATATCAGAAAACTACCTCGGATTCTACTCTTATCTGATTGGATTTGAACTCAAGATACTGATTGAACTCAAGGATATCAAGGATATAATCAAGGAGCCGATTCGAAAACTGTTCAGACATAGTATGCGCATCATTACCAAGGAAAATCAAGAGGTAGGCTGTGATTTAGATAGTGAAAACATGTAAAGTGTATTAACAACAGCAGTATTTATTCGCCAACATGTTTAAACGGGATGAAGTTTATGATTTGTTGGTCCAGTTGACAGGCGACTCCGTACAGCGATTGTTGAAAAACTCGCATTCCAGTGCATTCAAGAGCTCGTCTTTTGAACAATTGACAGTAAACGACAAACCTGTCAACATCAACGACCGCAGACCTTCTGCAGTAGCCTCCAACAACCCACTGAAGCATGTGTTGGAGCATCGCAAGAGAAACGAAAACTTTCGCCAGCTATTCAGATTACCCGAGCACGAAGACTTGATTGATACCATTCACGTGTGCTACATGTTTGACTTGGAACCGTCGTTATTTCCTGAAACGCTTGGAAGAACAAGATATCCTGGAAGATTATACCAATCGCAAAACTTTTTAGCATTTGAATCATTTGACAAAGTCTCTACCAACGAACACGACCGACCTCAATGCACATTTATTCTTCCACTCTATACCATCACTCGCTTTGAACGAATTAACAACAATACCTACAGATCAGCCTTATCATTCAAGACATGGCATAAAATGACACACGTTTTCAAAGTAGAAGCTGAAAAGACGGCCTGTGAGCAATTCTGTGATACCCTGAAACAAGGCCTCCAAGTCAACGTGTCTAAAATGAAAGAGTCGTTGCGCCCCTTTTTAATGACATGCAAATCAGAGGAACTCTTGGATGATCCCATTCATGTGAAGAATACTATTGGCGGTCTGGGCTTGCAGTATGGTTACCATAGTGATTCAACGCAAGTAAAAGATCATAAAAAGTTGGCCCTTTGGAAAAATTACTTTAATGGTAAGTGAGACAAGTTCATTTTATATACCAACAAACAAATGTAACGTTATACACGTTTTACAGACAATGGCAGAAACCTGACGCTGGTGCGCCAGCCTATATTTGCAAAGATGATCCGCGCTGGTATACCCAACTGTTTGCGAGGTGAAATCTACGAAATGTGTTCTGGCTCCATCTACCTTCGATTTGCCAACCAAGGTGTGTATGATCAAATATTGGAATCGCACAAGAACGACAAGTCACCTGCTTTGGATGATATCGAGAAGGATCTGCACAGATCATTGCCAGAATATCCAGCTTATCAAGCACCCGATGGCATTGATCGACTGCGTAGAGTGTTGACTGCATACTCCTGGAAGAATCCTGAAATTGGCTACTGCCAAGCGATGAATATTGTCACTTCGTCTCTATTGATGTAAGTAGATGCTGCTTACAAGTATTGAAATCAGCACTCATAATGTTCCTTAGATACATGACAGAGGAACAAGCGTTCTGGACATTGAATTCATTGGTAGATCAGCTTTGTCCTGGTTATTATAGGTAAGGAAGCATCCGTCTGTGCTATTTTCTCAATTCTCACTGCTGTTCAACAGCTCGTCCATGTATGGTGTCCTCCTAGATCAAGTTGTGTTGGAGGAATTGGTCAAAAAGTACATCCCCAAGGTCACTGAGCATTTCCAACGCAAAGAAATTCAATTATCGGTTGCCTGCCTGCCATGGTTCTTGACGCTGTTTATTAACTCCATGCCATTGCCTTTTGCTTTCCGCATTTTGGATTGCTTCTTTGTGGAGGGTCCCAAAGTATTGTTTCAAATTGCACTTGCCATATTGAAAAGACACGAAAAAGAACTGACCAAGGTGGAGGACGACTCTGAATTGCTAGTAGTTGTCAAGGGGTTTTTTGCCTCTCTCAACTTACCTGTTGATGATGCTACAAAAGAAGAAGACGATGCCAACAAGCTGGAAATTTTCAACAGTTTGATGAAGTCGGCTTATTCCGGCTTTCCCAAAGTGACATCCTACAAGATCAACCAGCTTCGTAAGCAAAACGAGCTTAAAATTATAGGTGGTGTTGAATCCTTTACCAAACGCAATGCACTGAGAAACATTAAGAACAATGCAACCTTTGGTCCTGAAGAAATTTCGTTGATTTATGATTACTTTTTCGGTGCACTGTACTATGCCAAAGATCACCAAGACAAATCTTCCGTACCTGAAATGGATCTGACTGCATTTACTCGTATGCTGGAAAACATGACGACGTGGGCTAAATTGAACGACAATAGTAGTACCGCTACGAATGATGAGGATCTGATAGTAGTTAAAGAAGTATTGCAAGCATTTGTAAAGCGATTGTTTGACCACTTTCGCCCAGAGAGCAAGCCAGGAGTGACCTTGCAAGACGCTGTGAGCAAATTAGGAGAGATATTGCGAGGAGTATGTTAATATTCAGCTTGTAGGCATCGTTCTTTACTAATAATACGTCTGTAGGATGTCATGTCTAAAACTGCTTTTTTCTTTGCCTTGTACGATCAAGATCAAGATGGCGAGTTGAACAACATGGACCTTCACACCATGTCCACTGAACTGTTTTTGTTGATGAATCTTCTGGATACAGCTATGGATAAGTGGGATGTCATTTGCAGTTTCATCACATTGAGCGCAGAGCAATCCAACGAGCAAGACGTGGTTGACGCACTGCATCAAGAGTTACAGGATGGACAGCAACCACAAACAGTATCGCCATTAGATTCCAAGTACTTTACCGACCATGCCAACAAGATATACAATGCTCTCATGGGCTCTGATGCCCCCTGTGTCAAAATCACATTACCTTCGCTGCGTATGATTATTCTTACAGAAGATCGCTTGGACCAACTTATTCAAACAGATATCCCTCAAAGCTTCAAGTTACAGAAAGCCTTGGTTGAGAGACAAAAGGGCCTGGGCCATGAAATTTTTGAGGCGCTCTTCATTGAAGGTAAGAAGCTTGCTAATAATATGGCGGCTGGTTCATCTACTGGTGCTGCCACTTCCTCGGCTCCTTCGCCATCTATGTCATCAGAAAGACGCTCATTGTCGAGTATCCCACCTTCAGTTATCCCCACGAGTAAACCTCCCTCCAGATCTTCAAAATCAAGTGTAGCTGTTAAATCAGGAGGAGAAGATGATGATGAATTTGAATTAGTATAAGCTTAATAAATAAGAGACTACCCATTTGAACATCTAACATTCTATGGCCTGGCGACATGCTGTGGTTTACGCAAAATATATCTAAAATCAAACGGATTGCGAGGTCACCGCTCCCACTCAATAAGTAGAAATTGACCGCTGCTATTACAACGCGTCTATCTAGCCTTTGTTTACTTACTTTCATCTTTCTTAGTTGATCCCACTACTCCCTACAGCCTTTGCACAATGTAATTTTATGTTTGTATCTCAAGATATACTCATTGGATTTAGATAAAACAAACATGGATCATTCATCGGAATTAAAATAACATGGCCGGCTTTTCCCTTCTATATTTCATTGAGCATTCTGACCAGCAAATGGCCATACATTACTGCTGATGTTTGATCCAGATTTTAACCAATTTGTTAAGCACAAAGAATAAAAGGATTATTATTTGTAGCTTATAAAAAATGTTCGATATTATAAAAACAAGAAAAGACTTATTTGAATAAGATCAGACACAAAAACTAATGATTTATTGATGAAGACAAGAGTTATTCTATTTATACTAAGTTCTGAATGCCAAAGTAGCAATTTATCTTGTACAACGCTTATCACATCTGGTGAACCTCAGTATTTAGATAGCTGAGATGCACTTCACTTATCATAGCTTGTCCATGTTGTTGCACAACACAGACATATCTACCCATCAAGAATACCTTAATCTTTATAGACAGTTGTAGCCCTTCTGGCACAACACAATTCATTTTCAGGTCGTAAAACATCAGCATATCAAATAACATACAAAAAAAAATTAAGTCAATAACATGCCCAAAACTATGCAATTACATTTTATCTTACTTTTGAATAAAGGCTCTAAACTGTATTCATTCGGTCATTCTTTTATTACAAACACAATATCAAATTTATTGACGGGCCAACAGCAGATCAACTAGTTATAACCCTTCGTTACTTCAACCTCTTAGCCAATCAGATTGTTTGAAAACTCCGCTGACCTAAAAAAATTTTTGCGAGGGTTTCCCCCTGTTTTGATGTGAGGCAAAATTTTAAGCTCCGCTATATATATAGCAATATAGCCGTTACTATCATCAAATTTCCCTCAGGTGCTAGAGCATGCCTTACTTACACCACCTAGCTTTAGATTCTGGCATTGAGACTCTCAATCATCACTAAAGTAAGTAGCGATAACCAAGTGGAGGCGGCCTATCTACCTCCTAGCCTCGGATAATGTCTTGTTGAGCTTCAGGGATAGGCACATCCACACAACGTAAAAAAAGGTATGCTTCAAAGAAACATAATAATAATAAAAGAAAAGAATAATATGATACTATACGAGTATAGTAGTATGTAGGCAAAAAGAGACACTCGCATGAAGCGAGTCAAAGAAAAGCATAACAAGCACAACATCAAAGATGTTCAAGACAGCTCGTTGTTGTTGTTGCAATAAAATTGCATACATGGGCAACGTGCATGGTAGTAATAGTCGGATGTAAAGCAACATGGCACAAACACGCACAACTGCGAAAGCAACTGTGGTATTGTAAGTTTGCAATACAACATAATGACGAATGTTGTTTCATGTAAAGCTACAGAGGAAACACTACCAATAAAAGAAAAAGAAGGAGAAGAAGAAAACGCAACAAGGCAAACATCATGAATGCATTATCACGAGAAAGGAAGTAATAATATAAACATTCAAAGAAGTTTTATATCATTGCGACCAGAAGAAAGAAGATACTTACCACTTACCACAGCCACAGATACATCAGAAGAGTATAGGCAATCACCGGATATGAACCAGAGAACGAGCATGCACCAAATATAGTAGACCAGGAAAGGCCAGATTAGCAGCAGCAGCAGCAATACCAGTACCATAAACAAACTAAAGAACGAATGCCATTAGCAGAGAGCAGACAAAGACCAAAGAAGTTATTTACCATTTATCACTACCACAGATAGATCAGATATTACGCAATCAACAGATATGAACCAGAGAACGAGCATGCACCAAATACAGTAGACCAGGAAAGGCCGGATTAGCAGCAGCAGCAATACCAGTACCATAGAAAAACTGAAGAATAAACGACACCACAGAGACTGGACAAAGGCTAAAGAAGTAACCATCAGACATGATACACCAAAGAAGCAGACAGTAAGGATAGCAGAGAAGTAATGACAGTAACACCCACGTCAAACAGACAAAAAGAATTATCAAAACCTAATAAACAAATTCAATTAGTGTTAATTCTACGCCTTCCAGTACTCGTTATTGCATGGTACCTACTATATTCCACTTAAATAAAGCAGTATAAAGTACTTTTAACAGTGCACGGCAATGCTATCAGAAGATAGAGTGTTATTATCAATTAAACAGTTCCCAAGACCACTATGGTTTGATACTAAACGCGCTTTGCAAAAAAGGGAAAAAAACGGGATATGGAAAAACGAGAGGGCCCCCTATCCGACGTCACGTTCAGTAGATTTAGTCTCAGTTTTTTTGCCGCGGCAACCTTAACTGCGGTGATTTAATATGAATTTGTGCAGTGGCTATTTTCATGTTCAACCTTGTTTGATCTGACATCTTTTAAACGTTTTTGCCAAATTTGACTATGAAAGCTGTCGTTATCATACCCAGCTTTCCATTATAACTTTACAGAACTAAAGAAGCTGCATCGAATGATGCTCATTACATTCAGCTTTCAGACCGAAAATAATGAGCAATTTGCAAAAGTATGAAAACATGTTTTTTGCCAAAATGTCGAAATTTCACATAGGAAAATCTCATAGAAAGTGTTTCCAGTGCTGCATCTCGTATTTACGATCAATTCGAACTTATATGTATCACAGGGAAAGTCTTCATTTCTGGGGTGAAAAACGCGATCATTTGGTTTTCAAGAATTTTCCCTTGCTAATACTCATGAAAAAACGATGATTTTCATGAATTTGCAATGACCCAAAAAAATTTGAAATAAAGCATCAGTAAGTAAAGTGCAATCAAGGGGAGTCGTTTGGCCCTATTTCAAGCGTCTACAACGGTTTGTAGCATGAGTTATTCAAGTTGAAAAATGGCTACATTTATGCAGTGAAATCAGGTTTGAATAGATTTCACAAAAAAATAAAGCAATAGTAAAATACAATAGAAATCAACTGTATTTTATTTGTGTATAAAATGAACTGAAGATCCCGGAATTGAGTAAAAAAAAAAGAAGAGTATTTATACGTTTGCAACTAGCTTGTAGGATTAGTGATGATAGAGAGCAATAGTAGGTTCTGCTATTGCGATATCTGGCAAGTGTTGTTGATGTTTGATTTAAAGTGGTAATCAATGCAAGAGCACTGGCCATAAGGGTCGATTTGAGTAACCTTGATGGGCTTGGATGAGCTATCGCCATAGCATGATTTAATGTAACCTTGATGGTTTAAGATGTGATGTTTGTTATTGAAGTATGGAACCCTTTATCTGGGATGTTGTGCAACTATGGCAGCAGGGCATACTTATCATATTTAAATATGCTTGTTATTGATTTGATATTATTTGGATAAAGATAACATCTCTTATTACGACCATCATGGGTGTGATTGAATACACTGTGATCAGGAGTGATTCATTCACACGATGTGCGATATAAGCGTGTATCTTTACTTTAGTATGTTTAAATGGTTGTTGATGTACATTTGAGCGCTTTTACTAATAGTGTGGAATTTGAGGCTTTACAGACTAAAATTCACGGAAAAAAAAGAATAAAAAAACAGTAATGTCAACTTGATAAAGGTATATTTTATTATCAAACGGACAGGTGTAAAGTAAACTGAAGTCTCTCTACTGGCCAGGTAGATGATCCTTCTTATATACTATAACAATGGATAAAAGTTCTATTAATTAGATTGACAAATAAGTCAACTCAGATCAACTAATGTCTAATCATGCTAAAAGACAACTCCAGCAAGCTAATCATGATTTAGCTCTGTCTGGATGAATAATTAGACTCTCATCCGAAGTACCCTGATCTATCCTTTCCATAAGGATAATTAATATCGATCTAGTAGCATGTATCCGATAGGTACAGTCTTCTTAGTCTATATTAATAGTACATATCTGAGTGTATATCGCTAAGCATACATCTTTAGCATGTATCTGGATATATGGCATGTCTATAGCATATCGTATGCATGTCTATAGCATGTCTCATATATAGTACAAGTCTGTAGTACATAAAGTATCTGTAGCTAGTATCACGGATATAAGCATGTGTCTTATAGCGTGGATCATGAAGTGCACATCTGAAGCAACAAGCTCATATTGCATTAATCTTGGTGCCTATCCAGATATGGTAAACATCCGTAGTCAATGTCGGAATACAAGTATAAGTCTATAGTGCCATCCATGTCCGTGGTGCCATCTATAGCCTATATCTTATATAGTATGAATCTTATAGTACTAGCGTATCTGAAGTCCATATCTTCTCATGATCATAGTATAAATCGATATCGTACATCTAATCCAGTGTACATACAGTTTATATCTAAATCTGGTAACTGGATGAACTGTCGGAATGCAGATCATAGTGGATGTATTCCACATTTGCCCCCACCAGTTTCAACGCATGTTGACTAATTCAAAGAATTATGTAAACGATCAATGATCTGTATTTCGCATTCGCTGACAAAGATATAACGCAATGTGATAGTCTAAAGGTGCTACTGCAATTTGCATGTTGCCCTGATATATCCCATGACAAACATCACTTTACTGTTCTGCAACGTTGAGTCTCTTAGAGCCTCTCAAACGCTTGTCAGAATCATCACGCTTACGCTTTGATTTGGAGGAAGCAGTGTCACTATTTAGTGCCTGTCTTCTCTTCTCAAGCAGCTCATATTCCTTGATCTTTGCCCAGTACTTACGAATGGTTTGAGGGTTGTTGAACGATGCAGCAGTTTCCCAGGAGTTGGCAGCTTCTCCAAATGTCTTCCATTTTACCAAATACTCTCTATTGTGTTC